GTACTTGTAAGAAAGCGTACAAAATGAAGCGGAACTGCGAAGCACTGAAGAAAAGTCATCACTTATACTTGTAAGAAAGTATTTTTTTCAAATTACAAAATTTCACATACTGTTTCAGCAGAAAAGAAAACAACACAGTCATCTACCTGCAAACCTTTAGAAATATAAAAGAAAGAAAAACAAAGAAGATACCTTGCCGCAACGATCGCAAACGAGTTGGGCTCAATGCAGTTTGTGTCGTTGACGGGCCCCCGGTTAGTCTGGGCACACGTGACGGTATCCCTCCGTCCAAAGTTAGCTGATTGCACTTTAATCAGCAGGTTGTCCTGGCAACGAAGGTGGAAAGTGTTGCCCTCGCACCCACTGCTCTTGAATCCCTCTAAATCGAAAGCAGATTATTAAAAGTCAGGTTGATAACGAGCCCTCATAATTATCAGCCTAAAAGTTGAACAAAATAATCCCCGGGAATTCTGCAGGGATCGGTTCACTTTGTCAAGTTCGTTTCGCATTAGTCCGGGCTTAAGTCACTTCACAATCTATCAAGAGAATTTGGATATTTTTGAAACGTAAAGCTAAGCCACTATGGGGTCAAGTTACATGGGATTTAGGCCTAATAATGGAGTTTGAAATTTATCGTAGAAAGAATGTTCCATGATAGTTTTCTGCGCATTGGAAAATTCAGGTCGAGGAAGGGGGAACTAAGGAAGGCTTTTAAAACATAAATGTCTATAACTGAGATAAAGTTCATGATGAGAAATAATTCCATCCAAGATTAAACAAAGGGATTGATTATTTAAACAGCCCAGATGACATGCACCTAAACACTGCATAAAATGCTTTAGGTTAGTAAATGCTATCCATGCAAAAAAAAAATCACATTTACAGGGGAAAGTCACATTCTTTAATAACGATTTTGAGTTTTCTCTCCGACGCATGCTAAACGACAGTACATATACATTGGAAAGAATTCCATACCTGGACATCACTAGACACCCAGGCTACAAAGTATTATTATGAGACTGGTCTAAAAACAGCCAAATGTTTTCTCAGTAAATGCTTCAATTTTCCCTGCTAAATTTGACTTTTTAGAACATGTTATCGCTTTCTGATGGCTGATGGGTCGCTGCATGGGGAAATGAGTGCTGTCCATGTAGCTTATATATAGAATTCTACCCAAATAGGTTAATTGGGACCTGATCACCCGATCGTATTAGGCACAATGAGACCAAAAAAGGTCCGCTCATGATCATCTGCACAATGGCTACATGTACATATCCTTTTCCTTTTGACGATTGTATTCTTACAACTCAAACAAGCACAGATAGTCGTGAATTTCTATAGACCCGAGGACAATGTTTCGTTTTTCCCTTTGTCCCACTCTCCCATAGACTATTAGATCCAGGACCGATTTCAACAAAAGACCAAACGCTCGAGGACTGAAAGGATCTTTTGTTCTCCCTTTGTGTGTCTGTCCTCTATCGTAAAGCCATGCAAATTTATCCAGGTAGAGAGGTAGTCTACTCATGCTGCTACTGCAGGCGCGGATCCAGGGGGGGGGGGGGGGTCAACCCCCCCATCTCTGTCCAAAAAAAAAAATCATACAAATTCCTAACAAATAAGTCGACCCCCCCCCCCTGCTGTGACACCCCCCACAAAAATTATACTGGTATAATGTCCGCCTGTTCAAAATACGGTACACCATTCTGTAATCTAGTGCTAATAATCGTCGAATTTGAACAGCGCCCCCTATTGAAATATGGTACCAGCCCCCCCCCCCCCTCCCCCTCTCCCCCCCCCCCCCCCCCCCCCCCCCCCCCCCCCCCGGGTTTTGATTTTACGGAGGCCAATTGTCCGGAGAAAAAAAACCCTGTGTACATTTTCAGATTTTTTGGCTGATGAAAACCCCCCCCTGCGAAAATTCCTGAATCCGCTCCTGTACTGTATAACATATGTTTCATCTGCCTGGAGCCCACTTACCAAAGAGAATGTTAATTTGTTAGAAAAGGTGCAGAAGAGGTGCCTACGCCTGTGCAAAGATGATATTGACATGGAGTCGTTGCAGGAGGGGAGGCTGAAAACAGACTTGGTTGAAACATGTAAGTTTATAAATGGCTTATACAAATCTCCAGCGGACTATTTTTTCACCCTCCCCCACAAAGATTTAAGAGGACGCTCCAAAAAGTTTTTTGTCGGGCGTACAAGAACCAAGCTAGCAGGCCATTTCTTCTCTAACAGAGTGGTGAGACACTGGAATGAATTGCCAGAATCACTAATTTCTGCACCAACTGTGGCTATTTTCAAGAAACAACTGAGAGTCCTGCCCATTGGCGAAGAGGACTAATCAACCAGGTATACCAAGTAAGTAAGTAAGTATACCAAGTAAGTGCTGTGCTTTCAAAGCAGAGATCACAAGATCAACAGTACCTGTTCAACCTTTTCAAGTTTAAGTTACAGATAAGCTTCACAGATCTAAAAGGTAAACTCACCAACTTCATTTCCTCCAACACTGAGAAGCATCAGAGACCAGTACACCAATCCACAAAACAAGATCCTTCCCGCTCTCGACCGGACAGCCATCTTGTCAAATTTCCCCTCGTTTGCTCCACCCTATGGGGCTGGGATGTAATGACTTTCAGAACACGAAGTTCAGCGAATATGGATCCGGATAGCGCGCTAGGCAGCAACTCGCCTGCTTTCCCACCACCTCCCCATTGCCAGCGGTAGTGACTGGTACGAGTATGTAACAGGTACGAGGTTGGGGGGTTAATCGGACGGTTCAGAGAGAGCCTGGCTGTCCTAGCCTTTAGCCTTGTCACTCACTTGTTGTGGGCGCATGTCTATTAAGGCCAAAAAAAAAAGTCTCCGGTTTCTGGTATGCGCGCGCGTCGCCGTAGCCATGCGCGTCGGCAAAATGAAAAAGTTTTTTTTTCAATGAAAGATAATGTCTCAAAACCGCCAAACTCACTGGTTTGACTGGAATCCTGGTGCTGCACAATTTTAACGTGTTTTCAGAGGGGGTTATGATCGAGAATAAGCTTTATGTGGCCTCTCTGGACTCCCATATATTAATTTGCACTAAGTTTAGTCGGGCACCATTTGCAGTCATCAGCCGACATTTGAAGCAAAAAAAATCAGGTAAAAAAAAAAAGCCGCGTCGCCGCACCACTTTTTGGGCAATCTCCATACCAGAAGCCGGAGACTTTTTGGGGGGGGGGGGGGGGGGCCCTAAGTTTAGTCGGGCACCATTTGCAGTCATCAGCCGACATTTGAAGCAAAAAAAATCAGTGTAAAAAAAAAAAAAGCCGCGTCGCCACACCACTTTTTGGGCAAGCTCCATACCAGAAACCGGAGACTTTTTTTTTTGGCCTAAGGAAAACAGAAATAACTTCAACACGGGAGATGGAATAAATAAAAAAACCTTGAGCAATTGCATGCATAGTGATACAATCAAAAGGTTACCGTACTTTCCCTTTTTATTTGGCTCTTTGTCTTGGTACATAAAGTACATTTTTGTACAATCATGGAGGAAGGAGGGTACAATGTACCGGTACTAATTGCACTTGCAATGTTAACAGGTTTTGGCAGGAAAGCCACACTTGGTCTATAGCCTTTAGTGCTTGATACTGTCCAAACGGGGATCACACGTAGAGGATACAGCTTTTTATTACAAATTTTCAAAATGAACCACACAGGGAAACCACCATAAGAATTATATCAATTGAAAAGTTGAACAAAGAAATTGACTGGAGCGACCAGGCTTGAACCAACCTAGGATCGCCTCCGGATATCCATTCCAGTGCTCTTATTACCAACTTAGCTACCCAACATATAGGGCTGGATAGCTCAGTTGGTAATAAGACTAAGAGCAACGCAACGCTGTTATCCGGAGGTCGCAGGTTCAACCCGCCAGACACACCCAAAGTGGAAGGAGGAGGGGCGTGGCCGTCACCCCCTCCTTTTCTTTTTCGCTGATACGGTTGCAACGTAATGATTAAGAAGAAAATTAAACTAGTTTATATTTGAGCTTCCATGCAGTGCAGAAGTGAAGAGTTTGCTGAAAGTTGGCATCGCGTTACCACAACATCCAATATGGCATACAAATCGCCTATACACCTTGAAAATAAGGATTCTTGACATAATACCGACAGGCAACCCAAACGTTTAAGCAGCTTCTGCATGTTGTTTGGCCTACATTAAGCAGTACATGTCACCACTTTGACACCAATATCACACTTCAAGAGATACTCATGCAACGGCAGAAGAGAACACAAACACAAGCACGAGGGGGCACTCAATGAAACGAGAAAAGAAGAGATGTCGTCTAAATCTACGCCATGCGATCTTCTTCGGTGTTATAAGATACTTTATAAAACAAAAAAAATCCAAAGGAAGTTAGCAGATCCGAGGAAGTTGCATGCGCGAATAATACTGTGAATTATGTGTGGGTATGTTACTGCATACAAGTGTCCTTCTTTGAGTTCACATTTTCAGTAGGATCCTGTCCAAGCCAATGGGTTCTGGTTTACAACTGTACAGTCTTTCCAAGAAGACTATAGTTTTAATGGAAAAAATGCATATTTATGAAAGTCCTATTATATAAGATGCATTCCTCGTGCTACATTCAGTTTCACCTTAAAAGATCGATTTTTTGTTGGTGTTCAATTGCTATTTTCCTGGCAATTGCTATTTTTCTAACAAAAAATCTACCAACGTTTAGTTATTGAAATATAATTAATAAAACTCGAATTATTGGCTGCCAGACAATAATTCGGCTCCAAGTGCAGGTTATTTTTTGCACATATGAAATTCCTTTTTTCAGAGGGTTGCAGACGCCTACAATCTGCATATACATGTAGCAGTTTTTCGTTAAAACAAAACATACAAATTGAAAATACGTTAGGAGAAAAAAACCCACATTTATTACAGAGCATGGGAATGCATCTTTAATGCAAATTTCACCATCAAACAAACCAAATCTATGACTGTCCGCACACAAAGCAGTTTTTGTCTTGCATATAAACGTTTTATTTCTTTCGTAAAATATAAGTACCATACAAAATATCGAAAAAGTAACAGTGTCAGTCATTCTAGCATGCAGGAGGAGGTTGACATAAAAGAATGAACTTATTTTTGGACTCCAAACTGATTGTATTTATTGTATTATACTTGTACATATTTAAGCTCTAAATCAATTTTATTTGTGGCAAACTTCAAGGTCGGATGACACATTATGCATTGTCATAATATAGACACTCGAATATTAAAATGTTATTTTCTCACAGTGTGTAATTATGCTCTACATTCAGGTACCGAAGTAAAACAGTAATTTTTGAAAAAAGCTAATAAACTTTACTTACAAACATCACTTCTAAAACTGTGCACTATAATACAGCAATCATAAACACTCAAAGATTACAATGTAATTAACATGTACAGGTTCAAAAGCTACAGTGTTGGTCACAAATACACAAAAACACACTTTTTGGGTCCCTACTCACTTTCTCAATTACTGAGCAAAATAGAAGCAAATAGTCGGATATTTAAAACAATAGGATCAATTGTCATTGGCAAACATGAGTTTTTGCGACATCAATAGTATTCAAACTGTCCCTAGATGACCTGCCCCTCCAGACACAAACATGGTAGGAACCATAAGAAATGGACCGTGTACAGGATAAATATGCGGCTCTGAAAAATCACTTGTTAAACCACTAGCTGCATACGCATCCTGTATGCGATCATTTCTAACTGTCCCTAGTGAGTTTAGAACGGCAGTGCTCAACATCGGGGAAGAGAACCTATGTTTCATTTTGGCAATGACATGACAGTCATCAGATGGGTGTTTGTGTGTGCACGGTAACAAAGACAGATTTTGTTCAGTGTCAAGTTCTGATAAATTTCTGAACTTTAAACATGCTCCGACACTATATTTATAATTGTTTCAGAACTATTTGTTGAATTTTTATTTATGAAAACCCGCAGTCCCTCATCTGCCTAATTTACTCATACCTTGGTGGTCAATTAATACAAGTATATACATTGTATAAAAATGACAGTTTTGCATGCAAAATATAACAATATCTATTTACGATTACACTGCATAAGTGATGTGAACTATAAAATGCCCCCACATCAAACAGTAAATAGTGAGTCTTTTAATTCCACTCATGTTTTAAGAGACCTACATGCTGTGCAGAGTGGTATTGTTTGCTGAAAGTTGACATCGTGTGTCCACAACATTCGGTTTTTGAAACAGGTGACATGGTCTACCAAATCCAATCAATTAGTAATGTGGCACAGGTGTTTGTGCTTGCCATCTTACAGCTCAACAGTCACCGAGTATTCCAGGCCGGAGCAGGTGTACACACCTTTGTATCTGGGTTGGAGGTTGTCAATCTGCAAACGAGTCACTGTGTCCGATACGTGGATGGCGCGGACCCTTCTTTTGTCTCCTGATGTCAAAAAAAGAAGACAAAATGTATGATTGGCAAGAACGTCATAAAACTAAACTAGTAAATGCAAAGAATTATTGGCTGACAGTTAAAGTTGCATTCCCATGCTCTTCAACGTGTTGATTTGTTTTTCCCCTTACAAGTGTTCCATTTGTATGTTTTTTTAACAAAACATTTTGGGCATCTGATAAAAAGGGCCTTCATTTTGTGCACAAATAACCCGCCCGCGATAGCCAAATTATTGTCTGGCGGTCAATAATTCAAATTTGTGAATAAGTACTTCAATAACTAAACGTTGGTGGATTTTTTAGTTTGTCTCATTCAAAAGTGTACAACTTTTATATTGCTGGGAAAAAAAAGCAATTGAAAACAAAAACAGAAATCTATTTTTCAAGGTAAAATGCATCTTTAACTGTCTTTTCATTATGAGCACATACACAGGTCTTCCGGACAAAAGAAGGATCAAGTAGACGGGTCGAAATGGATCCATGACGTATCTACTCATTTTCAGGAATGAATTGCCTACCTGTCTTGACTTTGGATCCGTCGGGAGTGGTCCATTTTGGCTGAATACCAGGCAACAGGTTGTAAGTACAGTCAACGGAAACGCCGACGCCTTCCTCTGAGCCCAAGCCCGCCACTTCACCAACGGAGACCTCTTTCACTGCACAGAGAGAAAAATAGACATCAGAAGGTGCATCAGGAGAAAACATCAGGGAAAACATCGGGCCCAAACACTTAAAGTGTGACGGTTTAGCAAGTCTGGTATTTCTGAAAAGTTACAAAAAAAACTTCTTTTGAGTTTTTCTGATGGCCAACGTTCTGAATGTACAAGTAGAGGGTAGTGCAAAAAAGCTAGCCTGTTTGCAGCTATGAACAGCACAAAGGCTGTAGTTGATAAACCCAAAAATATCATCTGTTGCATTACACAAAGATGCCTTTCTGATCTTAGACTTTTCAGTACACATTTCCACTGCTCATATATCCAAGATGCACAACTTGATGCTGAGAGTGAAACATGTACTACAGTCAAACAGTGGACATCTTGCAACTGTTTGCGACATTCTGCAGAATACAAGTGCATGGAAGTGCATTGCGAGAGATCAAAATTGACTGTGCAATAGTTTACGTCTGATCAGCGTTTGTGTCTAATTTCAGCCTATGTGAAGGCGGAGCGTTAAGCTAGCATTGTCTGATTTGGGCCCATCTCAATTCATATCCAGGACAAGTTCAGGACAAGTTGCGGACATTGTATCGGGTACAAGTTGCAAGATTCTGAATAACCTCCCTGCAATCTTCCCGCATATCAGTATCGGTGAGTCAGGCAGATGCTAATGAAACTTTCCCTGGGTCATGTCCGTGACAATGCCGAGCTTCTTCCAGACAAACCAAATGATTCCACACGCAACTTGTCCGGAACTCGTCCTAGATTATGAATTGAGATAGGGCGTTACCATTGTAGCACTGTCCATCGTCTTGACTAGGCAGCGCATCACAACCAGCACCGCCACCCAAACCTCCCTGTGGTATCAACTGTTCCTCCACCTGTTCCTCCGTCATCAGTCCCTCGAAGGTTTCCAGACACTTCCTGACAGATACCTCACATAATTCACGGCACGGTGGGAGTGGGAAATTACTACACTGAGGCACAAAGGTAGAGCATATGAAGGGTCTGAAGAAGGTTCCACAGCCGCTCTCAAATATGACCGATAGAGAACTAAACACATTGGCCACGTCTTCGGGAGAGAGACCGATGTCGTAGGTAGCCATGGTTTCCGTGTAATCCAAGCCGACTGCACATTCTGGAACGCTGATGGGCATGCAAGCTGAAAATAAAACCAGAAATTGGTAATTTAAAACAACTCAGTTCAGCAAGTCAGATCTTAAGTCCAACTAGGATTCGATCTGTATTACAAACCAAGCTGTCAAGTTGGATTTTATCTAAAAGGGATGCTTTTCTTGAAGTTGCATTCCTCGTACTCTTCCACAAATTTGATTTGTGTCTATTAATACATTTCAAACTTGAATAATCATTCCAACCAAACAACCTCCTTGTCCCCTTTTTTGGACGTCTGAAACCCTCTGAAAAAAGGATATTTGTTTTGGGCACAATCATTTGTGCTTTGGGAACAGAGTGGCACCTGGTCAGTACATTATCAAAATTACATGACTGTAGGACAGGAACCAACCTACTCTGAGATAATGGAATTCTTGTCGGGCAGCCAATAATTAGAAAGTGTCAAGTAATAATTCGACAACTGAACATGGGCCGATCTCACTCAAAAGTGAACAGCTTTTGTACTGCTAGAAAAATAACAATTTAGAAAAAGGAATCTTTTTGGGGGAATGAAACTTGTAAATAGCATTAAGCAACTTTAACACTGTTTGACTTACAGGTTGCGTTACAGTTCATTTCATCCACGCCTGTCGTGCAGTCATTGACTCCATTACAGGCGTCAGATATGGAGATACACTTAACTTCACCAGGACATGGAAACTTGCCATCAGGACAGTTGTTAACACCTGAAAGAACTGAAGAGAAAATAATGACAAATGAGATGTGATCCTATGAAACCTGGACAGAGTGGCAGAAGTTGCTTTCGCACACAGGGCATGTAAAGTCATCTGGGGGTGGAACTTACCATCCTAAGGTTTTGATATTTTCTGAATCAGTAACTGTAAATTTACAACTTCCCAAAATATAAACATAAAATCCATCAAGCAGAAGTGTGTTTTTGGTCAATTAAGTCAAAGAAAATGTGTATAGAAAGGTATACAAAAAACATTTCAATACATGTCAGGGAGTTCAGGTTGGTGCAGCGGTACTTTCCTCGCCTTCCACCGCTGTGGCCTGGGTTCGAATCCTGCCTGCCTGGGCCAACATGTGGAATGGGTTTTCAGTCCCTGCCTGATTCTGTGGGTCTTCCACAGAATTTTCTTCTGGGGTTTTCCTCCCACCTCTAGAACTGTAATTGCTTCTCATTGTCTCCTCTCTACAGGTTTTTTTCAGGCTTGCGAGCTACAGTGCCTAGGGCACTTTTTGAGGAGTTTTTGGTTTTATTGCCAGAGAAAAATGATGTGTTTATCTCATAATTGAGTTGTCAGGCTTTTACCACTTAATCCTTCTCCAAGGAGTGATAGGGTCACAGTACCTATGAAGATCATTTTCAAGCTGGAACCTCAGAAATTTGAATTGGGTCCTTTGCAATTCAGATTCTGCAGCGAATAGGAACAATTATCAACACCCCTTCCCTTTGAAAAGCCCATCTTGGACCCAGACTAGGATTAATGATGAGGAATGTTGAGATCTTACCGGCACCACCCTCACCACAAGCCATCTCATCGATGCCGTCATTACAATCCGGAAAGCCATCACACATGGCAGATGGTGGGATACACTGGTCACTTGTTGGGCAGGGGATGAGGCCATCAGGACATGACGATGGTGGAAATGGTCCTGGAGAACCAAAGTTGGAAAGTCAGTGATGCATCAAGATTTTATAAATTTTTTTTTTTTTTTTTTTTTTTTCTTTTCTTCAAGCTTGGATTGTACAGACAAGGTGGGGTAATATTTTGCTTTTTTGGTGTCCTCATGTACATTGGTGTCCTCCATAATTTGCCTTGGTGCTTTCGATTAGTTGCCTTGGTGCAATTTCCCATTCCTTGGTGCTCTTGGTAAAAAAACTTGAGGAGGTGCGGAAATAGAGGGCGCTGTTGGAGCTACCGCGGAACATTTTGGAGAAAAAAAAGATCGACGCGCATGATTAAAATCGACGCGCGCGCTGACCAGAGACCGACTTATTTTTTTTTTTGGCCTTATCCATGAAATAGGAGCATCTGTTAGCAGAAAATTATGAGCCAAGCAGCGCCATGAAATTGGGCCCAGATTACAAGAAATAAGTCTGAAGATCTTTTTCGTCCCTGGAAGGTACGTATTCAGCTCTCCACTTTGAATACCACACGAGTTTGATTTTCCACTACATGTGGATGTCGTAAATAAGGGAATAAATACGTGCTTGGCTGGTATTAAACATAGTGTTTAATACAACCAAGCACATATTTATTCCCATTCATAAATACTTTTCGGTCAAAAAATTAACACTTTTTGGTCCAAAAGTCAAAACCCCTTCCCTTTGAAAAGCCCGTCTTGGACCCAGACTAGGATTAATGATGAGGAATGTTGAGATCTTACCAGCACCACCCTCATCACAAGCCATCTCATCGATGCCGTCATTACAATCTGGAAAGCCATCACACATGGCAGATGGTGAGATACACTGATCACTTGTTGGGCAGGGGATGAGGCCATCAGGACATGACGATGGTGGAAATGGTCCTGGAGAACCAAAGTTGGAAAGTCAGTGATGCGTCAAGATTTTATAAACAGTGTGTTAAATGTTGCCCACTGCAGGTTTTTTTCTTTTTCAAATTGTTGACCATGCAGGGGCCTTTTTCATGACCTGCTTAACAGCAAAAAGTTGTGCTGACCTTAAGCACTTTTTTCATGGCATGCGCACTGAGATTTCTAGAATTACATCACTTATTAAGGCCAAAAAAAAAAAGTCTCCGGTTTCTGGTATGCGCGCGCGTCGCTGTAGCCATGCGCATCGGCAAAATGAAAAAGTTTTTTTTTCAATGAAAGATGATGTCTCAAATTCGCCAAACTCACTGGTTTGACTGGAATACTGCTGCTGCACAATTTTAACGTGTTTTTAGATTGGGTTATGGTTGAGAATAAGCTTGATGTGGCCTCTATGGACTCCCATATATTTGCACTAAGTTTAGTCAGGCACCATTTGCAGTCATCAGCACACATTTGAAGCAAAAAAAATCAGGTAAAAAAAAACAAAAGCCGCGTCGCCGCATCACTTTTTGGGCAAGCTCCATACCAGAAACCGGAGACTTTTTTTTTTTGGCCTAAAGCAACTTCCTCCTCTGAGGACAAGCGCACCTTGTGCTTACTGCTAACGTTATCCATGAAATAGGAGCATCTGTTAGCAGAAAATTATGTGCTTAGCAGCGCCATGAAATTAGGCCTAGATTACAAGAAAAAAGTCTGAAGGTCTTTTTTGTCCCTGGAAGGTACGTATTCAGCTCTCCACTTTGAATACCACACGAGTTGGACTTTCCACTACATGTGGATGTCGTAAATAAGGGAATAAATACGTGCTTTTTGGCTGGTATTAAACATAGTGTTTAATACAAACAAGCACGTATTCATTCCCATATTTTAAATACTTTTTCGGTCAAATAATAAAAACTTTTGGTCCAAAAGTCTAAACAAGTCAAAAATTAAAACTTTCCAACGATTTTGTTCAACAAATTTAATTTGTTTTTTGAAGCACTCCTCTTGCTATTTAATGGAGAGTACATCTCGCGAGTAAGAGGTAAAAAATCATTTTACGGAGATTGGCGCGCTGATGCGCAGATGCAGCTGTGGTTAGTGCATTGTGAATTTAAGACTGTGAAATAATGACTCACTGGTATTACGCATGCCTACATGAGGCTTGTGAACATTCAACCAAAATGCACTGGATTTCATAGGAGTCCAAATTTCATGTGACACTAGAAAAGTTTTTAAGATCAGCCAGCCTTGTCTTTATCATTCGTTTAAGACTGGCCACTTGACAGGCTCTCAACTAATGGGAATGGATAAACTGTCTTAGGTATTTAGGTAATCGTGTTTCATTATTAAAGAACACTGCATAGCAACTTTAGAGGAGCTTTCATCACTGTTGGAGTCAGCTTTGTGTACAAGTACCCCTCAACACCAAGAAAAAGTCAAGAGGGACCTCTAGAAGGAACTCTTCAACGTGTTGCCCACGGCGTCTGACACTCAAGTAATGATACAGGTCAGTGTACACTTGGAATAAAATAAGTCTGTGTACACTTTGTGCAGTGATGAAGCACTAAACGGTGTTCATTAATATAGTCCAGAGTCCATTAAATGGGTCAAGTTGTTAGAGAACGTTTGACTAAAAAATTTTACTCAAAAAAAAAGAAGGGCAAACGGACCTCCTTCCCCTCCACAGCTCATTTCATCGATTCCGTCCGTGCAGTCTTCGTTTCCATCACAAAAGGCACTTATCAGAATACACTTGTCATCGAATGGACAGGCGATCTGACCAATAGGACACTCTGATTCCGGAATAGGTCCTGCAAATGAAAACTAGGAAATGCTAACTTTGCTCCCAGGAAGTTTAAAACATTTCTTTTGTATTTATGGCGTTGTAAGTGGGGTGAGTATGGCCTGGTGGTTAGGGTTTATGACTCGTGATCAGAGGGTCAGGGGTTCGAATCCAGCTGCTGGGCATATGTTGTGTCCTTGGGTAAAGCCATTTCACCCCCACTTGCCTCTCTCCACCCATGAGTACAAATGGGTATCAGCATTATTTGGGAAGCAACCTGTGATGGATTGGCATCTCATCCTGAGGGAGTAGAACTATCCTCAGTCATTTAATGCTGCTAAAACCGGAGATACACGGTGGCCTGATTGGCCACATTGGTTCGAGACTGACTTTACTTTTTTTACTAAAAATAAAGCACTACATGTCTGAAAACTTGAGAGATAATTTTGCCTCGTGGTCTGGAACATTGAATTTGTGGTCTACGGGTTATTCTGCAGGTAGTGGGTTCAAATCCAGCCTGGGGTTATGGAGCGTGTGCCCTTGGGCAAGGCACTTTGTCACTAACAGAGATGCCACAAGGTTTGCTTGAAAAAAACGGAACTGGGTCTGCTTGAAAAAAACCGGAACGGCTGCTTGAAAAAAACGGACTTTTGTGTGTGTGAAAAAGCCACTCCGTGTCCGACACAAAGTCCCCGCTGTCATCTTTATCTTGTAGCCAAGCCAAGTTCTGTTTATTTTTTAATTTTGCTTCTATGGCCTTGAAAGCTGTCGGTTCGTTCAATCACTTTGACTTTTTCCATCCTAATATTTATTCTGCCTACCCGAATTTCCAACGTAATATTCGACACGAAACATGCATGATTCCACAACACTGCTGTCGGTGTACATGATCCTTGCACTACGCGATGCGCTCAACGAAAACATGGTTGGTACCCGCATTTTTTGTATTCACATATATCACTGCGATCGGAAACCACCGATAGCTGAAATGATAGACTTGATTTCCAGGCTGAATGCTACGTGTGCGTAGCACACAACACGCCCGCACGCGGTGAAGCACGCGCGAGGCGCCGTTGTATACTGCGTGCAATTAAGTACGTTGGCCGTTTGTATCGCATGCAGGCTCGGCAACAACATACACAAAGACTGTTTTTAAGACTACTTCAACGAACAACGTTGTGCCATGCGTGCGCCTAAATGTACTAAATCGAGGTAAAAATCAACGCATTTCCACAGTTTTTCTTCTCTTTTTCAGGTTAATTTGACGGCCGGAAAAACCGGAATTTTGTGAGATTTTTTTTAAAAACCGGAATTCCGGTTAAAACCGGAAAAGTGGCATCTCTGCACTAATTGCTTCTCTCCACCCACGAGTAAATGAGTACCTTGAGGGCAGATATGGTTATTGTGGTAGATTTTAGCTGCTTTGCGCCAAAATGGCAGCATCAAGCCGTATACTCCCCAGGGAGCTGAGATGGTCTTTGAAATGTTTTACTGGGGGAGTCAAGTTAGCGTAGCGGTACTTTCCTCGCTTTCCACCGCTGTGACCCCACCTCTGAAACTGTTATTTCTTTTCATTGTCTCCTTTGTACAGGTTTCTGCAGGCTTGTGAGCTACAGTGCCTGGGGCACTTGTGAGGAATCATTGGTTTAGTAATAATAATTCAACTAATAATAATAATAATAATAATTGGCCCATGAGCATGGTGATAATGATTATCTTCAAGCAAACTTGTATTCTCGATCCTAATCGGTCGATCCATGGCAACAATAGTGTGATATGAGGCTGTATTGCACGGTCCATATCGCAAGCTACGTATTGCGCTATTCCAAGATGTGAGCGACATTCCAGCTGCAAGCGCTAAACCGCTAAAAGGTTCGTGTAAAGCGATGGTCCAACTTTACTGCCCGTCAAGTTTGCTTGAAGATAAATTTGTTATCACGCTCGCGCTCGTGGAACACGGAAAATGTAGTGCGTCTGTGTCCCACATACCACTTCGGCCGAGTGGTATGTGGGACACAGACGCACTACATTATTCCGTGTTCCACTCGCGCTCGCGGGATAACTAATATTAGCGCCTTTAGCACCAATACTGGTGGATAGACGTGCGAATTCTAAACACTATGCATTATTATAGGAGTCACTTTACGAGTACAAAGCAATTTTTGTTTGCTGTATGTTGTTGGAATATATGGCATTTTCAAGGAGCTTCATGCATCCTGTCAAAAGAGTTAGATTTAAGAAAGAGAAGACACAAGACTGACCACCATCTTCACAGTCCATTTCATCCATTCCATCACTGCAATCGTCGTTTCCATCACAAATGGCACCCAGAGAGATACACTGGTCACTAGTAGGACAGGAGATTTGACCGATGGGGCAATTGTCCCTTGGAACAACAGGTCCTGTGAAATAATTACAAATCGACAAACTCAAAACTTCAACACACACTGTCATACTTTGTCATTTCAGCACCATGTCACACTTACTTGGCTATGACTTGAAATTACACACAAGTCTATGGGGCACGGCTGCAGCCGCTTCCATAGACTCGTGTATACTTTCAAGCCACAGTCAAGTAATTCGGGGCAAGGCCTAACTTTGGCTTGCAAGTTCACATAGACGTGTGCATTACTGCAAGCCGTAGCCAGGTAATTCCCATAGACGTGTGCATTACTGCAAGCCATAGCTAGATAATTCCCATAAAGGTGTGCATTACTGCAAGCCATAGCCAGATAATTCCCATAGACGTGTGCATTACTGCAAGCCGTAACTAGGTAATTCCCATAGATGTGTGCATTACTGCAAGCCGTAGCCAGGTAATTCCCATAGATGTGTGCATTACTGCAAGCCGTAGCCAGGTAATTCCCATAGACGTGTGCATTACTGCAAGCCATAGCCAGGTAATTCCCATAGACGTGTGCATTACTGCAAGCCCTAGCTAGGTAATTCCCATAGACGTGTGCATTACTGCAAGCCGTAGCCAGGTAATTCCCATAGACGTGTGCATTACTGCAAGCCGTAGCCAGGTAATTCCCATAGACGTGTGCATTACTGCAAGCCGTAGCCAGGTAATTCCCATAGACGTGTGCATTACTGCAAGCCATAGCCAGGTAATTCCCATAGACGTGTGCATTACTGCAAGCCATAGCTAGATAATTCCCATAGACGTGTGCATTACTGCAAGCCATAGCCAGGCAATTCCGATGGACGTGTGCATTGCTGCAAGCCATAGCCAGGTAATAACTATTTCCCACAGACGTGTGCATTACTGTCAGCCACAGCCAGGTAATTTGGGCACAGCCGTAATAATGAAGATGCTGCCCATCCCATATTGCATATTGCTACCAGGGATGTAGTCGAGTCCATCACAAGTTCATCACATCACAAATCACGTCACAAGTAAACCATAAGACCAGTCAGAAGTAACAGAGGATATAACAAAGGAATGCCTTTGGCAAAGCTCATCTGAATAGCTTGTGAGTTGAATTGGGACTGGAGGACTTGTGATGGACTTGCAAGGAATGATGATGATGATCCCTGATTGCTAATTAACATGCATCCACTCATTTGAAACAAGAATCTAAAAAATTCTCCAACGTGACAAACTGAAGCTGTAACCTACCTTCGCAGTTCATTTCATCACGTCCGTCGTCGCAATCTGGGATTCTGTCACACAATGCAGTCATGGAGACACATTTAGAGTCATTGTCACACAACATCTCCAACCGTGAACACACAATTGGCATGGGTTGTGAGCAAATCTCCTCCGATTCATCACGACCGTCCACTGTATAATGCAACATAAATCAATTCGGTGTCAACTCATCCTGATTTGATAAAAGGTACCCAAGAAAAGCCCCCGTCACAAATTTTTGGTTTGGAGCTACAGATCTCCACGGTTTGAAAATCATGATAAACCCAGGGAGTACCAGAGTTGTAACGAGTCACTGATTTTTGTGACTCGAGTCGAGTCGAGTCATTTTAAAGAAGGGACTCGAGTCGAGTCGAGTCATTAGGTCAACAAGGTCGAGTCGAGTCGAGTCGAGTCGAGTCACAGAGTGTGGTCGAGTCGAGTCGAGTCGAGTCAAGTATTTAGCTCGAGTCAATTCGAGTCACAAATATTTGAACACTAAATTACAATAAAAAGCAACAAACACAAGAGAGAAAGAATACAAGGCACCAGTCTATTACGGAAATCCAAAGACATAAAGTATGCTGTATGGTACCCAACCAACAGTTTCCATTGCTAGCTCACGTCACAGAAAAGAAGATGTGAAACTTCGGTCTTATAACTGGTTTGGCTTCGGGTCTAGATTTTGTTGTTCGCTGATCGCTGACAACGTTAAAACCTAATTGCATTATACAAAACTGTTTCTGATTATTTAAAGGTGGGCCCGTCCGTATCCATTTTTTTGTGTGAAATCGGGACATGAATTTAGCCAGCGTTCCACCAAGAACTTCAAAATCGCCTGAAACCAATGATGAAACCACAGATTGAGAAATGCGTTTTAAGTCTGGTTCCGGGTTTAGCATTACATGCTATAGAACCACAAGGTGGGAGTCCGCGACACGGTGTATGTTTGTTGTTTCATTATGGAGGAAGGAAACAGACTGCCGCTGTATATAAACGTACATTATTCGCGAACATTAACGTGACGTGAACAAAAACTGGCAACGCGAACGGCGCAGCGTAAGTCATTGCAAATATTTTTCGCAAGTAAGTTTTGCTTTTATTTTGGGACTCGAGTCTTATTAGCCTTCCTCGAGTCGAGTCGAGTCATTCTGATGAGGGACTCATGTTGAGTCGAGTCATTTGCTCGCAGTGACTCGAGTCGAGTCGAGTCATTTACCCGTCGGGACTCGAGTCGAGTCGCCAAAAAATGTGACTCGAGTCGGACTCGAGTCGAGTCATTGACTCGAGTCATTACAACTCTGGGGAGTACCCTATTCATCCTTAGTACATCCGTGGTTATCCGTCATCTACCTCGAGTATTTGTGGAGGGGCTACGAAACTTTTAAAATGTTCAAACCTTCCGTGGTGAAGCGTCATGAAAATCGATCCGTAAGGCAACCATGGGACATCCGTAGGACAACCCTACTGATTTGCAGTGTTATTCGTGGCTATTCGTACATATTCTTGGAGATTCGTAGCTCATTCTTGGTAGAAATCACGATGAATTTGCTATGAATGTCCTACGAATATGCCCGCCTGTGGAAGGGTTAATTCTGCTAAGGTGGTACCACGAATATCTTCATTTGTAGGAGAACCCTGGTCATCTGTGACCCAATTGCAGACAACCGTGGAGCAACTGTAATTTTTCTTAGTAGTACTGTCTCAATTCTTCACCAATCCGTCCACGTTCTTGACAAACCATGGTCATGGCTGTCCGTCCTGAAACCGTAGTGCATTCTCAGAAATCTTGACAGTTCATCGGGATGGATTGATATACCGAATACTGAATTAGAATTGTAAACTTGACCTTTTACCAAAGCATGGCCATGATTACGGAGCCTACTAGTATTGTAACTATGGGTGCAATCCCTGGCTTTACAGAGTGAGTAAAAAAAAATAAAACCCAAATGAAGGGACTATTGTTTTATTGAAGTTCTGCATGTGTAGCCCTTTCAAAATCTAGTATATGAAAGCCCAATTCATGAGCTTTTTTTTAGTACAAGAATCATTCAAGTCACTTTACTTTGCAAGTTACGGAATTTTAAACGCAACCACTCTTTTAAGGTTCTGTCCACGGATCACCAAAAAGGTGTGCGCTCTTTCAGCAAAACAAAAACAATTCACAAACATCCCTATGTGATTTGTTTTCGTTTTGCTGAAAGAACACTGAACTTTTTTGCGATCAGTGGACAGAACCTTAAAACAATGGTTGTGTTTAAAATTCTGTAATTTGAAAAGTACATAAGTGATTTGAATGATTCTTGTAATAAAAGAAAGCTTATGAATTGGACTTTCATATCCTAGATTTTGGAAACGCTACATGCAGAACTTCCCTAAAACAACGGTCCCAATATTTGGGTTTCGGTTTTTTTCACTCACCCTGTATACTGCTTTAATAACCTTTGACATGTGCACCGTGAACAAAGACATTGACAAATTGGGAAACCGCCAACACAGGGCTAGATATCTCAGTTGGTAGAGCACTAGTACGACATTCTGGCTGTCGCTGGTTCATATCCCACTCCAGTAATTGTTTTTCTTCAACCTAATATTGATTTTTTATTGAAATGTGTAAGATTTTTAAAACAATGATGAATTCTTTGGTTGCTTTGCCATATAGAAGTTGGGTTTTCAATCTAGCTCCTGCATTTATCAATGAAGTATTTCGTTGATAACCACTTACAACAATCCCAGTCTTGGTCACAAAGGAATCGTCGTGGTACACATCGTTCCCCGCAGTTAAATTCACCTTCAGCACAGGGGAATTCCACTGAAGAGAAAGGAATTATCACTCTTTATCGAAAGACAATAGCAAATGAAAATGCTTATCAATTGTTTCCCCCACCCCTCCCTCTGCCAGGTCGCCCCACCCAAGATGTGGGGATTGTCACTTCTGACGTGATGAAATCAAGTAAACCACAATACCCTCGGGTAAATTTTAAGTGACAATCTCTGACATACATGGGTGGGGTGGACTAAACTAACTGCCTTGCCAGCTTGTGGACCGAATGTAAAAATGTTTCTGAGTGATCAAAATCCCCACCCTGGGGCTTGAAAAATGAGACCAAACCCCGACATAAGACCTGGGGCCATGGGGGGGGGGGGGGGGAGAAGATGACAACAATAGTTCGGTGCATTTAATAGCAAATTGATGCTGAAAGCCAACATCACATGAACATATGTGATGCAATCAAGCTAAATGAGTCGTTTGTCGACCCTGGTCAAAAAATGTTTTATTACAGATTTGAAAAGAGCACAATCTCAGCATTACTCATGTGAAAACCGCATGCTGATACCATCTTTAGTTCACAAATTATGGAAGTCTGAACACCAAAAGATGTGATGAAGTGATGTGATGAAGTGGTCCTATTTTGGCCTGTATCTCCAAATGAAAATTCCCGTCAAACGACTCATGTTAAGCTTGATCGCATCACATATTTAATTAACAATGTTCACTGCATGACGTTTTGGCTGTAGGCTGTTTCTGCTCAGCAAAGTTTACTGGTAAGTGGTATGTATTGAGGTGAGCTAAACTCATTGCTTTAGCTTCTGAAGTCTTTGATGCCAATCTCATTCTAAACCTACCAGACACAGCCAGAGTAGCCTCAGTCAGTGTGACGTTCTTCTGATAACCAGTCACTGTGCAGAGATATATACCAGCGTTCTGTTGATCAGTGAAACCAGTGATTACCAGCTGACTGCTGCTAACTCCAAGTTGAGCAGCTCTTACGTTGCCTTCACTATCACCTGTAATAATTTAATATAAATATCAGGACACACATCATTTTAAAATGCTCTCTCAGAATTTTTGAATTCACTATTAAACTGACACTGACATAGCTGCATGTATACAGGGTTTGACGTTAGCAGTAGCCCGCTAGCCAAATGCTAGTCAAAACAGCGGTGGGCTAGTCAAACTATTCGTTAAGTAGCCCGGCTGGTGAGTCAAGAATTATTGGGCTACATCAAAGATGAAAGGACAGGAAGAAATAAATCATTAAAATGATTAAATTCTGAAAGCAAAAACCTGTATCAATTTGTGTCTAAATTTATAAACTGTTTAAAGTTAAATTATTATATCTGTTTATTAACAACACTGACAAGATTGCCTCAGGATACACGTTTTATGCACATTGTTGTTCATGAGACACTCTATGTAAGCAAAACATGCGGGCTAGTGAAAATGCCCGCAGGCTAGTTAAGAGTTTGTTCCTGTAGCCCGGCTGGCTAGTGAAAAAAGTAAAAGTTGAACCCTGGTACAGGGTATTATTGCTACCAGTTTTGCCTGACTTGCTTTGTACAGCTTAGCACTAACATGAATTTGGTTACGGTGCCTTGGGCAGAGTAGGGCCTTCAGAACACTGGTGCCTAGGGCCTACGGAACACTTCATCTTGCCCTGTCGTGCGTGCTCTTAATACAGGAACCGATACTTGCACGCAGAGGGTGTGGAGATGCAGGGTACATGAGGGTCAAAAATGTAGTTTTGCCAACAAAGTTAAAGTTGCGTTTCCTGTGCTTCGAGTTTCAATGGTTGTAGGGGAGACGGGTGAATAGGTCAGTGGTGGTCGGGAGAAGGTAGGGGGAGTGGGGAAGGGTGGGGGAGGGAACGGAGGGAGGGGTGTATGATTCCAGAGTACTTACTGACGGAAAGCTTGGTGCCTGATGGTAACGTCCACACAGGTGTTTCTGCTTCACCCACATACATCAAAACATCTTCAGTCGAGCAAATCATGTAGACGTCAGTGCCACTTACGGTTTCTACGACATTTAGATCCCTCATCTTCAAATCGATGTCTTCTAAACTCGTGACAGAAAATCAAATAAAAAGAGCACACAATGAGAAATCAAGATAGTTTCATTCCAATCGCATGACATGAAAATAAAAGAAAAAGATACACAAATGAACAAACAAAATATCAAACACCTTGTATGGGAGGAAATAAACATATAATTTAAATAACGTAAGTTTGAACTAACATTTTAACCCTAATTCCCTAGACCTTTTTGCTATGATGTAGCCACAATCCTGCAAAATCCTTTAATTGGCCTCATGGAAAAATAGCGTATAGCCTCAATCCTGCAAATTCCTTTATTATTTCTTGAATATGGTCCACGGAGGGGTGACCACTGCCTGAATCCTGCAAAATCCTTTTGGCACTGACTGTCAATATGTTGAGGCTTGGCCAGTGACATCCTGGAGCAGTACTAAGGATTTCAAGCATAATCCAGGCCTATATTTACACATGGCTGAGCAAAAACAACACAAGGTCCAGCCCAAGACCTTGACAAAGTGCATCCTACGAAATCAGTTACGCACTTTTGCAATCTAACCTCAATCCTTCAAATCCTCTACTTTGGCAAAGAGGATATTGAAGGATTCAGGGTGGACAGTTAATCTAGAGCACCGGAATGGTAATCCGGAGGTGGCAGGTTCAAGCCCCGCTCCAGGCAATTTCTTTGTTCAACTGTTCAATATTTTGTTTCTCTGATACATTTTCCATATCTCAATTAATCCACTTCATTGACCAAAAACAATGTTACAGCAAAGATGCAAATTTTACATGCCAGGAGTTAGTGTGTACAACTTTTACAAGACCTTACACTCTACAACGTCAATATTTTTGCCCGCCATTACAGTTGACAAAGTGTCTTAATTTTATGGCAAACTTACCCTTACTGCATGCCAAGATGACATCGTTATAATGGCTCGTGCACGAGAAATCATCAACGTACCAGTCCGACTTGGGGCAGTCGAACAGTGATTCCTCTGTGCCTTCGCAGTCAACATTTTTAAACATGACCGATATGAACCGGTCAAAGCTGAAGTCAAACGAAAGCCTGCAAATAAGGAGAGAATTTCAATCGTGGACTACATCGGTCAATCGTGGACACTTTGTTTGTGCCCTAACCCTTTTGTCCCTAGTCCACAATTGCCAGTGTTTACATACACACAGAAGGAATACGTGAGAGCAATATCCCCCTCCCGCTTACAGCCAGGGGGAAAAAAAAAGGGGGGGGGGAGAGATACGTTGGCAGGTGAGGTGGAGGGAACAATATCTGACTATTAGCGGCGCTGTTCAACAATCTTGGACACTTTCGACTAATAGGTGGCTTTTTTCCACACTGCATGTTTGCCAAGGTATGCCAACAGCTGGCAATGATTTTGCCAACCAAAAAAAAAAACAATTGCCCCCTCCCCATACTAGCAACATCTGTGGGATTGGGACGACCCATGCTTTGTATTTTGATTTGGTGGTTCATTTACCGACTGAGGCTCTGAATGCCATCAAAGAGATTATTTTAGCCCCCTCCAAAATACACTCCCCCACCCCCCCACATACACCCCACGTGAGTTACTATTTTTTTGACTTGAGACTTAACTTGACTTAAATGACTTGATAAATAACACTGCTCATAACAGTGGTATATGGAAGAAACTGGCAACTCAATGTACTTAATCATATTAATTTATAGTTTCAAATACTCTTTTTTTAACAGACAAAATGATTTACTATAAATGACATACTCGAAGGAGCTCATGTATTTGACTCCGTTATATCCCAGCTGACGACAGACGACCTCGGAATCCTTGACGTCCCATCCCTCCTCACATACAGTGCCCCACTCATTATTATAGAACACTTCAAGGACGCCCTTGCTTGATGTTCCATTGCTGAGGCGGATAGCGGTCTCTCCTGAAAGTGAGTCATGGTGGAGAAATATAGCTCAAAGTGTTGAAAAAAATTTCAGTCAAGAAATGTTTATAGTTGAGACAAGTGGTGAGATTTAAATTCCCCCCCCCCTCCCCACAGTCGTGTGGGACGAGTCTACGAGAGAATACTTACCCAAATAGCAACTACATTTGCATATTTCTCTCTGCCGGCAGGCCAATTCGCTAAGCGTTTAATCGCACAATAATGCGCCTCTTGGCGCCCACCCATGGTGCCATGCGGAGTCGCCGCCATATTGAATCTGCCTCTTTTCTCGTGCAAGTCAAGAAGGTAACTAGCCGAGCTGAGAGTGTGGGAGGTGGGTGGGATGCTATTTGGGTAAGTATTCTCTCGTAGACTCATCCCACATGACTGAAGGGGGGGGGGGGAGTCTACGAGAGAATACTTACCTAATTAGCAACTACATTTGCATAGAATAGCAGCTATATCTGGAGGAGGGTGCGAGGCGCATTTGCGTGAATGTGTTCTCTCGTAGACTCATGAACTTTCTTTCTAAGAGAATACAGACTCACCACAAGGGAGGTACCCCTGATGTTCTAGGAGGTTTCCTCTCTTGTCATGCTCCCTTTTAATGAGGCCATGGCCGCTGACAGGACTGTCCGGCCTGGTACGCCCTCAGTTTGGAGCACATCTTTGAGGTAGCAAGATGTGAACGTTGGAGAGGATTTCCAACATGCTGCTTTTATGATTTCTTCTAGGGAAACTCCCCTGAAGAAAGCCCATGATGTTGACAGTGCTCGCACTTTATGAGCATGTTGCTTCTGTTTATATGAACCCTCATCTGTCAAAGGCCAATGTGGGTTCGCTAATTTAATCACTGACACTATCCATCTAGCAACGGTGTCACGTGAAGCCACACAGTGCGGATGTGTTGTTGTTATAAACAGTTGTGAGGTCCTCTCACGTAGGGCCTTGGTCTGGCTGATGTACCATTTACGAGTCTGCACTGGGCACCAGACTTTGTCAGCAGGGATAGTTGATACTGTACGTATTTCTGGTACAAAAATATCTGGAGGCGTAAAACCCATAGATTGGTTTTTAGTCAGGATTGCCGTTGTGGGAATGCATATGTCGGACGCCTCCTGGTTCCCAACGGATGTGTCCAGGTTTAACTGAAAGGGAGTGGAGTTAAGTTCACTCCTTCTGTGAAAAGTGGCAGCCAGGAGAAACACTAGTTTAAGAGTCATGTGGTACAATGAAGCCTGGCCCAGGGGCTCGAAGGGGGGCTTCATTAATGACTGTAAGACTTGGTTGAGGTCCCAAAAAGGTATGAGATTTCTTATTGGGGGACGCTCAACAAACATTCCTTTGAGGAGATGGGTCACCGCTTAGTTGTTTCAGATTACGGAACCATCTTCAAATCCGTTGTGGATAACGAAAAGAGCAGACCGGTAGTTCTTGACAGTCGCTACGGTCAGACCCCGATTATAAAGGTACAGTAAAAAATCCCCGACCAACGTCAGAGGAGCTGAGGTTGGATCAACCGATTGCCTCCAACACCATTTTTAGTAATGCCGAAGTCTCGAGTCGTAAATTTTTCTTCTAGAGGCTCGGCTGCTGTGCGCTGCAAGAGTGGCAGTGTCTTGAGAAAGGCCTGCTGCTCTGAACGACTGTTGCACAGAGGCCAACAAAATAAATGGAGGTCCCCGGGGGCTGGATGAAGATAAAGGGACTGTGGTTGGAATATTATGTCCGGTCTCTGAGGTAGTATCCACGGAGTGCGAACTAGCAGTCTGATCAGCCTCGGAAACAAGGGCTGGCGTGGCCAGAATGGGGCTATTAACAACATTCTGCACGTCTCGTTTTCCAACTTGTTTAGGACCTTTGGAAGCAGGGATATTGGTGGAAAAACGTACGCGATCATCCCGTTCCATTTTATTGTTAGTGAGTCCACTGCCCATGCTTTTGAATCTGGGCGTTGTGAGCAAAATACTGGGAGTTGAGCATTGATGGCTGTTGTTAAGAGGTCGATGTGGGGTCTGTCGATATTGGTGAAGAGGAGACGGACAATCTCTCTGTTGAGTGTCCATTCTGTTGGAATTATCAAACCCCTGGACAGGGCGTCCGGGATCTCGTTCTGATCTTCCGAGATGTGGGAAGCGGAAAGTTGCACTTCTTCCCGGATGCACCAATGGAGGATGTCCCAAGTCAGATAACACAGTTGGGGCGATCGGGTGCCCCCCTAACGATTGATATACGACACTACAGTCGTGTTGTCTGTTTGAATTAGTACTGTGTGTCCCTGTATTGTCGGCTGGAAATGTTGTAGGCCGTAGAACACCGCTTGCAGTTCCAGAATGTTTATGTGTCAATTTTGGAAATCTGGTCCCCAGGTTCCGCCTATCTGGCATGGGGAGAGAGTTGCTCCCCATCCTAGATTTGATGCATTGGTTGTGATGGTTAAGGAGGCCTGAGGACAGGGAAAGGCGAGGCCTGTCCGTAAGTTCTGAGTGATTGACCACCAACAGAGGTGAGGAAGGAGACCTATGGTGATCGGAACTTGAAGATGGATTGGATCCCATTTTGGTCTGTAATGGGCCAGTAGGTGGAGCTGGAGGGGGCGCATGTGGAGCCTGCAATAAGGTACAAGATCTATCATGCTTGCTATCAGTCCCAACAGCACGAGCCATGCTCTTGCTGGGGCCACATTCTTTGAAAGGAACATGAGAACACAACCTTGAAGATTCAGGATACGTTCTTCGGTTGGAGTTGCTGTGCCCTGGTACAAGTCTATGTCTGCACCCAAAAAGACTGGATGCTGTGTTGGAGTTGGGTGAGACTTTGTTTTGTTGATAATAAAGCCAAGTTTGGATGTCAGAGCCCATGCTGACTGGATCGCTTGAAGGGTTTCTACTTCTGTGCGCCCTATGACTATCCAGTCGTCCAGATACATGAAGATTAGGATGTTTTGTTTTCGTAAACTTGCTGCTACTACTCGTGATATCCTTGTAAAAACCCGTGGGGCTGTGGATAGACCAAATGGGAGAGCGATGAACTCGTAGGTGTCCCTTTTGTATCTGAATTGTAGGTATTTGGAATGATGCCTGTAGATTGGGACGTGTAGGTAGGCATCTTTGAGGTCTAGTGATGCTGCCCAGGATGGAACTGGAATTGAATCTGGAACGACTCTTAGAGTTTCCATCCGGAACCGACGTGATCGGATGAATTTGTTGAGAGGTTTGAGAATTATGATGGGCGCCACTTACTGGTCCCTTTCTTTGGGGTTAGGAAATATGTTGACAAGAAACCACTGTCCCGAGGCCCCGGAGAGACTTGCTGGATTGCGTTTTTCTCCAGCAGAGAAATTATCTCTTCTTCTAGTGAATTTCGTTTTTCTTTGTTCATTGGCACCGAGGTGATGTGAGTGGTTGTTTCTGACAGAGGGGTACTCGTGAATTTGAGCTTGTAACCTTGCGAGATAGTTGCGAGAACCCATCTGTTGGAAGTAATTTCTTGCCAGGACCCTTCGAAAGAACTGAGTCGGCCCCCCATGGGTCCGGGGTTGGGGGCCAACTCGGTAACGTGAATGTCATTTTCGCCAGCCTCCGGTCTGTCAGGGTGCCGACGATTGCCAGCCGCGATTCTGATTTGTTCGGTAGGCTGGGCGATTCTGGTTGTAAGGGGTGTGCTTTAGTGGCCGTTGAACCGGCTGATGCCCCTGTTGCTGCGTTCTGACGAAAAGGTTCAAACGGCTTGAAGGGTTAATACGAGAAGGACGGAATGAGGGAGCTGCCTTTTGTTGCTTCCTGTTGCCCTTTTGTGGTTTGGCTGTGACCTTGCGTAAGTCCAGTTTCTGAGTGGTTTTGATTCGTTTGGACTCTGTCTCTAGGATTTTTTTGGCATTTCCCATCGAAGAGGTCACTAGACAGGAGGGGCAGTGACTCTAGTTTCTTTCTTGCCCCTGCGTATGGAATATAGATGGAATCTATTACGTTCTTACGACGAGCTGTCGTGGTTGCTAGGGAGACTCTTGTGAACTGATCCAAACTCCACAGTAACTGAGCCTCTTCAAGGCAACGAAGGGCAACTGCCATCATGTCAGGGGAAATTTTTGACTTCCTTTCCACTGCAAATGCCAGATATTCCGACAAGAGGAGGAAGGAAGGAATTGATTCTCAAGCCAAATCTGGCCGCTGAGTCAATCTTTTTCATGGTCTCCTTGAGTTTGTTCTGGGTAGGGTCTTTGAAAGACGACTTAGATGGTTGATATTTCCCATCAGCTACCAATTTGTCCTTAGCTGTACCGGGAATTGGCGGTACTACCAGGTAATGCTCATAGTCTGCCTTAGCAAACTGGTAGTACTTCATTTCCCATGGACAAAAGGGTCTCCACATCTTTGCACCCGCGAGTTTCTTCATGCGGTCAATGCACACGATGTCCAATGGTAGATGAGGAAGGAGTGGGTCCTGAGCTGAAGCTTGGGATGAACCAGTTCTACGCTTGAACAATTTACATGTACTTTTAGGCTGACTGGCTTTATCCACTGTTGGTATTTTCAATACTTGGGCCATGTCTCTCTGTAACAGACGGAGTTGCGTCTCGAAGGGAGACATGTCCCCTGGGTCTGCAAAATCATCGGACTCCAAACAAGTTTCGTCCAGTGAGATTCATAGTTTGGGTTTGTGGCACTCCACTCTGAGTTTTCAGCACTGTTCTCGGTCCTGTCAGAGAACTGCGAAGATGGGTGGATTGAAATGGATGCGTGAGGAATTTCACTTGCCTCCTATTAGAATAGGCTTACGAACGTACATATGCCACTAGCAGTGTATGGTCGCTCGGAAGGGATTGTCCCTGTTTCTATCCGCTATTGACCAAAGACCACTGCTGTGAAAGCAGTAAACGCCTCGAGGAGAAGACTGTTTCTTCTCGCCGTGGGTGGTAGTGGTAATGTGGGTCGAGCCCGGGGTGAGTAACTCGTATCTACCTGATGCAGGCTTCGATAAGTATGGCGGTACTACTTGTGGTAGTCCTGAGGCTAAGTCCTTGGGTAATAACCGGCCGCTGGATGACAGATAAACATGCAACGAGTGAGGCCGGTAATATCTGTCTGCGACCCGCTTTCAGTGAGCGAGGCCAGAAATATCTGGGTGTGCTACCCGCAGATGACGGCCTGAACCCGTCTGGCATCGAGGTTCGTCAAAACAATCGCACGCCTGGGTCCAGTCAATGTCAAAATAATCCCAGCGCGAAGTGATTAAAAATTAAGCCATCCATTTTTTGTGACACATGCTGAAGAAAACAACTGGAACATCCCCCATTTGGGGGGAGGGGCATAGTAGCAAATAGGGGGGCCAAGTACTGTAAAAAAAAAAATACAAAATACACATGTATGGCTTTTGCTGTTTAGGAAGCCAAGTGCTCGCCAAGGGGGGCCCGAACCCACCAGGCCCCAGGCCGCCCCCCCCCCCCCCTTTGGCGACGGGCCTGGCAAAGCCCTATATTGGACCAAACTGGATTTGGTTTCAAACTAACAAACTTTTTGTAATTATTTTCCATTAAGTGGTGTCTGGCGTCATTCTAAATGACTGCGACAGTCAACCATTTGCCAACTTGCACTAGAAGTGGCGCAAAATTTATTTAAATCTTATTTTTTTGGGGTCTACTCTAGAATGTCAGTATGAAACTATTTAAATTAACTGAAATTGTTGAAATGAAATGAAATAACGATGATTTACTTGATCCAGTGTCACAGATGACTCCAACGTCTGAATAGTGATTGCATCCAGCCTTGATATCCCAGGGATCAATGGCACAGTCAGCCAGGGTCGCTTCTTGACCTGTGCACTTTGACCCTGAGGCGTACCCAACGCCATCCCCAGAGCCAAACATCTGTCCAAGTGAAGCGATGAACAGCGCTGGACCGAAGCCCAGTTGTCTACAGACGACATCAGCGTTGTCTTCGTCCCATACCAGCGGGGCGCAGAGGTAACCCCACTGGCCGTCCTTGTAGTACTGAACAAGACCAGAATGCGGGACACCATAACCGCTAACAAGACGAACAGCTCCCTCTTCTGCTGACCCCTGTTCTGTTGATCCCCCTTCTGTTGATAAGAACACAATAGGGCTGTCCATTTTCGAATAAGTAAGTATTCCATTATTTTGGAACTGCGTTTCGCCGAATATTTGATCATTTGAAACTCTCCAATCCAGTTTTACACACGCCAGCTGCAACTGTGTGCCATGCCCGTCCATAGTTGCATGCAAAAGCGCGTCTGTTAAAGGTACATGTGTAGTCCATCATTTGCAATTTGTGCATTTTGTTCGTTTGAAGCAACAAAAGTGCTCAAAATCTAAAGAAGGGTGCTGAACAGCTAACCTGATGAAGTTTCAGCCCAGCTTCAGCTGTTTAGTTTGAGAGAAACAACATTCTAGGATCTCGATTTCAAATCAAAAGTTGCTGAATCATGTTCCGAAATGGGCCTGAATTCAGCGTCCAAGGTACGCTCTCACTGAGCTGATTGCAGCTATGCGATGTCGCGCACTGATCCGACGAATGATAGCAAGGCGTGTGCGTCATGCCAATGCTTGCACGCGCTTCGCCGAATACAAAAAATGAACTACTAATGGACATTTTCAACGACGCACCATTGGAAAGGCCTTCTTTCGTGGATTTCTTCAAAATGATAGCATGCCAGAAAAAATAATTTCACAGGGAGTTTAGTTCCCTTACTATGTTTTTCAACAACAATTATGTCAGTTACTTTTTGGAAAGCTGCAAATGATGGACTTTAGCTTGAAAATTTGCATGCAGCAATCGATATCATGGACAGCTGGAATGTTTAACACTTAGTATTTTATAAGATTCAAGGGCTTTAACCTGCTTAACGGATGGGAACAATGAATTACTGTCTACATTGTACATCTGCATGGGCGTCGCCAGGATTTTCTAGAGGGGGCCAAAATTTCTGTATTTCCAAACATATTCTCGATTTATCAGTTTTAGAGGGGGGCAGGGACATTTTGCCCCCCCCCCCCAACCCATTAAATTGACAGCAATATGACTTCGCGCCTCTTTTTCTTTTCTGTTTTTCTCTTTTTTCTTCTTCTTTTTTGTGTTTTGCTTTTCTGGGGGGGGGGGGGGGGGGCAAGCGCCACCTTGCCCCCCTTCCCCCTCACGAGGCCCATGGGCATCTGACAATATATCCGCCCGACCCCCTCCACTTGTTCTGACCTGGACATTTGTCATGAGCTGAGCTTCCCTGACTTTTTAGCCTGGAATCTGGCACAGCTTTTGAAAACCAAAAACATAAAGTTCTGACTATGGGTTACCGCACAGTGAACACCATGTAGTGTACACAAAGCCGAAATACCATTGGTGCATATAAATAATTAAGCTATAGTCATGAAATTTCTTAGGTATGTTCATAAATGTTGTTCCATGCAAGCACTGAGTTTCATAATTTTTTTTTGTCAATCAATGGCCAAGATTATCCCCCTCCCCATCCGGCTGTGAGATGGTCAACATAACCCGGCTCCTTAAAGCCAGCCTCAGGTCGACCCATGATTTGCCTGCGCCAAGGCGAAACCGTTTTTTCTACTCTTGCGACTGGTAATTTTTTTTTAGCACCAACTCATGCTAATTGTTTTAATATCATCGCAGTTACACTTGAGTTGTTTCCGACGGTCGTAGCTCAGGCACAGCTTGATTCTGAAAAGTCAGTTGCCGACTGATCTGTTTCGTCGCAAGGTCGACCTGAGGCTTGCTTTAAGGCTTTAAGCCGGCCTCGGGTCGACCTTGCGATGACACAGATCAGTCAAAATTAGTCGGTGTTCAAAAAAATCAACAGTCGCAAGAGTAGAAAAATTTCAACTTCTACGATAACGTCGCGATCATGTGCGCATAAAGATGATCCTTTTCAATTGTTTAGCCAATCAGCACACTACACTGGCGCTCTGCGCCTTCTGTGCAACATCACGCAGTACGCACCACGCGCGCGTCAATCATCATATAAGAAGATTGTTTACTACTACTTGCGAGAGGATATTCCATATCATAGCTAGAGGGGTGTTTAAAAAACAATGAAGTAAAACTGTTCAACAAAATCGTTGGAAATGTATAATTTTTGACTTGTGTCGACTTTTTGACTCAAAGGTATTTGTGAATGGGAATACAAGTACATTTAAGACCATATCAGGGGAATGCGCACTGATAATGGTTCGAGCTGAACCAGCCACATAATTATTCCCCTATTGTTAAAGAAGTCATATGACTGTTGAATCGTGGTGGATTGTCGCGTCGTGGGTGACATATGCATGGTTGCAATTATTTTGCCTCGTGATGCCGCTTGTTCAAAAGAATCACACGATTTCTCAGTTTTGTGACCTGAGCATTACTTTTCTGCTTGATGCCGATAGTTCCGTCGTGGCGCAAGCAAATCGCGAGGCCGGCTTAAGGGTTAACAGAACATCACAGTCGCACATAGTTTTTTTGTTCTCTCGAATATTCAAACCGGCTAAAACCTATTCGAACATTTGGGTGCCGGTCAAATATTTGCATATTCCATACGTGTAAATTGGAATATATATCCCATATTGCACCACTGCTTCCAGGGATGTAGTCGAGTCCATCACAAGTTCATCACATGACAAATCGAGTCACAAGTAAACCACAGGACCATTCACAAGTCCACCACAAAGGAATGCCTTTGTCAAAGCTCATAGCTTGTGAGTTGAATTGGGACTGGAGGACTTGTGATGGACTTGCAGGGACTTGTGATAGACCCGACGACATCCTTGATTGCTATCAAAAACAAAGACCAATACGATATAAAGACATCAACACAATGGGTGGCTTACCACTTGATGGCTTGGTCAGTGCGCTTGCCATAGCAGCCTCTCCTTCACCCACGAAATTGTACGCTCGCAATTTAATCACGTAATTGGTGATGGGAGTTAAACCAGTGATAGTGAACTCAGACTCTGTGGCTGCCAAATCAAACATCTTCATTATTGATACGCCATCTTCATATTCCAACCTGTACCCTTGGATCATGGTGCTAGGGTCTTCAGTTTCCCAAGACACAAAGATTGAATCGAAAGAAGCAACCACCTCGCGTAGGATCACTTTGCTTGGCAGGCCCATGCTGTCTACAAGGTTACCTTCAAAAATACAGAAAGAAAGGCAGAGTCAAACTTACTGGATGACATCAGGAAAATACACATTAATTTGCATTGATGGAATGACCAATTGACTCCCTCTCTTTACCGCTGTAAAATATTGATCATAAAATGACAGGGCATGGACTTTGCAGGGTGTTTACGGCAGCTATATGGTTTAAAGGAAACATGCAATAGGACTGTTATGACTTAAATACATTTAAAACAGCTTTCTTGCAATGTTACTATGACTTTCCACCTCCTTTATAGCAGTAAAAGGGAGAAATTTCAACATTTTAGTTGTTATGCTAACAATTTTTTTTGTATTTATGAGCCAAAGCGTGATGTCATTCAAGGCAGAGCAGTAGTTTCTCTATAGCTCTGTGTACAAATATATATCAAACATTTCTTCTTTTTTATCATGTTGAACAGCTTTTGTGGGTTATTTTGAAGGCCTATTTTTGTACTGTTCATATGCACTTTTGACAAGGAGTACCTTGTGTGACAAAAAACAAAATAGCGCCCTCTTACATTGATGAAAGGATTTGCAAATAATTGAAAAGTTTCTTTGTAACTTTCTTGTAACTATCTTGTCATGAAATAAAGATGAACTGAATTTCCACTGCATGTTTCCTTAAGTGGCTGCAAACAGCATCCTCTTTAGCTATGCTTGGAGTCCACAATCACTGGTTTACTTTGTAGATCTACATGTATCAGACAATGGTACCGATATCTGAGGCCACTCATAAAAGTGACCAAAAAACACCACAGGTGGTATGCATGCAATTTATACTGAGCACTCCTTCAACCAGCATAATTTTAATATTGCTATGTCCAATTATGAAACAGACAGCAAATATAGTACCATTAATATGAACAGAAAAACTCTGAGGATGTTCCAGGTGAAAAATGTTTGTAAAGCTGCATTGCTGCCAGAATATCCCAAAGTTGCAAAATGGAGGATTTTGCAGGATTTGAGAAAATATGGCCAAAATGTGTGGATGATTTTGGAGGATGCACTGTGTCAAGGTCTTGGGCAGGACCTTGTGGTGTCTATGCCCAGCCGTGCACTGGCAAATTTAGGCCTAGAACTTGAAATCCTCCGCACTGCTCCAGGATGTCACTGCAATTCTGCCTCAACATATTGACAAAGATTGCTGGAGGATTTTGCAGGATTGAGGCAGTGGTCACCTCCAAGGACCACATTCAAGAAATGACATCTTAGGATTTTGCAGAATTGAGGTTGCATCCTAGCAACAAATCCTAGGGAGTTAATAGGGTTTATGAGATTTGAAGGTTTGCATGGTGGAAAGGTACTAAGACAAGATAAGTTTGCAGTAGCACCATGTGAATAAATCTCTTAGTCTTATTTATTCACATGGTGCTACCGCAAACTTATCTTGTCTTAATAGGGTTTATGTTTTAATACAGGTGTATAGAGCGACTTACCGGCAATGCAATGCGGAACATTGCTCCTGGTAGGAAACACGTCACAGTCCAACTCGTCTGGCCACTCCAATCCTAAATCCTCCATGCTGACCTGACAATTTGCTTTGGTCGCAAGACACAGCTCCATGCAAGGTGGAACTGCATCTCCATTCTCATTGCATGCGGGTAAGAAAGCAGCACAAACGAAAGGCTTCATGTACTCTCGGCACGCCTTGTGCTTACGGCCCTTGAGTAGAGAGACAAGCTGCCTCCTTCCTTGAAGCGCTTTCTTTTGGTTTCGGTAGGTAGTGAAGCCGGCGTCTGGTCCCGGGCCATTGGGTAAGGTGATTGGTACGCTGGTGTATTGGTGGATGACACCTGAGCCTGTGCAGGTGTTTATAGTGATTGGCTCACACGAACCTGAAATCAAAACAGTAAGGGTTTTGCAAAATTTAACAGTGGTAACATGAGGCTCAACCCCGGGGTATCACATAAAACCCAATCAAAACTTGAGGAAAACCTCAGCTAAGTTAGACAAACTTTGCTTTAGAGATAAGGCCAAGTGTGTGTTTTTTAAATACTCGTCCGGGCTATTTGAAAACCTGGAGAAGGCAGCCCCCCTTTTTTTCTTCCAAGTAATATGGCAAATTTTACCAACTGGAGCCTTTTCTCAACTCTTTTGCTGATTATCAATACAAAATTGTGTCCAAAGGAGCAGTCACCCTTTCTTCAATTTACTACAATTTTGTTAGAAACAAAATGTGCAAACTATTGCATATTACTTAATTTTTATGAATTAAAAAAAATCGGGTTGATGTTTTTATCTTTTTTAAAATTGTGATTTTAATGAATATTTAATAAACTAAATATTCCTGACAAATTAAATATTCATGAGATGTATTGCACTATCCTTGGGTACAGGTGGTGACGTGCATCGATGTCACGTCACGCGCACTGCATACATCAATAACCAATGCCACAAATGGCCGCCGAGACTGTCTGCTGCCGAGCTGATGTGTGCATCCAAAGTGTGCTCTAAAAACACATTTTTCTGAAAAATGTCTTCACATTTCCAGAGCTTTCTGGACTCGTTTTAGGTGAAATCACAAGGTGATGTGAACATTGATGTGTTTAACTGGCAGATAACTGATGTACTTGTGCAGAATTCATTCCTTGCTTTTTTTGGTAACCTTTCCAATGATACCACCAACTTAGAAAGAATGTTGCATCCTGACGCCACTTTTTTCATCATAGTCAATCATGTCAATAAGGGTCAGTCATTGCAAATATGTTGAAAACACATGAATCTGGGACTGAGAAACATTTCCAATTTGTTAGAAAATACTTTTGGCGATCGTGTAGTGTAGCGCCCGGTTCCTAACTTAAGGGAACAAAATCTTCTTTAAAATCATTAGACCGTGTAGACAGACCAAACTAATTGGTGCTCAATAAACAGGTATGTCATAGATAGAGGGCAGGGTTTTAAATTTTTAAGGGAAATTTGGGGGTTAATTGACGATGACAGCGCGGCGACACAACACGCAACCCGAAAATAAAAGATGGCGATCACTGCGCGATGTACCGTGATGAGCACGCACGGCGCGCTGAATCGCAAGGTACAAACCTCGCAGGAAAATCGTGATTTCAACCTCAAGAGACTGTTCAAAATTGCAAAATGGGTGTCATTAGAATTGAGAAAAGTCTGCTTTTGATTATAAAGGTGATGTTTTAGCAACACAAAACATTTTTGACTCTAATTTGATCAAAACTAAACAGGCGCCCTACGCTACACGATCGCCATACTTAATACTTTGTACACAATCAAAGAAGTTGCGTCTGGATCATTACTATTTACTAAAAACAAGGCCAGGGACTCACTTATTCAGCAGTTCAGAAGTTCATAGCGAATTTTTGTAAATTTGGGAATATTCCACAAGCATGTGATGTACTGCTTTACTCAACTCCCCGCTATGAATAGGCTGAAAAAAAAATCCAGTTATGAGTATTTAGGGACTGTAATCTTGTTCCCTTCAACGAACGTTTGTGTCATCAGCAGACAGCAGCTGATATCCACGTGCAATTGTTGTTGATGTATAGCGCCACCAATAGTTGATTCATCACGCCCTCTACGACAAAATATTAACTTTATTAAATGCCATTCGGTTCGTTGAACATTATTACTGAGCGGCGGAGTTGCGAAGACCTATGATATGAAGCCCGGGAAGGGACAGGGTGCAAGTTTTTTTTGGAGTTTGCTAATTCGTTCAAACTAAAAAAAAATTCCACCCTGTCCCTTCCCGGGCTTCATAATAAAGACCCGTAGCGACTGGAGCAAAGATTAAGTCAGCACGCACGAGTGGCAAAGCCACTCGCATGTGTGGTCTCCATCTCCAGTCGCTTCGTGTCTAATGCGGGGAAGTTAAGCCACGATGGCCTTGGTGAAAGGCTAATGAAGGCACGAAGCTTGCTCATAAAAATTATCTGGCCACAGACGGTGCCCGTGCTAAATCGAATTCGAACCAACCAGTCGACACATCGGCGAGCTCCGTCGGTGGTCGAAGATGTCTGCACCAGTAAGGGTTTTACCGGAGTGTCTGTTAATTCTTTTCTCGCAAGTCTTCTACAACATGTGACTTTGTAAAACCATGGGAAAATAGAACAAACTGCTGTCGGATCTAGATGTGGGCATGTGGTTTTTGAAGGAAAAAAAAGGTCGTTCGAAATTAAGCATCGTCGATGTATCAATATTACTCGATTATTCGATATTATTTTGATATCGATATCGCCGGTAGCAATTATTTAATCATATCGAAATATCGAAATTTTCAATATTGAGGAATCATATCGAAAATATCAGATTCTCGTCAATAAATCTCCCGTTTGTGCTTTTACTTTGTGTTTAACGCTTGCTGTATAATGAAATAAAACTCGGTGGCAGCTTGTGTTTGTGACTCAAAATAAAAACATCGCGAAATGTCCAGTGCAAAGCGGCGTCGCTTTGTGCTCTGCATGCTACGCTGGAATTCGCGGTCTTTTCTAAAGCCTGTAACGTGCAGTTTCGTCTTAGCTTTTTAGTGGCAACTTAATTTCTCGGTTATAAGCAGTTTGGAACATGTTAATTGATATTTTACAATGTGCACATCACATCGCTTGCACAAATTAGAAATAAATGGGACTGTTTCCCCAATGTAAGGGTACCATTAAACGTAACGTAACGAACGAATTCTTTTCAAGACTGCGCGATGCCTTTTCGATTTGGATTCCGGAAGCCCAGTTTCACGCCCCCAAAAACATGTATTCTGGGTAAAGAAAATTTAAAAATGGAGAAAAAAAATAGTGTGTCACTTATTTACTTGAAACTGAATGACTTGTGATTTACTTGTGATTGATTTGTGTTGTAAAGGGAGGAAGAGAGGTACGTTAATTTAATATAAATCCTTATACCGCCACGTCGAAATCTCATCATGCTCATTTTTGAACGGATCGATTCTACCAAAACCCCTTTAAGCACCGTGTCGAGCGTAAAATAATGACTTTATATTATTCATGCCGACTGCCTATTTATATGTTGTATCAAACTTTAAAGCATTTGAACTTAAAACATATAGAAGTTATGGCAAAAATACTATTTTTGACCAAAAATGGGCAAAATAAAATAATGAGGAAAAAAATGTCGTCATAACTTTAATGTGCAATTTGGGACAATGTAAACAGCCAGATTCAGATTCAGCACCATCGAATGAGTAACGTTGACCTTATTGCAAGCTGACACCAAATAGTTAAAGGGAAAATACAACACTTGCAAACATCAAAAAATAAAACTACCAAATCATTTTGAAATACCTTGCTGGACTGTTAGTGAATGACAGTGTAAAGCATCCTGTAAAATCATGGCACCTGGTATACTGTCATTTTCAAGAAAAGTGCTATTTTTGTATCAATTTCCAACGCTGATCGGCCGATCAGCGTTGGAAAAAAACTGGCTTTGTTTTCAAATACTGGCCCCAATTGACCATCGCACTTGTTTGCAATCGATTACACACCTATGAACGGGTACAAGCCAGCTAGACTGGTTCCCTGACCTTACAATTCCCCAATGTATGTAAACTGCTCTGTTTCTTCTTATATGGAGTCAGGGAACCAGACTACAGGAAAATGATTGTTTTTCTTGGTTTTTATAGCATTTTTGAACCCAAAACCGCGAAAAAGTCAGTGTAACTATATTTGCTATATATTTCCAACCCCCCAATTCCATCCATTTCTGAAAATTACAGCAAAAGCAAATGATGTATATTCCCTTTAAGACGAACCTCAACTTCTGGACCTCATATAGATTTGGGCCCATGGCCTACAATGTAAAACCTGAGAAGAAACCGCCCGTTCTGGACAAACTCTCAGTGAAATTTGTTTTAAAAAGTTTGAGCAATATGCCTCAGAGAAAGCCGTGGAAAATTGGGGACTTCAGTCATCTTTATGGTCGTTAACTTTTACATGGGATAATCGATATATCGGATATTCTCGATATTGGATTTCCGATATATTGATTATTGATGAAAGTTCTGATATCGACGGAGAAAGCGTCAGATAATCACTGGGGTCGACCCCTTATACTTAGGCCGTCGGTATAGCCGACAGGGCTAGGGCGAGTCTGGTGGGGGCTTGCGTGAGTGAGTCATCCTCTTTAATATTAACTGTCCAGTTTGATCATAGTACCAAAAACGACGTCCAAGTACTCTCTGTCAGTCCAGATTTCTAGCAGTTGCGTAAATAATTGATCAGACACTTTTGATCAGAACTATTGTGCGTCCGATTGGTCCAACGTCCCATTGGTCCGACGGTTCCATTTTGTCTGACGTCCCATTGGTCCGACGCCCCATAGGATTAGGGTTAGGCCCTTAGGGTTAAGTTAGGTTTAGGTTCAGTCAACCTGAACCAGTAGAACTACACAGAATTATGCTTCATAGGACCAATGGGACGTCGGACCAATGGAACGTCGGACCAATGAGACGTCGGACCAATGGGACGTCGGACTATCGAGACGTAAGCCCCTTAGGCCAAAAAAAAGTCTCCCGTTTCTGGTATGCGCGCGCGTCGCCGTAGCCATGCGCGTCGGCAAAATGAAAAAAGCTTTTTTTTTCAATGAAAGATGATGTCTCAAAACCGTCAAACTCACTGGTTTGACTGGAATCCTGCTGCTGCACAATTTTAACGTGTTTTTAGATTGGGTTATGGTCGAGAATAAGCTTTATTTGGCCTCTCTGGACTCCCATATATTTGCACTAAGTTTAGTCGGACACCATTTGCAGTCATCAGCCGACATTTGAAGCAAAAAATCAGGTAAAAAAAAAAAAAAAAGTCGCGTCGCCGCACCACTTTTTGGGCAAGCTCCATACCAGAAACCGGAGACTTTTTTTTTTGGCCTTACCTTACAACGTGCTGTATGTTCTCCGTTTTCCATCATTTTTTAATGCATTTGCATTTTGGGGTTTTCCCACGAGAAATATTCGGGGGAGGGGATCCAAGTGTGCTTGGGGACACCATATCCCCCCCCCCCCTCCCGCAGGATTTACGCACATGGCAATGATTGACAACGTTGAATACAGTTAAACCCTGTACTGTACTGTAACTTTTACGATAATTCGTTGGTTAACGATACATCTATAAATTGTGGTACATCGTGTCACATGTTCACCAGCCTTGCACTGATGACAACAACAGTTCTGGAAGCCTTGAAGTTGAGGTCGCCATCCAGCTGTGTTATCGCTTCCGGAGTTATGTGATCAAGGTTTGCTTGTACTTTGTTTAGGGTACAGGTTATAGCATAACCCGCAGGGATCCCAGGGCTTTACCCTCAAGAACCGGTGTCCTTGCTGTAGGACAGGCGTGGACCCTGGGCTTGGCCTTTGCACTCACCCGAGCTTTAAAGGGAATATACAACATTTGCAAACATCGAAAAATAAAACTACCAAGTTTTTACGAAATACCTTACTAGGATGTTGGTAAATGACAGTCTAAAGCATCCTGTAAAATTGTGGCACCTGGTGTGAAGTCATTTTCAAGAAAATTGTATTTTTGTATACATTTCCAACGGTGGTCGGCCGACCGCCGTTGGAAAAACCTAACTATTTTTCAACTACTGCTCCAACTTTACACTTTTTTTCAGTCCAAATTTTGTTTGCTATTGGTTATGTTCATGAACGGGTGCAGGCCAGCTAGACTGGTTCCCTTACCTTACAATTTTCCGGCATTTATAAATTGATCTATTTTATCTTTAGTTGAGTCAAGGAACCAGACTACTTGAACATTTTTGTTTTTCTTGGTTTTTCCAGCATTTTCGAACACAAAACTTCAAACATGTCAGTGTAACAATATTTGATCTATTATACTAACCCCTCAAATAGTTCATTTCTGAAAATTACAACAAAAGCCAATGATGTACATTCCCTTTAAAGGTGTACTCGTACGGTGCATACTTCTCACCACACACGATATTTTTTTAAGCTCTGGCAGGAGCTTCTCTTCGTGGAAGGTCGGTATAGGTCCATAAAGCTAGGTCGGTCCCCGAAAAATTGACCCCAAAACGACCCGTATGTTTTCCATAAAATATAACCACCACATTTTAATTGCAAATAAAAGAAAGAAAGAAAGCAATATTGCTTAAATACCCAACAAAAAGTGTAAGTTGGTTGTCGAAATGTTGTTAATGGCAAAATAATTATGTGCAGTAATGTTATAGTCACGTGGTATATAGCGCGCTATATAAAAGTAAAAAAAAAAACCAACATGCTAATGGTTTGCGGGAAACTAAGAATGATTATTTTTTGGTCAATATTTTAGCGTGATTTTCGCGTGGGACGACGACCCGGGCTTTGTTCGCACAATCTCCGGTCAATACGCGAGACGTTTATGTAAGCAAGACGGCCAGAGCTTATTGTGCACTCGCACTTGTTTTCTCTAAACGAACACATGTATTCAGTTTGTATGTGTTATTTAAATGTACAAAAGGGGTGTCTTTCATTTGGGCTGCTTTTGTGCAGTTTAGCGGTGATGGTATATCATAATTTGCATAACTTACAGATCCGCCCTACGAATATCTCGGATATCAGGGGGCGAGAAGCATGAAGTCAATTCAACCCTGCGTGAACCTATTATTTGCCGGCCCGCAATGCAAATACGACATTATGTGGGGCCTGTTTTTTTTCGTGCGATGTCTCATTCAAAAGTGAATAACATTTTACAATGCTAGAGCAATTTAAAGATCTTTCGAGATGAAACTCACACGGACAGTAATCTTCACACTTGTTTGCAGGCTCCGTGTATACAGCCCACCGGGGACGTATAAGGACAGGCCTTGCCTCTCGTTGATTGAAACACTTCAGGATATTAAGATTGAAATGACTTTGTTTGGCCTTGGGACCTTTGTATAGAAGGAACGCAGGAAGGAATCGTATACAGCAAGTGCTGCAAAATAAAAGGACCGTAAATCACGCTTCCTGTGGCACTTTGACAAAACTGTTTGATGGCTAAGTTCAAAAATAAAGGCATCGTGCATGCACATCATCACTGCTTAACTATTAGGGCACAAAGTGTGTACATTCACCGTGCAGTGTGGTCCACACAAACCAGGTAGCAGCGTTGTGGACTTGCCCACGTTCACACAAGGTTTTCCCCTCTCTGGAAAACAGGCCCTGTCCGCACTGGACTTTTTTTGGATGCATTTTTGGGATAGGTTTATCCGTCGCAAAATGAATAGAAAGACTCAAGGGAATCATAGAATGTTTGTAACAGGTTTTTCCTAACTACACGAAAGCAAAGGAATGTTCACACTAAACGTTCACGAGCATGACGAGTTTTGAAGTTTTGAAGCGTCGCTATACATTGTAATATACACTGTTGCTTAATTGCTTTTTTACTTCTATGACGGATCTACTAAGTCTGAAACCATTACACTTGTTTTATTTTAATGAATGTTAGCTTAACACAATATCCTTATTTATGTTGAAAAAGATGAGTATTTTTGGAAAGAATGTCGCAACCTGATGCTACTTCAGCGGTTGTTACAAAGTTTATGGAGAGTCAAGACAATTGCCCAAGAATGTCCAAGCAAAATTGGAAATGTTTCTCAGTCCCAGGTTCATGTCTTATCATCATTTTTGCAATGACTAACCTTCACTGAGAGATATACGAAGAAAAAAAAAATCAGCGTCAGGTTGCAACATTCTTTCCAATTCCTTTTCGTTCTGCCTGGACCGTCCGCCGACGTCCGTAGCCCGATACGCGAGCGAGGGCCATTAAACTTTCCACACGTAATTTAAGCTTTGCGTGAAGGAAGGGCAAGGAACCGTGACCATAGAGGACTTGTTCGAGCCGGGTCGATCGATACACCACATAAATTAGATTTGGTCCTATATATGAATAGCATTCACGGATTAGCTTACAAAGCGCCATGGAGGAAGGAACACAAACTCCACTACGGAATACCCAATTAACACGATAAACGGACACATCATGGTGAAAAAGTACGGTAGACTACATCATGGAACTACATCAAGCATGTGAGTTGTAACGTAATGTATAGGCTATGGGGAAAAACCCAAAGGGCTCAAACAAAATATCCATGCACACGATAGCAATTGTTAGTACTTGCAACAAATCTGCATCTTCTGATCATGATGCTGGTCAAACATCATCACGAAATCACGAAAACTCACGAACTATAGATGATTTCGGCTTTCCCACTTTCTTATAGCTCCACGGTCCAACCGACCGTGGAGCTATAAACAGGGGTCCAAATACAGAACCAGGAACATGGTGTTTGTGTCCTTGGGCAAGACACTTCACTACAATTGCCTCTCTCCACCCAGGAGTATGAATGCCGGGTACCTGCATGTGAGGGTAGAGGACCGATTGAGCGCTGATATCAGCTGCCGCGTGGTCTTGTGGCCTGGTGAACCGGGTAATAATATTGTAAAGCGCTTTGATATCGTTGATAAGATGGAAAGTGCTATATAAACTTAATTATTATTATTAAAGAACCAGAAATTCCTCCTTGGTCCAGCCATGGCCATGGTCCAACATGATCAAACTAAAAACACAAACACAAAAGTTCTTAACATCTTTAAGGAATCTGACCTGATTGCCTCTGAGCTACGGCCATCGTGAGGTAGACACCAGCCACAAGCAGAAGAGGTACAAAACTGGAATCCATGGTGGAAAACCCGTGATACACAACCCGCAAAGATTGGGCCAAGTTCCCGAATTACCGGACCAGCAGTTCAGCACGAATGCCCCTCGCAAACTCAACGGCCAGACCTGTGTCAACTTTCTCTTACAAAACAACCGCACTGTCCGCCTCGGTGATTCGCACGAGCCTTGTCACGACAATCAGACCTCACAGGGCTACACAACCTCCAGGAGGTTGGACTGGCGTCGATTTACAAGGGCTACAAAACACAAGTGTTTACATCACCGACACTAATGTTTGTAGTTCCAAAAGCTCGATCCTTTTTATAGCTCCATGGTATAGCCTACGAACATCGATCATCTGCATTCCGTGACTTTTGTGTCAGATCAGAAGACCATGCATGTGGACTGGTACCTGTTGCTGACAGGTTATTTGCATTACAACGAGTACCTGGGCACATCCGCTTCCGTGGGGTTGTTAATCATGTCTCATTGATTGATGGTGCTGAACAATGCAGCTTTCTCATTGGTGGAATCTTACCTTGGGGCTTTCTTGGTCCTGTGACCTCACTACTTTCACTTTGTTCAATCATGGGTTCAAGTACTTCTTTTTCCTTTGGGGTTTGATATAGGGTGGGGTAGCGTGTACTAGCATGGAGGAAGCGAATGACCTTCGCCGCATACACGAATAATGTGACGAATTATTGCATGCATATATAACAAGGAAGGAAATGTGCCTTGCTCTATGTTGTTTTGTAGGTGATCATAGAGCTATAAACTTGTGTAGCTCCATGGTGGTGTGACGTCTACCAACGGGCAACCGGCACCTTCTGCATGTTATTTTGCCCACATTAAACATTTGATGTCACAACTTTTACGCCAATCAAATTTTAAGAGATACACATGCAGTGCAGAAGTGCACCGTTTGATAAAAGCTGGCATCGCGTCGTGACCACAACATCCAATTTGTAAACAATATAACATGGTCTATTATATAGCGTCTTGCTGCCCCACTTTGGCATATAAACGGATACTCAGGCCGCCTCCTTCGGTGTTTTAACGAATGCAAATTGTACTTTTCCCTTGCTCGTTAATTATCCACTCATAAACACTAATATTTTGCTCTTATAAGATTTAAGTGATTATACACTAACATCCCCCGCGTATCGATGCAATGAATTTTCTTTCTTTCACGATCCCGGGTTGCGAAATAAATAACAAGGAAGCTTTCCCAGGGGCTTGTGACCATGACGATGGATGGATGGGTACGGGTGGCGTGTGGGTGTTTCCTGACGGTCCTTGGCCAGGATTACACCGGTGTGTATGGGTTGAGTTGAGGGTCGGAGTGAGTGGGTGTGGGGTCATCGTACCAGGAATGGAGAGGTACGGGATCATGATACAACTAACACTGTCCAATGGCGGATCTACGGGGATGGCAAGGGGTACCGGTACTCACTAATAAACACCCCCCTCCCCCACTTGACTTACTCTCCATCTCCGCTTCAGCCCAACATGGAGATAGATATAGATAGATAGATAGATAGATAGATAGATAGATAGATAGATAGATAGATAGATAGATAGATAGATAGATAGATAGATAGATAGATAGATAGATAGATAGATAGATAGATAGATAGATAGATAGATAGATAGATAGATAGATAGATAGATAGATAGATAGATATATATATATATATATATATATATATATATATATATATATATATATATATATATATATATATATATATATATATATATATATATATATATATATATATATATATATATATATATATATATATATATATATATATATATATATATATATATATATATATATGTAGCTGTCCATCGTCGCGGTTATGGAAATGTGATCTCTTTAAACATAAACAGAAAAAAAACTTCATGGCGAGCTTAATAAGTGCCGGATTCAAGTTACCCTTGACTGGTATGGTACTAAGAAATATTCCTTACTCCATGGTCAGACCACGGAGGAAGGAACACAAACGTTCCTTCCTCCATGGTCAGACATAAAGGAACAACATTTGCGAAGGGACTTGGGAAACTTTACAAAGACTTTGTGTTAGGCGGATCATACGTGCGTTCACAAGTCGATCGTTCACGAGTTAATCTCCGCAAATCTTCCGGGCGCCGAATCGCCTGCGAATCGGGCGTCAGTCATGGGAGCCGCAGAGGGCAAGGCGAAGCCTATAGTTTGAAGCCTACACGTGGGTTGCTTTTGATGTAATTACGCAGTTAATGAAGCAATCGAGGGTCTTTTCCATGTACCAAGGTTATCGTTGTGTATGATCGGACGTGCGTAGGCAGGACGTTACATCTGTATTGTGACTCGGGCACCATACCATGGGAGACTGATATCGGGCGGTAGGCTTATTATTAATGTTCAATATAAAAGGAACTTTACAAATACCTCCAGTTTAAGTCGTTTTCTTTCCCAAAAATCTTTAGTTCTCTTGAAGCTGGAGATCTATAGATCATGGAGGATGTTGTTAACCTCCTCAAAAGGAATTAAACAATGATTAAACAAAACAACTCCAGAACCAAGAGTTTTAAAGCTTCTCTGAGTTTTGATATCTGTGCGATACCAAAAAGTCACTTAAAAGCGATTGATAAAAGAAAATGGTGGTGTTTCAAATTCAATCCACCAGCAACTTTTTCCATCAATACACAATCATGATCGACTCAGTGACATGCTCGTTAAAACTCTTACAGCCTCGACCAGACAAAGCCGACCATGCACGAGACTCGTTACGGGCACTAGTAAAACCGTATGGATGCAAATGTGCTGGTAGTTAGTACTCTGGTATTTCGATTCGACGCTTAAATAATTGAGGAGGCATATCATAACTTTACAAAATTGCACTCAAGCTCAGGATGAATACGCGAATAGTGCAGAAATGCGAGTGTTGGTGTCGGTACGGTCCATCATCAATATAGATCATTATGAACTCAACTGAATTGATTCTGATTGCGATTTCAAACTGAAGTGATGCAGTGAGTGTGGAAACATCTTCCCAAACTTTGCATTTTTTACGCAAGAATGACGATGAACGTGAAGTGTTTCCTTGTAGCGAAGATCTCCATTTTGTGCGTGTGTCTCGTCGTCCATTTTTCCTTCGGTTCCTTATTGCGTACAGCGGGAAAAGAAAGGACAGAAATAAAGGAAGTTTCTCCTGGAGAGGTGGAAGAGAAACTGACGGGTTTTGTGGCTATTGGTAAGGTTTTTTTCGTTTGTAGTTGTTGATATTGTTTTTTTGTTTTTTTTATCTGTTTGGGATTTTTTTCACAAGTCTAGGCTTACTTAAACAGCCTCATGCTCTTTCTGTTCTGTTGTACATAGATCATAATTCTTATTCTATTATTAGTTCCAAGCGTATACATTATTTTGTTTAATATATACTCGATGTATATTGATGTTGCTATTTTCCTATGTACTAATATTCTTTAATTATCGATGTATTTTCCAAAAGGATTGCGGAATAAATGTCTTCTTGAATCGAATTGAAGTCTGTCTTCTCGGCTTGTCATAGTAAATCTCATTTGACTTTGCCCCAAGCAATATCGGCTTTATACGCCATGTTATGAGTGTATTTACATTGCCGAACGTGCACTCATCCTTGATCCTTTTAATTCCTCTTTTAGAGGACAGGATTGGCAGAAGGCTTCAACAAACCGAAGATGCCGATGACAAGACCGACATCAACTGCTCGATGCCTGCAATCGTTCGGTTCCCTCGGACCATGTTCACCGAGAAACAAAGAGAAAACGGGGCCGTGATTCTCAACTTCTTCATCGCTGTTTACCTCTTTGGCGCCATCGCTTATGTGTGCATCAACTACTTTGTCCCCTCACTGGAAATCATCTGTAAAAGTTAGTTTGTATAACTCTTTAATTTGCCTTAGTTTGTATAACACGTCGGTAGTAATTTACACTAGCGACACCAGGCCAATGCAGTCGATTTCTAATGCTAAAGCCTTGATTTTACGCAGCAACGAATAATAAGACGAAACATGGGATGCAATCCTCAAATTATTTTCGAAAAACAAGCACTTGGAAGTCAATTCCTGATGGTATCAACGGGAACATATCTGTGTCGGCTTATCGAGGAAGATACGCTGAACAAAGGTCCAGAAATTTTGGTCAACAACTACAATCGGATGGACGACAGAACCCGAAACCAAAGACATAATAGGCCTAGAACAACGGGGTTGCATCTGTCCTCTTAACCCAAACAAGTTGGCGAACTCACAAGATGACGTTACTGGTGAAGTTTCAGCAAGGATTTAAGGAACAGCTGAAGTCACATTTCTTTGTTTCTTCAGCTGATCAGATTGACCTAATTTGTCAGTAAAAAGGGAAATATAGGCCCCAATACTGCAAAGCCAATGGTTGCATGATGGCAAAACGTAACAGAGAGGAAACATGAAGAGTGGATGAAGAAAGAAAGAAGTTCCATGATTATCTGGAAAATGGACGTAATATATCATACTTTCAAACAACACCCTTTTGTAATCATAAGGCGCCATTGTCTTTGTTGATAATTTGTTTGCAGTGTTAGGTATTCAAGAAGACGTTGCCGGGGCAACCTTCATGGCCATTGGTAGCTCGGCTCCTGAATTCTTCTCGGCTGTTGTAGGTGAGTTAATTGCCAACATGTTTACATTGCACAGAAAAATAACATTTCAGCACCATAAACATTGGTTCGATGATAATACTCCCTCTAAGTTCTCGTGAAAATCAGTTTATCAAAATCTTGCAATTGAAAATCCGCCTAAGTTAACCCTCGAAAAATTGTGTGAATTGGTGATTTGTCAACGAAGACGTTTTTTTTCACTTGATAATATTGAAAACTATCTTGCAAATTGACAACCGCTGTGTGGAAATGGTATTCAAGTTCTACTCGTCACGCAGATCGAAGCTGTTTTCTCTGAATATAGTCGGTGGCCTGCTGCATCATATCATTTATACCTTAAAGATATTTATAGAACAGGAAAAATGTGAAGTAATGAACTTCACTTAGGTTCAGAGACACAACTAAATTGTAGTTTCCAATACGCTGAAAGGCCTATGAGTATACACAAAAACAAAATTTTCATGTTACGTCATGTTACACTCATACAATTTTGATGGGTGCACTGAACTAATTCAAGTGAGAATTTCTTCGCGAGTCATAAGCATAAAAAGTGCCCGCACAATTTCGTTTGAAAACGGAGACCGTTTGGCTTTAAAAACGGTGGAATTGTGTAAAGGATCAACTCCCTGGTTTTGGGGCTTCCATCTGAGGGCAAGCTTGATAAAATTATGGGTGAAAAATGGGTCCTATTTAAAAGTGGAAGGATGCCACTTGTAAAATGGCTACATGCATGCAGGCTTGGGAACTATCACTTTTCGGGAGGAGATTTTGTTTGGGTGTGAATATTTAAAAATGTACACTCTAAAAAAGCATTAGTCAGATTTGACTAGAAACCAGTTAAATTTGACTAACCATTCAGGGTCAGCAGGGTGCAACTGAAAATCAGTCCATCTGACTAGAATTTTTTCCAGTCAGTATTATAAACTTTGGGAAAATAGTTATGCAAATAACTGAAATTGGAGTCGAACCCAACTACTTTTTCTAGTCATAGTATAAAACTTTGTATGTTTAACTAAATTCCTAGTCAATTTTCAATAACTAGGAAAACCAGTCAATATTTTGACTAAGTTGTTTTTAGAGTGTAATTGGCTAATCTACCTAAAATTGAAAAGAAATGAAAAGATGAAAGACGACAAGACCATAATTTCAGTTTTATTTGAGAAACCCCAGTTATTTTGGCTTGCATGTTATTTGGCCCTGAACTTTGTTGATTTTACACTGTTTTCAATGGGGCTTGAATTAGTACAGTGGACCTGATATGCCAAATCACAATACTACGGAGCTCTGGAAGTGCCATCCGACTTGTTGAGATCCGGACATAGTTTTCTCAGAATGACGATATTTTACAGGCAAGATGTTGATATCCTGAGATAATTTATCACGGCTGGGACATCGACATCCTACTTTCAGGATGTCGTCATCCCGTTATAAATTATCTCCGGGTGTCGCGATCGCCATCGTCATCCTAAGATAAATAATATTGAGATCCTGACAAAATTATTATTTTGGGATTTCAACAAGTCGGATGGCACTTCCAGAGCTCCGTATTATATTGTGATTCATCCTCACGTTTACTATTCTTTTGTCACAAAATCAACCAACATTCTGTGACTTTTTGCAGGTACCTTCATAACTTACGATAACACAGGTTTAGGCGGCATAGTAGGCTCGTCGGCATTCAATGTTTTCGTCGTTTTAGCACTCTGTGCGTTAGTCGCTGGTGGGGTAAGAATAAATAAAACTCTAACATTTTATAGCCAATTTAAGGATTTATTCCCCGTGCCATTTCGAGTTTGACATGGAGACTGTCTGGTTTGTTTTGTTCAGTTGCTATTTTGCAAGCTATACAGGGTGAGTAAAAAAAAACGGAACCCAAACCCCTAAAAATATATTTCATATTTAAAAAAATATGTAGCACCAAAATTAATAATGACTGGAAAGCCAATTTCAGAAACTACTTTCAGATGAAAAAATTACTGAAATTGCTCAATCCGTTCAAAGAGTATCATCATTTAAGCGCAATGACCCTAAAACCTGTTTCGTTCCCCCCCCCCAAAAAAAAGCAATTGATTGTGTATTCTGACTGTTTGGAACAACAAAGAAAATGACATAGAATACTTGTTTCAACAACTGTCAACAACTGTAGTACTCAATAACCCTGATTTATGTGAGTTAAAAAATCCACTGTTTATTTAAAAGACGGACCTTTCAAAAGGAATTTGTTGATTGTTTTAAACTTTTAAACTGAGGTTTTATCGCTGGTGATGTTTGAAGACAATTGTGACGACGATTCTTGAAATCGTATTTTTGGACAAAAGAGGTTTTATGGTCATTGTGTGTAAATGGTCATATTCTTTGAAGGGATTGAGCAATTTTAGTAATGTTTGCATCCAAAAGTAGCTTATGAAATTGGCTTTCCAGTCATTATTTTTTTTTGGTGCTACCACTGCTACATATTTTGTAAATTTGGAATATAATTGTTGGGGTTTGGGTTCCGCTTTTTTTTGACTCGCCCTGTATATGTAAAAGTTGTTCACTTTTGAATGAGACACCGAACGAAAAATCCACCGACGTTTAGTTATTGAATTATTTCTCTAGAAAACAAAATCGAAAAAAGGTAGTTTTTCGTAAAAACAAAACATCAGGAGAAAAAATCCATTGTTTGAAGAGCATGGGGCATGCATCTTTAATTTGTATACTACAGAATGCCATTTTCAAACTTCAAGTAATATTATGAAAGCTCGATATTATCGAAAAATAATGTAAGATTTAAAACCTGTGTGAAATCAGAAAATTAAACATATTGTTATATAAATATAAATAATTGTGTGATTTCTATAACATAATATCATACATGAATTTTAATTTTGTTTTGAAATTTAGAATGGAGGTTTACAGTTGTCATGGTATCCAGTCATCAGGGATACAATCTGTTGGGTCATCTCCATGGTGATTCTGATAGCAGTGACGTATGATGCCATGGTTCAGTGGTAAGGTTTGATTACCTGAGTCATTATATAGTAATCACATAATCAGTCGATCAATCGTGTTCATGTTGTTCAACTTGGTTAAAAAGTTAGCCCAATCAGTTGCGAGTAGATTGATTGCATATTGATTGGTCGTTGTCTTTGGTTAGTCCGAGTATCGTCCGTTATCCACGGAGCCAAGTCTCCTGTATATAACGTTTGATATGTCAAAGCATGCAGATTTATGTGATCACGAGCCTCAGCCAATCGGAGTCGAACTATGCGGCAGAATTCACAACTAGCACCCAACAGCTCGATTTTTTGAGTCAAACTTTTTGACCGGCGAAACTAGTTTCTAGCATGGTTCTCAAATAATACAAAAACGCCCAGTTTTTAAAGGATGGTCGTCTGGGCGTGTATATCCTACTTTTAAATGATCTTTCCAAATAATATCATTTCGTTTAAAATGCATTTTGTAGCACAATTGGGCGCATTACGGGACGGGACGTAATACCCCTATAAGAAAAAATGTTTACTACTGTAGATCGTGTTGTGTGCATTTACTACACTGAGCTACGCATGTATACACTTTTGGCGCACTCTTTGTGTATTAATACAACACTACACACTTCAAAGATGTAATCCATCTATATCTACAGTAATTAAATCTGAGCGAGTTTCTTTAAAGGGAATATACAACATTTGCAAACATCGAAAAATAAAACTACCAAGTTTTTGCGAAATACCTTAATAGGATGTTGGTAAATGACAGTCTAAAGCATCCTGTAAAATTATGGCACCTGGTATACTGTCATTTTCAAGAAAAGTGGTATTTTTGTATCAATTTCCAACGCTGATCGGCCGATCAGCGTTGGAAACAACTGGCTTTTTTTCAAATACTGGCCCCAATTGACCATTGCGCTTGTTTGCAATCGATTACCAACCTATGAACGGGTACGAGCCAGCTAGACTGGTTCCCTGACCTTACAATTCCCCAATGTATGTAAACTGCTCAATTTCTTCTTATATGGAGTCAGGGAACCAGACTACGGGAAAATGATCGTTTTTCTTGGTTTTTATAGCATTTTCGAACCCAAAATCTCCAAAAAGTCAGTGTAACTATATTTGCTTTATATTTCCAACCCCCCAATTCCCTCCATTTCTGAAAATTACAGCAAAAGCAAATGATGTATATTCCCTTTAAGCAGGAGAGTCTCAACAAACATAACCTGTTGGTTTTACCTCTGGTTCGGAAAGCACATGTCATTTTAAACGGGATTGGTACGTTCTTGTTCACAGTAAGGCCGATTTAAAAATAATTATTTGTTTGTGTGTTTATTTTTGTTCCTTTGTCCTGTCTGACTGTTTTGTCCAATCTCTGTCCTAAGGCCTCCCCAACACAAGCACATGCTTACCAGGGCCTGCCTCCATTTTTAGCATTATTATTCTGTTATCACATACCTACCTATTGTTTTAATATTTTGTTTATTCTGCTTAATGTTGTAAATCGGTGAAATGGAAATAAATGTCTTTGAATTGAAATTTGAATTGAAATTGAATTGAATAAGACGCATCTGCTCACCGAGTATATAATATGGGTTCTTCTTCTTTCAGTTTCTTCGGTCTGTATTATTACTCGTTGCTTTGATTTTTATTTATTTCCCTGCCACCGCTCCTCTGTTGTTCATGACGCGTCCTTTGTTCTTCATGCACTTTTTGTAATGCACAATTATGTTCTTGTTTGTCCTTTTCTTTACTTGTTTGTTTGTGCTTGTTTTTTTTTTTTGTTTTTTTTTACATTTGTCTACCCTGTGAGCAGTTATGTATATGTTTACAGGCATGTTATTATAAGCTTCGGCTTTTGTCATCATGCCTCTAGTGCATCATATTTTGTATTCTAAAAGAAATGTTTTTGAAGCGATGGAAATACATGTTCTTGTAATTCAAGTAATTCAAGTAACATTCCTCTTTTTTTATCGGACGGCGTCGTAGTCGTCACTATCATATCTTTACCTTGTTTCGGCATACATTATTTTTCATGACAGGTGGGAAGGCCTCATCATGACCCTTTGTTTTGCTGGCTACATAACGATCATGTACTTCAACAAACCGATCTCAGCTCTTGCCTTAAAATGGAGGGCCGACACCAAGCTCTTCCCATGCCCGGCGCCGCAAGTGGGCACACCAGGAGACACAGAAACAGAGATGGAAGAGACGGCGATGATAGACGGACTGGGAATGGAAGAAATGGGCGAGGGTGGCGGGTCTCGGACATCGTACGGGACATCGACAAGTAATTACGGGATCAATAATCCAGGTTTGTAAACATTTGGAAGTTGATTGGAAACATGATGAAAAACTTGTAAACATGATGATAAACTTGTTTTGTAAACATCATGTTTGTAAACATGATGAAACCAGTACAGAGTCGGGTCTACGTATTCACATCCCATTGAACTTTCCTTCATGTTTTGATAATTAAAGGGAATATACAACATTTGCAAACATCAAAAAATAAAACTACCAAGTTTTTACGAAATACCTTACTATAGGATGTTGGTAAATGACAGTCTAAAGCATCCTGTAAAAATAATTATGGCACCTGTTGTGAAGTCATTTTCAAGAAAATGGTATTTTTGTATACATTTCCAACAGTGGTCGGCCGATCACCGTTGGAAAAACCTAACTATTTTTCAACTACTACTCCAACTTTACACTTTTTTCAGTCCAAATTGTGTTTGCTATTGGTTACATGTTCATGAACGGGTGCAGGCCGTTTGTTCAGCATTCTTGAACACAAAACTTCAAACATGTCAGTGTAACAATATTTGATCTATTATACTAACCCCTCAAATAGTTCATTTCTGAAAGTTACAGCAAAAGCCAATGATTTACATTCACTTTAAGTTAACGATTTGATTAAATTATCAATTTTCTCCACACACATTCCCAGAAAATCCATCATCAGATGATTCCGACACCGAAAAGTCTGTTCCGTCAGTCTTTGATCCGCCCACCTCCACTTCTCTCTACATCACGTGGTTACTCGGTCTACCAATCATCGTCCTACTACATTATTCGGTCCCGGACTGTCGAAAGTCGGGCGTGTGGCGGCGCTGTTATCCAATAACGTTCGTGGCCTCGTGTGTGTGGCTGGCTGGACTGTCTTATCTGCTCTACTGGATGATTGTGGTCATAGGTGAGTGAAAACATGGAACAACTTTTAAAAAAAAAAAACAATAAATAAATAAAAGACAAAAAGAAGAAGTTCAGAGGTATAGCAGGGACAGGTAGTAAAAAATAATGTCACACCTTGGACCCTAAAGTTATAGAATGAAGGAAATTATATATAGTGTCCATGCATGTTTATCTTTAAATGTCCTTATCTCAGTTGTGGAATCATAACGATGCTTGTTTATTTGTTGACTTGTTTACTTGTAAACAGGATACACGCTAGGCGTACCGGATACCGTGATGGGATACACTGTTCTGGCGATAGGTACGAGCGTGCCAGATGCAGTAGCGTCCGTTTTGGTCGCCAGAGATGGTAAGTCAAGTTTCTCGATCTCTGCATGATCTCTGTAAGACACTAATAATCTCCATAAAAGAAGAAAGTTACATTTTAAAAGTTGTACAGATAAGTTCCCGGCCAATTTCCTAAAATGTTCATTCACTTCTGAAAATCGGTCATTCATTTTCGTCTGAAATTGAGAATCGCTCTGCCTCTGAACACGCGTTTTATTTTCGCTACCAGAACATTCGATTTCATTTCAGTTCAATCAATTAAGTGATTGAACAGCACCTTTCGTTTATGTCCAATCAGATTCGTTTAAAAGACTTCTTTTTCGCTTTTAGAGGGCGATTTCAAATATTCACCATTCTATTTCACCTTTAGTTTAGTGCCATCGGCACCAAATAAAATTAGGGGTTTCTTTTTCATTAACCGTCAATCAAATTAGCTGTACCAGAAATCAATTGAGAAAAGGTATGCTTGCGTAAATGAATGCACAGGTAACGTAATTGGCCGTCTGTTTCTCAAAACCGAAAGCACGGACAGTGAAAACGATTGAACGTTCGTTGAATTAAAATGGGAATAAGGACGTGCATTCAAATTCAGACGAAAACGAATGACCGATTTTCAGAAGTGAATGAACATTTCATGAAATTGGCCGGGAAAACCTATATTAAAAGTGGATATTTTTTATTTTGCAGGCTTTGTTGACATGGCTGTTGCGAACATCATCGGCAGTAACATCTTTGAAACCTTCATTTGTCTTGGCTTTGTGTGGTTTCTGAAGACTTTATTTTCTAACCCTGTCGGTTCACCAATAATGATCAACGCCGAGGGTCTAACGGTCACCTCCATCTCTCTGATGCTTGTTGTTTTGTTCATTATTGTCGCCGTTCACAACAACCGATGGAAACTGGATATGAAAATCGGCATCATCGCACTGCTCTTCTACATCCTCTTCATCGCCTGGGCAACTCTGAACGCTGAGGGTGCTTTTGGAGTGGCCCTTGACGGAACGGGTTCAAATTCTGCGCAACCGCCGTGTCCACCAAATGTATTAAATTTATGAGATTTTCTTTTAAAAATTCACTCATTAATGTGAAAGTACTTCTTTACATGAACTCTGCCGGATGTACAGGTATCTGTCTGGACCCCACCATCAGTCGTTTCCTAATTTTAGAAAAGTTGATTATTTTGTATAGACTGAGTATTATGGCCGTGTGGCAGCGCGGTACGGCGTGGCCGCCACACCCATAGGGATCGAAACAACGAACAGAGACAGTCGCCTTCGCAGAACAAAACTATTTATATGTATCTTTAATTAAAAACAACTCAAACAATTTAACGACTTATTCTGACACAGCTTCATGGGCCCGAGCAACCCGACGGCACGTTGAGACACCACGTGCCCAGAGCCCATCCCCCTTTATAACACACTGAGTAGGCCCTATCGCGTTATATAACAAAAGTATTTTAAGGATTGAGCGAACTCACTTATGTGAAGCTCGTGGCAAATTAACAAAGAACAAAACTTTGGGCCGGTGCAGGTAGCGCCATAACAATAGCTTTTCCTTTCGAATTTCGTTTTTATACATAATGTGTATTAGTGTATTTTGTCTACCGGTGCACAGGCTTAGTTTTAATCGATTTGCATTATTTGCAAAAAATGTATGCAAATTAGACGAATGTGCAACAGTGTTTGCAAAACCGGTCTTCGAATGCAAAGCTGTAATATATACTTGAGTTGTTTGTGTATTCAACGCGTGTATGCAACCAACATTATTTTTTTCTTTAAATGTTAAGTCTATATAATCAGTTCATTAACTGGAAATAAGTACAGGTTTATTTTTAAGGATAGTTCTATCATAAGACGGGAATTTCCCATGATTTCCCGACCTTTTCTCAGTTTGTTTGCCATTCCGGTAGTACTATTCAGCGAATTATTTTGCTTCAGTTTGTGTTATATTATTGTATATAGTGCATCGCATTACCAAATATTATGAAGGACAATTGTATTTATAAATACATGAAGTTTGTTTCCATGATATTGTACAATCGTTAAATAATTATGTATGCAGTAAATTATGTTCCAATTTCTGAAAATGGCGTGATGTGAGCCTCTTTATAAGTCCGGAGTGTTTTTTGTTAAGACAGAAATTCCCGCCATAAAACACCACAAGAATAATATTTAGGCCTATTTTTTAAATTTCTGCACAATGTCTAAACACCTGGAAATATGATTACATTGTCAGATAGCTTCTAGAAAATATATTCATTTACGGATCAATTTACAATAAAAACAATGCAGTAGGCCTACACGTACACCTATGTGATATGTCCCCCCTTTTTAATAAAGGTACACGTCCATCAAAGCTGCAACTGCTAGATTTGAGTACACGACATGGATTTGATAATATACATGTATTTATGAGGCCAGTCCGTATGTACGCGCGCGCCTGCATGGTTCCGAGTTTCACCAACTGAATCAGAACTCAGTGAAAAGTTGTTGAAGGCCATTGACAGTAGGTCCGCATTGGACAGCTTAATAGTGAACCAAAGTCGAATTTGGGATGGATATTTGAAACCCTCTCTGATACCACATGGGCCCGAGCCTAGATTGATAACTCGGTAGATCTCAAAGGTGCCGGGGGGGGGGATAGAGAAACGGGCTAAAACGAGCAATGGGGTTATTTGTGGAAGTCTTCTGCGCTCAGTGACCTATGGTTTGGTTATTCTTGTGGTACTTCTTAACTGATGATCGGAACTACAAAATAATATTACCCAGTGAATATCAAATGAATGAAGGTATCGCTTTTCAAATTGATAAGAAATAGTCACCAATTAATAAATCACAACGCCCGGCCGGCCCAGCATTTTTATTAATTCATAGTTTAATAATGACTGCCCCTGGAAATAACATCCGACAGTGCCCTTGTTGAGGGCGCTCCAGTGCCAGGGTGACCGTTTTAGCCGATTTTCGGCTAACTTTGACAGATTTTGGATTAAAAAACGAGTTTGACAGAAAATTTGGCAGAATGGGTTTTTTGGCAGATTTCTGGCAGAATTATGCAAAATTGGTTATTTGACAGAAATACATAGCAAATTTGAAAAAAAATGGTACATTTGTGTGAAAAAGCTTTCATCTTTTCAAACAAACCCTTGCATAATGGGAAAGGTTGGCTAGTCTAGGTGCTGAGGTTCACTGGGAACCGGACTTCGTAGTGACGCAGCCACGTTTTGCCTGAAATTTAGGAAATTTTTTAATATAAATATTTTTATGTAACTATAGATTGTTTGGTCCTTAATTAAGGCAAAACTGCAACATCTGCATGTGATTTTAAGTGGTCATAGTGTAATTCGAGTAATTTGGGGGAATTTGGCAGATTTTTGATAAATCTGACAGATTTTTGAAGTTCATTTAGCAGAATTTGGCCATGACCTTACGGTCACCCTGTCCAGATCCAGCGCACACATCAGAGGCTGGCGCAACTCTAGCCCGACTGCGTCTGGCCGTACAGTACTATCGCAAGCTCTGTAGTACGGCCAGACGCTGAATGCTTCCTAAAAGACTGAATTTTTTTGGCCGCTGATGTAGCGATTTTGCTACATCTTTTGATCGAGATTATCTTTTCATCCAGGACAAAAATTTCCACAGTTAAGGTTCTTAGTCGTAGAGCAACTCATACCTTTTCGAAAAAACGTTCTTTGGTCTCAATATTTTCATCCATCTGGCCAAAAGACGACTTTCAGTCATCATCTTCCACGAATATCGTCCCGAAAATGCTCCCCCATGCGATTTCAAAATGGCGGCCGCGCTGTAACTCATGAATATGCATAGACAGTCTGTGACGTATGACCTCGTGTTTTTTGACGTGCGTGCGGCGGCGCCGTACGTACATGTACGTATATGTACATTACTTGTAGACAACAACCCAGTACGTGCATGCACACGTACGTCCGCGCGGCGGTGTGCATGCACGTACATATGTACGTACGGCCCCGCCGCACGCACGTCCAAAAACACGAGGTCATACGTCACAGACTGCTATGCATATTCATGAGTTACAGCGCGGCCGCCATTTTGAAATCGCATGGGGGAGCATTTTCGGGACGATATTCGTGGAAGATGATGACTGAAAGTCGTCTTTTGGCCAGATGGATGAAAATATTGAGACCAAAGAACGTTTTTTCGAAAAGGTATGAGTTGCTCTACGACTAAGAACCTTAACTGTGGAAATTTTTGTCCTGGATGAAAAGATAATCTCGATCAAAAGATGTAGCAAAATCGCTACATCAGCGGCCAAAAAAATTCAGTCTTTTAGGAAGCATTCAGCGTCTGGCCGTACTACAGAGCTTGCGATAGTACTGTACGGCCAGACGCAGTCGGGCTAGCGCAACTCGTACGCAGGTCGTCTCTGTCCGAGCCACATTGAAGTTGTCTGAATTTGTCATTTGTTTCCCGAAATGGCTCCCCCACAAGTCAAGTACACACAGGTATGTACATGTAAATACACATTGTAAGGCAGTCTTAGCCTGGGATATTTTTTAGAGAATGCAGTAGTTTTAGCCCAGTAAATGTTACTTCTGAAATCAGAACTTGGGTTCTCTCCGTCAGCTGACTGAGAAGCCTTCTGATTTCAGAAGTAAGTAAATGTAGGATGGGACTCCGTAATATCGCGGTACTTATCACATTTCTCGTTCGGAATAGAGATTGCCCACTAACCTTCCCGAATTGTCCTGTCTTAGTTTTGTGATAACTCTTCCTTTTCAAATTGATATAAACAAATTTACAATAAATTCTGTGTTATGATGCCTGTGAAAATAGGCATGCATTGCAAGTTGGAGTGTGCGAACGGATAATCGCGTAGCCTATGCGGAAAGTGGTTTTTATAATCTCAACTTTTTTTTCATAGGCCTAGTTAATGTTTGACCCTCAAATAAAGTCTGATATTTTCGCTGTAAATTTATGTTCAAGTTCATGAAAGACTATATCAGCTTGCAGGATAATTTCTTAAGCATGTTAAGACCCTGCCCCAATCTTGTCCCCAGGGTGTCGAGCAGTACGCGTCCACCACTACCTGCTCTCTCACCCTGGTAATATTGGATCATTTGCAAATGTGCAAGATTTTTGAACACGTATGCAAATGAGGAATAGTCTGGTGCCTGCTTGTGCGTTACATTTGCATTTGTTTTTGTATGCGGTGTCTGGGGTAAAACAGAATCAATTCGTCGCAGCGCGAGCATGGCGAGAGTTACGAAAACACAATTTTATTTTAATTAAACTGTTACGATCTTAACGAGACAACATTCAGTATCACATTTCATATTAATATTAACAAATTGGAAAGGAATTGGGAAATGAATATTTTTGAGAAGACGTGGACGAATGATCGCGAAAACACGTACTGCACGTTGTGAATAACACCACCAAGTACATGATATAAATCCATTTCTAGCATGTCTAGCCAATTGACACAGGTGGGGGGGGGGGGGGGGGGCTGGTTTACCCCTGGATCCGTGCCTCCCACACTTCTTTACAGGGATATAGCGAACCTGCAATCACTTAAACGTGTGATATTAAAACCCTAACTCCCTAGGCCTTTTTGCTAGGATGTAGCCTCAATCCTGCAATATCCTCCAATTGGCCTCATGGAAAAATAGCATATAGCCTCAATCCTGCAAATTCCTCCGTTATTTCTTGAATATGGTCCTTGGAGGGGTGACCACTGCCTGAATCCTGCAAAATCCTCCGGCTATGACTGTCAATAGGTTGAGGCAAAGGCAGTGACATCCTGGAGCAGTGTGGAGGATGTTAAGTATAATCAAGGACTAAATTTATGCACGGCTGAGCATAAACAACACAAGGTCCGGCCCAAGACCTTGACACAGTGCATACTCCGAAATCAGCAACACACTTTTGCCATGTAACCTCAATCCTGCAAATTCCTCCAATTTGCAAAGAGGATTTTGGAGGATTCAGGGCGGTTAGGGTTAACCCTAACCGCCCTGAATCCTCCAAAATCCTCTTTGCAAATTGGAGGAATTTGCAGGATTGAGGTTACATGGCAAAAGTGTGTTGCTGATTTCGGAGTATGCACTGTGTCAAGGTCTTGGGCCGGACCTTGTGTTGTTTATGCTCAGCCGTGCATAAATTTAGTCCTTGATTATACTTAACATCCTCCACACTGCTCCAGGATGTCACTGCCTTTGCCTCAACCTATTGACAGTCATAGCCGGAGGATTTTGCAGGATTCAGGCAGTGGTCACCCCTCCAAGGACCATATTCAAGAAATAACGGAGGAATTTGCAGGATTGAGGCTATATGCTATTTTTCCATGAGGCCAATTGGAGGATATTGCAGGTTAAGCTGCACATTTGTACATGAAGGTTAAAGGTTATCATTGATTTTGTTGTCTGACTAATTTGTTTACTGTCTGTCTAGCCATAACTGAACCCAAAATATATTTTGGACTTTTTTCATGTCTTTTATTCTGTTAATGATCAGCCTTACCGATATATATATTCGTAATTAAACTCGAGCCCAAAATTGCCTGCTATTATGAGATAACTGAGACAAAAAATGTTAAAAACCTTTTCATTGCTGCAACATATGCTGTGCCTGAGACTTAAGGTGGACTCAATGAATTTCAGTGTTTTTACCAGGCTAGCACAGATAGTCTTGTGGTACATTGGAATTGTCTGTCACTGATAAAATAAAATGTGTTGGTTTGTCTGTGCCCTACATCAAGGTCAAATTGTCACAAACAAGTCCATGTGTCAACTTCACATGTACCGATACATGCACTAGATAATCAAGTCAATAATAGCTGCATATGATGTACTGGTACTGGGAGCATAATTGCCACACACATAATAGCTAACCTTTGAACTCAACCTTTGCCTTGGGCTTACCCTTGACAAACCTTGAAGGTGCTCCATAATGGATTTGTCAGGAGATGAAAATTATAAGTAGACAAGCTGATTTACCCGATCATAGATCGGGTAGGGCGTATTTGTGTTGGGGTTGAAAGTGTGGGGAGTTAAATGTAAATGGGGGATTTAGTTGAGAAGCCATGTAGCTATAAAAAAGCAATTTACGGTGACGCGATCTGAGGCAATGTCTGACCACGTACGATAGTAAAACAAAAGATCATCTTTTAAACATCATTTTCGAGTTTGGAGTCATTGAATCAGCTGTTCTGAGCAAAAGAATATTATAGTAGACGACAATTTTTATTCGGGGAAGAAAAAGTGGGGGTAGGGAACCAAACGATATTGCCCGCTTTAAAATGTTGGGGTGGGGGTCCCCCATCCCCCACCGATTGACGCTGCGCCCATGATAATTATGTACCATGGCATGTATAACTGTCTGTAAATTTTCCCGTTGGTCTGTTAAATTGCATTTTGTGAGGCAGTCGCGTTTGTTAATGTGGGAAAACTGAGTTGAAAGACTTACCGTATAGTACACAGGCGAAGGCTGATTGTACTGTTTTGACAATAAATCATAATGGAATAAAACGTGAAGGTGGCATTTGCAATAAAAATGTTGAGTGTGATACCATAAAATTACATGGTCTGAATCATGGAGGAAGGTCATTATGAAGGTACAGTATTGGACTCTTCAACAAACGTAAACTTGAACTTCTTACAATTTGCGAGACCTGCGAGGAAAAAGTCGATTTAACTATTTTATTCAGGTTGGCATGGTTCAACCATAATATAAGCAAGGCCAAACAGCCAACAACCGCCAATATTATTATTTATGCACTCTTCGTTATTCCAACCCAACATAGTTCAAAGATCACAATATTTGAAGCAATGCATCGATCCCTCGTTGATTTACCCGATCATAGATCGGGTAGGGCGTAGAGTTGGGGATGAAAATGTGGGGAGATGAATGTAATTGGGGGATTTAGTTGAGAAGACGTGCAGTTATAGAAAAGCAATTTCTGTGGTGCGATCTGAGGCAATTTCTGACCACTAAAACAATTTTTTTTTTAGCAAAAGATCATCTTTTAAACATCATTTTTGAGTTTGGTGTCATTAAATCAGCTATTCTGAGTAATAGAATCATTATACATGTAGTAGCTACAATTTTTATTCGGGGAAGAAAAGTGGGGGGGGGGGAGGGGACCAAAAAAGTCTCCACCGCTTTAAAATGGGGGGGGGGGGGGGGTGGAGGGGTGGAGGGGTTCCCCGTCCCCCACCGATTGACGCCCATGATAATTATGTACCATGGCAACAGTTTGTAAATGTTCCCGTTGGTCTGTTAAATTGGCATTTTGTGAGGCAGTGGCATTTGTGAGAAAACGTACTTGAAAGGCTTGCCGTAGTACACAGGCGAAGGCTGATTAAGAAGGTCATAATTAAGTTTCAGTATATTGGACTCTTCAACAAACGTAAACTTGAACGTCTTACAATTTGCGAGACTGTCTGCGAGGAACTTGTCGAGTCAACTGTTATTCAACTTGGGTCAACCATCTATATAAGAGCAAATTTTACTCGGCCTCCGAGAAATGTTTGCTCCTGAAACGATCTGAGACCGCGGTCTTTCGCGACGCCAAAATCGCTCCACGTCCGTGGAAAAATGTGGAGGGTGTCTTCCGCCGGATCGGACACATTTTCGTTGATTTTTTGTGCGACTGCGTTTAAGATCGCGATGTTTGAAGCAATGCATCGATCCTTCGTTGATCCCAGACAGGCCCCCGAAATTATAACGCAACACTGTGGCGGGCAGCGAACTCACAACGCTCAGCCTTGGTGGAAGCATGGAGCTGTATTAACACACGATGGAAGCAACTGAGCACTATACACGTCACTCACATGCTTGTGCTTCAAATCATGCAAATAGCGAGCACCGTAGACCCAACCTCGTTTCCAGGGTGTGGAGCAGGCTGCAGTACGCGTTGCCATCGACAGTTTTGCATAGCCCGGAAATACTACGCAGTGTAGACTTTCGATTGGTCAGACCGCGCAAGGCATACTTAATGTGAAGTCCTTCTGAGTATTCGTTGCACTCGGCGCAGGGGCGGCAAGCGAAGCATATGAAAGAATAGGGGCACTCGGTGGCCACGCACCATGGAGAAAAAATATTTTACCAAGGTCACCCCACACCACAATTTGGGGAACGCTTTTGCAGAACGGCTGAGTAGAACACGTAAACGAAACCCCTACGTTGACCTCGCACAGTCTAGACTCGCAGAAAAGCCAGCACAGGGGGCGGCCAGGCAATCAACGTGAAAGCGCACACGACGGCAAATTCCTGCGCAAAATGCAGTCACGAAAAATAGACGAAAAGGATCGCCGGTCCGTACGGGAAAATCAGGACGACCCGAAGTGTCCGACCCGGCGGAAGACACCCTCCGTATTTTTCCACGGACGTGGAGCGATTTTGGTGCAGCGGGAGCCCGCGGTCTCGGATCCTTTCATGAGCAAACATCGTCTCGGAGGCCGAGTTAAACTCTCTCTTATATATATAGATGATATAGATATATACCATTACAACACCACATACAGGCCCGTTGTTTTGGTTTGGTTTTAGGGAGAGGAATTAATCCTAAAAATTACAGAAAAATATGAAAAATGAATACAACTGCTGCGTGCTACTTACTGACTGGATGTAACTTAGGCCTGATTATGTTTCGATCCTGCCGGGGATTAAAATATCAGGCCCAATACATCTTTTTTTATTAATAAGGCCAAAAAAAAAGAATAGTTCTGCTTCCGATTACATGGCATTTGGAAATAGGGTAGGTATGTAGGGAATTTTTTTTTTGCAAATTTTTTGTGTGTACGATCATACGGAGGCTTCTGCATGTAGTCAAGGGTAAAAGGTAGAAATTGATGGTTTTGGGTGTTATTTTCTCATTTTTCCAATACAAAAATTAGGGTAGGGGCTGTCAGAATAGGGTAGGTAGGGAAACCGGAAGCAGAACTTTATTTTTTTGGGCCTAAGAAAACAGTACATTTAAAGGGCCCATGCAATGTATTTATTTCAGGCAGAAACCTCAGTGTTTACAGTCACATGTATTTCAGCACCAAACGTTACCAGAATTTTGGATATTTGCTGTTGTAAATTTTCTTTTCTTTGGTGATTCGTTGTTGTGGCAGTACATGGCAGTAAGCCAATGAGCAAACTTTTGGGGGTCACAATCTCAACAGATAACCCCTAAACCAACCTCGTCCCCAGGGTGTCGAGCAGTACACACCCACCACTACCTGCTCTCTCACCCTGGTATTGGATCATTTGCATGTGCAAGATTTTTACACACGTATGCAAATGAGGAACAGTCTGGTGCCTGGATATGCGTTACACATTAGCGTTTGTTTTTGTATGCGGTGTCTGGGGTAAAAACAGAGTCAATTCGTAGCAGCGCGAGCACGGCGTGAGTTACGAAAACACGATTTTTGAAATCAAACTGTTACGATCTTATCGAGACAACATGCAGTATCATATTTCATATTAATATGAGCAAATTGGGAAGGAAATTAGTATTTTCGAGAAGGCGTGGACGAATGATCGCGAAAACACGTCCTGCACGTTGTGAATAATAGCACCAAGTACACGATAAAAATCCATTACTAGCCAATTGCGGTATCCAATCAGGATACAGGAAGAAACTTTCCTATCCAGGGTTTACTATTGGAAACGCGGTTGGAAATAAAGTAAGCACTGGGGACGAGGTTGCCCCTAAACTGAAAGCTATCTTCCTTAAATTACACCTCAGCAACAGCGCCCTCAGTTGTCTGGAAATTTTTTAACGTTTAAAGAAGTGCACTTTTCAATAAAACTAACCAAAATGGGATGTCAAATAGTTTTCTTACATTTATGAGGAGTAAAAAGTTGAACAAATTTGAAAGTGTTCATTTCATGGACCCTTTAGAATATATACTTGCATTTGTATAGTAATGATTTTTTTGGTCATTTATTCTTAATGCAGTTGTTCATCAACAATGAGTTTGTGAACTCGGTCAGTGGGAAAACCTTCCCTACCATCAACCCACAGACAGGAGAAAAGATATGCGACATTCAGGAGGGAGACAAGGTAAATATGAAAAACATGGATTTGGTTTTGAGGTGCATGAAGAAATAGGTTTGTTAAAGGGACATTACAAATTATGCCCAATTGGGCTACTAAACACGTTTGAACGAAATGATGTTAATTGGAAAGAACATTTAAATGTAGGATATAAACATCCACACATCTACATGTATACACTGTACTTAAAAAAACCAGGCGTTTTTGTGTTATTCTTGTGTTATTCGTGCGAGAATGAATTTCGGGGTACACTTTTGCCACCCCCCCCCCCCCCAAATGAGTCTGTTCAGTGATAGTTGTGATTCCAGCCGCAAAGCATTCGCCTAACTGCGGATGTGTAAGAAACCGCATGTGTGCATTGGTGCTATGTGTAATTTATGTGACACACACAACGTTTATTGTGCATTGAATGAAAACGACAGGAAAAACGTATACGTACTCCGTCGTGTCCATGTTTTTTTCTCTTTTCTCGGGAACGGTAAGACATCTATAAGGTTAGTTTCCTTTCAACTAGACCTTTAAATAGTGTAAGTAAACTATCCAAAACATGAAATTGTTGGGGATTTTAGGCCGTTATGCCCCTTTAAGCAAATTACCATAAATTTCTACTAAATCCTTCCTCTACGACTCGACTTATAAAGTCAAATATCCCAGGACTCCTAATGTGAAAAACATTCATGTTTGACAATTAAGTTACCAGACATTTCTACTGAGGTTAATGTAATACCTATATCATTATGGGTAAGAGTGTGTGCCGTGCACTTTACTATTGCACCTTGACCCATAAAGTCATATTTTTTCCAGGTTTCCCTAGAAATGTGCAACCCTGCCACTGTATCAATCATACCCCCACACAATTCACCCTCCAAAAGAAATGCTAAACAAGGATTATATACAAAACAGTTGAGCTGTTCTATTGAATCATGTTATAAAGTTAAGTCAAGCAGAAATAAGCTTTTAACACATGAACAGGTGTCTGCATAAATACTACAGCTACTGGGTATATGTGACCTTTGGCAAACTCAAAGTTGTGTCTATTTGCTTTGCTTGATATTATTGTCATTTTACTGTTTGGTTTTGACAATGATGGGCCTTCCAATGCTTGAAATAAAGGAGGCCACCCCAGTTATGAACTGGGCTATTTGGTGTTTTTTTTGGCTGATTTGGCAGAATTTATAGATTTGTGGGACTCTAGTAGTGGTTTTCTCACAATGTAAGCAGACAAGAAGTTGTGTGACTATGGTGTGGGGCGCCTTGATCCAATGGTTACGGTGTTTGACTCATGTGCCGTGGTACGAGGGTTCGAACCCTGACAGGGAACGTGGGGCTTGTGTCCTTGGGCAAGACACTTCACTACAATTGCCTCTCTCCACCCAGGAGCATACAATGGATACCTGTGAAGGTAGAGACCAGATTGCACTGATCTCAAAATGCTGCAGAAAAATATGGTCTCGTAGCCTGATGAACAGGGGTAATTATTATCAAGCGCTTTGAGACTGTTGGTATATAGTGCTAGTACCACATTATTTATTACCATTGTTACTAGTTACACCTATATTTAAATAACATATAAAAAGAGTGTTAAAAGAGTAGAATGTCAGTGATTATGTCTGCAATCTCCAAGACTGTATTGTGATTAGCTCCTTAACCCTAACCTCCTAGTAAATCCAACAGAGTCCAACCAGAGTTTCCTGATCAATCCACTGGGCCTTATTTTCAGTTGCCTGCTGAATCCAACGGAGTCCAACATGGCGTTATAATGCGGTTCAGTTGCCTGCTGAATCCAACATTTTGCATCAGGAATGTACACCAGGGGTTTAATGCTCAATCCAACAGGTTCCATCGGGTATATGACATAGTTAGACCCTGTTGGATTCAGCAGGGTTAGGGTTTTAATTAAATTTACTGTCCTTTGGCTAAATCGGCAGATGGTCTGAGGAAAGAGCCAAGTAGATTGCAGTTATTGATTTCCTTACTTTCATCACGGAGCTATGAAAGGAGGGGCTCAATAACTCCAGGCATAGACTTCTGAATGGATTCCAGGGCTGCATTGATTTTAATTTCCTTCAATTTCCCTTAGGCACATAGTATTAGGACCAACTAAAGTGGAGTGATTTTTGTGTGGTTTAGCTCATTTTGAAATGGTACTTTTTGAGAAAAACTATGAAATTCAGTCAAAGATTACTTGATTGTGAAAGGAAAAATGCGTAAAATTGAACTTAGACTGAAAGCTTTTAAAGCTATGAATACAAAATTTGATTTTGATTTCCATTGATTTCCCTTAATAATAGGACCAACTGCAAGTGGAGTGATAAACAAATATTTTGTTTAGTGCATTTGATACTGTACTTTAACCCTAACGTTCCTGAATCCATCAAAATCCACACCCCTGTTTTGGAAGATTTCGGCGGAATCAGGATACATGTACCTCCATATTGAAAAAGTTGGGGGATTTTGATCAAATTGATGGATTCAGGACATGAAGCCTAGCGGTACTGCAGGATTTTGATGGATTCCGGATATCTCCATATTGAGCAGTTGGGGGACTTGGATGGATTCAGAATCTAAGTGGTGGATTCTGATGGACTCACTTGCCACCAACATTGTTTTTGCATGGCAAAATTGATGGATTTTGGCAGATTCAGGATACTTTCTACTACAAATACCCAAGGGGTTAGGGTTAAACAACGTTTGTGTAAGTCAAGAACATTGTGCCAGACATGATACTGTAGTCTTCCTATTTTAATTTATGATTTACCATGATTACTTTTTCCTTTCATCATGTTCTTTCCTAGTACATGTATATGCCTTTATACCACCGTGTTTTTTTTCCCTTAATACAATTTAGCCTTTGCTTTTTTATGCCCCGCGGCGAAGCCGAAGGGGCATACTGTTTCCGCCTTGTCCTTCCGTGGGTGGGTGTGTGGGTGGGTGTGTGGGTGAGTGTGTGGGTGGGTGGGTGGGTGGGTGGGTGGGTGTGTGTGTGTGTCCGGACAAATCTTGTCAGCGCGATAACTTGAGAAATACTTAACATATGAACTTCAAATTTGGTTTGTGGATTGTTCTTGGTAATCCTAAGAAGCCTTTTGCATTTGGGGCCAAAAGGCCAAAGGTCAAGTTCACAGTGGCTAAAACAATAGAAATCTTGTCAACGCGATAACTTGAGAAATACTTAACATATGAACTTCAAATTTGGTTTGTGGATTGTTCTTGGTAATCCTAAGAAGCCTTTTGCATTTGGGGCCAAAAGGCCAAAGGTCAAGTTCACAGTGGCTAAAACAATAGAAATCTTGTCAGCGCGATAACTTGAGAAATACTTAACATATGAACTTCAAATTTGGTTTGTGGATTGTTCTTGGTAATCCTAAGAAGCCTTTTGCATTTGGGGCCAAAAGGCCAAAGGTCAAGTTCACAGTGGCTAAAACAATAGAAATCTTGTCAGCGCGATAACTTGAGAAATACTTTACATGTGAACTTCAAATTTGGTTTGTGGATTGTTTTTGGCAATCCTAAGAAGCCTTTTGCATTTGGGGCCAAAAGGCCTAAGGTCAAGTTCACAGTGGCTAAAACAATAGAAATCTTGTCAGCGCGATAACTTGAGAAATACTTTACATGTGAACTTCAAATTTGGTTTGTGGATTGTTCTTGGCAATCCTAAGAAGCCTTTTGCATTTGGGGCCAAAAGGTCAAGGGTCAAGTTCACAGTGGCTAAAACAATGGAAATCTTGTCAGCGCGATAACTTGAGAAATACTTAACATATGAACTTCAAATTTGGTTTGTGGATTGTTCTTGGTAATCCTAAGAAGCTTATTGAATTTGGGGCCAAAAGGTCGAGGGTCAAGTTCACAGTGGCTTAAACAATAGAAATCATGTATTTATTCTGAGATTATAGGGATTAGGGATTAATTCATATAAAACCTACAGAAGACACTAATGCTGTCAATGAATGTTCCATGTGACCAAGGTACATGTAAGTTGAAGTTAAAAGAGTGGTGTTATGTCATGGGAACTGTCACCGTTGCGGGGCATTTGTGTTTGTAAACACACCTGACTTGTTTATTCATATATTTAAATCTGCTCCTTGCTTTTCTGTTTTCCAATTTGTGGTAGTTAATTTGTTGTACCTGTATTGTTTATTAATTACCTGTTTACTAGCATTTAAATTGTCTGGGTATTAAGTTTTTATGATTGTGGTTTTCTTGAATTTATGGCTTTTAAGAGTTCAGTGTTCTTTTAGAGCAGGTCTGCCATTTGTTTCCAATTTTTTGGTAGTTAATTTGTTGTACCTGTATTGTTTATTAATTACCTGTTTATTTGCATTTATATTGTCTGAGTGTGACTGTTGTTTGCTTGAGTTTATGGCTTTTGGGAATTCAGTGTTCTTTCAGCACCTGCCACTGACAAGCTTAAATTTATTATGGCTATTATATTAATTGCATTTTTGCTATTTTCCATTTTTGTTCTTCCTATGCATAATTTATCTTGATTTCTCTCACTGTACCCGTACATGCTACATTATTTTTTTGTGTGTGGTTGGATTGAAATAAATGTTGTATTGAATTGAATTGAATGTTTTTCTTCCATTTTTAGCATTCTGTGCTGTGGACATTACCAAGACTCACAGCAAAATCTTTAAAACTTACCAATGTATAGAACCTTTTAAAACCTATATTTCAACTTTATTTCAACAGGGAGCCTGTTTTATTTTTTACATTAGCCTACATATATGACCTATTTAAGTATAACATTAGCCTACATATAATTATATGACCTAGAAAAAACCTATATTTTCGTTCTGGCATTTATTTTAATAGTGTTTTAAGAAAATGTTCCGAAGCAATTTGACCCACATTTTATTTATCATAATCCCAAAATCAACACATTGTCACTAAAGGCCTTAAGTTTCTCGCTAAGAGTTTTCTACAAGTGTTTAAAATTTGGCGGTTTGCTTCAAATTGGTAACTTTATCTAGTGTGAAGAATTTGAGGTATGCAAGTCGCTAAAGTTCTGCTACCTCATGTTGAAATATTGCACGGTTTTGCGTCCGGAAAACCTATAAATACCTATATTTTGGCACTTGAAAACCTTTAAAAATCTAGTTTGATTTTCAAACCTTTCGAAAAACCTACTTGTATAAGAGCACTGTGCGTTTTTTACAAGTGTTTAAAATTTGGTGGTTTGCATGAAATTGGTAACTTTATCTAGTGTGAAGAATTTGAGGTACATGTATGCAAGTCGCTAAATTTCTGCTACCTCATGTTGAAATATTGCACGGTTTTGCGTCCGGAAAACCTATAAATACCTATATTTTGGCACTTGAAAACCTTTAAAAACCTAGTTTGATTTTCAAACCTTTTGAAAAACCTACGTGTATATGAAGAAGAGCACTGTGTATTTTTTACAAATTTGGCGGTTTGCTTGAAATTGGTAACTTTATCTAGTGTGAAGAATTCGAGGCATGCAAGTCGCTAAATTTCTGCTACCTCATGTTGAAATATTGCACGGTTTTGCGTCCGGAAAAACCTATAAATGCCTATATTTTGGCACTTAAAAACCTTTAAAAACCTAAAGTTTGATTTTCAAACCTTTCGAAAAACCTACATGTATATGAAGAAGGGCACTGTGCAGCCTGCATTACACATTTTGGGGGTCTGCCAGACCATTTGTTTTCTCATTTTTGTCCTCCGAGTCAAATATCATGCCTGAAAAGCCTGATTGTACCAGCATAAAATTTAAGATGACAAAGCTGATTTTGAGTTTTGTTTTGTTTTGAAGGCCGATGTGGACTTGGCAGTGAAGGCCGCTCGTGAGGCAGTCAAACTCGGGTCGCCATGGCGAACGATGGATGCTCAGGACCGCGGCAAATTGATGCAGAAGTTGGCCGACCTGTTTGAAAGGGATGCAGAGCACATTGCTGTAAGAAGTGGATTTTTTATTTGACTTTCTTCACGTTAAACTTTTCTACGATAACTTCCTTACATGTACATGTTAACTGCTCAAGGCATTATCAGTGGGAATGCTAAGTTCGCAGTTATGCTTAGCACAAACAGTTACTGCTTGAGCAAAACAAGTCACAAAACAATACATCATGTGATAAATGTTGTTTTAGCTGGTTCGTGGCCTAATTTCCCATAAATAATTTGCTGAGTAGTAATTTTTACTCAGTAACTTCATGACATGAGGTCCCAACTTGTAAGAACTTGGCCCACTTAAGACAGGCATGCAACTTTTTCCTCAGATCAGCTAATTTTCTCTTTTTTAAAAACACTGCAGTGACTTCTTTAACCCTAACATAACTCAACCCATCAAACCCCAACAGCATGTTTTATTGGAACCTGTCCGGATGGGTACAGTACCCCTAAACTGACAGTCTTTACGTTGGGTTGGCACACCTCCAGAAACTAAGTCAGAAATATGTGTGTACAGTTTCCCATACCCGGTATGGTGTTGGAATTTGCCAGGATGGGTATGGTTCCTAGTAAATCATGCTAAGGGAATGTACATCATTGGCTTTTGCTGTAATTTTCAGAAATGAACTATTTGAGGGGTTAGTATAATAGATCAAATATTGTTTAACTGACATGTTTGAAGTTTTGTGTTCGAAAACGCTTTAAAAACCAAGAAAAACACAAATGTTTAAGTAGTCTGGTTCCCTGACTCCACTAAAGATAAAATGGATCAATTTATAGATGACGGAAAATTGTAAGGTAAGGGAACCTTGCACCCGTTCATGAACATGTTACCAATAGCAAACAAAATTTGGACTGAAAAAAATTGTAAAATTGGAGCAGAAGTTGAAAAATAGTTTGCTTTTTCCAACGGTGGTCGGCCGACCACCGTTGGAAATGTATACAAAAATGCAATTTTCTTGAAAATGACTTCACACCAGGTGCCATAATTTTACAGGATGCTTTAGACTGTCATTTATCAACATCCTAGTAAGGTATTTCGTAAAAACTTGGTAGTTTTGTTTTTCGATGTTTGCAAATGTTGTATAATCCCTTTAAGGCTTGAAATGTCCTCTTTTTTGTGTGACTTCCTACCCGTAGTTTCATTCTTGTGCAGGCAATTTAATTGTTGAATCATCTGTAATCAGAAGCATTTGCAGTTTTATTTGTCATTGAATCAACATAACATTTCAAATATTCCTTTGACATTTAGTCCTTAGACACCCTGGACAATGGCACGCTGTACACGACTATGTACGGCTGTGTTCAAGGGTCGGTGGAGGTACTGCGTTACTTTGCTGGTTGGGCTGATAAGATCCACGGCAAGACCATACCGATCAGTAAGTCTTCCCAGAACTTTCTTCATTTTTCCTGCAGGAAAATAGTAAGTGATTTCTGGAAAAACAAATACAGATTGTACGGATTTGATGCAAATTAGCACCCACCCCTGCTTACATTGAGCCAATCCAAAATCCTTCAAACTAGATTCAACTGCATTTAGGCCAAGTAAAAAAAAAGAGTAGTTTTTTGAAAAAAAGCCAGAATGCAGAGTTTCCAAGATGGCGAATGAATTCTTCTATTATCTCTACCATGTTGCTTATAGTTATACTTTTGTGTCAAAAGAAACCATCACCCTTTCTACATGTACATGTACCAGATTTTGCATTTGCATGCATAAAAAGCTGCAATTTTGCTGGAAGAAAATAAGAAGACAAAATATATTTATGATTTAAAAAAGGGAAGAATAAGTGGGGAAAAATGAAGGGGTGGGTGCGAGAAACTGATTATTTTGTACTTGGTCTTACATACATGTACATTGTAAACAACCTCAAGATGTACTTATGATGATGTATTCGAATGTGTGATGCAAAAACCTCACCTGAAGAATTAAATTTGAGGAAAAAATTACATTTAAAATTTTTTGTTTCTCCAACTTTCACTCGGGAGGTAACACACTGAGTTTACAGTGTTTATACGTCGGTGAAGGGCAAAACGTAATATTGATTTACATCACCCGACGCCAAAAATCCCCCCAAAAATTCCATCTTATGAATAGTTTAATTGTGGTACCCGCTGCTACATGTTCATCAGATTCGAACCAGCCACCCGATCCCACAAGCTCGGTGTTGGAGTGGTAAGACCTCTGCACTAGAAAGCAGGAGGTCGTGGGTCGAGTCCCACCCGAGTAATTTTTTCCAACTTTCATTCGGGAGGTATTACACTGAGTATACAGTGTTTATACGTTGGTGAAGGGTAAACCTAATATCAAAAGCTTACACAGTTAAGTTGAACCGGCAAAACCAAATCACATTTTACAGCAGGCGGGATTTGGACCAGGGTCACTCAGGTTTAAGGTAAACCTGACCGTAATTAATTGGCTGTTTTTATTTCAGAGGGTGACTTTTTCTGTTACACGCGTCATGAGCCAGTAGGTGTGTGTGGTGCCATCATACCATGGAACTTCCCCGCTGAGATGCTGAGTTGGAAGCTTGGTCCCGCCCTCTGTTGTGGGAACAGCTTAATTATCAAACCAGCTGAGCAGACCCCACTCAGTGCTTTGCACATTGCTTCATTGATCAAAGAGGTGAGTAAGACTACGGCTACGGCTACGGCTGCAAGTAATACACGTGTCTTTGAGGAGTGGCTTCATAGGCATCCATAGGCATATGTGTAATTGCAAGCCACAGCCGCATAAATCAGATGCAGCCTGAAAAAAACCAAGATGGGTTAAATTTGGTCCTCAAATTGGTCAGGGGGGGGGGGGGAAAGGCCAAAGTGGCAAAAATAAAGGAAAGATTTCCATATACGAAGTTCACTAATTTTCCTCTGTATTGACTAACAAGCCCCTAGATAGCAATTTCATGTCATCAAAGTCAATTTGAGCAGTGAGAAAATACAAGCATTTTCTTAGAAAACACTTAGAATTTTTCAGTCCAATCTCATAGGGTTTATACACAGGGTGTTGAGTGAACTTCGTATATGGCTCTGGTTTTTTTAACATATACCAAAAAGCTTAATGGCACTTTGAGAGCCTCAAATTTTGTAAAGATACAGAGCTGGAAATCATTTTTCCTATTTTTTTGTAGCATAGACCTAGATTGATCTCCCATAGCTTAATGAAAATCCTACAACCTTCGTTTATGTGAGTGACGTGTTGCTGAACAGCCAAATGTTAACGGAATTTTGTCAACCAAAACAAGAGACAATTTTGTTTTGGTTGGAAAAAAATTAAAATCAGAAACAATAATTTTCTTTCCTATATATTATGAATAAGTATGAGTGGAACTTTAAGAAAGCGAACATTAATCGGAACTATCTTGATTATTTTCATGGAATGGTGCAATTGAAAATGGCGTTTCGGACGTTACATCTTCCGTAAACAATCTTACCCCTCATTTGACACACTAGGACTACAATTAAATTATATGATATCACTATTAAAATACACTTTCTGGTTACCCCATTCCAATGCCTAAAAAGAAAGTAACATTATTTTATTGCAGTGATGTTGTTTAAAACTTTTTTTATCAAATGAAAAAGTTATCTCATTTTCCGTAAACAGTTTTGTAACGTCCGAAACAATTTTAATTTTGGAGTCTCAGAAAATAAAGGAATTGCAGAACCTATTTATTATTTCATTTTGGAGGAAGCTCAAGGCAGCTTCCCATCCCAGCATAAATTAATGCAGTATCTAATTACATTACCATTATATCAGCAAAACAAATTTTCCGTTAACAGTTGTAACATCCGAAACAAATCTAACGTCCGAAACAAAAAATACCATTTCTCAGCTAATAACTCAAAGTATAGGGTACCTGAAGTGAATCAATCCTCATGAAATAAATCACTGTTAGTTTTAAAACAAATCTATACATAAATTAGATCTTTGATATCCAACAAATTTCTCGTAGCACAAGAAATTTGTTTCGGACGTTACACAGTTGTATTGTTAACACAAAATTGCCATTTGTCATGCATTTTTTTGATTATATCAATATTTTATGATTCTTTCATTGTTTTATCTTGTCAAGAAAAATATTTGAACCATTTCATTCAGTTTTAAAAGTAAATATAATGTGCATTTGATGCCAAAATCCAAAGTTACTGTTAACTTTCTAAGCTTTCTACTGTATTAAATTGGTAACAATGAAATGTTTAAAGACACTGTATGTGATGCATGGCATTGCTGGATTGTTCAAAAATAACCTAACTGTTACTTAAACTAAAACAATGTCAACCACAACTACTCATCAGAATTCTTGAGCCCTATAAATAATACTTTCTGGGGTATTGTTGTCATGTTTCGGACGTTACAGCATAGTGTTAACAAACGTTTTTAACGTCAGACAAGTTCAAATGAGGGAAAACTCTTACATTGAAAAAATAGATTTCAACATTTTAAGTCCCCCTGTTGTGTTTTGTTTTTATATTTTATCTGGTCTTGCTTCTATGAAGGTAATTCCAACTTATACAATATAAGTAAAGTCTATTTCTCAATTCCTGTATGGCAATTTTACACTATAGTACACCAAATTTAGATCTAGATTTTAACTTTCTGCATGCATGCTGGTCACCTCTATTAACAAAATGGATGATTCCAGTTCCACATGTACTGTATGGTGGGAGACTATGTACTTTGTACTTTTACCATTCTATTTTGATGGACATGTTCAGTTTGTTAACATGTATAATGTAACATCCGAAACAAACAAAAGTGAGACTTTTAAGGTAAAAGATTACATTCCCTCAATGAATACAGCTTACAAGTAGGTGTAATTATTTGCACTAATTGGTCAGTAGGCCTACCGGTATTTCAATCTCATGTAAATTCTTTGATTTAAAATTACATATATACAGTGCTCAAAGAACTTGAAAGGCAAATTCCATGAAAAGGTGGACAAATTAAAAAAAACCATGACATTTGTTATATCTTTAGAAAGTTAACGACAGTAAGTGTGGTATCAAATTAAAGGAGACAACACAATTTGGTGTTGCAGCAAGATGACATGAAGCAAAGCGTGAATTTTGGTTAAATAACCTGGTATTTTTTGATAAAATCATGGATTTTTGGTACAAATTTTGACAACTTGTTTTAACATGCAAAACTTGAATGGTATTTATGTATAAGTTTTGTATTTTAGAGAAAGGTGAAAATTTTGTACAAATAGAGGTCCCTTGTTTGAATATTAGTTTCTTTTTGGTATGTAAGAACTTTTGCCAAAGATGGGGGGACAAACTGTAACGTTGAAATACGCGCCCAAACAGTGGTGTTACATTGCTTAAAATGTAACAAAACTAACTGTGGAATTAGCACGAATCACATCAGTTTACCTTTAATATCGAGGTTTTCTACAGGTTTCATTCCAACATTGATTTTCAATTATTACATGGGATACTGTAACTGTATACCGATGTGGGTGAGCCAAAAATAACAAAGCAAACAGATCAAACATTAGCAAAGCTTGTACAAATTGATGATCTGATGTTAACATTATGTAACATCCGAAACAAAAGATGACATGTTGTCTTTTTGTACCGTAGTAAATGCAGTTCAGTATGTTTTCAGGTTTTTTTTTAATGATTACCACTGCAATCAAGTTCATATTTTGCAATTTTCCATATGCAACATAACGTTTGGAAGTACAGATAAATTAGACAGATCCAGTTTGCAACAAGTGCATGTACCGTACCGTACCGTACCGTACTATACCGGTATTTAAGGTGATAGAACACACTGCTAAACTATTTCTGTGGCAATTTGAATACAGAAATTGCATAAATGTTAATATGTTAGTTTATTTTCTGCCTGCAAATAAGCTAACAGGCCAATGATACCAAAGCAATGCCATAAAATGTGAGACAGGTTGAGATGTTAACAAAGTGTAACGTCCGAAACATAGCAGGGGACACAGGTATGAAAATTATCTGCCAATGTACTTTTTCCAATTTTTTTTCATGTAACTATATTGTATCATCCATGGTTTACATGCAATAAGTTTGACCCAAGAAAACCCCATTCTTCCATACCAAACAAAAACTTTAAATGGTGAAACATAGTATTTTCGGCTATATTTGACTTTGAAGCAATGTAAAATCGTAATTTTTTGTGATAGAAACTCAAAACTTGGCATAAATAATCTCTGAACCATGCTCTTAACATTAACATTCATTGCTAAAGAAGTTGGTAAAGCATGAGTTGAATATCACCATTTTGAGATGTGTAACAGTTCGTAGTAAAATATACAAATGTTGTTATGTTCATGGATGTTTCACAAGTTTAGAGTTAGATTTAAGCTCCGACTTTTACATTTCTCATAAATATAAATAGTTTTTATGCTAAAACTACATGTTTCAAGTGTGTTAACATATTTTCAATTTTTACCCTCTTGGTTGACAAATATGGGCATGTTAAAAAAACCAGAGCCATATGGAAATCTTTCCAAAATAAATATCCTGTTTATTTCATAATAATTAAGCAGATTTTTTGAATTAGCTAAATGTGGTTAACTAATCAACTAGCACTTGTGTTATATTGTACCACACTGTATGTATTCCATGATGAATCCATACAACCAGAGTGGGGGGCTGGTTTTTGGGCGGTACAGGGAGTAATTACAGGCAGGGCAGTTTGGGGCGGTACAGGGAGTACAGGCAGAGTGGTTTGGGGCTGTACAATGAGAAACAGGCAGGGCAGTTTGGGGTAGTATAAGGATTAAAAGGCAGGGTGCTTTGCGGCTGTACAAGGACTAACAACTGCAGGTTAAAAATGTTGGAGTTGTTGTTGGGAAAAATAAATGTTTTCAGTCAACAATCACTCAGTGGGAACAATTTTTTTCCCTCTTCCAAAACTGAATATGCATATCTCCCAGAAGTAACAATATATTATTATATGATTGAAGCCTATCAGCATTTGGCACATTGATGTTTCTTTGAATGACCAAGTCTGATTGACACCTTTTGACTGTGCTTATCCTTTTTCTTCCTAGGCTGGTTTTCCGGCCGGAGTTGTCAACATTATTCCCGGCTATGGCCCGACTGCAGGAGCCGCCATCTCTGAACACATGGACGTTGATAAAGTGGCCTTCACTGGCTCTACTGAGGTACGCTACTGTGCATGGTGGAATGTGTGTAAATTACTTTGGATTTGCTCTTTGCAAATCTAACTTTGTAAGTGCTGTCGGAGAGATTATGAGGAAAACATTATGCTGGTGAAGAGCAAAACCCAGGTTTAAAAATTTTCATCACCGATATGCAAATTTCACTCATAAAAGATATTACCTACAGCACCCCCCCTCCTTCCTGCTACATCCGATTCAAACCCGCTGCCTACCCAGGTAAGGTTGGTGATCCAGTGGTTAAGATGTCTGCAGTAGTAAGCAGCGGTTGTAGTTTTGAGTCCTATGAGGAAATAAGTTGTGAACTTTCCTCGGATATCACTTACCCCTTATTTTTACTTTGGTGAATGCAAGAGGTATCGTTGTCACCTAGGCATTGTCTTTGATGACATTCATTTTTTTCTCATTCTTGTACTTTTTTTTTTTTAACTATAGTTGCTTCTTCACAACCTGGGGTATAACTTGAACATGTAATTTATAAACATTGTTGATGACAGCAAGGAGACGCTAAATAGCTGAATTCGTAATTCAAGTGACTCTTAAAAAGAAGTGAATTTGTTAGGGTCACAGTGAACATCAAACTGACACTGCATTTTGTAAACATTATGAAATTTGCAAAAAAAAATTGCCTGAAGGTTGAACCAACCCTCATGGCACTTTCTTTTCAGTGGTTTGAAATGGCTCTGGAAAGACACTAAAAGAGTTTCTTTTATTCTGTTGCAATTAAGAGACTGCAATTGAGAAATGTTGTGTTTTCTTATAGATTGGGAGGCTGATCCAAGCAGCATCTGGGACCAGCAATCTGAAGCGTGTTTCCTTGGAGATGGGAGGCAAGAGTCCCAACATCATCTTTGCTGACGCAGACTGTAAGAAACTATTGAAATCTTCAACCTTGTATTACATAGCCGCCATACATGTACACTTAGTTTCCCTGGTCTTGGCCTTGCTGCCCTCTTCAGTAGACAAATCTACTTAACCCCGCCCATGATGTTTTGACCAATAACAGCCATGACCGTGCGACCAACTACTGCACAAAGGGCTTCACCCTAACCTTCCCAACTCCATCAAAATCCATCCTCCCAATTTTGGGGGATTGGCATATAAGCCATGTGTACAAGGTCCATCAAAATCCACAAGCGCCAGTGGTGGATTTCAACGGATTTGGTCCTGAAGCATTATGTGAAGCAGATTGAGTGATGGATTTTGATGGACATGGTTCTGTACTTGGTAAAACTAAGGCGGGAGTTAGGGTTAGTATGTGTTTAGTGTAGCATTGGATATAGACACTTGTTGTTGACCATGTGCACAAGTGGGCAGGTCTAATGGTTAATATGGAACATTCCATTGTACTTACAGTCAAATTTTAACTTCAATGCAGCGCCAATAATGACCCTGTCCATCATATCGTCACCGTTTTCACGAAGGAGCGAATTTCATGAAAATCGTCTGTTTTTCAAAATTTGGGGTTTTTTTGATGAAAATGAATAAATATATGAATATCTACAACCTGGTGAGGCTATAGTTTCAAAAAATTAATTAAAACCTTGGGCGAATTTGCCACAAAGTTGCATTTTCACGAAGGGGCGAATTTCCGCACTCTATGGTGTTAATAAATTTTCAGTAAATAAATACATTGTAATACAATGACGTGTTATCACGAAGGGGCGAGTTTCAGGCGTGCGCAATAAAACATTTTTTTTCACGAAGGGGCCAATTTCAAGGTGCACACGCAGTGGGGCAGAATCTGCGCGTACTGTACAAAAAATGCATGGACTCGGACGGCAGTAGGGCAAAATCTGCGCGTACTCACTTTAGCGTTTTCATGAAGGGACGAATTTGCTAATGAGTTGTTTTTTTCGTTTTCACGAACAGCCACTTTTCTTATTTGATTAATTCTGCAAAACTAATCACCCATTCGTGAAAACGGTGACGATATATGGAATTCCATACATTTTTCCAATCAATTGCTTGGGTGCAATTGAAGATTTTGTAAGGCACACTTCTTAAGTTATTTCGTCACTAGTAAAGCCCCATAAAATCATTGCAATAATTGACCAAAAAAAGCCTAGTTTTCTCAGAAAAATGATGTGTCTTTGTGTTTGTAGTGGATTACGCCGTCGAGGAGAGTCACGAGGCGATCTTCTTCAACATGGGGGAGTGTTGCTCAGCTGGGTCCCGTACCTTTGTCCAGGAAGGCATCTATGATGAGTTTGTCAAGAAGAGTGTTGAGCGAGCCAAGCGTCGCGTCGTCGGTAATCCGTTTGAAGAGAAGACAGAGTCAGGGCCTCAGGTTGGTTGGTGTTTTTTTTTTTTACACATTTCAGACAGGCGTTGCAGTGTCCAAACCAAAATGTATCAGGAAGGATTCATGTTCACCAAACTAAAGTTTGAATTCAGACAGGAGATCTCTAAGTATTGACTTTCCATTGAAGTCTGGAGTCATTCCAAACAACAGTCATTCTTTGGCAATTGTGTAGTCTACGGCCCCTGTTTAGTTTCGATCAAATTGGAGTCAAGGGTATTTTTTATTACTCAAAAGTGACCTTTTCATCCAAAAGCAGATTTCTCTCAATATAATGACACCTTTTATGTAATTTTTGAACAGTATTTTTGGGGTAAAAATTAAGATTTTCCTTCACGGTTAGCAATTGGTGCCGTCTGATTCTGTTGATTTAGCGTGCCTTACGCATTCACGGTACATCACGCGGTGATCGCCATCTGTATTTTCGTGTTGCGTTTTGTCGTCATCATCATTTTACCCCCTAATTTCTCTAAAAAATTCAAAACCCTGCCCTTTATATATGACATACCTGCATGTTCTTAATGTGCCAACTAGTTTGGTAGGTCAAATAATTTAAAAGTGAAGTTTGTTCCCTTGTGGGAACCGGGCCCGTAGATACATGATTGCCCATTCTTTTAAGGTACTTGTGCTGATAAAAAATTAATTGTTAAATGTTTTTAAAACTTCATGTACTTATTTCAAGTGGATGTTTTGTAATTACACAGACCTTTTTACAGATAGATTGGAAAAGCCTGTAACTGTGTGAAGCGAAGGTATAGGTCAGCGCCGACATCCAGGAACCTCTGAAATCTCCTTATCTTGTTCCCAGACCCATTTTCATAAAAGTGAATGGTTCCTGAGTCTGGAGTGCTGAATGGTAACACATGAAAACACACGTGCTACTGAAAAGATGCTTTCACTGGTTGATATGATGCTGCGCCGCTCAATAAATTGTGTGGCAGTGCAGAACAGTGGGCTATGAGTGGGATTTTGTGCAGTGCGAACTCTCCCCCTCAATTCATCACAGCATACATAGTCAATGCACAGTTCTAGTCCGATAGCTTTCTGTTAAAAGGTCTTTGCCAATGTCTGATTGCTCCCGGTGAACATGCATTATCAACCAATGAGATATCAGATTACGTCATGAATATTTATGAGTTGTTAACATTAGATTTTCTTCTTAATTCCTATAGATTGATCAGGACCAAATGGACAAGATTCTATCGTACGTCGAGATTGGTAAGAAAGAAGGAGCTAAGTTAGAGTGCGGAGGACAGCGCATCGGTGACAAGGGATACTTCGTCCAATCCACCGTCTTCTCAAATGTGACCAATGAAATGAGAGTGGCTCAGGAAGAGGTAACATCTTGCAACAAAAATTTCACGTTTGTAAATTTTAAGCACCTTAAGCAATTCACCGTTTTCACCTTGTTGTAAAATACAAAGGACTAGGCGCAAGGATATGTGAACATACATTTAGGTGTGACTGACATTTTAATAAATAATTATTCCACAGATATATAAACCTCAATGCCACAATTTCAAAATTGTCCAATTGCCACAAATGAAACATGTTTATCATTTTGAAGCTCATTACCGTAATTTTCGGAATATAAGCCGCGGCTTATACGTTGAATTTGCCCATGAAAATGTGTACTGCGGCTTATACACAGGGTGGATTATACGCCGAGCCTTGAAGAATAAAAATGACATTTACATGTGTATTTAATGTACTGGTAAAAGAAAACATCTGTTGCTGAAATGAATTATTATTGTACTTTTGTTCATTTGTTGGCCGAATAAATAATAATAATAATAATAATAATTTTATTGAAATATAGTTTATCTCTAGAAATGTTGTACAGTTTGGCTCTTACTTGCAACTAAGAAATAAATGAAATGGTTCCAAAAAAAAATAAATTGTCTGAGCATGTCTGATATCATCAGTGGTGCTTAAAGCCAATTTGTACCCCAGCAAAAAGTCATTTCTGAATCATTGTAGTATGACTACAATGATTAGTTAAACTAACTGATACTTTTTATCAGAATTAAAATCCACTTTATAATTATCATTTTAATTATGCACACTTGTCCATAATGTACGTCCGACACTGGAATAAATAGTACATGTAGATGGAATTTTGCATCACTATGATATTAAGAAGTGCCCGGCACATAATATTGTATATAATGATGTTTGTCCTTGTAATTGACCATGTAATGTGAAGTTCATTAGGGCAAAATCAGAAAAACAAGATACATGTGGATTTTGGGTCCTGCCAGAAGTATTTGTGAATTATTATCAGTGGCATGCAATGCATACAACGCTGTGTCATTGCAAACCATCAAGTCCTTGTAATTAATAATTCTTGTCTTCGTTTCTGATACATTGACAGATCTTTGGCCCAGTTCAGTTGCTCATCAAATTCAAGACACTGGATGAAGTTCTGGAGAAGGCTAACAACACTCAGTATGGTTTAGCTGGAGGGGTTTTCACTAAGGATATCGACAAGGCTCTGACGATCGCTAATAGCCTACAAGCTGGCACCATCACGTTAGTATTATTCACTCCCTGAAAAAAATGCCTTTTTTAAACAAATCTGGGTATTTTTTTTTGGGGGGGGGGCCTCAGAACATAATGGTCTTCAAATTATCTAGATAACATTGGAACAGGAGAAGTTCTGCCTGAAGAGATTCTTTTACCCTAAGCCCTTAGACCTATTTGCTAGGATGCATCTTCAATTATGCAAAATCCTCCAACTGCCTCCATGTTAAAATTTGACATAGCCTCAATCTTCTGAAATCATCCGTTATATCTTGAATTTGTTCCTTGGAGGGTTGACCACTGCCTCAGTTCTTCAGAATATTCCATCATCACTGTTAATACGTTGAGGCAGCGCCGTTGATATCCTGATGAAGCAGTGCGGATGATTTCAAGTATAATCTACATGTATGCCTAAATTTATGCATGGCTGAGCATAAACAACACAAGGTTCAGCCTAAGACCTTGGCATAATGCATTCACCAAAATCAACCACACATTTTTGTGCCATATGCAGCCTCAATCCTTCAAAATCCTTCAAAATCCTTCATTATGCAAAGAGGATTTTGGAGGGTTTGGGAAGGTTAGGGTTAAAGTGCTCAAGATCTAAAGAAGGGTGCTGAACAACTAACCTGATGAAGTTTCAGCTAAGCTTTAGCTGTATATTTCGAGAAACACAACATTCTAGGATTTCAATTTCAAATCAAAACTTGCTGAATCATGTGTGTCCGAGACACGTTCTCGCTGAGCTGATTGCAGCTACGCGATGTTGCACACTGATCCGACGAATTATAGCAACCGCGCGCGTGTGCGTCGTGCCAATATGCTTGCGCGCGCTGCGCTGAATAACAAAATGAACTACTAATTTGAATTTCCCATGACCTTCTTTTGTTAATTTCTTCAAAATGACAGCTTGCCATAAAGAATAATTTCACAGGGAGTTTTGTCCCCTTACTATCTTTCAACCAAGTATGTTTTTCATCAATAATTTACGCCAGTTACTTTTTGGATAGCTGCAAATGATGGACTCTGGCTTTAATGTGTGTTGTTTCTTGTGTAATGGATATTCTTGAATCATTTGTTGCTATTTTAGCTATTAGGAAAGTTTGAAGGAAATGACACAAATGGAGTTTACAGTAGTGCTGTACGTGGTGCTATGAGAAGACCAATTAAGACTTCAACGTTTTAATCTTTATTCGCTGTTCGTCTTCTGGAGGGTGCTGCAGGGATATAAGTCTTAATTTTGGTTTGTATTTCTATGTCCATGCAGGGTCAACAACTATTCTGGAGGTGGGGCTAATGCTCCCTTCGGTGGGTACAAGATGTCTGGCATTGGACGTGACCTGTGAGTACCTTGCAGTTTGATTATTTCAATAAAATTTCAGTGGGATAAAAGTGTTGCATCACACGTGGTTTGCTTTGTAGTAATCTAGCTCCACATTTATGGCACTGTTCGGCACCGTATGGCGCAGTAACTTTTGGATAAAGGGAACTTAATTTGCAGTAAACCATGAGGGTCACATTTGATTTTTGGTTAAATAAGAAATGCCTATGTTACAGAGGATCATTTTTATTAATTAACTAGAAACATTTTTGGGTTTTTAAAATTCAATTTTGAAATAAAGAAATCATTTTTCTTCTTTCAACAGTGGAGAAGATGCTCTGCATGAGTATTATCAAGTCAAAACTGTGAGTAACATTTAGGGTTTTATCATCAGGTATTTATTTTTAGAAAAGTGAGTAAAAAAATGGCGAGATAAGGCACAATGTATACATTTGAATAAAATGTAGACTTTTACAAACAGTTGTTATTACTAGATAACATGACATTTTAAAGCGTCAAATGATTTGAGGCGTGCAGTCACATCCCCTGAGAAGGGCGAATAATCGCACGCCTCAATCCTTCAGTACACCTCGGCATACATTTACGGCATAATACAGTGGAACGCCGCTATAAGAACATCGCGGGATCCACAGAAAATGTTCATAATAGCGATCATTCGGTATAGCGATTTTAAGCTGCCGGTGCTCCGGTATTTACTTTTCAATAAATGGCGCCCTTCATAACTTCACCGTGCATGCCCCATTAGTTACTGAAAGACGACTTCAAACACGTGCCGACTATTCAATTATGTAATTACACAGTTTTGAGCTAATACTACCTACATCGATGGGTAGCTTTCCCCTTCTATGCCTTGGGGAAATAATAGCCACTTGTCGCTCTTCTGTTGACTGTTTTCAACAACAATGTTTGGTTGGTTTTGTGCACAAAAACCGGGAGCCAAGGACGATGTTTGGTATAGCCGAATGTACAGTATAGCGGTGTTCGGTATAGCGACGTTCCACTGTAATACTTCTGTGAGTTCTTTAAATGGCTTTACTGCAAACCAAGATGAATATTTTTTTAAAAAACTCCAGATTGTACAGTCCCAGTTTGGACCACATAATCACACGCCTAGACAAATCACACGCCTAGAAATATCCACGTGTGCCTTTTTTTCTCACCTCTGTGATATTCAAATCAGAAGGAAAAAAACAATAATTGTCCTCATCCTTATCCTTATCCTTATCAATGTTCTAGATTTTCCTGTAGATGTACCAAAATAATCTCGATTCAATTCAGTAGGAAAGAGACGTTCCACAAATGTTACGGCGTAAACCTCCAACAAGAATTTCTTGTCTGACTTTCTAACAATCTTGTGTGACTTTCTAACAAGAATTTCTTGTTCGACTTTCTGTTGCAGGTCATTGTGAAGGTGCCAGTGAAGAACTCTTAGATCTTCCAATCTTGGACTTCAGATCAGTCCAGTCTTGCAAACATGTAAACGTTTGCCAAACACAAAATGACTGCCATCCAGCACAGTGCGTATTTCTAAGCAATATTTTTTTCACTTATGAAGCCACAGAAATGATTATTGAATTTCCGAGAGCATTTGCCTCAATGAGAATAATTTCAGCCAAATAATCTTGCTTTAGACTTGCTCAGTGCTTCGCCTAGTTATTACATTTTGTTTGAAGTTTTGACGACGTTGATAACTGTTTCTTCATTACTAATGTCTTTAACACCACATGTATACTGTAGAATGCAGCATTTAACTCTCCCAACACGACGCAATTTTATTTTGTCTCTTTTGTTGCAAATAAATTTTATTTTGAAGTTTGATATTTTCTTCAATACCAACTCTTTTAACAAAATTAATAGCTTGCTGTTTTGCTTTATGTACAACAATAATTATAAATTGTGTCTGTTGTTTAACCTTTATAGCAGAATCCATGATTTCCTGTATTGATTCAAGTTTGCCAAATTGTACCTTCTGATACAATAATATATTTTATTTTCAAATTCTCAGTAAGAAATGGTTGAGGAAAAGTAAAAATAAATCTATTTGATTCTTTCAGATAATGGATTTCACGATTGTGCCAGTTGCTCAAACATTTTAATTAGAATTCTCGTATTCTTAATCATTTATATTTTGAAGATTTTGTCACAAGTATAATCATGTAATTTGTAATCGAGAGCTAGTAATGCTCCGTTTGGTTTGATAATAATCAACTGAAATTCTGTGAGACAGAATTGTGATATTTGTATGAAAGTGATTTGTCTAGATCCTAATTAAACTTGAAATAATGTCCCACACTTGCAAATTCGTGACCTAAAAAGAAATAGTCATTGTTGGACCGTTTCAATTATTTCAATATAAACAGACCAGGTTGGTATTATGTAAGCTAATGACTATGTGAACAGTATAAAGATAGATTATAATCTTTGGCCATAGTACATCACAGCATAGTGAAAAATATGCATCAACCTTTTTCCAGTGATATGAAACATTGTGAAGTGGTGATATGTTTGTTCATTTTTAACAAAATTATTTTTTTTTTTAATTATTATATATCCAGCTTCAATCTGTTAAAACAGTTCTATAAAAGCCAAAATATTATGTCTGTTTTGATATAATAGAGATCAGATTGTGAATCGGATGTCGTAACTGATGCTTTTTGAAAGAGTTTGTTATACTTCTCAGAAGAAAAACAGAGAAAAGCAAGAAAACATACATAAATATCTGTAGTTTCATTTTGTTCAATAAACATTTCTTTCAAGGCTAAATTCCGGATGCATGCATGTTCTTCATTGTTTCTCTTAGTGCAATTTTCCCCCATTTTTTTTTCATAGTTTCAATTTTTTGTTAGTACAGTAGGAAAAGTCAACAGGCTCGTAATGGAAAGAGCAGGAATGCTTTTTTTTTTAAATTAAGATCCAAGGTATTGCATCAATAAACCGTTTTTAGCATTGTGGGGCCCAGTTTGAAGGGGGGGGGGAGCACTCTCATTTTCTTGAGGGGTGCTCATGCTCGATGCGTTTTGAGCAAATTTTGAGCTCATTTTTCCTGTCTGAAATTCTGGGCGGGGCACAAGGGAGAAGGGCACAGACCTTGAGTTTGGGAAATATCCTGGTAGCGCATATAATGTAGTTTTGGCTCGTCTCGCATACCAGAGAGCAAGGACAATATTTGTTTGCATTAGTCTAGAATAAATGAATGCACAAGGGGGTGTATGTGGACTGTTTTTTTTTTACAAAAGTTTCAAAATTACGTTAATTCTCTTTTTAAAATTTTGTTGGAATTCTCTTGAATGAACTTTTTTCGAAAAAAGTTATATTACTTCATTAGAAATGCGCTTTATTCGGGGTGGTTCTGGCTGAAATTTATTTTCTGGTGTGATTTTTTTTTGCGCGAAGCAGTATTTTATCGATTCGGAACTGAAAGGCTAAACTTTTGCTCTCGCGCGCTCTCGACCAACAGCGCCCTCATCAGCTCATCAGTCGACAGCTAGCTAGCTGCATGCGCTGCATATGCAGCGCACATGTAAACGACGACAGACAGCATAAACTTTCTGCGATCTTCTTGGTGAGCGAAATTCTGGTAAATTTCACGGGTATTCTGCAATTACTCCATTTCACGTTTTGGTTCGACATTTCAGGGATATGAGTTACCTAACCATGTCAAAATAATGCCTGTGAAATACTTGGGCTAAACATTTTGTGCGAACAGATAAGTTTGGACTTGGAGGTTGGGGGGGGGGGGTGCCAGTGATGTAGTGCCTTGATGCTGGGCCTTGGCCTTAAGGCTGCCTTAAGGCTGGATTTTAGGGCCTTGGCCTTGGCCTCGAGGCTTGAGGGCAAAAGCCTTGGCCTTGGCCTTGGCCTTGAGGGTTCAGGGCCTTGCAATTTTGAGTCAAGGCTCTTCAAGGCCCATAGATTTTTGCATTTTCCAGATAAATCTGTTCGAAGTTTTGCTGTTACCATTTTAATCGTATTACCATGGAGGAGGGAAGCACCCTATAGATTTGTGTGTTGGGCACACTTCCACTTTTGTAGCATCACATTTTGTTACCATTGTAGTAGATTTGCTGCAAAAATATTCCGTACACTTGTGGGGCTTATGAGATGATCACTTTAATTGCATATAACTATGGAATAGCTAGATCTGATTGGTTGTATATGTCTCCCTGATAAGTGCTAAAGATTTGCATGTATCTGTTTTAGATAATGCTGATATTTCTGACCATGTTGGGCCAGCAAATAAAAATTTCCCAAATCAGTTTCTTGGATCCCCCTTTTGTTACACTTGGGAGAATTGTGTGTCAATATAGAAGTAAATCATTATTTTGTTTAGTTAAACCATATTGAAGACCTGAACTTATACTTTAATAGATACAGTGCAGTCATAAAACGGTGTAGGCCTATTCGAGCATGTTGATTGCAATTAAAGAAATGTTGTTCTTCGTAACGAGCAATTCGTGATGATAAGGGTGTATCCAGGGGGGCCAAAAGGGGCCATGCCCCCCCCCCCCCTAAAAAAAAACGAAACCATTTTTTTTTATGTGACGTCGTAATAAAGGCAGGCAATGAGTACACCACCATCTTTTCCTCAAAAAACATCGGTTAAAATGGTCAGAAATTGCCTCAAATCGCACCACAGAGCATCTCGAATCCAAAATTTTTTTCGGGGCCCTTAAGCGGGCCCCGAAGCCCAAGCCGTAATTTTTTGACCCACTTTTTTTTGGGGGGGGGGGGGGACCAAAATTTCTTTGCCCCCCCCCCCCCCAAATTGTGTTCTGGATCCGCCCTTGCGTGATGATGTGTCACTCATTTGACTATACATGTAATTAGTTCTATATCAGTGGTCATTTCATAAAACAGGGCCTTGGCCTTGGCCTTGAGGGTTAAGCCTTGGCCTTGGCCTCGAGGCTTGAGGGTCAAAGCCTTGGCCTTGGCCTTGGCCTTGAGAGTCAAAGCCTTGGCCTTGGCCTTGGCCTTGAGGGTCAAAGCCTTTGCTCAAACACTGGGGGGTGCACATTTGATAGTAGCCCTGTCACGCCCAAACTATCGCATCGGTCCCAACTATAGTTGGGCCTGTCCCAACTATAGTTAGGCCTGTCCCAACTGTAGTTCCACAGTTGGGCTGGCCCAACTATAGTTGGGCCTGTCCCAACTATAGTTGGGACGGTCCCAACTGTAAGTTCCATTGTTGGGCTGGCCCATCTATAGTTGGGCCACTCCGATCTTTTTATTTTGCGGTGTCCCAACTATAGTTTACATTGATGTACAACCATAAAACGTTCCCTACAGCTCTGATACACGTCTGACTTTACTGGGGACCACTGAAATTAGCTATTGATGGGGCAAATCTATAGTTGGGCCACCCCAATCTTTTTATTTTGCGGTCCCAACTATAGTGTACATTGTTGTACGATTATAAAACATTCCCTACACTGCTCTAATACACATCTGACTTTACTGGGGACCAATGAAATGATCTATGGGTGGGGACCATCTGTAGTTGGGCCACCGCAATATTTTTATTTGGCAGTCCCAACTATAGTTTACATTGATGTACGATTATAAAACATTCCCTACAGCTCTGCTTACATGTCCGACTTGGGACCTTTGACATTAGCTATGGGCGGGGGCCCATCTATAGTTGGCCGGCCATGGCAATCTTTGAATTTTGCAAAATGTTGCTGGATAATAAAACCCAGCAGCTGGACAACTCATCCAACTAGGCAGTACCACGTGACCGGCCAGCCTTGCGGCATGCATGCACGACGAATACATGGTGCCAGCGCAGTGGAACATTTAACCCAACAAGATCTATCAAGCATGAAGCATCCGGCACAACTCCAGTCCTAACTAAAGTTGGGCCGACCCAACTGCCGCACTATAGTTGGGACAGTCCCAACTATAGTTGGGACCGATGCGATAGTTGGGGCGTGACAGCCCGACTGCGTCTGGCCGTACAGTACTATCGCAAGCTCTGTAGTACGGCCAGACGCCCGATGCTTCCACAGAGACTGAATTTTGTTGGCCGCCGATGTAGCGATTTTGCTACATCTTTCGATCGCGATTATCTTTTCATCCAGGACACAAATTTCCAAAGTTAAGGTTCGTAGTCGTAGAGCAACTCATACCTTTTCGAAAAAAACGTTGTTTGGTCTCAATATTTTCATCCATCTGGCCACAAGACGAATTTCAGTCATCAGATTCCACAAATATCGTCCCCCATGCGATTCCCCATGCGATTTCAAAATGGCGGCCGCGCTGTAATGTATGCAATATGCAGGCGCGCCCGCGCAAACTCATGAATATGCATAAACAGTCTGTGACGTATGACCTCGTGTTTTTGGACGTGCGTGCGGCGGGGCCGTACGCATCGGGCGTCTGGCCGTACTACAGAGCTTGCGATAGTACTGTACGGCCAGACGCAGTCGGGCTAATTTGATAGGCGCATAACTTAGACCCAACTTATCGCCTTTTTAACATTTGGACAAGGTCTGGCGCTAACTTCGATCTAACTGAATCAAAAATACTCTTTTGTGATCTGCGGTTAGGATGTTGCAACCTGACCCTACTTCAGCGGTTGTCATGGTTGTGTACAACATCTATGGAGAGTCAAGATAATCATCCCATTCACAGATGATATAGGAAGAAAAAAGCAGCGCTAGTTTGCAACATTCTTTCCCGCGGTTACTGTGATTGAGTGAAGGTTCTGGCCGAATTTCGGCTAAATTTGACTGACAGAATATTTGCATACAAAAATGAGTTGCACAGAAAATTCAGCATAATATTTTTTGGTCAGCAGGATAATGTAGATTGGTGTTTCTGAAGGAAAACGGAAAAGATTAGAGAAATGTAGTATTTTACATGGCAGGATGACTGTAATACCATGTTAAAATTCTGCTAATTCCACTTCAACAAGTGTCTGCCAAAATTGTGAAACTGAAAGGGTTTTTTAGGGGGATCTTTAAAAAAAAAAAGCTTTTTCAAACCAAATGTGCTGAAAAAGGGGGGGGGGACTACTTTTCTATCACTTTAAAGAGGTTGAGTGTGCTTCTAAAGTGTAAATAAACTACAAACAAAGTCTAATGTGAAAATAAAACTTGACAAAGTTCTACATTTTTGGGTAAATGTTTATGTGTAGCCTTTGTAGTCCAGTAAATTGGCAACATTTATGGCGCTAGCTAGCACACTGCCAGCATGTTACACAAGTACCCCATTTCGGAAAGATTTCCATATTAACCCTTACCCTACTTGACCCTCCAACGCATGCCAATTGTGCCTCAAGAAAATCTCCTATGTTTTTTGCATGGCCCTCCAATATCTGCCATGTCATTTCAAGGGTAACTGGACAGGCACTCCAATACATGCCACAGAGAACAATGAGAGTCCTCTGATAACAAAGTGAGTGCCCCCAGCTGGTCAGTATCAGGCACCCTCCAGGGCCTCCAACTCCTGCCAATTGGAGCCTTCACTGTTAAGACTTGTTATCTGCCAATAAACTGCAGCTGGAGGGCATTGGCATAACCAACTGACATGCAGTAAACTACCCTCAGAGAGTAAGGGTTATAAGAAGTTCACTAATTTTCTTCTGTATTGACTTACAAGCCCCCAGATAGCAATTTCATGTCATCAAAGTCAATTTGAGCAGTGAGAAAATACAAGCATTTTCTTAGAAAACACTTAGAATTTTTCAGCCCACTCTCAGTCTCATAGGGTTTGTACACAGGGTGTTGAGTGAACTTCTTATATGGAAATTTTTCCCCCATTTCAGACCATGATAGTCCAAAAGTGATCCGGTGTCATATGAAAATCGGGACTGACGTATGAAAATCGGACTAATTTTCCCTTTTATTGGTTAAACTCTCTCACGGTCCCTCTCCTAATTATCTATGCATGAGCATGCGCAATACCACCAATGAGTCCGCATTTCATAAAACTACACCAGAACAATCACCCTGATACTAACAGTAAAGGCCCACCTATAAATAAGTGACTTGTTGAATTTCTTAATTGATTTGCAGGTAAAATCTTTAACAAGCATACATCAAGATGGGACCACCAGAAATCAAATATAAACAGGTATAGTTGCAATACACGAATCGTCTTAACAATAACAAGAATCTCATAAACCCTAAGTCCCTGGGCATTTTCGCTAGAATGCAACCTCAATCCTGCAAAATCCTCCAACTGCCTCCATGTGAAAATTGCATAAAGCCCAGCCAATCTTCCAAAAATCATCTGTTATTTCTTGAATGTGGTCCTTGGACTTGGAGGGGTGACCACTGCCTCGATCTTGCAAAATACTCCAGCGATCACTGTCAATATGTTGATGCCGAGCCAGTGACATCCTGGAGCAGTGCGGAGGATTTCAATTATAATCTATGCCTAAATTTATGCACGGCTGAGTATAAACAACACAAGGTCCGGCCCACAACCTTTACACAGTGCATCCTCCAAAATCAGCCATACAGGGTACATTTTTGCCATATAGCCTCAATCCTGCAAAATCCTCCATTTTGCAAAGATAATATTTGAGGATTTGGGGAGGTTAGTGTTAATCACGTTAATTTTAATAATATTCTCCCAACATGCTGAAATTGTCAAATTCTTGGTTTTTGTCAGTGTTTTAAAATATCTTTTGCAGCTGTTCATCAACAATGAGTTTGTGAACTCCGTGAGTGGTAAAATCTTCCCTACCATCAACCCATCGACAGGGGAGAAGATATGTGACGTACAGGAAGGAGATAAGGCAAGTTGAAATTAATATCAGGTGAACATACAAGTATGAATGTCGGGAACAATCGGCTGCTTTGTTGCCCAAATATTTGTGGCAGTACAATAGCACAATAAAATTAATAATAATAATAATTTGGTTCTTAAAAAGCGCTTCATACCAAAGTTCTTCACAATTATTACCCCTGTTCATCAGACCACGAGGCCATTTTTTCTGCAGCAGCTCGAGAACAGTGCAATCTGGTCTCGCATCATACCTTCAGAGGTACCCATTTGTATACACTCCTTGGTGGAGAGCAGCACCATCGCCTGCCTCCCCCCTCCCCCCCTTAGTGACGGGCCTAGTGGAGAGAGACAATTGTAGTAAAGTGAATTGCCCAAGAATACAATATCATGTCCCCCATCAGCTAGGGCTTGAGCCCAGGCACAACAGCACGAGTAACAACCACGGCTCTCCAAATTCAAGAGTCATCTGGTCTCAAGTCTAGTACTGATTAAATAAAAGGATGGATAACCCTCCTTTTGTTTGATCAGTCACAGACAGTCAAAAGTTCAGTCCTGTTCCCCTGCCATGCCTTTTGTACAGGCTAATCACCAACAGTCAGATCATATTTCTTGTAGGCACTGTGACAGTCAAATTCCATCAACAGACAAAAGCAGGTGACTGGTAGGCACAGCTGGCGTATCAATCACCTGCAGTCAAAGCATGGCTATAATCAGGTTTCATAACAGTCACAGCCAGTCAATCCTGCTTTATGAAGGCAGGAAGCACTCAACTGTTAAAAACAGTCACTTGGTTTATTTTGACTGCTGGACCGGGCTTGTCGAAATTGCCAGCCAAAGTTTTAACAAGCTAGTCAGACATGTGACACTCATGTCGTCACCGTTTTGACAAAGTGACACATCTGTGCACACAGATGCAAAACCGAGTTTTGAGAAAATTGCGTTTGAAGTTGGTGGATTTTTCAGTTTGCATTTTTGTGTACATTTCTCCCCCAGAATTGAAAAATGTATAACTGAGACAATAGCACAGGAGTTAAATAGCCAAAAACAATTCTCTCTGTTCATAAAAGCATGTTGAATTAGAAGATATTAATTACTAAAGATATCCGTCACTTCGTCAAAACGGAAAATCTACTTCTTCACAAAAATGAGGCATGTTTTTGTACACAGCGCGTGCACGTATATAAAATTGATATATTTTAGAACGCAGATATGTCACTTCGTCAAAACGCAAATCTTGGAGGCTTCATATTTCTAAATATAGCACACATGTAAAATCAATGAGACTAAGTGACACATCGAGATCCGTCACTTCGTCAAAACGAAAAATTTATTGTGTATCACTGTCAACACTTTGTGCAATTAGCGTAATTAACGAACGATGGAATGGTGTGTCTTGAAATTTGGTAATCATGTAGAGGACATCATAAAATGTTAGGATATTCAAAAATCTCAGATTTCAGAAAATCTGGGTTTTGGACGGATGTGTCACTTCGTCAAAACGGTGACGATGTGTACATCCAGAGGGGTGGCTACAGTAACAGTCTTGATAATGACTTTTGATCTTTTACTATCATTATGCTATTGTACGTGTATTGTATGCAGGCTGACGTGGATATTGCTGTGAATGCTGCAAAAGACGCCTTTAAACTCGGGTCACCATGGCGATCAATGGATGCATCCAAGAGGGCATTTTACTTATTGAAGTTGGCTGAACTGTTGAAACGGGATAAGGAGTACCTTGCTGTAAGTAAGAGGGCCATCTTGGGGGAAAAAATGAACAAATGAATCCAAAACGGTGATTAGGCTAGGAATAAAAAGTCTGCATGCATGCGATGTGATTGGTTCAAGGAATTGTGTCATCAGGGTTTATCACAAATGGGCAAGTTTGGTTGCTACCCTTGAAATCAAGCACTTTTTCTGTATTTCCTGGGTTTGCAGCATTGTTTATGTTGCTAGCATCGTGACTTGGGGTGTGATCCCTGGCCATATGGGTTTATGGCTTCTGCTTCTATCTGGAACATAATGGGAAAACGCCGACATATTGCTGGATAGCTCAGTGGGTTGAGCACCTGAACAGTAATCCAGAAGTCGCAGGTTCAAACCCCGCTTCAGTCAATTTCTTTGTTCACATTTATCTTTGTTGTGTATGTATGTATTTATGTATGAATGCACATTTGACAATTTTTAGAGGAAATTGTATACAAATCCATGTTAATACTAGAAAGCACTCAGAGAGCGCAAACTTCCGCTGAGGATAAACAATTCCCCGACCTATTGTCAGTTCATTCACAGAGCGCAAACCTCCGCCAAGGCTAACCGACTCCCCGTCGTATTGTCAGTACACCCAAAAGAAATACTCGCATGAATGGTGAAGAATCCTTTAAAAAAATCCTGGATCCAGACCCAGATCCGGATCACTTCCAAAATCTAATCGATTTGTACTTGTACCAAGGACCACCCCTAAAAGAAATCTCATGCAAATCCGTACGTAATTTTTGAGTTATCTTGTTAACAGACAAACCAAGCAACCAACAAACATCGATGCAACCTCCTTGGTGGAGGTAACAATGCAATAGTTACAAGATTGGTTATTCATTTTTATTGTCATTAATAACTCGCTGTATCATTTTTTTATGTGCCCTGCTTTTTCTGAACATGATTGTTCACAACTATCGTAATCCTATTCCTTGTTTTTCTATATCACTCCAGTCCTTAGAAACATTGGATAACGGATTGATTATTGCAGGCAGCCGATCCTGTGTCGACCGTGCCGTCGGATTACTGCACTACTATGCTGGATGGGCCGACAAAATTACTGGAAAGACCATTCCTATTGGTAAGAAAACTCAGTTCTTAATATTTAAAGGCTGAATATCGCAACTACAGGGTGAGTAAAAAAAAAAGCAGAACCCAAACCCCAAAAATTATATTTCATATTTTAAAAATTATGAAGCACTTATCATAATAATGAAAGGAAAGCAATTTTGTAAGCTACTTTTAGAAAAAAAAAATACTGAAATCTGTTCAAAGAATATCACCATTTAAAACCTCAGTTTAAAAGTTAAACATATTCAACCAAGTCCTTTTGAAGGCCCGTCTTTAAAAAAAAAAGTGCATTTTATAAATCATATTGTTTGCCTAACCAGGGTTGTTAATAAGATATTGTGCACTACAGTTGTTGACAGTTATTGAAACAAGTATTCTCTGTCATTTTCTTTGTTGTTCCAAACAGTCAGAATACACAAAATACTGGGTTTTTTTTGACGAAACAGGTTTTAGGGTCACTGCGTTTAAATGGTGATATTCTTTGAACGGATTGAGCAATTTCAGTAATTTTTTCATCTAAAAGTATCTTATGAAATTGGCTTTCCTGTCATTATTATGTTTGGTGCTTCATATTTTTTCAATATGAAATATATTTTATGGATTTGAGTTCCGCTTTTTTGAGTTACCCTGTATTTCCAGGTAGTAGTGCCATATAAAGATTTTAGTATTCTGTGACGTTCTCATTTTCTTCCACAGATGGCAGCTTTTTTTGTTACACTCGTTACGAGCCTAAGGGCGTGGTTGCAGCTGTTACGCCTTGGAATGCCCCTATTGTAGTGATGGCTCGTAAGATGGCTACTGCCTTAGCATGTGGGAATACCGTGGTGCTGAAGCCTGCTGAACAGACGCCTCTGACTGCACTGTACCTTGCGTCTTTAATCAAGGAGGTAACTTAAGACTGATTTTTTTTCTTCTGTTTTTCCTCCTGCACTAGTTGTGTAGAGCTAGTCAGGGGTGAGACTGGGGGGGGGGGGGAATGGTAAATCCACGAAATAATCAGTCGAAGGTTCCTGGAGCACTGTAGGGTCTGTAGTTTACATAATTGTATTGCCTAAAGGCACCCCTTAAAATAACCATATGTTTTGTTCATAGATATAATTAGGTACAAACACCTTTACTTAGCCCTCCCCCCCCCCCCCGGCACACCCTCAGACGTCCCCCCGGCAGTAACCTCTTTTGATCCGCCCTTAGGTGAAACCTCCGGGATTCCAAATTTCAAAAGGGGATTCTTTAAAATTCCTGAAATCAGGAAAAATACAAACCAAAAAATCCTGGTATCAGGGAAAATATTGAAATCAGGAAAAATACAAAAAAAAAATCATGAAATTAGGGAAAATAAAGATAAAAAATCCTGACATCAGGAAAAATCCTGAACCAAAAAATCACGAAATGTGGAAAAATCCGTCAAACATATTACCCCTGCATGAATGCGCATCAAATCTGACACTGTATGTGTACAGTAGTTTGAATATAATAGGGCTTCCGGCATACTGAAGTTGAAAGTCTTGTACCTGGAAGTTTAGGATTAAGTTATGTCACAGAGCTACATGTATAAAAAGATAGCTTCACGTTAGTGCTTGGTGACCCAGTCAGTCAATGACTCACTATAGTTGGTCAAAGGACATAGGCTGCCCTTTGAGACCAGCAAAAAATGGTGTCTGTCCTTCAGAAAGAAGCTGCCCCCTTCATGCACAATAGTTTCTCTTGAGTTAGAAGCACACTCTTTATTTTATCTCTTTGAATATTGTTTCATTATTAGGCTGGTTTCCCGCCTGGAGTAGTCAATGTAGTGCCTGGCTACGGACCCACTGCTGGTGCCGCATTATCAGAGCATATGGATGTTGATGTCATCACATTTACCGGATCTGTAGAGGTGAGGCTAGTAGTTTGTTTTGTGCTGATAAAGAGTCAGAAACAGACCACATTTTGAGACAGTTTTTGTCCCTCATGATCTCAACAAGAACTCCACTTCTAATTGCATTGGCATGTTTGGATGCTAACAAGATTCTACATCTTTTTTTAAGATTGCACAAAGAAGTTGACTGGAGCGGGGTTTGAACCTGTGACCTCCAGACGGCCGTTCCGGTGCTCTAATAACTGAGCTATCCAGTCCTATGTTGGCAGTTCCCCATTTTGTCAATGCCTTTGTTCAAGGGGCGCTAGTCAGAAGCCATAAACCCATTTATGCCTTGTAGCCAGGGGTCACGCCCAAAGTCACGATGCTAGCAACATTAGCAATGCTGCAAACCAGGGAATGGGATCATCCAGAAAGGATATGGCTTAGGTAGAGCACCGGGAACAGTAGTCCGGCAGTCGCAGATTCAAACCCTACTTCAGTCAATTTTTTTCTTCAATCTTGAAATAGTTATCATGAACCTATGTCAGTTTCAATATGTAGTTTCTTTGAAGATTTTCGTATCAAAAGATTTTACATGGGTTCTATCAGCTACATTCACAAGGACCCCCTCACCGGCAAACAAAGTACAGTTGGGGGTGACCGACAGACGCCATCTTGGTTGACTGCAATTTTGCCGCGACGCGTGGCCGTACCAATGCGTGTACATAGTACAAATCCCCTGGTGCGTCACACACAAGGAACGGTGCGTGTTAACCAGTTAAATGTCCGGCCCATGAGACATCGTTGCTAGGTAAAAGGGTGCCCTCTTTCGTTGGTGCACAGAGCTCATAATGCAACTTAATTACAGATTTTCATAATAAGTTGCCAAATTTCTTGAATGAATTTGTTTGTTTGCTTGTTTGTTTTTTGGCAGGTTGGTAAGTTGATCCAGCAAGCCTCCGGTAAGAGTAACCTGAAGCATGTTTGCCTGGAGCTGGGGGGCAAGAGTCCCAATGTCGTCTTTGCTGATGCCGACTGTAAGTTCTGTCATTTATCTTTTTTAATCTGGTGTTAGGGCCAAGGCTTTTCCAAAATCCAAATGCCAGGTCGGTCAAATCTTTATAATCTACCTAAAAAATGTGATAAGGTCCAAGGTCTTACATAACAGATTGAAGTCACAATCAGTTCAGTTGTTACTGTCCAGTAATCCTTAAAGTCCTGTACTAGATATCCCAGATTACGATTTCAGTGGTATTTTAAACCTGCTTTGTCATGATGATACTTCAAAATTCTGAAAAGCATATTATATTCAAGGGGAATTCAACAGAATCGTAAACCCTCAATGCCAAAACTTAAAAAAAATGCCACAAATGCCACAAATGAAACATGTATATCATTTTGGAGATTATGATCTGTATTTTACAGAAATGTAATTTAGTTCTAACAATGTTCAACAGTCGAACTGTTACTTTTAAGTGAAACATTAAATAATGAGTACAAAAAAAATTCCATTTTTCTGAGTACGTCCAACACTATGGTATTTCGAGCCGATTTCTACTACACCAAAAAGAATTTGATGAATAAATTCTTGTTTGAATCATTGTAGTAACTAACTGATAGTTTTTATCAGAATTAAAGTAGAGTTTATGATAAGAACTATCACTATAAATGCACATTGTTGTAGAAAGCTAGCAAGTACAGCATTTTAAATAGCTACTTTTCGAGATTTCATATCATAGTTGTATATTCATGGACATAATTTTGTGGATGAACTTTATGAAGAAATTTTAGTTATAAATTAAAAGGTTTATCTGAACCGCAGTTTTAGACGAAATTATGTCATATCCCATGTTTTGAGCGATCACAGCCATGATTAATATCAGACACAGGTCTGACATGCAGTGAATCACATTACATCTACAGGCGTGGGCGTTATTACGTCAGCCGGTAAACAAATCTATTCATTTGCACACAGGTTTTCATCGGTTGCGATGAGTTACCATTTAACACTCCAGACTCAAAAACTGTGATTTCAGTTTTAAGTAAATAAGTCTGGGAACTAAACAAGGCAAATTTAGGGGCTAGACGTTGTTATGGTTTGATACGCGATAACCTGCGGCTGCGATAACTCGCTGCCGCGAGAGGGGGTTATCACGATCAACCATATCGCCCACGAACTGTCAGTAACAATGTCTAGGCCAATTCGTATTGGTTGTGTAATGCGCCTTTTGGTTGTGTTTGGCCTAATATATGCAGCGCGCAATAAAAAAAAAATCATAGTAATTCCGAAGCATTTCTTCCAGTAATATAAAAGATGCAGCAAGACTTTTGTGCAACTACACTGGTCAGCGTGTTTTTGTGTGTAGTATGTGTGGGACTGAAAATGGACCGTAATAGCCTGCAGAATTCGCGCATGCGCACTAGTTTCCCCCATTTTTTGGGGCCTAGACATTGTTACTTGATATGGTTGGTCATGATAGCGCCCTCTCTCGGCGGCGGGGTATCGCTGCGGTGGATTATCGCGTATCAAACAATAGCAACGGCTGGCCCCTAGATTAGACAAGGCAATGTAAGAAGCTCCTGGATATCCGCACCCACCTTTAAGGGCCTCGTAGAGTGGTTTATCAGAAGCTTGCCTGATTTATTTTGTAACTTTTTTCCTTTCTTTTGACAGTGGACTACGCAGTTGAGACCAGTCACAGAGCCTTGTTCACACATTCAGGCCAGATCTGTATCGCAGGGTCTAGAACGTTCGTCCAGGAAGACATCTACGATGAGTTTGTTAAGAAGAGCACCGAGCGAGCAAAGAAGAGGGTCGTTGGAGATCCTTACAATGACAAGTCCGAGTCCGGCCCTGTGGTAAGTGCCTCAAATATCGCAAACTCCTTGTTTGAGAGACAGTCTGTTTAACCAGTTCATGCCAGAGGACGTATTAACATAATCTGGCCATGTATTTTCACAGGGGTGGGCGACGGGTTAAATCATCAAGCTTTTTCCTGGTTTCCTACCCATTGGTAGTCCGTCGTGTCCGACGATAACAGTGGACGTGTATAAACATCAGTGGTTCCCATTGATATTGTACCCACCGTGTTTCAAACTTGAACTTGGCCATTGTAAATGGCCAGTTGTCGTAGAAAATATCGCTCCGTGGCAGGGCCTCGAAGTATTGCAACATATGAAGTTACGGTGAAAAGTATCATACAAATATTGTACAAATGACTCTCAAGAGTAAGTATTTGTGGTGTTTGACTAACTTTTAAAATTTAGCCTTTTTATTTTGGGGATTTTTTTCTTAAAAAAATATTAATTTTTCGGCCAATACAATCCCAGCAGCAAGTGGTTAAAGTGGTTGTTGATACAACCATGAATGCCTCATCGCATCTTAACTGTTTGATTGAAAATTGAAGCAAATCAGGCTAAATTTTCAGAACAAAACTAGCACGCATTGTTGCTTTCGAAGTTGCTTGGCGCGTTCAATAGTGCGATACGTCATTTCCTGCATACCTTCAACGGTGCAGGTAATTTGGGGTTTTGGGTAAACAGTGATTCCCAATGCTGGTATACGTATTGCACTATTGAACGTGCCCCAGATCCCATTCAAATGGTCAAAGCTTGTCAGTGTAAAAATCCAGCACATTCGTTTGCTAGAATTTGACAGATTAGGGAGCTACTATAAAATTGCACAGGATGTCATGTTCCAATTTGAAGTGGATGGACGAACAAATTGATTGATTTACTTCGGAATTGAAATTTGGGAGATTCCAGAGAATATTTTGAAAAGTGGCTTAATTTAATATTAATTCTGATATTATGTTTTGCTTTGGAAATGCTAGATTGATGAGGTTCAGGTGACAAGGATTCTTGGGATGATTGAGAGCGGTAAGGAGGAGGGTGCCAAGTTACAGTGTGGAGGGATTCGTACAGATTGTAAAGGCAACTTCATCGAGTCCACCGTCTTCTCTGATGTGACCGATGACATGAAAATCGCTAGAGAAGAGGTGAGAGAGTTGCAATAACTCAACACACTGCAGTCCAAACTTGAAGTTTGTAAGGTAGTCTTATTTGTACAAAAGCCATTTCTGAACTGAAAGTCCGTCACAACAAGCCAATATTGCCCCTCAGGCCGGCAATTCTCTCCGGTTTCAGTGACACGAAACGACTGAGAATATTTCTATTCCCCCCTGGATGGGATGCTAGTCCACCCCAGGTTCCTCAGCTAATGCCGGTACCCATTTATACTCCTGGGTGGAGAGAGGCAAGTGGGGATGAAGCATAGAGCTATATTAAATTACTAGAGCGCTAACTCGTCATTCTGCGCGCGGAGACGCTTTGAAGCCGTCCTGGGTGCAGACATTTTGAATTCATGTGCGTGTTTGTAGAACATAATGAAATTAGATGGATTGAATTTTGAAAGTGTTCTCTACATGCAACGCGCAAGTACAACATATGCAAACAACTTAAGCGTGTCATTGACGGTTCAAAAAAACGTGACGGCAAAAAGCATCTGCAGCGAATACGCGCACTGCGTTGCGCTGTTTGCGAAGAGCAAAATGACACGCTCATTTGCTGATCTAGCGTTTCGGTTTTGGGCGTATTGGCTTCGATAACGCACCGGTATGGAATACAAACGCAGATATTCAAATAGCCGTACAAAAGCTGTACAAAATTTCTAGTCTCCATAGGTTTGTGCACAAACATGGATGCGCCCAGCAGGCATTACTTTGTACACGAAGTTAGCGCTCTAGTAATTTAATATAGCTCTATGGGATGAAGTGACTTCCCGAAGGACACAACATATGGCTAACAGCTGGATCTGAACCTCTGACCCTCTGATCATGAGTCACAAACCCTAACCACTTGGCCACACTCCCCGCAAGGGCAAAGGGTAGGCACTATGTCTAGGAGGGAGAGGCTTACTTGTAACTTCAATCTCAGGAACCCTTTCACATTAGCAAGAATCCAACAAAGCTTCTACATGGATCTGGCTCTCAACACATGTAAAATCCAACCCTGGTCTGGACCAGGGTTAAAAGATTCTACCTGGGTAGAAAACCTCAAATCTACAGCCAACCAGTGTACACACCCTTGTAAAGGCCTTTTAACACTAGACAAACCTCGGGGTTGACACAGGGTTGGAAACATGCGATGTTTCACACTTCAAAAATTTTCAACCCTGCGTCAACCCTGAGCTGATTGAGTTCTCCTGGGTTGAACTCAACCCTGCTCCAGACCAGGCTAGAGATTTTCAACCTTGTTTGAAAGTCTCGCCAGGGTTCAAAACAAAAGTAACTGAGCGAAATGAATTTGGTTTGTACGAAACAAGTGTGGACACGATGTGGGGTTGGAAAATCAAGAACTCGACCCGGGGCGGCACTGGGTTTGCCCAGGGTCGAGTTTAACCCGGGTTGATATGAGATCTAGTGAGAAAAGGCCTTAGTGTGAATGGTACGCCTCCCCTACCCATGTTTGATGGGACTCGATTCGGCTTTCGGTTGACCCATGTTGATTTCAACACGGGTAGGGCAGTTGATGGTGTGAAAAGGCCTACAAGTCTCAAATACGGCCATCTCTGTAGGAGAACTGCCACTGCGTATTTTACGCAGTCAAGCATGCATTGCACAGTCTTGAAAATGTTCTAAACATGCGCGCTTGTTGCTCGAAAGTATACCTCCCATAGATTACTGAAACATGACATCAGCAGTCATTGTTCTGGTTCACACAGTCGTTTTTTGCTATGCTTCCGAGGATTGGCTTTGTGTTTTCCTTTGTCCCTGTAATATAACACTCTCCCATAGACTAAGCACACAAACCTGCGTTCGAGGACAATAGGCACCTTCCTTCGAGGATCAATGGCCCCTTTGTGCTCATTTTGTTGTCTGTCCTCAGGCGTAATGCCATGCAGGAACACTCTGGTTTGCGCGCTGATGTTTTCACACACTTAATCTGTGCGCATGGAACAGAAAATGCCGCGCACTTCGGTACTCTATTGCGGTATGCATCTTTGTTTCCAGAGACAGCAACTTGACATCTTGCTTCATTCCTTGACTCTGCAGATCTTTGGCCCCGTGCAGCAGATACTGAAGTTCAAGACACTGGATGAAGTGATTGAACGGGCCAACAATACATCCTATGGCCTAGCCGCAGCCGTGATCACTAAAGACATTGATAAGGCTCTGACTATGGCTAACAGTGTGCGAGCTGGAGTGGTATGGTAAGTTTTTTGTAATATAGTCATTTTCCAAATAATTGTACTTATTTTACAAAACGATTCAAGCATTCCTTCTGTATCAGCCAGCATTACGAAAGTTTAGGTTAATTTCTATGTGTTTTTGTGCAAGTTGATTGAAAGCAAAAGTAGAAATAAATATTACCTGGTTATTTCTGATGACAGGGTCAATACCTACAGCGTTCTGGATCCTAGGGCCCCGTTTGGTGGCTACAAAATGTCGGGCATTGGCAGAGAAGGGTATGTTATCTTCAAAAATTTCTCTTCTTTACATTTAATGTTAAAATTTCTGAGTTTGCCCAAAATAAGGCTTTTAGTACAATTTTGTTTTCAATTTCGCCTAATCATGTTCCAGCAAGGTTTAACATTTCACTTTTACTTTCATATTTTAACATTTTTTTGTTTTGCTCTTACAGAGGTGAGGAGTCACTTCTAGAATTCAGTGAGATTAAAACGGTAAGTTACTCATTTGATTCCTTCAATTTCCTTCAATTTCAATAGAATTCCTGTAAATGCAGACAAAAGTCTTTTGACTATAGTTAAAGTTTTGTTTCGAAGGCAATCAAACCATTTAGTGTTTATGAGAATTGCTACACTACAATTCGGGCAATTCATAATACAGCGCGCCACCAAGAGTTTGCCACAGAGTTCATTTTTCCCAGTGCATTGTGGGAGATGGTCGGGACATTTGAAATCGTTAATTTTTCCAGCCAGTAGATTCGTAAGTGTATGATTCGAGTATAGGTTTGCCCTTTTCTTTTCTTTTTATCAATATTGTGTTTTTTATTAGGCGGCAGAATGCTATGCCCCAATCTATAACAAATTAGCTCAAGTTGTCTACCGACACTCGTTCAAATGGGCCATGTTTTGTCGACCGTAAACTTGAAAAATTGACTCTCCATGGCAAGCTCTTGGTAGACACTGCTTTGTGAATCGCCCGAATTAACAACCCCTCAACAATTTATGAAATTAGAGTCTGTTTTTTTTCTTTGGTAGTATTTTTATGTGATTATAATGATATTCTCATCTGTGTGAAATTTGTTTAAGGTTGTCATCAAGATTCCGCAGAAGAATTCCTAGACTGTAGTGACTCAAGAAGACAACTATAGGACGACAATCAAATCAACCTTGCCCTGGAAAAGGTTTTAAAGAGTGTATTCCTCTGTGATGTTGATTAATTTTATGATAATTTTGAAAATGTTCACATGAAGCTCTTGGTAGAGCGCGTAAGTCTCACGAGTCCACGTTCACTTTTTATGTGAATCTCTTGGTGCCAAACACTTTCTAGTCACAGACCCTGTGTTTGAATTTACCCACTTGAGCGATTGAATGGAAGTTGAGGTCATCAACTACACGTATGATTTAATAATAGTCTTCAATTTGTAATATTTTCAGTATGTTTTACATTGCAATGCTTTCTTATGACATACCCATTTATTGCCATTGATTGGATGGGCCCAGTCAGGACACAAAACATATGCAAAAAAAGGACGTTTCACATGTTGTAGATCCTATCCGCTCCGTTCACAAGTACCCCCTCACCGGCAAAGGAAGTACAGTTGGGGGTGACCGACCGACGCCATCTTGCCTGATTGCAATTCATTTGCCGCGAAGCGCGGCCACTGCGTGTGCATAGTACAAATCCCCTGGTGTACGTGCGTCACACACTAGAAACGGTGCGCGTCAACCAGCGAAATGTCCCGCCCATGGGACGTCGTTGCTAGGTAAAAGGGCGCCCTCTTTGTCGGCGCACGGAGCTCATACATGTACATGGTGCCCATACATGTACATGGTGCCCAGATGTGCTGTATTCGTAAAATCTTGCAGGTTTTTGAGGTCAACTTACACACTTTATAGAGATTTTAAGAACCATTAATGTTCTTCAATTTACCAATAATAACATTTTGCTCTTTGTTAACTTTCTAGGAAAGAACAAAATAATTTATATACTCAAAATGAATTGATTCTTTTAAGCCTGATTACAGATTACGTTATTATGTTGGTTTATTTGCTTATTGAGAAAGGTTTTGTGATTTTAAGTAGCCTTAAAGGTGGCGGGAATCAATACAAGTAAGATAAAATGCAAATTTTAGCGCAATTTCTTGACAGCTAATGAAGGTCTAATTATTATTTGAATGATTTGTCAGTATACATAGCAACTTTTGCTATAATGCTAAAAACAATTTGCAAATTCATATATCAATTGCCAATTTCTGAAATCTGATTATAATTTGATTAAATCTATCAAGCTTTGACAAATTTCGATCACATTGTGTTTTATTTAATATTTTACCTAATATATATTTTATGAGAATATCCAATTTATGAATACTTTCTTCCATTTAGCACTTACTTCTTGATTATGTACTAATAACTTCATAATCTATTTTAGATGAAAGAAAACCAGTAATGTGTATATACAAATGTACATGTGAATCAAGACTGCTTAACAAACGTACATGTACAAATTAATGCATTCCCCATGTGTTTTGTTTTTTTAGGGTTACATCAAAAAATATATTTGATTTTTCAATTTCTATTTTCGAAGAAATTTAATAAGTTATTAACTTTTGAATAAAACATCGAACCCAAAAATCAACCAATAGTTAGTTATTGAATTATTTCTTCATAAAAATCACATTATTGCCTTCCAGACAATAATTCCGCTCTCGTGGGGGGGGGGGGGGGGGGGGGTCATTTGTGCACAAAAACGATATCCCCTTTTCGGAAGGTTGCAGACACCCAAGATCTGTATAAGTAGTTTTTTGTTAAAAGACGACAAACAAATTGAACCTTTGAAAGGAGAAGAAAAAATTGTTTTGAAGAGCACAGGTTTGCACCTTAAAAATGGCTTGAAAGGTAATAATTTACAAAACTTAAATAACTAATGTACAACTTTACAACTTCGTATGAGATACAATGATTGCAAGAAATATACATTTTTCTCCATGCTCAAATCATCTCATACCCTTGTTTCGCCCAAGAATCACCACTAGATGGCGCCAGACAATGTTGCACTCATCTCTTCCATTTCATCTTCTGGAATCTTCCTACATGCAGCTGCAGCCTGGGCACAATAAAACAACATGAGAAAACATATATTACTCTAAAATCCTTGATTCTTTGAATGTGGATTATATATGCAGAAGGCAAAACAACTAAACATGGAGAAATCAAAACTATCAAAAAAGGCACCTAGCCAATATGTCGTAACTCCTTTGACTGGTTCACAGTTGATGCATGCTGACACATACCACACTAGCTTAAAGTTAAAGGGAATATACATCATTTGCTTTTACTGTAATTTTCAGAAATGGATGGAATTGGGGGGTTGGAAATATATAGCAAATATAGTTACACTGACTTTTTTGAGGTTTTGGGTTCGAAAATGCTATAAAAACCAAGAAAAACAATCATTTTCCTGTAGTCTGGTTCCCTGACTCCATATAAGAAGAAACAGAGCAGTTTACATACATTGGGGAATTGTAAGGTCAGGGAACCAGTCTAGCTGGCTCGTACCCGTTCATAGGTTTGTAATCGATTGCAAACAAGTGCGATGGTAAATTGGGGCCAGTATTTGAAAAAAAAGCCAGTTTTTTTCCAACGCTGATCGGCCGATCAGCGTTGGAAATTGATACAAAAATACCACTTTTCTTGAAAATGACAGTATACCAGGTGCCATGATTTTACAGGATGCTTTACACTGTCATCCACTAACAGTCCAGCAAGGTATTTCAAAATGATTTGGTAGTTTTATTTTTTGATGTTTGCAAATGTTGTATTTTCCCTTTAAAGACATGAAGGATCATTTGGTTTTCATGCATTCTGTTCATTTTGTTCATATCCAATAGTAACCACTCAAAATCCGAAGAAGAATGTTCAAAACCTAACTTGTTGAAGTATCAGCTCAGTAGGTATTACTGCATTTTCGAGTAAAACAGTGAAAAAAAAAACATGCACAACTGTTTGATCAACAACAATTGCACTCTATTTCCAAAATCCAGTCAATGGACTGACCGTTAGAAATCACCTACATTTCTTGATTTCTTCTGAATGACAGCAAGGCCAGATTGAATAATTTCACGTAGTGTTTAGTACCAGTTACAATCATCCCTGACAGTCCTGAATCCTCCCTCCCTCTCTGGCTGGCAATCTCAACAACGCCAGCCCAGCAGTCAAAATAAATCAAAGGACTGATTTTTGACAGTTGAGTGCTCCCTGCCTTCATAAAGCAGGATTAACTGGCTGTGATTGTTCTGTAACCTGATACAGCTATGCTTTGACTGTAAGTGATTGATAAACCAGCTGTGCCCACCAGTCGCCTGCTTTTGTCTGTTGATGGAATTTGACTGTCACAGTGCGTACAAGAGATACGATCTGACTGTTGTCGTCTAACCTGTGTAAAAGGCACGGCAGGGGAACAGGATTGAATTTGTGACTGTCTGTGACTGACCAAAGAAAAGGAGGGTAAATCTCAAGAGTGCTCTGTCTGATGACAGGTTTAGTAGATGGGTATATCTAAGGAACAAAGACCATGAGGGCGCTGTTGGGGTTATTCATGATTTCTATCAATACGCACACATTTAATTAATACCTACCCTGTCAAACGTTTTCATTTTCTCGGTGATCTTCTGTTTAGTGTCGAGCAGATGTTGCTTGCGTGGTAGTACTGCTTGATGTAATCGTTTGTTCTCTTGCTCAATCTGATCTAAGAGATGCTCCAATCTTTCCTTCTCTCTGAGTTTGGGTTGGATGAGATGGGCGCGAGAATCCTCCACTGGGTCACCTGAAGGTCTCCTGAATAAGGCCAAGAAAAACAATATTTCCAATTACATTAAAAACAAAATAGGGTGGGTTGTGGATGGGTGGGTAAAATGTTTTTTTTTGCCTTTCAATTTTTACAGCCAGAAAAAAATATGCTGGATGCTGGATGAATATCAACTCTTGATTTTGCAGTAGCTACGTAGGGAGGATTCAGGACTGTTTAGGGCTACCCTTAACAGTCCTGAATCCTCCAGTTTTAATACAATTTTGCACGACCCCAAAGAGTTAGGGTTGGCTTCGCTGCACTGTGCGGCAAGAATGGACTGCCAAACAACTTTAAAAAAATGAAAAGAAATTTTGTTTTTTTAAATGTAGGAAAATGCCCCCCCCCCCAAAAAAAAACAACCCCTAGCGGACGGGCTGTGCAATCAGTTTTAAGGTGTTTTCTTCTGAATAAATAGATTAAGTTCCTGCATAATTTTCTAGGTTTGGTGGGGAAACCAGAAAGATTTTTCTTGGCCTAATGCAAGCCATAATTGACGTGTTGGAGTTGAGTCCAAGTCATCCAGTCCTAACTCAAGTCACAATCTCTTCAAATGAACTGGACAAAGACATTCCTTTGTTCATCCCCTGTTAATTGTGACTGGACTTGTGAAAGGACTTGTGATGAAGTTAAGGCCAACTCAACTATAATACCTCATTAAAACCCTCCGAGTGTTTGATCAGCCACAGACGGTCAAAATTTCTTCCACTTCCCCTGCCACGTATTTGTATACAGACTAGTAAAAAAACAGTCAGATCACATTCATGTAAACACTGTGACTAGTCAACTTCCATCAACAGACAAAAGAGGTAACTGGTAGGTACAGCTGGCTTATCAATCATCTCCAGTCAAAGCATGGCTGTATCAAATTAACAGAGGAATTCTTAACTGTTAGAAACAGTCTCTTGATTGATTTTGACTGCTGTGATAGCGTAGCTGAATTCGTCAGCCAAAGAGGGAGGGTTTATGATTCAGGTTCAAGCCATAAATGGGTTTATATTTTCTGTCAGTCAGGGCCTTGATATTTTTTTCTTTGAAATAATGGTAAACTGCTTCAAACTGACATCCAACTGCAGACAAAGTTGTTGGAGCAATTGGATTGGTATATTATGTGTATTGGACTTTTCTCAGATAAAAATATGCAAGTTTGTCGGTTTTGTGGAGTACAAGCTGTAACAAATGTGTTGTACAGTGTCTCTTCCACAGTGACAAGGGGAGATTTATTCAGGAAGTTTAATAGTGATTTGAAGTGTTGAGCTGAATTGTTTGATCTAGCAATCTTACCATGCCGGTTTTGTTAGCTGCGTTGGTGCGTCTTGTATGTGCTGATCCAATTCATTGAAGAGTTTCACTAAACCTTCCTCATCAATCATCAACTCCAATTCTTTCTGCATCAGAAAAAAAAAGAAAAAAAGGAATTCCAAATGTCAGTAACTGGTCTAGGTGGACTGGAAAGCAATTACATGAAAACAAATGGGGGATTTGTAATTTATTTAAGGCCAAAAAAAATTAAAAAGTTCTGCTTCCAGTAACCCTACCTACCTACCTTTTTTGGACAGCCCCTACCCTCATTTCTTTGGGGGAAAAATAAGGCGGAAAAAAACCCCTTAACCATAAATTACTACTTTTATCCTTGACTACAAGCAGACACGTCCATATGATTGTATACAAAAGAAATTGCCAAAAGAAAAAACATTTCCCTTCCTACCTACCCTATTTTTAAATGCCATGTAATCGGAAGCAGAATTTTTTTTTGGGTCTAATGTATGTTGAATTTATAAAAGGCTAAGACTTCCAAATTCAATTGAATACTTTCATAAAAAAAGTATGCCCCATGCATACTTTTATGAAAATGCATGATTTATTTATTACAAAATAAAAACTGTAGAAAAAATAAATAAATGTATATATTTCTTGAAAAAAAAAAAGACAAATTATTCCCCTTACTATCCCGAATACATATATCTTTGTCTCCGGTGGTATTTTTGGTTAAAGATATAGTTATAATATTTTAATTTTGAATCAAGAAAATTAATTAACCTGAATAGATGATTCCAGATTTTCCAGGAATTGTTCTCTGATGCTTCTTAAAGCCTCTGGTCTCTTCTCGTGTGCAAAGTAGTAGCTTCGGCCAAAAGTGCTGTATCTGTGTATTGAATATAATGAAGAAACAATGGATCATGGATGACAAACACAATTTCATTGTTGGGTAATTAACTTTCTTTCAAACATTTCTAGAGAACAAGGGCAGTGGATGTTTCACTGGTCCACAATTGTTTTCAATATTGTACCGACACTGCACTGGCAGCACTGCACATGCACACTGGCTTTTTGGGGGGGACATAGACATTTTTAAATTAATGCGACAAATCGTCATCTAGTTCCGCGCTAACGTTGTCGTTGCGACTTTGTGTTGAAGAGATGGGAATCAGACCTAGGCCCTTATTACAATTTTTACAGACTTTATTTCCCTTTTAAAAAATGCTCCGGATTAAATACTCTGCAATTAAATGATTCGAATTAAAAGAAACAACAAAAGAAGACAATTCTTATTTTTTGTGACACAAAAATAAAGTTTCAAAAACATCGGTCATGCTGGGACTCAAACTGGAATGGCGTTGCTTGTGAGGTGGGTGCTCTATCCAGCACTAGGCCACGCATTCGCTCGACGACAAATGGTATTTTAATAGCGGAAAGAATGTTGCAACCTGACGCTGCTTTTTTCTTCATATATTATCTCAATGAAGGTCAGTGATATGAATGATAAGACATGAATCTGGGACTGAAAAACACTTGCAATTTTGTTAGGAAATACTTGGAAAATGTTCCTGACTCTCCATGGACTTTGTACACAACCGCTGAAGTGGTGTCCGGTTGCAACCTTCTTTCCATAATACTAATAATACTGTGTAGGCATGGTAGGCCTACTCGTATACATGTGACGTGCATGAGGGCGCTATACGATCTGCCGGCTTAAGAATAAAAAATGCGAGACCGGTTCATGGCTAAATAAACACTTTGTAAACAAAATCAAATTTCTAGGCCTATAATTTCAAGTAGAAATTAAAATAAACAAGTCGGCCTAAATCCTTAATTTTCAAATGGTTTGAAATCCTACATCATACATGTCTGACAATAAAATAGCCTTACTCTCCTGTTTGCGGTCACCTAGAGAATCTAAAAAGCTTCAACTTCCGGCAAGTCGTGAAGACAATCATGTGTCGGAAATAAATGCATAACCATATATCACAGCATAAAACAATAATGTGCATTACCTCCCTGCCTCTAGACATTTTTTGACAGTTTTCTGAAGTGCATCCCTTAGGCGAATCATGTGAGAGCCTTCATCAGTCATTCCTTCTCCTGCTCTGGAAACTACCAGCGTAGAATCACGCGTCGACATGGTCGATGCTTCATTCTTTGACGTTTCCGTCGCACTGTTTACACTCTCGTCCGATCCGGTCGCCATATTTTGAAGAACCGCGCGAATTCCCTGGCTCAAAGAACCCGATTGAGGGCGCCTGTCACGTTTAACGAAGGTCTCCGTAAAAAGTGTGGCTTTGCCAATCGTATCTCCGTCTTGCACTTAGTTTCCGCTATAACACTCAAACCGAGTACAAAATAGACCAAAGTTTTGGCTAAATGATATCAGATTTGACTTTTTGAAGTAGAGCAGAGCATGAAGAACTAATAGCTAGAGTCTCCAAAATGAGGGGCATAAAATCTTCTGGAGTCGAACCGAAGACGAAGCCAACATTTTGAAAACCCCATATCCCGCAGGGCCAGGGGCGGATCTAGCTTTCAGGAAAGGGGGGGGGGGGGTGTTTGTTGATACGAAGGGGGGTGTTGTGTTGAGTGGAGCCGGTTCGACACGCCTTGTTAGGGTGATCCGGGGGTTGCCCCCGGCCGGGAAAATTTTGAAATATAGCGACCCGTTATTTCAGCACAAAAGTTGCTAGAATTTTGAGGTTTTTGCTGTCATAAATTGATTCATTGTTGTGTAAGTACATGGCATTATATACCCTCCACAAATGTTTTTCCAAGAGAAAATTTTGGGTTCACAAATTTGAAAACCTCTACAGTGTCTTCCTGAAATGACATCACAGCAACAGCGCCCTCAGTTATCTGGAAAAGCATGACTGTTTAAAGAAGGCAGCGAACTTATTTTCAACAAAATTAACCAAAAAGGAATGTCAAATATCTTTTACACATTTTAAGAGGAGTTGAAAGTTGCACAAAATTTGGTACTAAGAAAAATTCACCGCATAGACAAAAAAAGTTTCTCATAAGCCTACACGGTACGGTCGTGTACTAACGATGAAAAAATCAATGCATGGGGATAGGCCTACACTGTACATGTACACACACTGTACACCCACATACACAGGGATCAGTGCTTTCAACCCAAACAGTCAGTGTTGTCATCAAAGCGCCCTCATAATCAGACAAGTAGCATTGTCCCGTCACACAGGCAGGGAGCGCCGTAGCCATGGAAACGGCAACTTGGGGGACAGGTTGGGTGCACAAAGTACGTACACGGGACGCAGTCACTGTGTAAATCATGCTATACCAATGGAACACAACGATGTAAATGAAGGTTTTTTGGCATTGGAACCACCATCGAACATGGACATTTCTTTCTTTTAATTCCACCCGGCAATTCCTACAAGTGGAGTAAATATTACCCGATACTTCGTTACAAGGTGAGTGTCGTAGATTGAAGTGATAACCCTTTAGATTTTTGCAAAATTCACTTGTTGAGTGAGAATTTGTAGGTCTATAGTTCATTTTGACCATTCATTGCTAGTACATGTATTTGTGTCACTGTCGTCAAGGTCATACTAAAATTATGAATCAAACATTTTGTTTTCTGGTGACAGATATCTCTATAAATTATTTTTAAACGTAGCTATACAGTTTCATGAACGCTAAAGCAAGCAAGCATAATTTTTGGAAAACATCGATGGCTTACGCTGGAGAAAATCAACAGGCAGTACAGTACACACTAGGAAGTAATTGTTGCCAAGGGGAAGCACGTGCAATATAGGCCCAAATGAACAAAAACAATCACTTATTTTCCCACAAAAATACCAATAAGGAAATGCGTTATTATTATTATTTTTATTATTATTATATATTTTTGATGAGCCCAGCAACGTCATCAAAGCTACGTCTTTCCCCTGTCGGGAATTTTAAGGCAAAACACCTGTCGTCCCTTTTAGTACCATCTGCGGCGCTAAATGGCGCATCCGACTCTAAACTGAATAGCACTTTTCGGAAATCGGGAAAAAGCCACTCAGCACAAGATTATTAAATATTTAGAAGGACGATCACTGGCGTTGACATGGTGACAGCAGTGCCTTTTTTGGTTAGTTGTTGATCACTATATTATGAACCTGTTTGATATTTATGTTTCGTTCGAAACGACATTTTACTTTGATAATAGCAATCCCGCGAGCCATCGTTCTTCCAGCCGGGAAATAATTAAGACTACAAAGAGACTGAGAAGAAATACATGTTTAACGCTAACATCCTGGTTGAATGGGAGAGCGATGATTTCTAAGAAAAGTCTTGTCAATTGACAAGGGTGGAGTCATCCCCCTCAACAAACCCCTCCCGACCATCTCGTATCTCCCCATCTTGCCCCCCCCCCCCCCCCCCCATTGCCCCTGACTTCCCACTCGCGATCCCTGCACCAGGAGAGGCAAAAAAAAAGTTTTTGGAAACGATGATTACTGAAAGATGATGAAATTGTTTTTATATAGTTTTCCAGAGTGGAAAGCTATCCATCCCGGAGAAAATCACGGATACAAAGTCTAAATTTTAGAAGACATAGAAACTGATGTGTTGACAAATCAACGAATTAACCTCAGATTTTCCTACATAACTTAATTCAGAAACGAAATTTATGTAGTAGCGAGGCAACATGACTGTTACGAGTGTGATGATGTCAACAAAAGGCGAACATGTCGTTATAACGGTATCAATAACATCTGTTTGCTCTGGTTAAGAGAGCGATGTTTGTGCAGCAGATAAGTGCCGTGAAACCGATGCGTCTTTCTGAAGGGCCTGCAAATGTTGAAAAGCCTCCTAGTAAACTAATTATAAATTCTGCAGGGTGACGTTTGTTTAGTTATCGAAGCATTAAGATAACTGTTGCAGGAATTATCACCTCAAAACATAAAAACATAGGGATTACACAATATATCGTGAGATGATTTACACAATATATCGTGAGATGATTTAGCATTGCCATATACCATTTCTCATTTTAAATTGAACAAGCAAGCTACATTGACGAAACTTGTGAAAACATGTATAAGGTAAAATGTTCTGTGAAAATAATATTCATGAACGAGTGCCGACGCCAGCATGAGAATAAATTATCGGCAACGAAGGACCCTATAAGGACCCAATCCATGTTGAAATGGATTGTTTTTATCAAGCCGAAACACAATCATATATTCAGACCCTTATATACACTCTTCATCGCCGCCGCCCGTTGGAGTTTGAAATGCCCTTTATTGTATGTGAATTATAACTGCCTCAAAATAACGGAAATTTCATGCTTTTCTCCTGCATGAGAATAAATTATCGGCAACGAAGGACCCTATAAGGACCCAATCCATGTTGAAATGGATTGTTTTTATCAAGCCGAAACACAATCATTATTCTGTATATTCAGACGACACAGCTGGGTAAACAGTCGTTTTGAGTTTAATTTTGTCAACACTCATGGCCGATTGATTAAAGCGTTCACTTTTTTTGGCGGGCATATTATTCCAAATTTGAAACAAAAATTGCATATTCTGGTGATACATTTATTTTTTTTCTTCTAAAAGGGACTTTCAGTTTGGTTCTTTAAACGAGGAATCAAACATATGTCAAGAGAAAGCAAAAAACGCGATTTCTGTAAATTAATCATTTTTCGTATAGTTGATGCGATACGAAAGCAATTGGCCTTTGCAAACTTTTAATCTTGTTATTCATTTTAAGTGCTACCTCCTTTCTATGCGTTTCTGGTTGACTAACACGGCTGGCCACTACTTATAGTTCATTTTTTTTTCAAACGTGAAATTGCACCAGACATAATCCGAAACACCAGATACTTGCAACCATGGTTACGGAGTATGAACTTTTTCGTCCATGAATATCACTTTCGTAATACAACTCCTATTTGTTGATATTCGGGTTTTGCAGCTGCTGAATTTGTTAGCTGGCCGGTGGCTGGCCTGGCTTTGTATGTGTTCGTGACATTTGACCTTGTAACGATAAATTGTCCGTTTTATTACCCTCGCTAAGGAGGTTATATTTTCATCAGATTTGTTTAGTTTAATGGTTGGTGTGTCTGTTTTTGTTAACAAAATAACTCAAAAAGTTATAGACGGATTTGCATGAACTTTTTTTTGGGGGGGGGGGTGATCCTTGGCACAAGTATTCAGGGGCGGATCCAGGAATTTTCGCGGGGGGGGGTCATCAAAATCGAAAATTGAAAATGTAGAAAGTTAATTTTTTTTCCAGACACTTGGCCTCCGAAAATCAATGGGGGGGGGGGGGGGGGCTCCTACCATAAATTCAATGGGGGTGCTGTTAAAATCCGACGATTATTAACACTTTATCGCAGAATACCCCTTAACCAAGCTGGCTCTATCCGTATTTTGTGCAAAGGCGGACATTATTACCAGTAAACAAATTTTGGGTGTCAGAGCGGGGGGGGGGGGGGTTCGAATTATTTTGTCATGAATGTCTATGGAATTTGTTTGGGGACAGAGCTGGGGGAGGGGTGAACCCCCCCCCCCCCCCCCGGATCCGCGCCTGGAATTGTTTAGCCTTGGCGGAGGTTTGCGCTCTCTGAGTGTTTTCTAGTTGGAACGAGTTGTAGTTTTGCGAGAAAATGTGATTGATGCATGATATTTCCTCTCCCAATTGTTGCTATGTAGAAGTGAAGTGTCTGACTGAGCATTTATTTACAAAACGCGCCATGAACACAGAGAGGAGAACATGTCGCTGCTTTTATTGCCGCCAAAGTTCAAGTTTGAGCCAATAAAATAACACACGTGACGATCAAGGTGCCATGGCTACCAAATAAAGTTACTTGTGGTTGCTAGGAAACGAATACATTAAGCTCTTGGCTTCTCGGTTATGGATTCCGGGCATAAGTAGCAATCAAAGGTTTTGTCCTTAACGCTTAAAAGATCATTTGCATTTTATTATAAAAACCGTACTTGGATAAAAGAATGCAGTGCCAAACACCCCGTAAAATTATTACATCTGGGTTGCTGTCATTTAGAAAAAAAATCAAGAAATGCAGGCCTATAGTTGTAGGGATCAGTCAATTGACTGATTTTTTTTTTTGAAACAAAGAGTGCTATTGACGAAATCGTGCTTCGTGATAAAAAAATTGTGCATGATTTTCACTATTTTCTCGAAGAGTGTATTCCACTGAGCTGAAATTTTAACATGTTAGTTTTGAATATTTTTCTTTAGATATTGAGTGGTGGTATTATTGGAAACAAACAAAATGCACGAAAAGCAAATGATCCTATATGCCTTTAGATTTAACTCTCCTTTTTTTCATGGTTTGCAATAATCACTCAGAATATCACAAACATTTCAATACCAAATGGTTTCCATTTTCTTACAGGGTTTGTCAATAGAGTAGCCTACAGACAGTTTGATGTTGTCTCATTGAGTAAACTGGAATAAAACCTGACTGACTGGAAGCTTCGTTTTGATCCAGAAGCTCGCTAGTACCATCCGCCAAGATGCCGTCCGAATCAGTCACTCTCCCAGCCATCAATTCAATCCCAGCTCAACTCAAAGGCAAAGACTTCCTTTCCTCTTCTCACTTCCGTATCGGCAACGACAGGCGCTTATCGCGTAGCGCCTTGAGGCGCAGCACCTTTACCAAGGACTATATAGCACACGAACACTATGGCAGAGTAGCGGCCTCTGATCCACCAGCGCCTGCTGATGTCATGCACCGTGATCCGCACCAAGGAAGTCAGAATACCACAGAATCCAATTTGGCCTTTACAGGTCGCTCTATACCCAAGGTGCAAATGTGTCTTAAGCTCAATAAGACTAACTTCAAGATGGATACTGATGAGAGAGTGGATGTCTTCCACACCACGCATGCAAGTCACTACAATCCCAAGCCTCTAAGTAAGAGTTTTCCGTTTGATAACGCGATGAAGAGCTACGTACCTCAAGGGGATAAAGAGAAAGAGAAGATGCCAATGTCTGATTACAGAGATAACTTCTTGGGTCATGACACTAGGGTGGTCAAGGTGAAGAAAGCTCCGTGTATGCATGATGGTAAGACACAACTTCACTGTCTTAAAGATACGTAGAGGATTATATCCTAACCGAATAATCCGTCCATATCTTACCCAAATATTTCTGTCTGTATGCCCTGGCGGGATTTGGGACTCTATGTCGCATTTTTTTTTCAGAGCAAAGGCTCTTGATGTTGTTGAAATTATGAGGAAGATGCTTCCCGTATTTAAAGCAAATAAAAGAAAACAAGAAACCTGTAATGTATCCGAGAATTTAAAGCTGTTTTATCCGAGTAGAATTGTGTATGTTGATTTCTTGTCGTTTCAGTTCGACATTTCAGTTCTTGTAATTTCATTTCCGATCTTGTTCAGGCGGCCCAAGCACAATTCGTGGTGAAGATAGAACCCACAAGCAATTTGCTTCGTCGACAGAAGAGCAGTTTCCTGGAAGATATCTGCCTTATGTTGCAGTCAAACCGGATGTAAGGATTTTGTATCATTTGGGCGTTTTTATAATTATTTTTTAAACAAAAAATGAAACTTGTGTTTTTTTCACATTAATTTAAAAATTAATTTAAAGCCGTCAAATGTATACAACGCAATAGCATTTTTATGTTAAAATGTGTATAGTGTTGACCGTTGTCTTTCAAATTGAGACCACTGAAGTATTTTCTTTCACATGTTCCAAAAATGAATTATTAAAAGGGAGTGTCATGTATTACGACTGGCTTGATTCCAATAGGAATACCTTACGATTTGTAAGAAACTCTTTCGACTAAAAACAGGCTGAGAAAAATACTTGGTAAATGACCGTTTTCTATACTCTTTCTCGTTCTCGACAGCTTCTGGGTTCCAATATTCCTCGAGGCGACCAAGAGAAACTTGTCCATAAAGACACTACCCAGCTTCTGTCTTATCCTAAGCCTGGTTCAGCCAACTACCGCATCTATAGGCGTGACAACGCCCTCACCAGGCTAGGGGATACTAACTACAAGGTGGGGCACGCGAAGAAGTATGACAAGTTTGAGACGACAGCGGCTCAATCCTTCCAGCTGGATCAAATGCCAGGTTGGTTTCTTTGCTTTGTATTTGTCACAAGCCGCGCAGGTGGTGCGCACGTGTTGCTTTTCTTGACGCATAATAAGTACATTTTTTTTGTAAAAGTAAAGTCTGTCATGAGCCAATGTGGCCCATCAGGCCGGCGTTTATCTCCGGTTTCAGTGGCATGAAACGACTGAGAATATTTCTATTCCCCCTGGACGGGATGCTAGCATCGCAGGTTACTCCCCAGCTAACGCCGGTAACCATTTACACTTGGACAGAGGCAAGTGAGGGTGAAGTGGCTTGCCCAAGGACACAACATAATGGCCAGCAGCTGGATTCGAACCGCGGGGCGTACTGGATCCGTCTATTGCAGTCATGAGTTGGTTTCTGTTACGCTTTGTGGCAAAATCACTGAGTAACAAACCATAGGTTGAAAGTGATATGTACATGTACATGTACTTTCCAATGATTGCTTACGCAACTCAGATACATACATGAACACTTCGAGAAAAAACCATTTGGCATTTAAAATGGTTCAGTATAGGAAAGGCTATTTGCTGCTGATTTGTTTAATGTTGCATGTGCAGGTACGGGTGATGCTAAAAACATAGACTAGGTACTTGTAGGAATATAAGAGGTAGTCAGAATGTGCTATATTATTAGGAATGTGGTCACTCTCTGATTTTCCCCATTGTTTTTGACTGTGTGACTCGCAATTTAATACTGAAGTTACCGATTTTGCATTTGTTACAGCCCCGACAGAGATAATCCCCTATGAAAGCAATGCCAGTAGCTTACCGGAGGGCGATCGTAACCCAGAAAGGGTGAAAAGCAGAGTGACTACCACCAACTATACGTTCTACCACAAAAAGGTGAGCACTATGGTACTTCCAGAGAAACCCTTTTCGTACTTTTTGAAAATGTCAATTTCGTTCTGCAATTCCATTCCCTTTGATCTTCACTCACATTGGTCTGTCCCCTATTTAGTCCCTCTTTAGTGTTTCTTCTCTCAACCATGCATGCTTGTGCGTCCCTACATGTTTCTTTCTTGTATAACTGTGACTTGCATCTGAAGGTCTTGTTAAGACCGGAACGTCAAGCGCTCTTAATTTTGTTGATTTGTATATTTAGGGCAATCCAGCCAGAAAGCAGTTTGCGGCAGCTTTATTCAATTTCAATTTAAGTTATTTGCATTTTAAAAAAAATAATGTTAACAACAATGTTCCACGATGTGAGCAACAATGTTCCATGAGAAACAAATTTATCAGCTAGTCACTAGCTAAATTGTGATCTATGAAAGTAAAACCGTAATGACAGATGAAGGAAAAAGAGGAGTTATTATGAAAAGAGGAATGAGAAAAGAAGCATGGGCATGACATAGATGATTGCATTTAATTTTTGTCAAAAGCTATTTTTCGTAGTTTCTCAGTCTCTAGAGATTCCTCTTCAGACTTCACTTTACATTCATTGAATGACTTGAGTTATCTACTTCATGACAGCCCCCTGGGAATTTCCGTAATGACATCATATCGGGAGCAAACAAACTTACCTCCAGTGAGGTCGCTTTTGGAGTACCCAGCCAATACTCGGCGTACTACTCTACGACTCAGACCGACAATTACCCAGCATTCCATGTACCGGTAGAACGTGTGGCGGGACACGAGAAGATTCGGAGCAAGGTGCCTCTGGATTACTATGGAAACGGTGAGAAGAAATAACAGATATAAGGAGATACCTTCAACATGTACCTCTTTGAAAAAAGTAATCTGTTATCTTTGAAGGCATAGAGAGTGCTTTGATGAAGACACACTTGTAAGAATATGTTAAATACCTATGAATGCAAGATTCCTGATGAAATTTAAAATGGCATTAGGGTGAAAAGGAGGGCAAGCAGATGTCAACTCATATTCACATCTTTTACCTGGGATATAGCCCAGCTTATGTAATCCACCTTAAGATTCCACATAGTGTGATGATGTTTAGCTGAAAGTGCAAAGCCCAGCGAACAAAGTATCCAAAGTCCAGTCCATCTAGCCGTGGGCAGGCTGTATATTATGAGCTTATATACATGTAATTATGTTTAATTATTTGGTTTGATTTGATTTTGTCTTTTACAGGTACAGAGGTTGATACATCAACCACTAAAGATGATTTCCCATCCTGGAGAGAGATGCCATTACACACCGTCAGCAAGGAAACACTTGCTAAGGTAATAACGACATTTCTGTAAAAACTCAAAAGTGCAAAATAACTTCAATACAACTCTGAGGCGCTGAAAGAAAATTAGGTTGTGAACATTCTTCTTTGGATTTTAGGTGGTGTTATTATCGGAAACGAACAAACAGCATGAAGTGCAAAAGATCATATATGTCTTTTAAGAAAACGCTAGCAATTCCCACACTTTGGCATACAACTCTAACTTTACCCTTAGGTATGAATCACTATTCACTGGACACTGAACATCAGCAAGTTAGGTCGTACCTTTACATTGATTTAATGAATTTGTGACCTTTTTTGACAGTTGCGTCGATCCAACATCACCCCACCCCTTCACGGTGATCGTGAGTTTAATACGACTCACTTGACTTCCTACACAGCAAAGAGGGTTGATCGATACCAGTACGACAGTGGGAAACTACAAAGGAGTACAGTACCACTTGGAACTATGACCATATGAAGTTCAAGCATTTCAGAAATATGTATTTTCTTTTGGAAAGCAAATCCTTTTCAAGTTCCACATCTTATTTTGCCTGATTAATTTTATTTGGTTTGATGAGCATGTAATTTTAGCAGTCTCAGAAATATCAAAGCCTTGTATAGTCGTTTATTTTGCCTGAAAGTATTTATCGGCGTATTTTATTACATTTTTATGATTGAAGTGTGTATATATTTCATTCACTGCGTTAACACAATAGTTTAAAACATGGAAAACGTAGTTTGAGAAGTATGCTTCAAGACTTAGAATCACTGTAACACCTTTAATAAATGCACAGTTATGGGTCCAATTTTTTAAAGCAAATTAAATTCAATTTTAAGTTCTCTGTGAAAATAACAATTGCACTCATTAATTGGCGGTTCCGTTATCGGCTAGCATTTTGCTATGAACTTACAATTAAGATAGGGAAAGATTCCCATATCTGGTCATGTCACTTATTTTTCCCTTCAGTGACCTATCAGCCATCAGAAAGTGATAATATGTCCTAAAAAGTCAAAATTAGCAGGAAAAATTTTGAAAGTATTGACTGAGAAAACACTTAGAAATTTTCAGACTTGTCTCATGGGGTTTAGGGTGAGAAGTGATGGTCAGATTATGGGAATCTTTCCCTAGAGAGTTTTTTTGAATCCCACGTGAATGTACAGTTTCCCAACTGGTGGCAACTTGTACTCATCGATGAGTTTTGTTAAAATGCACGATTAAAATCTTGAGTATACATGTATTTACCTTGTTGCTGGAAATCAATCGTTGGACTGTAAGTATGGGTTGATTCTTACAAATTTCCTGGGAACACAGGAGACAGACAGAAGGGAAGATTGCTCCGGCAGTCAGGGCCGGCAATCAGGGGAATCAGAGGGGGAGCGACGGCGGAAGCGCCGAGGTCGTTTGCTGATGAAATTGCATTTCTTGAGATCCATTCTGGCCGGAAACTAAGGGCCGCACTTTAGGCGGGATAAGACAATGTCTTCACATCGGTCCGAAGACGGTAGGTGCTGGAATGGTATTGTCGTGCACACAAGATCCGTGGTGTGACAACCGTTTGTATACGTGTTCAAGTGTTAAATGCATGACGGCCAGCCAAATTGGAAAGCCGTGCATTGACGTGTCGGAGTATGGAAGGAAAGGCCACACCCAAAACACTCCCATTTCTAGGTAAAGTAAACTGAACGCAATTATGTGGTCCTAGTATAGAGCATTTCGAGGTATCCGCGTGGACCGCCTCTCACATGAAACTCGTGGCCAGGGAGTACACAGTGAGCAAGCACATTCCACTTTATGTATACAGGCCAACTACATATTTGTGGGATTCTGGCCTCGAGGAATTTTGCATCAACTGACCAGATACAGAGGTATTTAAAATCCCAGACTGTATAAAACAATACCTATGTCCATGTACATATAAAACATCAATAGGGCAGCGCGGCTTACGTCAGACAATGAAAACTTGCAACTTTCATTAGCACGTGCGCGCTCCTTCAGCACTCCAGACTCGAAACCTATTCAGTTTTATGATGATGGGTCTGGGAACGAGATGAGATTGCAGAAGTTCCTGGATGTCCGCGCCAACCTTACCCAAGAAAAGTTCAAACAAGAGAATTCTAGAACCTCTTTTTTTTCTGACTATAATCATGGAGCTTTTCAGCAGAGAGCAGACTTTAGAAAGCTACCTCAAATAAAGGACTGTTAAGCAATTCTGTTCTCTATCAACATTCCATTTAAAAGGAATGTTGAAAGAGAACAGAATTATCTAACAATCATTTCACCGAAAGAAATAAAGCCGGTTAGAGACGCTGAAAACGTTTAACGCTGTTTTTAATTTAAAGCAATTTTAAAGTTTTTTTTTTTTAGTTTTCATTTTGAAAGAGCATTGATACGGTAATAAATATCAGCTGTGATGAAGACAAAGTTGAACGCCTGAATTTTCCCCAAGCCTAACAAGTTGCATCATGGGTCATTCCACGTTTGAAAGTTTTAAAGGTACATTTGCGAAATTTAAAGTTCGAACTGACTAAATATGAAATATCCTACTTGATTGTAAAAGGATCAAGCATATCCTGCGAAATCATTGCGCCAAGTATGCCGTCATTTTCGAGAAAAGAGGAATTTGCCGTCAGTTCCTCGCGATGGTTAGGACGAAACCATCACTGAGAAAAATTACTGCCACTAATTAACCGAATTTAGTTTCAGTTTGCAATCTGTTACATATTATCTGTGAATGAGAATAATTTTCTCCGAGGGACAAACTGGGGATTAAACCACACTAGGGTACAAGTCAAAACATATTTATGAACATTTTGGGAGGACTTTCAAAGGAAACCCTGCTTTAATTTGCGGCGAGAAAATGAAGATGCATTTTCAGAGTTTTCTCAAAAAAGTACATGGTAGCGCCAGTATCTCAACTCCAGTGGTACACTTAAGATAATTCATGTGTTTCCTTTGAATCATTGCAAGACACTTGGGTTCTCGTTCTCTTTTTTCCTTAAATTAAAATTATCTCAACGATAAACTCGGAGAAGAAAAACAGTCGACGAAAATGAGCAGCGACAACGTGGATTCGAACCAAGGATCTTTGTATCCATAGTTCATCTTGCTATCCACTAGGCTACTGCGGTAGCTCGATGACAACCGTTCTTAAAAATGCTTTAATGTAACGGGTCGACTAAATGACAATGATCTTGATATCATTGCTCTGTTCTTATGAACAAACACATTGGCCCGTTGACGTACGAATAAATTACCATAAGTGGTGCCACTACCAAAAAGTATATCTACAGAGCTAAGTTTTCTACCGAGCTAAATTTTCGACAGGTTAGTTTTTACCTACTTCATATTTATTGCATTGTCCCTCGAATCGGCCAAAATACACTTTTTTTGTTTGCAGATAATGTCCTTTCCCTTAAAGCAATCTCTTTGCTTTCGTGGTGAATGAACCTAAATACACAAACTAGACAGAAACAAAAAAACACGGAAATAGGCAACAAATTGTTGAATTAAACTTGATGGTTAACTTTATTTACAACTTATGTATTTGCGCTTGATTGTGGCCTAGCTCATAAAATACGGTTTTATCAAACAAACACTGTCACACAATCTCAACTAAACATTAATTTAAGCAATCAAGGAAATTATTCAGAACTTTTCGTCAGCATGCAATCATTGAAATTGAAATCTAGGTAAACATACTCACCTCTGAAAAAACCACAGAATAATAAGCCTCTGTACTGATGACGTCACACTATGTTTACACATGTGCTTTCTTATGGGAGCCTAGTGGGGATGACTGTTTCGTAGCTCCATAGAAAAGCGCGGGCGTAGACAAAGTGTGACGTCATCAGTACAGAGGATTATTGAAAGGACATGTATTGCTATGTCTTGCATACTTTGGAAATAAAATGTGATTATGAGCTCAGGAAATGCATGAATTTGGATTAGTTTGACCAAAATGGAACTTCGATGATGTAAATGAAGTTCATTTTGTCATTAACTTAGATGCTTCCCTGAACATTTCCAATTGATAAACAGTAAGAATACACTGAAATTCAATACACAATATCACATCTGTGCATTAGTGTAATGGACACATCATGACTATAAAAGTGCTGCTAGGTTATGAATCTATTCTGCAAAACCAGGTGCTGAATATTGGCAAATTTTGAAGAGTAAGGGTTTGACTATTTGATAACTTCCATTGATAAGACCATTGTTTCTGACATCTTACAACAGTCTTACAAGTCCCATGTGATAAAAACGTTGTACAAATTATAAAAATAATTGATACAACGTATGTAAATGTTGTTCAAACAAACTAATGCACAATTTATGATCACGACTGATCCAACCACTGCAACAAAGCAACATCCCCACCCTTGAAAATAACACTGTAAAAACACTGATCCCTGCTGTGTTGCCACAGCAACAACCACCTCATACATAGGTGGAGAAGCCGAACAATTCCTTGTCTCGGACTTTCTTGGGATGGAGGTAGTAGAGGTCCACCAACATGGGGTCCATCCAACGCTTGCTTTCATAGATGCTCTCCCCTGCTTTCCAGCCCGGTACGTCTTTCATTATGATCGCTTCTTGCTCAAAGTTGGACTTCAGTATTTTCAACTTCCTGGAAAGACAAAAAAATAGTATGGTTCCTTGTAGTCAGCAATAAACTGAAAGTGAAACGTTAGGGACTCGACATGCATCCTAGTTCCTACTGGATCTGTCACCAAATACTAGATTTCAGACATGTGATGTCATTTCAGGAAGACACTGTTCAGTTTAGGGGTTTCTGTTCCAAGTTGCAAACCCAAACATTTGCTCTTTTGGAATATTTGTGAGAAAAGTTTTCTCATTGGCTTACTGCCATGTACTGACAACAAATAATAAAACACAAGAAGACAGCAAAATATCCAATATTCTGGCAGCTTTTGGTGCTGAAATTTTTGCTTATTTTTTTTAATGCAAATCGCCCATCACAAGGCCAAAGGCCACTCGAGGTGTGGGCTACAGAGGAAAGTGTGGAAGAACCAGCCCCTCACACTGAAACTAGACAAGATAATCTGATCTCTTCACAGTATGAATAGGGTTGGGATGGGTAACTAGTCCACTGAAAGGCATTAATAACGCCTCTACCCATATTAGGCGTAGAAATGGCATAGCCCAGGCTGGGCTCGAACCCACAACCAGCAGAATTACCCCTAGACCACTAGGCCATGGCACTCCACATGAGTAGCTGCAACATGGAGGTTTCTGCCTGAAATGACATCACACTTTTGCTCATGACTTTGGAAATTTGCATTAATATAAAAGCCCAAAAGGTACCAAAATACCATTTAAAATGACAAAACGTAAGTTGAAATAAGGTTAAATGGGACACAAAGGTGCATTTCAAGGACTATAATAAAAAATGTACATTGCTTAGATCAATAGTAATGTTTGTGGTGCAAAAACTAATATGACAAATAATTCTTTGTAGTTGAGGACCATATAGCTATTAGGTAGGTTGGGATGGGAGGGGTTGGGGCAGGGAGGGGGAGGGTTCGTTGGGGCAGGAAAAAGCGGGCTTTACCCCCTACAAATGGCATTTCACTCATTTAAAATAAGTTACAATTATGTCTACTTCCAAGTTTTGAAATAAAAAATATATATTTACAGGCCTTCACGCAGACCCAGGTGAAAAAGTAGAACAGTAGGATCAAAATAGAAATAAAAAAGGACAACAGTAGGAATTGTGCTCCATCCTCAACTAAGCTCTTGGAAGTAGAGTTGCAGTACTCCTGTGCCCAAGCCTTTCATTGTGTGATTTACATATGACAGTGTGTTATGAAAAAAATATTCAATGAGATTTCATTTTTCAGAGTTGTGGGACAAAAAGTAGGAAAAAGTAGGAATTTTAAGAAAAAGAAGGAAAAGTAGGAGTAAGGTAAAAAAAAAAAAAAAGTAGGAAAAGTAGGGATACTTGAAAGCCTGTAATTATATATGTATGGCCATTGGCCAATTAAAAGCAATTAACGCTTTTCATACGGGGAACTAACAAGAAGGAACATTTCACATTTACTTACTGTCTATCGTCTTCAGCTTTTAAGAGTGGCATGATACCGATGAAACTTTCGTATTCCTCTCTTTGCCACAATCTTAGAAAAGGAAAAAACAAAAGATTTGTTAAAAGGTTTTCTGTATGCAATTCTGAAGTATTCTTTCATTTCGACGGTTGGTGTTAATCTAAAAAAATATGAGAAATAACTTTTTGAATATTTTAGTTCACATTTAGACAGCCAGCAAAGTATTCAGTTTGCTCCTTATTGGTTTCAATCATCCTGTTTTGACTGCAAAGATAAACAAGACCAAACACACGACTTGTTTGCTATTGAATCTTGTGGGATTCTGCAGAAATCAAGATTATTACCTTCGTTGTCGGTTGTGTCTGCCAAAGAAAAATGTTCCAACTCCCATGACAGCTGCACAGGTAGCGAACATCATGTAGCCTGAAACAAATATAGATAAAATCCAGTTTGATTTTTCAATTCGCCCAAGCATATTCACAGTAATTTGCTCACAGAGCAAAATGCTTTGAACTTACGAAATGTTTGTCTGTCCCTCAAAAAAAAACAAAAACCCTACCCTTTCTTACGACACTTGTTTTGGTTATAAATGTTGCTAACTTAAACAAGTTTTGTACATGTACATCTGTCGTAAGCCCTAAAAGTGGATCTTTGTTCTTATACTATTTTGACAAGAATTTTTCATCAAATGTTATCATCTCAGTGAAGGTCACTCATTGCAAAAAATTGAACAGACATGAATCTGGGACTGAGAAGCATTTCAAATTTTGCTAGAAAATAGGCCTAGGCCCTAGTTCTAGGCCTACTTTGAAAATGCACTCGACTCTCCATAGACTTTGTACACAACCACAGAAGTGGCGTCAAGATACTACATTCTGAAATGTAGTAGCCTAAGAAGGCCTATCCAGACGTTGCCACTTCAGTGGTTTTGTACAAAGTGTGGGGAGTCCCAGGTTCATGTCTTTTCAACATTTTTGCAATAACTTCATTGATAAACATGATAAATGCGTCAGGATGCAACATTCTTTCCACAATAACAGACAGACATTGACAATCATGAAATTTGGCCTTTTTTTTTGGATTTCATTTCATGATGAATAAATCCCGGAAAAATTTCCGGCGACTTACAATTTACATTGTATTATAAATTATTAGGCCAAATCTGTTCCTTGCCCTAGTACTAGTACTAAGTCATGTAAGTACATGTAGTAGGCCCCAATGGTTAACTTAATGTTACATCTCTCCATTTGTCCATGGTTTTGGCACAGATTTTTAAAGATAATATTTTGGAAAAACTCGCACATAAATACGAAATATTGTTCTGCATGATGCACGGAATAATAATGATTACCAGACATCCCCCTTTTTGGAAGAACTCGCTTGTAATCGATGGGTGGATAGCCGCCTTTCGGCGGCATATCCTGCTTGAAAGTCGACGCCATGTTGCTCGATCGGTCGACCTGTCCAACGGCGAACATAAGAGGGCGCTCGCATGCAGCGTCATAAATCGGACCGCTTTTTTTTTTATCGGGATGCGTCCGACACTTCTCAGCATACTGTGCGTGGTGGAAAAATAGATTCGAATGTTCAATTTGTGTTTTGTTTTAACGAAAAATCTCCTTGGTTCCGATATTGGGCATTTGCAACCCTCTGAAAAGAAATGTTCATTATGCGCACATGGACCCTCCGTGTGAGAGCTGAATTATTGTATGGCAGGCAATATTTCCATTTTTGTGAAAAAAATAAAATAACTAAACATCGGTAGATTTTCAAGGTGAAATTCGAAAACAGCACGAGGAACGCATCTTTAATGATGTTGTATTTCCTGGCATTAAACATATTATAATTCTGTCAGAAAGCTTTATAAGTTAAAAACCCACACAACACACAATCAAAGAGAAACCTTTCAACTGATTGTTTTAGGATAGATTTTATTTAAAGTTCATCAACATTTAAATTTCAACCAAACATGAACATCTTAAAGTGATTGTAGACCCAGTAACTGAGGCCTGGAACTCCCATTCCTTGTTTGAAATCCAATCCAAACCAACATTTCAAAAAAAGGAGTTCTGGTGCCCCAGTTACTGGGTCCAAGTAGATTTGGGTATTTAAGATAGAGCCGCAAAATTATCTTGCTGCAAACGCTTACTGATTTACAGCAATTGTTCTCTACAATTAGTAACACCATTGCAAAATGACAATGTTGTATTGAACTTTGGTTGATATCTGGCAAACATACATTTAACACATTAAAAACTACCAGTTATGCACAATATTTCAGATATGAAATTGGCCTGTTTGACTCTAAAACCACCAAGATCTCTAAAAGCCACCATTGTTATTTCAAGATAGAAATGTTCAAAACATGATGACATGAATGATGGAAATAACAATGAGCATAGATTCAAGTTTTTACTCTGTTAACAGGTTGGGCACATACAATATTTAGTGCTAATGTAAGTACACCCTGTCAATTAAAATATTTTTTTCTCAGAATACTGAAATAATGCAATTTAGTAATGAATTTTTTTTAATATTAACAAATTTATTGCAACCATAAGGGGATAAATAAACAACTCATGAAAATCAACATTGGTTGAGACAAATTGGTGTCAACAATAATTATTTTCAACTTTTTTTTCTCAGTCAAGAAGGAAAAAAAGTTTTAAAACAAGTATCATAATAAACTGGCAAGATACTTCCTTTTTAACATTAAAAAAATCTTTCATTCTTCAATTAACTCACACACCTTAATTAACTCTCAATTCAACAAAACAAGAACCCTTTGACAGCTTTAAAACCTGACTTGATCTATCTGGTACTTTTTAAGTCTGCCCAACATTATAAGTACATTTAAATACACTGAATGTTACATAGTGTATGTAGCTTCAAATATCTCAAATCTTTCAGATTTTCGTCACATGTGAGGAAGTCTCCTAAAAGTAGATATCCCAAATATGTTATCTTAACAAAACACCTTAAAGTGGCCCATGTAAACTGTAAATCATCATTTTGAACAGGTATATATTTTTTAACATTCAATTCATACGTTTTAAGGCTTAATTCGGGGATTCAGCTAACATTCATTATTCTGTGAAATGATTGATGAATCGTAACTCTTTATATCTGCACATCAAGCCAGCCTCATTGTTTCAGTTTGAAAAGCTAAAAACAGTTTATTCTGACTGATTTCTCCACCATTCCAGACAAGATGACATCGACAGGTTCTTCAGTATTATTAGTCCATGGTGCAGTGGAAATCTTAAATTGCAAAAACTTCAATTGCATTGAGATTTGGTGATTCTGTCTTCAGCTTTTACATGATAAAAAGGGGTTACAAATTGACAATTCAAACACCGACAACTGCGAATTGACTGAAACTTCGAACCATTGTGATGAACTGCTTCAAAGATGATAATGCAATAATATCATTACTTATATGACAATACTGAATGGGAACACACAATTGATTGGCCATGTTACATATAAAGCTCATTTAAATGACCTTTACATCAGTAAATTAACAATAAGTATCCATCCTCAATTCAAATACAACACAAAACTTATGATATTCTAGAAGTATTGACTCGTTTGCTGGCAATTTTGATTGAATAAAACATCAAGCCAAATACAAGAAATACATTGTAACTTTAATGTACAGTTACTAGAATTTTCTATGTTGGAAACATAACCCTGGACATTTACCACATTGCTTACGATGTGTTTCAAGCGTGGTAATTACCGTCATTATAAGGCACTTGAGAAGCATAGAATCCATCAGTTGACTGGTACTCGCAGTCGTACGTCGTTATACCGCCCTCGCTTCCATCGTCAACTGACCATCTCCGCTCCTTCGAAACCGCCCCTTCTGCGTTCTGATAATCCTCCGTGATGCCATCACCGGATGGCCCCACCCCCTTCTTGCAATAAGCAGCCGGTCCTTGCTCATACGCTGGGGAGGAATGCGCAAGCGGTTGAAGCCTGCCCTCTACAGGCCAATTCTGACCATGCATCGTGACTTGCGGACTCTGGGATCGGATGCCTTGCTGGGGGTCCTGTTGACCCCTTGACTCTTGACCCCAGTAGGTCGTGGATGAGTGTTCAGCTCCAGCGTAGGATGCAGTAGGATGAGCCCATAATTGAAGGAGACTCTCTCCAAGCGATGGGTCCAACTCCTAAAATCAATAGAAAAAGAGGGGGTTTTAATAAATCCTCCTCTTATTTCAAAGGGATGTTGTACATTCACAAGACATAAATAATAACCCCAAAATATCTTAGATTTCTTACCCCGTAGCCTGCTGTATCCTGGGGAAAGTGGGGGGGGGGGGGGGGGGATTTCAACAGAAAGGAAACAAAATGTATTTTGTAATGCTAAAATCAAAACAAAATCAGACTGATGGGAGTTGTTGATTTCAGTTCCCATGACTAATCCAATTAAATTAATTTCCTAAGACAATTTCTATGATATAATGAGTTTCATCTTCTAGCCATTAATTCACCTGTCCGTCTCTGCTAAGCTGTACTCTCTGGTTATCGTTCCAAGCATTCAGCATAGAACGGGTCTGACCAAAACTCACATTGGCCCTAAAACAAGATAAAGAGATCGAGGTCCAAGTCAGTGTAATTTAATCAAAGGTAAACAAATACTTCCAAAATGTTAGTAGTATTTTAGCACTGACACCCTCTGCATTGTTATGATTCTTCATGTTTGTGTCATGATTTTTCACTAATGTACTGATGATGGTGTCAGTACATGTGAAGATTTGTATCCAAATGGAATGAGGAAAAAAAGCGGCCATTACTTAGGTTATCAGATCAATCCAATACTTAAGTTCTACAATTCATTCGACTACATGACATTTGTTTTAAATACAGTAACATCTATCTTTTCAACTGGTAAAATTCTTTTTGACAAATTCGACAATGTCCTAACGAGTGAGGGATAATTCAGCGAGATTCTTCTGATGTATGTTATTGAGTAAGCGACTACATATGTGACCTGTTCTGTCAAAATCAGACTTTTCTGGGCATAATGTCAAAAATGAGATTCTTGCATATTGTTAAAATATGTACATTTTCCTTTTAATAGGTGATTTAATTTTTGAAACCGGTCATTCCTGGGCAAAGTTATGCTATTTTGAAGTTCATCGTGTCGAAAAGTAAAAACTGGAGAAAATGGCAGTTAAAAACTTTGAAGTTTGGGGTCTATTTTAAGACCCGTTTCAAGTGACATTTCTTTAACTGATATACCTTAACAAATCATCAAAAATACTATATTTAGAGTACAAAGCAGGGTTTCAAATTTTATAGTATATTTGAGACATGTTCATGGTTACAAATATGCAAAAATTAGAAAATCGAAAACAATCACCCCCACAGTGTTTTTTTGCCCTATCTCAATTTCAACCTCTGCCCAGAAGCGTCTGCTTTTGACAGAACAGGTCACATATAAGTGTGAGACATTCCAGATTTTCAACCCAAAACCACCAAGCAATTGTTTCCGTTTTAACTTTTTAAGAATTCCCCCATCTGTTTTTCGTTTTCAGTGTAGGGCCTATATGTAAGAAAATGGGTGTCAATCTCTAAAGCAACATAGAAATGGCATGCACGAATGAATTATCAAGAACCAACGAAATGCATCTGACCTTTTGACCCACTGCACTCCAAACTCCCCGCCATTCCTCATGCAGCTGTCTCTCCACTCTACTGTCTGTGTGTACCGCAGGTCAGAGGTCATCCTGCCAAAACCTTGAAACTGACCACTGCCTTGAACTGAGAAAATCAGGAACACAGCTTGAGAGGTCTGGAGAAAATGGGGAGAAAATAAAATAGTTATAACTCTGTTGAAACCACAAAATATTGAGGGATTATTTCAAAATAATCAGCGTGTTGTCCGATTCTAAATTGCTGAAAAAGAAGTACCAAAATAACAAGGAAGGGTAAACTTCCCTTATGGAAAAAAAAACAAACCTTAAGATGATCATAAACAAGGAAGGCAATTTATTCTCCAGTAAATGAAATGTGTTGTGTGCTTGATTTGTTATATATAATCTTAAAATATTATCCACTTACCTTGAATGCATTGCTGAGGATTTGACCTGTGCTAGGAGACACACACCACAAACCACTGCTATGCGACAGCTCAATGTTCAAAGGATCATTGCATTTGACGATGAAGAATCTAACAGGATTGCCAGACCCATTAGGTCCTTGCTGACCTCCATAGACCTGAGAGGCGGAATTATTGACTCTTCCACTGCTGCTCGGGTTTATCCCACTGCTGACACCAGGTCCCATCCCGCCGCTGACACCAGAACCCATCCCACCGCTGACACCAGGTCCCATCCCACCGCTGACACCAGGTCCCATTCCGCCGCTGACACCAGGTCCCATCCCGCCGCTGAAACCAGGTCCCATCCCGCCGCTGACACCAGGTCCCATCCCACCGCTGACACCAGGTCCCATTCCGCCGCTGACACCAGGTCCCATCCCGCCGCTGACACCAGGTCCCATCCCGCCGCTGACACCAGGTCCCATCCCGCCGCTGACACCAGGTCCCATCCCGCCGCTGACACCTGGTCCCATCCCACCGCTGACACCAGGTCCCATCCCACCGCTGACACCAGGTCCCATCCCGCCGCTGACACCAGGTCCCATCCCGCCGCTGACACCAGGTCCCATCCCGCCGCTGACACCAGGTCCCATCCCGCCGCTGACACCAGGTCCCATCCCGCTGCTGACACCACTATTGCGGTGGTACACTGTCCTTCCTTGCCAGGGAGGAGCTGAGGCATTGAGTGTGGATGTTTGCTTAGTAGCGGGAGGTTGTTTGGTTTTATTAGGAGAAGCACAATTCCACTGCCTGGTACTGCCTGTGGATGGTCCTTTGTGGGGGCAAAGTAACATAAAATCAGTGGTAATTGTAGTAAGTAATTTATGTACTCAATATACACCCTCATGTTCGCAACAATGGAAAGAGACGGCAGAAATAACAAAACACGTTGGGTCAGATATTATACAAATACTGAACGAGAAAGCCGAGTGGAATGGAACATTCCATCTGTCACCGAATGAAGGTATTCTTCATATTGCACGAATGTTAAACATTCATTGTTTTTTATACAACGCCTAAATACATGTAGTGTGATAGTGCAATGGAACTTCTATTTACCATGAAATATAGCTTCTATTTTACCACGGAATGGACCTTCCATTTTTGCGGTGCAGCTGGGCCGTGGGTTGGGACGAATAATTCAAGACACGTGATCAATTACTCACTATTCAGATGACTGGGATTTATTCAGGCATTGTATAAAAATGGTTAATAGAGTAACAATTTCTGAGAAAGCTGATTGTCCATTATTTTGTGGCAGCTAAAATAGTTTTCTTCTTTATTTCAATTTGAGGGCCTTTAATTTTAAATCTGGCTGACTTGGTTGGACTGGGTCACTGTTCTTTTACTGTTTTTGAGGAATACTTACTGAATTCCAGATCTTTAGATGAGGTTGTTCCTGCCCTTGTACCTGACTGGTTCACCTGAGATGGCTGTTGGCCAAACCTGTTGGACACACTTTTACGGGGCGGTGTGTTGTTGAAGTGATCCATGGCTGCAATTGAGAACAATTCATCATTATTCCTTACAAACATGCTACCAATGTTCAAGCCAATTTACAAAGAAAGCGAAGAAACTTGGACTTCTCAGTGCTGGATCACTCAAGGAAGCTCTGTCTCAATAAATGATATCAGAAAACCCAGGATAAAAGGAAGAAGTAATTCAGGCGATTCACAATGTAGTGCACCACCAAGAGTTTGCCATGGAGAGTTCATTTTTCCCAGTGCATTTTGGGAGATAGTTGACAAATTCGCAGCGCGGGACATTTGAAGTTGTTAGTTTTTCCGGTCAGTAGTTTTGTAAGCGTATGATATTCGAGTATCTGTTTGCCCTTTTCTTTGCTTTTTAACAATATGGTGTTTTTTGTTATCGGCAGAACGATATGCCTCAATCTATAACAAATTAGCCAAGTTGTCTACTGACACTCATTCAAATGGGCCTTGTTTTGTCGACCGTAAACTTGATAAATTGACTCTCCATGGCAAACTCTTGGTGGCGCACTGCATTGTGAATCGCCTGAATTGATTAAAGGGTCCATGAAATGATTTTTTTTTAGGAACACAATTTGTGAATCTTTCTACACGTCTTAAATGTCTGAAAACTGATAGACATCCCATTTTGGTTCATTTTATTGTTAAGTGCACTTCTTTAAATATTTAAAATGTTCTATGCTTTTCCGGACAACTGAGGGCGCTGTTGCTGTGATGTCATTTCAGGAAGACACTGTTCAGTTTAAGGGTTTTCTGTTCAAATTGTGAACCCAAAAGTTTGCTCAGTAAAAACATTGTGAGCAAAGTTTGCTCACTGGCTTACTGTCATGTACTGACACAACAACGAATCATCAAAGAAAAGAAAATTTACAACAGCAAAATATCCAAACTTCTGGCAACTTTTGGTGCTGAGATAGCTGTAACGCGTTGAGGTGTCTGCCTGAAATGACATCACACTTTTGCTCATGAATATGGAAATTTGCATTAGCATAAAAAAACAAAAAGGCACCAACATACCCTTGAAAATGGCAAAACGAAAATTGAAAATAAGGTTAACTGGGACCCAAATGTGCATTTTCAAGGACTGCATTAAACAAATTACATTGCATGGGCCCTTTAAGGGAATGTACATCACTGGCTTTTGCTGTAATTTTCAGAAACAAACTATTTTGGGGGTTAGTATAATAGAACAAATATTGTTACACTGACATGTTTGAAGTTTTGCGTTCGAAAATGCTGGAATAAACAAAGAAAAACAGAAATGTTCAAGTAGTCTGGTTCCCCGACTCCACTAAAATGAAATGGATCAAAAATGCCGGAAAACTGTAAGGTAAGGGAACCATGAGTCTAGCTGGCCTGCACCCGTTCATGAACATGGAACCAATAGCAAACAACATTTGGACTGAAGAAAAAAAACCAATGGTTAAATATGGAGCAGTAGTTGAAAAATAGTTAGGTTTTCCAACGGTGGTCGGCTGACCACCGTTGGAAATGTATACAAAAGTACCGTTTTTCTTGAAAATGACTTCACACCAGGTGCCATAATTTTGCAGGATGCTTTAGACTGTCATTTACCAACATCCTAGTAAGGTATTTCGTAACAACTAGGTAGTTTTATTTTTCGATGTTTGCAAATGTTGTATTTTCCCTTTAAGAGATAGTTGAAAGAAGGTATAAAAATCTTAAACTTTGGGTATGAAATGGCTAATCTGTGCAGAAAACAAGTGTTACATTCTGTTGGAGTCAGCGGGGTGTCTTTAGGTGCTCATCCTACATGACGTCGCGCCAGTGCAACAAAGTCGTAACTCCATTCTGCAACAAAGTCGTATCTCGCGCGAATACGCTCCGTGCAACAAGGTCGTATCTTGACGTCCATTGACTTTGTGTGTACGGACGGGTTATTTTAAGCGAGATACAACCTTTTCACATTGTAAAACTCGCGTTTTGCGTTTATGCCATTCTAGGAGATACGACTTTGTTGCACTAACGGGACGATGAATTTGTTTTGTAATGATTGTTTTATGAAATACTCTGAAATAATTTTATAAATCACCCAGTTTCCTGATGACGAACAGAGCACACTTTTCAAAACGTTGAGTTAAAGTAACTAGTTCTTCTCAGAACCACCCAGCTCAAGAGAGATAAAACTCACACAAAACATCCACACTTTGTTCAAGTCAACATGCAAACCTACAAGTCTCATTTACCCATTGGTTTTGGTCTCTGCCCGATTCCTACTGGCTGCTGTAGTCCCAACGACTGCTCCTCATTGCTGAGCACTTTCACGATGGTTCTCAAGACGGCCTCGTCTCCTGGGGCCCACGGTTTGGCAGGCATTCGCATCCGACGGAGAAAGAGCGTGTGCCACTTCTGTCTGAGATGCAGGGCCAAGTTGGCAGCCTGTGGAAATCACATGGCAATTAGAATTTTGGTGTCTGTACAGAACATTGTCTTTGAGGATTATTGACAAATCGACAGCCTAAAGGTGTCAGAGTAATTATCCGACAGTCAAATTTAAAACAAATTACTGTAACACATGCACAGGGTAACCCCTCGTACCATATCTTTAGTTGACAGATTATACGTGTAAATGTACCATTAAGGAGACACGGTATCGTAATTTCTTCGCACGATGGGAGACATCGGTCATTAGGGCGACATTTTCATGTCTCCCTAATGTCACAGCACCCCTTTAGAGGCACAATTTTCCTGTCGCAATTAGATTATATTTGTTGCCCATGGTCTAATTAGTAAACATACCGAAAGTTGCGGAAAAAGGACAAGGGAATATTGGGTAAGGGCACATTTAAGTTTGAACAATTTTATGCACAAGTCTATGGGTATGCCTCCCAAATGTCCAATCCAGGGTCATTATTATTGTTATTATTATTATTATTAAACAAGAAGAATCAGGTAGAGTGGGAAAAGTGCAAGCACTAGTAGTTGCTTCTCAGCAACCCCCACACACCTGAAGCGTCAAAGAAGGAAACACAAAATGATGTGAGGTAGGATTCTAAATATTAGTGACATAGATTGGCATAAGATTTCAACAGTTGATATCTATTATTACGACAAGAATTGTTCATTATGTAGTACAGCTAAGGGATATAGTCGAGTCTATCACAAGTGCAATCACAAGTCCAGTCACAAGTAAGGCCCCCTTTACACAGGGCTGCGACCTTTGTACCGCCTATGAGTGACCAAAAAATGGCCAGGACGCCCAGTGGTTGCCTAAACCCAGAAAATCCTGTTTCTATTTAACTGCTCCAGCCGTGATCCTTGTGCCTCACTTGAACCACCAAAACTGCAATTGTCGGGCGTTTTTATGTCGAGCTACGAGCGACCTGTGCGTCCACTGAGCCACTTGCCTGCCTCCCCTGTGCTTCCCCTGTGCAACCTACGGCCATGGTGGCTCAAGGGTTGCCGTGGTCGCCGAATGGAGGCACAGCGGTCGCCAGAGTCATCGTTCAGTGCACGCTATTGGTCGGCCAAAGGAGGCAAAAGGGAGGCAGAAGCATCGCCCAGATTGAATTTCTAACAGAACGGATCTACGTGGCGACCATTGGCCGACCATTGTGCATCCATTCTGCAACCACGGCAATGCTTGTGCCTCCCTTCTGCCTCATTTGAGCCACCTTTGAGCAACCAACCTCCTCGGCGACCTTTGTGCGACTGTTTTGAACATGTTCAAAAATTAGAGGCGACTATGGCGATGTCTGAACATCCTGTGTACCACTTCTGAACAACCTAGGCAACCATTTGGCCTCCTTTGAGCCTCCAACGGCGACCTGGCCAGTTTTATGGTCGCACAAGGGAGGCCCAAAGGTCGCAGCCCTGTGTAAAGTGGGTCCAACAGTGGATGAACATTAACAAAGAAATGCCTTTGTCAAAGCTCATTTGAATAGCTTGTGAGTTGAATTGGGACTGGATGGACTTGCAGGGACTTGTGATGGACTCGACTACACCCCTGGAACAGATTCTCTTTGTGAAGTACAGTAAACTCTCGTTAAAGTCAAATCCCAAGGGAATTGATACAAAGTCTGAGGTATCTGGAGTTCGAGTTCAGCAACATTCCCGATTCTTTTACAGTCATGTCGTGTACATAACTGGCTTCCACCGTAACTCGCTATGCCAGGCTATGCAATGGACACGTTATTTGGCACCTTCCTACTTTTTGTCATTGAAGAAATCATCATTTTAATCCGATTTAATATTGTTCTTATCTAAAAGTATCTGCTCTAACGATAAACATATCAAGAAACCACTCAATTAACTGTAACTGCGAGTAACAAACCTTTAATTTGTTTCAATTGTCTATCGATATCGACGCCCACGCTCCGGGTTTTCTGATGTGCAGTCACATGGCTGGCCCTATTTAATCAATAGAGGGCACACTAGCTGCAACTGTGTCAGCGGTAGGAGGATTGTACTGTAATATGCAATTGCTAAGTATGAGATGCCATTAAAATTGCCCTGGATACTGATTGACTGATAACATACCTCAGTGTCAGCTTTGAGCACAATCCAATCATCCAACTTTAACCCCGCCCTTTGACCCTTATCCTCGTCCTCCGGGTCACTATCGCTCTCATCTTGGTTAGGATAACTAGAGATGTTATCATCAGGCTGGAAGAGTGCCTCTTGAGGCAGACGGGAAGGGCCACAGAAGAGGGCTATGGCGAGGGGTGAGATGGCAGTGGCACAGCGGACACTTGTAAGGTGGTGAAACCTAGTGTTACATAAATGAGTGTGACAGTGTTATCTAGTCAACAAAAAATTAATACATAAACTTTTCCTGGATGAATTTGTTTGGGTGAGCCTGAGTTGCTCCTAGGGTCCATCGATATATTGATATTACTTGATTAATCAATAAATATATATGTATATCGATGTTACTCGATTACTCGGTATCAATGTGATATCCATATCATCGATATCAGTTTTTTAAATCATATCGACAAATCTAAAAGTCACTATGAGAAAATGATATCAGAACAAAATGTTAGCCGCTCCGTCTCTGCGTGACGGAGTGTGGTTGGACCTGTCTCAAATAAAAATAGTTCCCTTGAAGTGACAGGTAGGTTTAAACTCATAATTTTAGTTAGTTGCAACGTCAAACTATATACGGTTTATCATGATGTCTACTTATCCGTGTCCAAACTTCCTAAGGCATCAACATTTTTTGACGTGAGAAAGTTGTTGGGAGGCATGTTCGGTAAGAAAAATGGACATAAAGGATTTTTACGTACGTTTTAACATGTTTTTATTATATTTTTTGCAACTGCCTGATACACGCTTGTTCGCCGGGCTGGCCCAAAAAATTGCAACGTGTGTTGTAAATAATATTTGATATATTGAATACAATCAATATTAGTTTAATGACATATCAATTATCAGAAACTCTAATAGCCGGACCCTAGTTGCTCCTAATACTGTTTGGGTTCAGCACTACTTTGGAACACCAGTTTGAATTGGGTATTACTTTCTTGCAAAATGCAAACATCTCACCTGGTCATCTCTTCATAGATGAGCCAATCAGTAGGCAGTGAGCTGACGATGCCTAGATGTGTCTGCATCATTGACAAGTTACCATTACCAGTCTCATGGATGACCGAGTTGGGATGGAAACGAATCTTGCTCTCTGTTCTGTATGAGAAGGAAAAACATTGTATGTTCTCGGTATATATTCTAGGCAGTGTTGGAGTCGAGTCCATCACAAGTCTATCAGTCTCAAGTCAAGTCACAAGAACAAATTAACCAATGTTATTGTTTATCTCCTGTTACTTGTGAAAGGACTTGTTCTTGGTTGGATATTGGTTGGTTCTTCTCCTAAATACTCCACGTGGGAGTTTATACAGGAGGCCAGAAACACCGGGGCAAACCCCTTCTCTTAGAGACAAGTGTTTACTGGGTTCTTTTACGTGCATTTATACAACACACGGGACCTACGGATTAACGTCCCATCCGAAGGACGAAGCAATAATGGTTAAGTGCCTTGCTTAAGAGCACAAGTGTCCGCCGGCGGGCTCGAACCCACGTCACTGTTGCCTCTGAAACACCAGAACATGAGTCCGGTGTTCTTAACCGCTAGGCCATGACACTCCAATACTTGTGATTTGCTTTTGATGAGGGCGGGCCAATTTTATAGAGCTGCTTAAGCATAAATTTTGCTTAAGCACAAAAAACTTTGCTTAATATAATCAGGTTACCCATCAAAACTCCATGTGATTGTTATGCTAAGTAAACAACAGCTAAATACTAGTCACAAGCAATGTACATCGCATGGCATTTTGGCCGGTATCCTGATTATATTTAGCAAGCTTAAACAGATTTTGTGCTTAAGCAGCTCTATAAAATTGGCCCAAGTGATAGACTTGACTGCATCATTGGTTCAAGGTACATGTACATGTACTTACTACATTAGAATAATATAAACACCGCAAAAAAGAAAAGAAAAAGAAAGTCCAAACTCAATGGAGGGGTCATAAATTTGAATCTGATCGTCCTATGGTAACTTTATTTGGGGAATTTGTTAGCTCCATTCTGATACCCCGTTTGCTACCAAAGACTGTAAATCGTCCAAGATTGACAATGGTTCATGAAAAAAGGATGCAGTTTGAAAAGTTGCAAATTTAAAGATTACGTGAGGAGAAATTGCAAAGCGCAAACACACATGCCCTTACTTGGCCCCTATCGACTGCACAGTGCCCGAACAAAGCACAGCTTTACAATTCAATTTCGCGTGCTCCGGGCAGTGCTCCATTTCGGGTAGTTTATCATTGCCATGCAGCAATTTCAACTCGCGTACTCTTTAAATTGGCAATTTTTCAAACTGCATCATTTTTTAATGTAGCTAACAACATTCCCCAAAGGTCTATATAAATGACGTCATCATAAGACGATCAGATTCAAAATTATGACCCCTCCAATGAGTGTGGATTTCTTTTTTTTGCAGTGTTTATAAGGTGTATAATTAAACAAAGCACTCTTTGAGAAATTTCTGACTTAACATCGCAACTGCAATATCACAAATGCAAGTCGGGTTGGCACAGTGGTTTCATTCCTCGCCTTCCACCATTATGGCCTGGGCTCGATTCCTGCCCTGTCTACATGTGGATTGGGTTTTCAGTCCCTACCTGATTCCCTGGGTTTTCCCCAGAATATTCTTCTGGGGTTTTCCTCCCGCCTCTAGAAATGTAATTTCTTCTCATTGTTTCCTCTCTACAGGTTTCTTCAGGCTTGCTAGCTGCGGTGCCTGGGGCACTTTTGAGGATTCCTTGGTTTCAGTTTGAGGATTCATTGATTTTCAGGTTTCCAAATTTAAGAGTATAAGATGATTATCCAGAGGCAAATATGTCATCATGTAACACATCAAACCGCACAACATGAATGCTTCTCTGATCTACTTACTGTGTCATCAGCTGATTCTTTTTCCGATCCACCTTCATGATGTTGGGATACATGCCAGCACACAGTGACGCTTTGACGACAGCCCAATTCTCTGAGTTGGTGTTGAGATCACGGATGTCTCCTGGACCACGGGCTCTGACAAACCCGGAGGCTCTGAGCTGACCGAGGAGTTGAGTCCTTGAAACAACGAAAATAAATCATAAACGCGGCTATAATGTCAAAGCGTCAGAATCTAGTGCTGTCCAGAATCTAGGGCTGTCCTTTTTTTTAATAATTTAGTATTCGATTACTGCGTTTGACCGAAATATTTGGAAATTCGAAACTTCCAGCTACAGCTGCGTCCATAAAAAGTTGCACGAAGAGAGTGCCAGTTAAAATTTGTGTGCGGTCATCCATATGGGGTACTGAAGTGTTTGGCAATACCGGTAAGTATTTTTAAACTGGAAAAGGGCTTGAACCTCCTAAAAGGATGTGAACAATGAATTGCCATCTACAAAACCTGGCACTTGACAATATAGCACCACAACCTTTATGATAATATAACATCACAGTCAAGTGTGTATGTGCGTGGTTTTTGTTTTCAAATATTGAAACTGACAAAAAAAAGGGACAGCCCTATCAGAATCTATAAATATATTCTACTCTTTAGACTGGGTACCATCTAATAGTTTCCTCATCGTTTGAAAGGAACATTCTTGATCATCTTCTTTCCAAAGGTTCTTTTGTCATGCTAGTAACAGTGTCATAAAATCATTAGATTCACTGCTAAAAGGAATACAACAATCACAATACAATCATTAACCCTAACTCCCTAGCATGATTTGCTAGGAACCATACCCATCCTGGCAAATTCCAACACCATATTGGAAACTACACACACATATTTCTGACTTTGTTTCTGGAGGTGTGCCAACCCACTGTAAAAGACTGTCACTTTAGGGGTACTGTACCCATCCTGACAGATTCCAACAAAACATGCCGTTGGGGTTTGATGGGTTCAGTTCTGTTAGGGTTAATTACAGAATATATAAAATAATAAATCAGTTGACAATGATTACCTCATGCCAACGATCATTTCCATGGTTGCCTGCGACAGGAAGTTTCTCTGACAGAATGCCTTCTCCCAGCCATCACTACGAGCTCTCTGCCAAGCCTTTGAAAATGAAAGACAGAACAGTGACAGACAAACATAAAATTGGATGACAGTGGCTTTTCACTGTTTGTGTAACACAGGGATGTGACTGGTTTGTGACAAAAAACCTGAAACTTTTATGCATGAAGTGCAAACTCCGGCGAGCGCGAAGCACGAAGCCGTTACGGCGTGGGGTCCGGGGACCACTTAAGATTGGACGACAGTGGCTTTTCACTATCTGTGTAACAATACCTTTCAAAAAGAAAGATTTTTTTCCATTGTGTGTAACCGACTTCAAATACATGTAGGAGCCTGGTATATATGCTGTCATTCTCAAGAAAAGAGGAATTTTGTATCAGCACTAACGATGGTTAGGACCTAACCATCGCCGTGAACATTTAGTTTTCTCAAATACTACATCTGTTAAACTGCTGTGAGCCAGCTGTTGACTTCATGCGTACACTCAGGCATGCTAGGTATATGCATGTATCACTGTCCCACAACAGAGCCAGCACTCGGACACTCCCTGTGACCTATGGGTTTTATGCATGACAGATTGCGTGAGATGCACGTTGATGGTTGAAAATGAACAGCGGTTTTTTGTGTGTTTTTCCAGCACCAATGGACGCAAAACATGGAACAGCTCAGTGGAACGATGTCTGTTATAAATTAATAGCCCTGAAATTGGTCAATTTCATGAAATGAAGAAAAATGCAAAATAGTATATCAATACTTTAAAACAACCAATGTCACTAAATTTCGTAAAGGAAAATTCTAAACACTGCAACAATTAAACTGATATCCAATTTCCAATTCCTAATTAATACATTCGACTGTACCTGGAAAGCTCTTAGCAATGCCATGTGATCACTGAACGTAGTGGCAGCATACTTCTTACGGACGGCCATGGCAGCACGCTTCTGAGATGGATGATTAGGCAGTATGACTGCACACACAACAAAGACAAGCAAAGCGATGTGTCGTTAAGAATTATATGAACATGTTGGTAATGTTGTTATCTCAAAAATGGAATGTACTCTTGTGATTTAATCCACTGCATATAAATCCTAATTCTCTTCAAGTCCAAACTTGGAGCATTACATATCAAGATTGAAGACCATGTTAAAGGCATATAGGGTCATTTGCTTTTCCTGCATTTTGTTTGTTTCCAATAATAACACCACTCAAAATCCAAGTTCGAAAGCTAACCTGCTGAAGTTTCAGCTCAGTGGACAATACACTTTTCGAGAAAACAATGAAAAACCATGGACAACCTTTTGATCTTGAAACAAGATTTATGAACTGTTCATCTCCAAGGATCAGTCAACTGACTTATCTTTGGAAATCACCTACATTGTTGGAAATCACCTTTAATCCATCAGACAGCAAGCCAGATGGAATAGTTTCATTGGGTGTTTAGTACCAGTACGATCTTAAATCCAAACATGCTTTTTGAAAAAAAATTGCTAGGTTACTTTTTGGATAAATGATCCTGTATGCCAATAATATCTATCCAATGTCAAATGTCGTGAAGAATTTGCTTCAAACAAATGAGTACCTTTTCCTAACCGGGCATTATTTTATTTCATACAGTTGCACATTAAGAGCCACACCCTATACCTAACCAAAATACAAAAGAGCTGAAAGGGACAAGCCAGCATCATTCACCTCAAAAGGGATCCATTTGTAGAAAGTTTTTTTGTTCCACTTTCATATTTTGTCTCTCTGAATACCTCCCGTTCTTTGAGAAATCCTAACTGCAGTTTTACTCACATGGATCTCTGTAGGCTAGCGCACACACAATGGTCAAGACTGGATCAAGGCACTTGAGTACAATGGAGTACAGCACCATCTTGCCTAGTCTGGGCTCCAATGGCAAATCAGCAAGGTGGTGTCCCAACTCAGTCATATCTTCCCAGTTATCTATTGCATCAATGGCCTAGGGACACAAGGAGAGTTTTGGTGTTTACACTGTTACACCTGACTGTCATGCATGTAATTATTCTCATATCTTCTCAGATATCTATTGCATGAATGGCCGGTTACACTCCTATGTTCCGACACACTTAAGTTCCGACACCCCTATGTATTGTTCCGACCGGAACATAGGGGTGTTGGAACATAGGGGTATAGGGGTGTTGGAACATAGGGGTGTCGGCATATAGAGAAGTCACCGAATGGCCTATGGGATCAAGAAGCTTAAGGGTTCATACTGTTACCCCTGACCGTTAAGCATGAAATCATTGTCATATCTCCCAGTTACCTATAACACAAGTGGCCTATGGGATTACAGAAAAAGATTTGTAATGTTACCCCTGACCATCATGCATGAAAAAAATTGTCACATTGCCCCAGTTGCTAAGTAGCGCCAGTATCACAACCAGGAAGAAGGTACATTACTTTTATCAGTAACCTAGGGAGTATAATGTTTATTCATGAGGAAAGAACAATGACGTCACAGCATATTACTTAGTTGACTAGCGACATTAAAGGAATTTAAAGAATAGATGTTGTCAGGTTGCCACAATAGCCTAGTGGTTAGTGGGATGAGTTTCTAATCAAAATACTTTGGTTCGAATCATGTCCATTTTTCATCTACTGTTTTTCTTCTCCAAATTAACTGGCGGGAAAAAGGAGTCCGAAACCTAAGTTTCTTGAAAAAAATATCGTGAACGGCTAACAAGGCCCTAGTGTACCTTCCTCCGGGTGTGATACTGGCTCTACCCAGTTGCTACTGCATGCATGGCCTATGGGATCAAGAATGGTTCAGACTGTTACCCCTGACTGTCAGGCATGCAATCAATGTTACATTGTTTGTTGAGCTTATTAAGGCAATTCAGTATTGTAAAGCACAAGTTATTCGCTGTGTCACTATCCAATTAAAGTTTTAAAGTTTCAATATTGAAAGCCACTTTAACACAATTCTGACACTTCCAAAATTGGCCAGATACACATCATTTCTGTGGTGTTACCTTTAATAATTGCACAGCGTTCTTCACTATGAGAGAGGCAGGTGGATCAGGTGCTTTGGATAGGAAATCAGCAATGGTTGAGTTGAGTGGTGCCAATAGCTTGGTGTGTAGACACAGCTCCTTGAAAATAATAATGGAAAAGGGGGAAATTGTGAATTAAGCACAAGAATATAAGGAAATTTAGAAAAAAAGGAAACTCCAAACCACACAAGACTTTGTACAGTGTTTTTCAATTTGTAATGACATTCATGAGAAGTAAAAACGAGGAAATCAGCGGATCAGAGGAAAAGTTGCATGCCTGAGGTCACTGTGTATTGACCTTGTGTCATAACTGAATCCATGCAAGAATAGATGGCGCTTTTCGTGTGTGCATACTGATTCGCGTGCGTATGGTGTAAAGTACGCAAGACTTATTTATTATGATACTCTGAATGTGCGCAAAACCAAGCATCTTTGCATGAGTGCCAGGCGTCGTCAGCAATGCGTTTGAATGTCCCTCCTAGTGGTCTCCCCCAACTCTCCCTATGTAACCACTGAGGGGACACCTGTGTGCGGAGTCCATAGTCCATGGATGTCTGAGTTGAAATTTTCATTTTGAGAATCAACAACTATCTTCAAAATTCACAAAGAATTCAAAAGAAAAGACGACAACTTTAAGGAAACTTACAGGAAAAAGGCAACTTTACCTGCAGAGGCAGTCTGAGAATCTCAGGTGTCTGGAAGTCAGGAAGACTCTTGTAACGAACTCTACTCATCAAATGGAAGCACATACCAGGTCTGCATCTACCTGCCCTGATAAATGGATAAATGGACAAATGGAATAATAATAAAATGGAAATGATCACTGGGATGTAAAATTACATGTACAAAAAGGTTAAGTTTTACAATCAACAAAAGTATGAGCTATTTTCAGTTTTGAAATTGATCATCGGGATTTTAATTAGTAGAAAGAGGCGGTGCATATTTTCAGTCTTTGGAAACTGATAGAGAGTTAGTTCAGAAAGTTGGATTGGACAGACTCAGACAGTCAGCAAAGTCTTCAAAAAAAAAAAAAAAAAAAATGCAAAGCATTCATCTACGACGAATTTTAGGGCTGAGCCAATTCGAATAATTGAATACTGGAATATTTGACCTTCTATTCGATCGAATATTTGAATATTAGGTTATACCGGAAGGTGGGTTTTCGGTCATCCGATTTCCAGTTGAAAAGGCCGTCATGCAGGTTTCATTATAATTGATTTCAACACAGTTGACATCAATATATCATTACCTAGAATGCTAACTTTGCACATTCATGAATTGTATGCGTCACAAATCTATTTTCTTAATCTTGGATGGATTCTACATTTTATTGTTGGGCACATATATTAGCTGCCTTCAAGTGTCAGACAAAACCTTGAAATGAGCTTTCAGAAAGCAACTTTGTTATAAAACATTTGACTTTTTCCCCCTTTTTTATTTCATTGCATTTCACGATCACCACCTAATATTAAAATCGAAAAATAAATATTTGGGTATTCGATAATCGATTGAATATTTGAATATTCGGAACAGACCTAAAAAAAACCCATTATTGACTTACCTTCCTTTTCTCTGCTTGGCGCTGGCTTTTGAGATCCAGTTACTCTTCAGCATGGACACTGAGGTGAGGGCATCAAAGGATTTCTGAGGAATACAGAAATAAACTTTTAAATCTGTCCATGTCCATCCAAGGATTTTTGATGAATACAGAAATATACACTTAAATCTGTCTAAAAAAAAATCAGCTAAAACTGTGCGTTAAAACTTGGCTTTTGTAACGGACTGTTGATAGGAAATTGCACTTTTAAAGGCATATAGGATCATTTGCATCTATCCCAAAATTAACCAAAACAATTATTATCAAAAAGCTTACTTGGATTAAAGATCGTACTGGTACTGAACACGCCATGAAATTATTCCATTGCTCTTATCTATAAAAAATCAATAAATGTAGGTGATTTCCAACGATCAGTATATTTACTGATTTTTTGAAAAAAAGAATTAAAAAAAACCAAAAAAAACCCCCCCATTTTGTGATTTAAAGATCGTGCATTGTTTTTCACTGTTTGCTCCAAAAGTGTAATATCCACTGAGTTGAAAGTTCAACAATTTCCAGATTAAATATCTTCAGAAAACCTCCAACTGGTGACAAAAGCCTGGAACATTTCAATGTGCTTACGTTCTAAATGAAACAAACCTCTTTGACTTTTCCAGAATCCAACACAAAGACAACGTCGTTGATGGTTACACTTGTCTCTGCGATATTTGTGGATAGCACCTGCAGAGAATTGTTTGATAGGTTTATTGTCAAATTATCTAATCTAAAAATGTGAGATATAACTCCCTTAAATTTGAAATAATTTACCACACAGGGAGAACTTTCAGTTGGTGCTATATAGCCATCAGATGACTTTTGGCAACACTCTATTCAATATTAGGTTTTGTCCTTCACCGACGTATAAACACTGTACACTCAGTGTGTTATCCCCCGAATGAAAGTGAGAAGAAAAATCACTCGGGTGGGACTCAAACCCATGACCTCCTGCTTTCTAGTGCAGACGTCTTACCACTAGACCATAAAGCTTGTCGGGATCGGCTGGCTGGTTCGAATCTGATGTAGCAGTGGGTATCGCAATAAAACTATTCATAAGATGGAATTTGCGTCGGGGCGATGCAAATTCAATATTAGGTTAGATGTTATCAACCTAAGGCCAAAAAAAAAAGTCTCCGGTTTCTGGTATGGAGCTTGCCCAAAAAGTGGTGCGGCAACGCGGCTTTTTTTTTTTTTTTTACCTGATTTTTTTGCTTCAAATGTCGGCTGATGACTGCAAATGGTGCCCGACTAAACTTAGTGCAAATATATGGGAGTCCAGAGAGGCCACATAAAGCTTATTCTCGACCATAACCCAATCTAAAAACACGTTACAATTGTGCAGCAGCAGGATTCCAGTCAAACCAGTGAGTTTGGCGGTTTTGAGACATCATCTTTCATTGAAAAAAAAACGTTTTCATTTTGCCGACGCGCATGGCTACGGCGACGCGCGCGCATACCAGAAACCGGAGACTTTTTTTTTTTGGCCTAATATTGAATTTTTTCACACGATGCAAATTCTATCTTATGAAGGGCAACACTCTAAATAGGATAGCTAAAAGTATATGTAACTTAAGAAATTTCCAAAACTTTTACTTCCCAAATTTTTTTTTTGAGAACTTTGTAGAGAACATTAAAAACTCCACCGATGATATTGGTAGTAGTTATTGAATAAAATGTAATTATAGTGTAGAAAACTGAATTTTGAATTTAAACTGAATGATTTTCAGAAAACTCTAATGAATATCATGACTTTTTCCACCCACTTTTAACATTTTGAATTTTGATCTGAATAATTGTATCCAATAAACTTACAATTTTCCTGACTCCTGAGGGTGGTTTCCTGAACACTTTCTTCTGGTCAGAACTCTGCATTGATGAGTGTAATGTGTAGACTTGATAATGATTACTGTCCGCAAATCTTGCATCATCGTTGAGGAGTATGTCTCTCAAGGCAACGATGTCATCGTAGCCTGGTAGAAACACGAGGATTGCACCTAACGAGATAAACAGACAAATAATACCAATATTTTAGTTCCTTATAATGTATGCACTACATTTAAAGGTTATTTATACAACATTTCCTTTTTCTGTAATTTTCAGAAATGGACAGATTTGGGGGTTACTATTTTATAGCAAATATTGTTACACTGACCTGTTACACTGTTACACTGACCTGTTTTCATAGATGCTGGAAACACTAAGATAAAAATGTTGTTCTTGTAGTTTGGTTCCCTGACCCTACCTCAGACGAAACAGAGCAATTTATAGACGTCGGGGAATTATCAGGTCATGGAACCAGACTAGCTGGCTTGCACCCATTCATGGATGTGTAACCGATTGCAAACAAAATGTGGACTAACTTCATTTGGTAAATCGGGGGCAGTATTTGGGGAAAAAAGTCAGTTTTTCCAACGATTGTCGGCCAAGGAGAGTAATGTGTAGATGTATGTGCTTGGCCAGTTTTAAACAAGGAAGTTTAAAATTGGCCAAGCTAGGGGCCTGGACACCAATAATCAGTTGGGTCATTATCGACAACCAGGACCCTAGCCGTTTTTTAACGTACTTGTTTAATACCAGCCAAGCATATATTTATTCCCATTCATAAATATCTTTCAGTCAAAAAAAATAACAAGTCAAAAATTATAAATTTTACTCCATGTTTTGTGAAACACCCCTCTAGCTATGTTTACGGTATGTGCCTCGCGCGAGTAGTACTAAAAATCTCCTTATATGAAGATTGGCGCGCGCCGCTTGATGTGGTACAGAACACAGTGGTTTTTCAGTCAAAAGTGTTTGAAACCAGTCGGTGTTTTATCAACCGTTTAAAACCACCCACGTGACGGGCTCTCGACCAATAGAAATAGGTAAACTGTCTCAGATATTTACGAATCATGGTTTGACACTTCTTAATACCCACCTTCTTGCGACTTATCGGAGATGTTCGTCAACAATGCCAAGATAAGATTCAAGTCGACTCTCTCGTCATCAAAGCTGTGCTGGTACGCCTGCAAGAGTTCTCTATCTTCAGCACTGATGTCTGCACTGTCTTTAATCAAGTCAGATTCGTCGTCCACCTCCACCTGCATGTTGGTTCTATGCCAAACACAAATTATGCTTCTGATTAAAACTGGAGAGCAGAACACAAGCTATCTGATTGAAGAGCTATTGTGGACATGGGGAAAAGGGCGGCTCAGATTGGGGTTGGAATAAATTTGGGAGGAACAGCGATTCATTAGAAAGAAAAGACAGAGAAATAAACATGGTTCTTCACTTCCTGTACATCACAACAGGGCCGAGACATGATGGCATTCTAAAATATTTCATTTGTAATGCTGACACATTACATTACATTTTCTTGTTATTTATGATAGGAAGTAGCTGTTTTTATACCAATTTATGAAATTTGTATCTACTTTCAATTCTCAAAGTGTCTAATGATTTCTTATTGAATGTACAGGGCGAGTAAAAAAAAAAAGGAAACCCAAATGGCAGGACCAATTATTTAATGAATTTCTGTATGTAGCACTTTCAAAAATCTAGGATATGAAAGCCCAATTAATAAGCTTCCTTTTAGTACAATAGTCAATTCTGCTTTATTTAGGCAGGGAGCACTCAACAGTTAAAAACAGTCACTTGACTGATTTTGACTGAAAGGACAACTTTGCTCAGAATGCATGTCTGCATAGGAAGGTTCATGTAATAGTTAAGGATCCAGGCCTCGTACAAGCCTTGGTTTTTGCTTGGTATCTGCCATCCACAACCCTCTGTATTCCTTTACATCTGATGTCTTTATATTTTTAATGTGGTGCTTAGGAAACACCCAAAGTACCCCCCCCCCAAAAAAAAAAACCAAACAAAAAACATAACAAACAAACAATGTTGCGCTTTGTTTACAAGTGTGCTTTCCTATGGGAGTCAGGTGGAGACGAGAGCCACCAAGCTCCCATAGGAAAGCAGACTTGTAATCAAAGCGTGACGCGTATTACATCTATTCTAGAATAATGAGGGTGTGGTAGATAGGGAATCTGTAGCCAACTTACATGTGAGCCTGTAGTATTTCAATCACGTCTGTCTGATTGAACTTGGTGGCCCAATCTAAAGGAGTCCTGTATGAAAACAACAAAACATGAAACAATTATAATAGGAAGATAACATTCATGTTCTTAATCAGAGAACAAAAGAACTTCTGTTGAATAATCAGGCTATTTGTCATTGTTTACAGCCTTTGCTTCAACATTAGAAGAAAGTATACAACCTACATATTCATGTCCATGGAAGTATTCTTGAAGAGGTTTATAACTATTGAAAAGTCAAGATCATTTCTTTGTTAGAAATGCCAACCCTGTCAAACATTTACTGGAACTGCTAAATCCACAAGGAATGAATCCTGCTTAATGCAAGAGCTCTATATGAATAAGAAATCGTCTTCATCCACTGCTCTAACAAGAGGACACATCAAAACATAAACACTTATAGATTATTCTTCACTCATATCTCGAAAAACATCATGTTTGTTACAAGAGTTTACTGACCAAAAGATTGTGCAACTTGATAATTAAAGGTTATCAATAGACAATGCTGATACAGCTCTAGCCAATACACAAAATATATATTAATTTCAAAGAAGCAGTTTGACTTCTTACATGTCATTTGAAGCTCTTTGTGTAGGATTAGCTCCGAGACTAAGTAATCTCTCAACAACCTCCACATTGCCCCGCCCAGAAGCCAACATAAGGGGCGTGGCACTAGTTTCAGAATGGGCGTAGTCAACTGTGAAAGTGAATAATGAATGATGTAATATTAAAGTAGGGCAACAGAGAGGGGTGAACAACCTCCTCATTGTCCCACCCAGATGCCAACATCAGGGGTGTGGCACTAGTTTCAGAATGGGCGTAGTCAACTGTGAAAGTGAATAATGAATGATGTAATACTAAAGTAGGGCAACGGAGAGGGGTAAAGAACCTCCACGTTGCCCCGCCAAGGAGCCAACATAAGGGGTGTGGCACTAGTTTCAGAATGGCTGTCAACAATAATAACAATGTGGTGCTTATACATGTATAGCACTTTATACCAAAGGTCGCCAAGCACTCCAAAATTATTACCCCTGTTTATCAGGCCATGAGACAACTGTTTTTCTTCAGCAGCTCGAGATCAGTGCAATCTGGTCTGTATCTTCACAGTTACTATTAATACTCTTGGGTGGAAAGAACTCTTGTGGTAAAGTCTCTTGCCTAAGAACACAAGCACCATGTTCCCCGTTAGGGTTCGAACCCAGTCACCAGAGTAGCTTGAGGCCATAACTTACCGCTGACGTTCTCATTTAATATCAGGTGCATGAGCTGGTCGAATGATTCAGATTTGCCCTTCAGCCAGCAGTCACCGAGGGCGCTGTCCATGGCTTTCATCAACCACTCAGACATGTCCGCTACATCTACTGAGGCCTAATATATTACAGACAAGAAACATGAAAAGGGTTTTTGAATACCATCATGGTCTTATGACAATTCCAAGGGTGAGATTGGGAGAAACTGAAAAATGAAAAATCCTTGAAATAATCGGCAGATGGTTTGAGGGTCAGGGAGCAACGTAGGGTCTGTGGTATATGTTTGTATACACCTAAAATACCATTTATTTGTTCAATATCAACTTTTATAAGTGAAAACACCTATACGGTAAAACCTCAGGAATCCAGATTTCAAAAGTGATTCTTTCAAAAACCTGAAATCAGGAAAAATCCTGACAAAAATTCTTGAAATCAGGAAAAATCCTGACAAAAAAATCTTGTTATCAGGGAAATCCTGACAAAAAAATCTTGAAATAAGGAAAATCCTGACCCAAAAACCATGAAATCAGGAAAAAAATCCTGACAAAAAATCTTAAAACCAAGAAAAATACTGACAAAACATCTTGAAATAAGGAAAATCCTGGCAAAAAAGCTTGTAGTAGGGGAAAATCCTGACAAAATGTTTTTTGAAATCAAGAAAAATCCTGACCAAAAAATCCTGAAATCAGGAAAAATCCTGACCAAAAAATCTTCAAATCAGGTAAAAAACCTGACAAATTCCTGTACAAAGTGTTCACTGATGCCTGTCATTCAAGACCTAAGATTGAACTTCAGCAACTGTAGCATCAAGCTTGTGCATCATCAGATCAATATTCTTCTATGATTCTTTCAGATGATCAGTTGAGAGTTTTCATAGCTTTCATTGTAGTAAGCTCTACTATTCGAAAGCTGATCATTAAAAAAAACTGTTTGTACGGGTAGAAGTTCTGAAGAGCAACAAATAGGAATCATCATTGATTGCGAAACAAAACAAGAATATTCACTTCACAGACAGCGTGTTAGGAAATGAAATGCCTCATCAATGACCAAGCAAAGAGTACTCACATCCAGTGATGCCTTGTCACTGTTTGCCCCACTCAACCCACTAACAGCAGAGAAGTCCTGAGAGAGTTTACTGACATCATCATCTTGCTCTGAAGGTACAGGACTGATGGCACTGGGCTCCTTGTACCACTCATTCAGCTCAACAGTCTGTTTGGCCACTGAAACGAAAGAAACTCACTGCCTGATGAATATATTCAGATATGAAATGCCTAAACAATGACCTAGCAAAGATAACCAGATAACACACATGTCGGTAACTGAATTTGTTCAAATAAACCACAAAGGAAACTGACTAGGTGCATTGTAATAATTTGCAAAGTTGAAACAAAGACATTGACTGGAGTGAAGTTTGAACCTGTGACCTCCGGATTGCCGTTCCGGTGCTCTACCAACTGAACTACCCAGTCAATAGGGCTAGATAGCTCAGTTGGTAGAGCACTGGAACGGCAATCTGGAGGTCGCAGGTTCAAACTCCAATTCAGTCCATTTCTTTGTTCAATTTTGAAGATTACTAAATATATTACAAAAAAGAAAGAACAAAAAAAGAAAACAAAACAGTGATCTTCAAGACCCAATTGGCTCCGTCCTTTTTTGTTCATGTTAATTGCTTTCTTGGCTAAGCTGTTATAATTTTAATTGTTTTTAAAGATAATTGACAACTTACATTTTGTCTTTTCTTTCATGAACTTCTTCATTTTGTCGTTGGTGTAACCAGTGCTGTATCAACAGAGAGAGAGTGGCAGTAAAGAAATTAACTGTACCCTTTTTTTCTGTTTTGTAAATTCAAATCTTGCGAACAATTGAAGCTTGTCCAATAATTGGATTTAGAATGCAGTATTGATTGAAACAAACACAATTGACAAACAGAAAACTGGTTTTGGAACAAAATATAATCCCAAATAATTCTGGGATCTGACAGAAATATTTGATCGGGTGAGGATCCGGACATATAATTATGGTAAGGATTAAAAAAACAAAAGAAAATGTAAGATGTTTTTATTACCATTTCAGTGCATCTTCAAGAAAAAGTTCCTCCACATCAAAGATTTTGCCTGGAACTGGAAGAATTTGGAAAGGAAATTCAAATTAGATGCATTGCATGTCTTACTTTGGCTGATAGAATAACACAAATGAAAAACACTAGATTTTGTGAGGTATAAAACATAACACCAAAAGTAAAGTTTTTCCTTCACAACATACGAACAAACTTCAGATTTCCTAACGCCTCAGCAATACAGAGCACTATTAAAAGAAAAAAACATCGCGCAACAGAGCAGACACTCAATTAGCTAGGAAGGAACCCCAATTGTAACCTGCTATATCATAATGAGGAATAACCCCCAACTTTGACTTTTCACGTTACACACATAATGTTAAAGTGCAAATCATTGGCTTTCCAATAATACCAAATTATTTCTGTAGCTTAATTTATTCCAAAGATATGCCGCAGGATCTTCAACAGTGTCCCGCCGAATTTCGCCGACCCCATTTCGAGAAACACCGCTTTGAAAAAAGAAATACGCATTGCGCCGCCAATGACAGTGGAAATCTTTCTTCAGTTTCCAACTTTTGGGGATATTTTTTTCTCAACAAAAATACATAGTGTGAATCTTGGATACCTTGGTTACTCAAAACTAAGAAAACAAACAATATTGATTTTGACATACATTTTTTAGCGTACCCAACTGCAACTGTTGATAACTCAAAACATGGTTTTGGGGGACATTCTTCATTTTGCCACAGAAGGTCACAATTATGTTTTATAGTCTGCCATCAGCACCATGTATAATAAAAAATACTCAAATAGGAAATGGAATTTGAATCCAGATCACACAGTGAAATGTTACTTGTAAGTGACACTGCCCCAGTATCACCGAATGCGTTCACGAGTTGATCGTGCACAAGTTTGTCGCCCAGGAAGCAAGCATTTGCTGCGTAGCGTGTGTTTGCCTTTAAGGCAGTCAAGCCACCTCCCCTGTGAAGTAGGCCAGGCAGCTAAGCTGCCTACCCCGCAGAGCAGGCGAGGCAGAGCTTCTTATCTATAAACAAACATACCAGATAACAGAGGGCAGTTGTTGAAGTATCTGATGAAGAGCTCAGTATCGAGAGCAGCACTCATAAGGATGACTCGTAGATGCTTCTGTCTGACTAAGATTTCTCGCAGTTGAATCAGGAGGAAATCACTGAAACGATCTCTCTCATGAACCTCATCCTGTCAAACAACGTAAAGGCACATTAAATTGTCTTGAGGATGACTCTAAGTTGCTTCCAAGAATAACGATTAATGAAAAACTTTCCGTCATTAAGCCTAACCGAACTCAACCCATCAAAGCCCAACAGTAGGTTTTGTTTAAATCTATTAGGATAGGTACAGTACCTCTAAACAGATGGTCTTTTACATTGGGTTTTGCATACCACCAGAAACCAAGTCAAAGCTTGATTGGGAATTTAAAACTTCATTTCCAAAAGTGGCAGTATAATTTGGATTTGTTTTTTTTTTTCTTCAAAAATGGGGCACAGAAAACCCTGTGTTGATATATTGATAATATTTGATTAGCTAAAATGTAATAAAGTATGGGCATAACCAAATGGGCATGATAAGAATAAACTCCTACTTACAATAATGACATGAGTTACAGATTGCAGTGCATGATCACCAGCCATGAGGGTACGCAGCAGGACACCATTGGTGCAAAATGTCAACAATGTCTTTGGTGATACCCTGCATAAAATGTACAGTAGTGGTTTATATCTAGATTTGCAATCGGGTTGAGAGTATCCTTCTAATGATGCAAAGACTAATTTACCACTCAATGAAGTTGACGGTTATCCGAGTTAAGTCATAATTACCAGAACACAAAATTGTAGATTTTAAGTCATAATAAACTTGCCTACTTCAACAATTTGTTGATATGACTTGCTTCAGCAGCACACAGAGCAACCAAGTTATATGTTGTTGGATTTTAAAAAGACAGACCACTAGAATAGAGGCCCACTTTCTAGGTGCTATTTAGCACCTAATTTTTGCTGATCTTATTTACACACATTGAATACAGCTAAGAGCCAACCACAAAATTACCAGAAACTATGCCTTTTTAATTTATTTGTTTATATTTATTTATTTCGACAACATCCAACATCGCAAGCGCCAGAACAGGATGGATAAGACTTGGTTGAAGATGTGGAAGGAAATTACAGTTTTAGGGTTGGGAGGAAAACCCCAGAATGATATGCTGGGGAAACCCACGGAATCAGGCAGGGACTGAAAACCAAATCCACATGTTGGCCCAGGCGGGACTCGAACCTGGGTCACAGCGGTGGAAGGCGAGGAAAGTACCGCTAAATGCCAGCCTGATCCTCCATTTAGTGATGCAACAATGGAATCTCGAACAGAATCGAATCCACATGACACAAATGCACTAAAGGTGACACTACATTTCTTCGTAAAAAAAAAAAAAAAAACTTATCTGGTTCCATCTAGATCTCACCTGCTCTCCAATCTGATCTGATATCCGACTGTCTGTCCAATACTCTCTCCTCTCTCAGAGGCAACTCTCTCAGCAATCGACAAGGCTGATAACCGACGAGGCTGTGTACACAGTATACGACAACTCTGCTTCTTCTGGAAACATTCATCTAGAATAAACTGTGGGATCTGCATTGGAATTAGAAAAAGGAATAATCAGTGAAAACAACTATAATCAAAAATCAATCAACATTAACTCTTTGAATAAGATTAGTCAATATATTGTCTCAAAACGTCCAATATATATGCTCAAATGTCATACGGCATTGTTTTAATTCTGTTTAAGGCAATTAATTCCACACTCAAAAAAGTTAGGTGAATTTTCTGTAGCCTGTAGCAGACAGATTTCCATTACCCATGTCAAATCGAGTTTACGATAAGCTTTCAGGATTTCACTAGCCTTGGTCAAGGTGTTTGACAATAGTGTCTGACGATCGCTGGTCAACAAAACAGTAGCCGTGTGCTATGCAATCACATGTACTGTACGAAGCACAAAGAGCGAACTCACGTGGCTAGGCTACGATAAGCATCCGTGGGCCATTTTTTTTCGGGCAAATTTCTTTTTTTTTGTCGCTGGATTTATATCGAGTTATATTTGGTCTGTGGACTCCAAACTTGATGGAGAATGAAGCCACACTATCCAGCTCTCTATCCATGTAAAATACGACCCTCCACGACCAAGTACCGAATAATAATCTCGTCTTTATTGGCATATGGGGCCGTCGCTGGAAATCCAGCGACAAAATAAAGAAAAACATAAGCCAAGGCTCACGGATGTTCCAAGGTGCTTGTTCAGCACCAGCTGATTTGAATATTGTAGCCTAGCCATGTGAGCTGTTTGTGCTTCGTGCAGTACATGTGATGTGAGTTATGGCATACGGCTACTGCTGACCATCGTTCATTGGACTCTATCGCTGAACGCCTTGACCAAGACTAGGATTTCATTAGTAAATTATACATACGAGATAGTCACATAGGAGATACTACATTCAAAGTAACTACCAGATACCTGTGTAGTCTTTCCAGATCCCGTTTCTCCAGAGATCATCGACACTCTGTGTCTGTTAATCGTCTTCATGATCTCATCTCTCATAGCATACACCGGTAGAGTCTGTCTGAACGCATCCAGATCGGAGGGCGCCCTCTTGGCTGGGACTTGAGGGATGCCATTGTTGAGCCGCCCTGTGGTTTTCGGGATCTCTCTTGGCTGCCCACCTAGATAAATATCACACATCCAATCAAGATTAAATATGTATTGCAGTAGAATGCCGCAACAACAACAAATACTGTGATGAAAATGTGTCTAATGAGGGTAATCAGCTATTAGAGTGTCTATGTTATGTAATGAAATGAAAAGTACACTGAACATTCGCATTAAGCCCATCATATTGGCATTCCATGCCAACAAATAGGAGCGTCCATTTCTTAATTCAAGCTTCAGGAGAATTTCTGATGGTAATAATTTTATGATTGCCCTCCATGATCTATTTGAATAATAATGATATTGATGTGTATTTATAATGCACTCGTATCCACCAGTATTGGCGCTGAAGGCGCTAATATCATCATTACCCTGCTCATTGGGCCAATGAAACATTCCAAAGGCAATCGCAGCTCCCTTTGGAGTATACAGCTCAATGCTGCCATTTTGGTGCAAAGCAGCTAAAATCAATCACAATAACCACCTCTGCCCTCACAGGTACCCATTTACTCCTGGGTGGAGAGAAACAATGAGTGACAAAGCGCCTTGCTCAAGGGCACACACACACAAGCGTGTTCACACCATTGATCATGGACGTCCTATTGTCCCTCTTTTGTTTGTAACTTTTTAGGAAGACTCCCACAGGTTTTGTACACGACCCCAATCGCGGACGTATGCTGGGAATCGTGGACGATATTGTTCTCTTTTGTTCTCTGGAAGTTTTTGTCAAAGGCTTGAATAGATGAGCACGCCCACCATAGCCGCAGGTTGGACTCGAACCCACAACCTGCAGAATGACCCGCATGATCACAAATTCAATTCTCCAGACCACGAGGCCACGGCACTCGTGGTCTGGAGTACTACCTGGCATGCCAAAGGCTCGTCTCTCTACCCGAGGCTGTAGCTCTTGTCTCTCCTTCGGAGTGACTGGAAATCGTTGGAGCAAACCGTGAGATTCATTCCTAGAATCTCGTGTCAGATCAAATGTTGTCACACTGCCTTGTTTGGTGTTCTCTTTCTTGTACAGAGTCAGGTAGCGACTGGCTCCCTTGCTATGAAATTGAAAGAAAAAAAACAAAGCTGGTACATAAAAATATTGCAGTGAATTTCTTTATGTTTTAAAGGTGAGATTTTTATTTTTTAAGTTTTGAAGATAACTGAAGATGAATTATTTTCATGCAGCTGGGAAACTTATGTGGGCAGGGATGCTTTACTAATTCACTGGTGAAGTCGAAACGTCACTCAGAGGTCAACTCAGTGCAACCATGGTTATTGGTTCACGTGCACTGCTACGACCCAGTGCATACCGTGGTGACACTATGGCTGTTGTGAATCTGTTTCATAATTGGCTTGAAATTCGTCTTTGAAGTGAAAATAGTAAGCACAATTGTGGTTGTTGTAGAAACATTTATTTCAATGTTGCCATTTCCACACAATGAAATGTTACAATGCCGTGTAAACATATTATACAGAGCAAAATGCAATGAATTATGTAATTGTGTATAATAATGTACATGGATCAATACTAGAACAAATTAACGACAACATTTAGGTATAAGGTGAAGTGCACCTTGTAACGGTTGTAACTGGTGTGTTGACAATCTGCTGAAAGGCAGTGTATGAACCATTTTCAGGTACTAAATTCGTAAAATGTAAAATTGCTGTCTGTGATCGTGCGTGTTAAACGTACATGAAATGTGTCGTTATGGAATGGACATGAACCATTGTCATGGATTGACCTGGGGAGGAGGTGACATGACACTTTCTCAGCGCATACTGACATGACTGAATTGTATGAGGTTTTATACATACCCTTTGCTTCTGGATTTGAGTCCTAGGGACTGGGCCAGTAAATGGATAAACTTCCTTTCTGCATTGCTAAATGATGACGGGAATTCAAGCTCTGTTTTAAGAAAAGGTAAAAATGCATTAGAGCTAATATACATGGCAAAAACTCAACTGCACCGGAAGAGTAGGCACATGAATTTCTTTGGTAAAGTATGTAAATATTTACAAAAATAGAAGACGGTCAGAGCATACTGACCGGAACGTCGAGTTTATACCTCTGGTTCTTTTCAGAACCATTCTCTTAGTTGAGAAATTATTAGCACATGGTGTTTCCGCAAACCTTTCATTATTTAATACCTCCACCATGCAAAGCCTCAAATCTTACTTACAAAAATAGCATATTTTTAGTTTTATGTATCAAATAAAATTCTTTTAGTTTGCATTCTGTTCTGAGTAATGATCACAGTGAACACTAGATTGAAACTTTAAAGACTTTTCTTCAACATTTCGCACCTGAAAGTGAAGCCAAGTGATTTCAATTTGAAGCCGAAGACTAGACTGGTACATGTCCAACGTATTGAAAATATCGACCCTTCAGTAGTCTGGGGGCATGACTATAGAGAATGTGTAGTAACAGAGCTAGTTACCAGATGTTTCTTTTGACACAGTTGATTGATGCAGTAATAAAGGGGTGTTGGACTGTTTTTTTCATGTGCCAGTCTATTTTCTTGCGTTGCATTTTTTTACTTTCTGAAGTTTTGGGACTCTCATACACAGCATTGAGAGTCCCAAATTTTCGGACTAGTATTTGACTAAATGCCTCTCTTCTTTTTTTTTTGGTATCACACATTAAAAAGGGAAGTTAGTATCGTTAATTCGTAGTGCAACACAAGTAGGTTAGCTTGCTTGAAAGTTTCTCCCCAAACCCATTCGCACCTTTCTTGCTTTCATCATGTCTGAACTCTTTGACGGCAATATTTACAGCTATCTTGATTTCTTCACCAACTTCTTGCGACGCTTCCCCTTTCTCTTTCTTTTTCCTGGGCATGTTGCTATGGCGATTGTCCCTGCCTTCTGTTCACAAAAGACTGATTAATATAAGAGACGTCTTATCATTATATGGTGATCAATAGTTTTGTACTTATTACAAGCTCATGAGTCACAGTGAACATAAAATAGTCAAAATCACCAAACCATTTATATTAATACATGCATGTCCAGAGACCATAGAACACCTTTATAAACATTTGGATGTCATCTATCACACAAGATTCCAAGGTCAACACAAGCCCACACCAACTTGGACCCACACCAATTTTGGCGATTCTGTAAGTTCTAGTTCTGGAAGTAATACTATAGCTAGCGTCAAGTACGGTAACGACACTGGCAGTGGCTATCACTATGGCAGTCATGGCAGTCGACAGTCTGGTTCCCTGACCTAACAATATTCAAGGTCAGGATCTTTCTCTTGGAACCAGGCTATCAATCGAATGGTTCTCGGACTTTATTTCCCTTTAAACAAAATCCTCCAGCCACTGATATTTAATAACAAAGAAGAAAATGAAATCGACTTAAATAAAAAGAACGATTCGATTAAAAATAGATAGTGGATATATTGCCGGCGGCAATCCCCATCAACAGAGGGCGCTGTACTCTCTAAGATAGGGCTGAATTATAAGATATATTAAATTACCACCAACGGTTGTGTAGCACCTGTGGCCTAGTGGATAAGCAATGGATCTCGTATGCGGAAAGATCCGGGTTCGAACCCCGCTGGCAAAATTTTTAAGGATTTTTTACCCATCCCAAAAAATAAGAATATTCTTCTTTTATTATGTTAACATGTCTCAAACATTTTATTGCAGAGTATTACATTTTCTTTTTCAGATTTGTGGCACTGGAGGATTTTTTAATAGGGAAATAAAGTTTGAAATTGTAAAATGGTCTGACTCCCATCTTGTAAATACGAAGTTACAACAATAATGTGAATGTTGGCTTGGAGCCAGACTAAAATTTGTCACCAAAAAACAGTAACTGCGCATGTTCAGTAGTCCAGTACATATCCGGCAAGCTAACGTTTACTAAAGGTTTGCCGTATCCGGCTAAATATCCACTGCCTTAAAAATATAAAAGAAAAGAAAACTAACCATCAGACCATGCTAACTCTGTCATGACTGTTATGTTGTCATTGACCATGTTGACATTAGACTTTACAATTGCAAATTTGCAGTTTATTTATACTTTAGATCGCCCTTTAACTTATCATGCTTATATAATAAAGCTACCAAAACGTTCTGGTCGGATGGGTAGTTGTAAATGTGATATAGATTCGCAATGGTGTTGTTGCAATGCCGTACCAAAGTTGAAAATAGCGTTACCTGGGTACGGCTGCCGTAACGATAGCCAGGCACTACGAAAACTTTAGGCAGTGGATATTTTGCCGGAGACGACAAACCTTTAGTAAACGTTAGTTTGCCGGATATGCACTGAACATGCGCAGTTAATGTTTTTTTGTACTTAAAACATTTTCCGCTGACAAATTTTAGTCTGGCTCCATGCCAATATTATCGTTGTAACCTCGTATTCACAAGATGGGATTCAGACCATTTTATAATTTCGGACTTTATTTCCCTTTTAAAAAAATCCTCCAGAGCCACAAATCTGAAAAAGAAAATGTAATAGGCTACTCTGCAATAAAATGTTTGAGACATATTAAAATAATAAAAGAAGAATATTCTTATTTATTTGGGGATGGGAAAAAAAACCTTTAAAATGTGGCGGCGATCGGATTCGAACTCGAGTCATCCCGCTCACTAGAGCTTCTGCTTAACCACTACACCAAACGTGCTACACAACTTTTGATGGGACCTTAATACATCTTATAATTCAGCCCTATCTTAAAGAGTACAGCGCCCTCTGTTGATATGGATTGCCGCCGGCAAACCTTTAGTAAACGTTAGTTTGCCGTCATTACCTCCGGCAAAATATCCACTATCAAAACTTTAATATACTATAGGCTACACAAACATGTTGGTTGCCTTTAACAACTGTTTCAAAAATCTACACTAGGCCTACAACACCTTGACAAAGTTAAGTAGATCATGAAGTTTCATTTTTAGTCTTAAAATTGTAAAATGATAAATAATAATGCAACAAAACCAATCTTAAATTCCAAAGAACTTACCCCGACTTAAAAAGCGGGATTCCCCAAAATGTGAAATGACAGTTCAGTAATTTGAGTCTGGCACCATTAGCTAATTTAGGTTACAAAGATCATGTTTGGAGTCTGGTTACCGAACTTATTTCCAAGCGTGAATTATAACTAAGTAAAAAACTTCAAGTTTTACGATTCCAAACAGTAATACCTGGTACAATAATTACGCATTAAAATTAAAAACAAGAATTTTTTTTTTTAAACGACTTATTATTATTTATTTAAAATTAATTTGCTGCATATTTTTCGCTTAACCTTAAATAACCCCTAATTTTACTACGATATTGAATGTCTGTTATCCTGACTACCATAATGTATTTTGACACACACAACCAAAAACATTTGTCAGACACTGACTACACGAGCAGACGATCAGCTCATTGCATGCATGCACTGGCTGCGTGCTGCATGCGCAGCCGTGCATTAGCACTAAAACCCATCATCCCCTGTCATGATAAAACACGAAATCGTTAAAAATGGACGTGAATGTTCCGGATGTTGTACTTGTATTCAGTGGCAAGCGGAAATCGGGGAAAGATTTTACAACTGATATTTTACTAGAGCGGTAAGTCATTGTAAAGTAGTGAAGGATTGGGGCCCGAAAAAAATTGTTACAAAACATGCGCCGACTGCATACTGCGCGGCGGGCCTGCCTCCCACGGATCCTTCGTGCGCCGCCTAATGACAAGTTAGCCAGTGAAGTGCGTGAAGTCGGCCTTCATATTGATCAAATCCTCATTTATTCATGTTACATTACATGTTTTACTTTTTACAGATTGGGTGCAGATTTGTGCGTAATACTGAGACTCTCTGGACCACTCAAATTTCAATATGCGAAGGTATTTTGTCAAATTCAGTATTTTTTCCCTGCAAAGTTCAATCACCAAATTTTTAACGTTACAGCAGTACTGCCTATATGTTGGTGTTACCACCACAGAGAAAGGATATAGGGCCTACATTGTATTGTTAATGCCCTGCTGCCTTTTGTCAGTGAGCAGGATCATACGATTAATAGTAATGTTGGGTTGCTGGGCTAGCCCTACAAACATGGCGGTATGGTTCTCTTTTAAAATCTGTCTTGTTACTGTCGGTAATGGCGACAGTAACAAGACAGATTTTAAAAGAGAGCCATACCGCCATGTTTGTAGGGCTAGTTGCTGGGCATATTTGCTGGGATTTCGATTTCATTGCCAGTCTATTGAGATCATAATTTCATAAAGCTGTTAAAGATCATACCACTTCTTCCTGTTAATTAAAGGAGTCAACGACCTTTATTTACCCATACCCTAGGAAAACAATTTGGACTTCAATAAGTTACTTGATGCCACCAGTTACAAGGAGAACCACAGGGCAAAGATGATCAAGTGGGGTGAGGAGCAACGCCAGAAAAACCCAGCATACTTCTGTGGTTTGGCTATCGAAGATGCATCACCAAACCACAAAGTATGGATCATCAGTGACGCTAGGAGGCAAACTGATGTGGAGTTTTTCAAAGAGAATTACCCCAAGCAGACTGTCACTGTAAGAGTGACTGCAGATGACAGTGTCAGATTGGCGCGAGGATTTGCTCATACCAAAGGTAAGTAAATGTAATTTATCCCTACACCCCCCCCCCCCCCCCCCCCCCCCCCCCCAGTGAAGATGAATGGAGTTTGAGAAACATGGGAATTTTGGGAGGATTGAGGATGAATGGTGTTTGAAGAGGAGGATTTTAGAAGATTGAAGAGGAATGCATTTTGAGAGGCAGGGCTGTTTGATGACGATTTTGAATGAATTTTGAATGGTATCCTTCATTTGAACATAAGTGCAAATTTTTTAGAGGACTTTGGAGGATTGAGGATGGTTCCTAATCCTAGCAAAAAGGGCCTAGGGGGTTAAGGTTAAGGGTTTCAAAACTTTCAACCCAGAAATATTGAAACCTAGACAGTACCAAAAAAAATGTGCCTCCACAAGTTTTTTTTTTATTAACTTATGAAGATCACTTCTTTTCTCAGTCTGTAGTCCTTCATTTATGTAAACAGTTAATTACTTTTCAATGTTGTAAATGCATTGTACTTAATTCAAGAAATAGAATTTGACTTTATCAACCTATCTCCAAATTCTTGTCTTTTATAATCAATAAGACATGTTTAAATGTAATTTGACATTAACTTATATTGTTTGTTGCCATTTTCTTAGGTGTTGATGATGCAGAGTCTGAATGTGGCTTAGACCAGGGAGTAACTTGGGACTTCATCGTCTCCAATAATGGTAACATGGCTGAACTTGAACCCCAACTTGCCAAAATTATTGACCATATACGAGAAATGTTATGCAAAAAGTAGTGACTGCTAATGATGTTGGCCATTTTAGTATTTATTGATTCATTTTTATATCATCATTTGTAATGAACTTTAAAAAAAAAATTATGTTCACATTTTCAGGGAGCAATGCTAATGTACAGGGTGAGTCAAAAAAAGCGGAACCCAAACCCCATATAGTATATTTCATATTTAAAAAAATATGTAGCACCAAAAATAATAATAACTGGAAAGCCAATTTCATAAGCTACTTTTAGATGAAAAAATTACTGAAATTGGTCAATCCGTTCAAAGAATATCACCATTTAAACACAATGACCCCAAAACCTGTCTCGTCCAAAAATGTGATTTTAACAATAGTCGTCACAATTGTCTTCAAACATCACCAGCGATGAAATCTTAATTTAAACGTTAACAATATGCAACAAAGTCCTTTTGAAGGCCCGTCTTTTCAAAAAGTAGATTTTATAAATCATATTGTTTGCCTAACCAGGGTTGTCAATCAAAATACTGTGTACTACAGTTGGTGACAGTTGTTGAAACAAGTATTCTGTGTCATTTTCTTTGTTGTTCCAAACAGTCAAAACACACAATAAATTGTTTTTTTTGGACGAGACAGGTTTTAGGGTCATTGCGTTTAAATGGTGATATTCTTTGAACGGATTGAGCAATTTCAGTAATTTTTTCATCTAAAAGTAGCTTTTGAAATTGGGTTTCCAGTCATTATTATTTTTGGTGCTACATATTTTTTAAAATATGAAATATATTGTTTGGGGTTTGGGTTCCGCTTTTTTTGACTCACCCTGTAATTTTGTGAAAACCTAAAACAGCATTTGACCCTACATTGGCTGTGCAATACCTGACCAAAAATACTTATGCAAAGCAATTATGCTGGTTAAAAGAGTGCTCTTAATGTTAATTATACTTGTACATTGCATCCTACTGTAGTTTTTATGTTCAAAAAGCTATCATGATCTTTCCACATTATGAATTCACTGTGCAATCTGATCATTGTGAAGTTGCAAAATTATGCTGGTTGATGAGAAGCTTTGATGCATTTTGTGTGCATCACATGATGTACGGGTAATAAATATACATGTACATGCAGTTTTTAGTTGTAATAAAATTTGCACAAATATATATTCATGATCATGGTGTTTGATACTAAGAGTCTGATCCATTTTGTTTTGAATCAATTGAACACAAACTCAGTATTAAGCAATTTTCCTGCATTCTTATTTTGTGATGTACAAGAAAAAAAACCGATTATAAATAAACATCATTAGCCATGACATTCCAAAAATACCCTGAGTTTATCAATTCTATTGTGTTAAGATTATCTTTTTGTATCCAAAGTTCAATGATAACCCGAATCGGTGAATGATGTATCCGACAGTGTGCTAGCGATGCTATGACATTTTTGCCAGGAGAATAAATTAATGGACTTGCCAGTTAAGTAGCGCCCTCTATCGCGCACAATGACGACTTGTACTAAAATCCGTGCCAACAGTGTCCTCGGTGTTGTTTATAAATCTCGCCCCCAATAGGTCAGCATTTATGACCCTGCCCATTGAAAGTTTTATTGACTGTTCGTGCTGAATGGCGCTCGTTCTATTGATTCGCTGTAAACTGACTTGGTTCGCAGCAGTTTACACGCTCGAATAGAGACATACATTTACATGTACCGGGATGTGTTTAACCGAACTTGCTCGTTACTAAGTTGTGTGTGCACGTACAACTGTATTAAAGTTTACATATTTGTGAAGCCCTTTGATGATGATGATGAAGTCACCCGTTTCCAGGTTTATAGGGAGGACTTGTACGCAACTAGCTAGTATGAGATCAAGAGGTTTTTTGGCATTGAGCCGATTCACCATTGAGCCTTCACCATAAACCATGCAGCACGAACGATTATTACAAGCCTGCTATTGGTAGTATCACCGCACAGACCATGCCTGACTCGCTTTCGATCTGCATCTGGTAACTAATTATGGTAAGACAATTGAAAGATGGCATAAGTTCAAGTTTATTATACCCTGAAGCAGCTTGTTAGCCATAAGAACAATGGAGATATCTGCAGTGCGGTACCCTAGCTGCGTGTCACGCGGCGTTCATCGGGATAAATTATAAGCGCCATCGATGTTTGTGTGTATAGATTTGAACCTATTCTTTTTAAAATCAATATGCCATTATTTCCCCTGTCTTGAAATTTGCCAAGTGTTTTAATAATACGTCCATGCATAACGTAGGCCTACAAAATATGCATTTTGTTATTCACATTGTCAGGGTCGTGCAATTTCGTTTGTTTTCGACTTTCGTTACCCGTGCACGAAGCTATATATTATATAGGCTGTTAGTTATACATGTAGTTACACCGCTTAACTACCACCTTAACTACATGTATTTGTTCTTTTAAGGTGGACCTTATAAGTACATGTATATAAGCATTGATACTCGACATTCTGACCTGGCCCGTCAGAAACACGTAGAAACTGATCATAAGTGTGTTTCGTTCACTCCATTTAAAATGCAGATCCAGAAAAACAGCGTGTGTGTCATGATGAACCGACATCAGTGCTCGCCCATGCACCGACTCACTGGCAAGGCCGCGAACCCACCAATTTTGTGTTCTGAGGGTTTTCTGACTTAGTGAGGGTGACTCGATTTCAGCAAAGATGTTCACCCGTGTAGATCCTGCCCAGAAGTCGGGTAAATAAATTATTAAAGTTAGTCAGTCTGTGATGTCCCACTGTCTGTGGCTTGTGAATAAAATCTTGCAGTTGGTGCATGAACCATTGAAGATTTTTGCTACCCACTGGTAGCCACACACCGGGTCCAGTAAAAGCTAACTGACCAGACTTTACTGTATCGAAGTCTTTTTTTAGGGGGGGGACCACCAAAATGCCGCGGGGGGAGGGGGGCAAGTTGCACCCCGATGGATACGCCACTGTAACTGCTACTGCTTGTTAATAAATACGAGACAAAAATTACTTCATCAATCTTGTCATTTTCTTAATGATTTAAAATGCATATAATGGCCTCTGTTTTCATTTGCACAGATAAGTATTTCCTCCGACAACGCTGGGACGAATCACCCGCCGTAAGCCAGCAAACAGACGCCATGAAAGGAAGCACCATTCGGGACGCCCTTGAAGATTTCTATACCAGAGAGGTCGAAATTCCCGCGACTTTATCTGAAATAAGAAAAGCTAAATTGGATCAGATCTTGCCTGGCCTGGTTGCCCGAATCCAGCGAAATACCTCAAGAGTTAGGTGCCTGGAGCCCATCTATGTTGGGAGTGTTGCAGAGGAATTAAACACCCGGCAAGGCAGTGATCTGAATATCATTCTACCATTGTCCGTGGTCGGGACAGTTACGCCCGTCCCCGCAGCTCATCAACCGGGAATGTATGAGCTCAGACTCCCACGCTTGTTCAACATCAAAGAAGTGAACGAGGATAGGTGGGTCGGATGGAGAGGTGATCGTGACTGTTTATCACCCGTATTAGCCAATAAGATGTTCCGAAAGTTTATCACAAAATGGCACGAAGTCAGGCAACACACAGGAACGGTGGTCGAACCGAAAACTGCTGGCAAAACCTCGCCAGTTCGAGTTGTAACCACTCTCAGTGAAGCTGAGATTGACCCCCAGGACAAGATCTTGTCGATTGAACTCATCCCTGGGATTGCTATCGGCAGGAAGAGCTCCGGTGACCGACGACTGTTTGTTGCTAAAGACTTCAACCTCGCGACTGATCCCTGCTGCGACTTGCTTTGGACTATCGTAACCTACGAAAACGAGAGGACGCTGTTGTCGAAAGTAAACAAAGCAGACGACGGCTGTAGGTTGAGAGCTCTGAAGATTCTGAAGGCGTTACGATGCAAGGATGAAACACTGGCCCAGCTTACAACGTACCAGATGAAGCACGCCCTCTTGCACCTGTGTGACGAACAAGTAGATCAGACTCACTGGCAGAGGCGAAAACTCGAACAATGCTTTGTAGAAATATTGCGCAAATTGGCCGAGTTCGTCGCGCAAAAAGAACTGCCGCATTTCTTTGTTGAAAAGGTGAATCTCATGGAAGGTATCCCTGAAAGGACATTGGCGAAATTGGAAAGCCGTTTCAAGGTGTTGTCCAGACGGGAGAAAGAGCTGGGACGACTTTTGAATAAATGAACAGTTCCCATTCACTGACAGCTAAATAAACACTCGAGAGACGTGTATAGCCTTGCCACAAACTATCAGAATAATAACATTTAGTAAAATATGGTATCATCACCTTCGCTGATGTTATTGATAATGAATCTGACACAATGCATAATGAGATACAGCTTTGCATCTAGGCCGTTAATTTGTAAGTTCTTGACCACCATTAACAATGACGGGTTTGTTATAACGAAAAAAGAAATTAATTAATTTGACTGCACGTATAAGGCCCACGTATTCAACACCTTCACTAAAATGTAAAGCTTTGATAACATCAAAATATATGTACCATCCATCCAACTTGGAAACATTAAATGCACAATAGACATGATACCTTTCCTACGTACGTAGAACCGTTATGCATTTTAAAATCTAGGAATCCATTTAAAGATTTTCATTACCAAATTATAGAAGAAGACAAAACTCAACGAGAACAAACTTTGCTGGCGGGAGGGGGGTTAATTGGATGGAGATAGTCTATGTATGTAATAGACCCTTGGAAGCAAGGGTCTATCATTATCTGAGCCGAGTTGCTGATAAATAAATGTAAGACAACCGCCTCTTCACGATGACCTGTAGATTTTGACCGTCGGCAGACGCTTTCTATTGTGTCTGGTCATGGATATCTATAAATAAAACATAGACACGTTATGATATTATTATTAGTATTTATTTAGCCATTCTTACAACATAAAGAAAGTCAAGGAACAGCAAAAATACAAGTACTGTGGTCCGAGGACCTGCTGCTCCGATAAAGTGAATTGAGCAAAAAGTCGGTGGTCCGTGACGCGCCCTGTAGCGATATGTTAATCTCATCTCATATTTTTATGTTTCTCATTGTTGGATTTTCTTTTAAATTTTTTTTTTTCAATTTTCAATAGTGGGCTTTTAAATTGCAAGCTTTTGTTTTATTGTTCAATACGCGATATGCCGGCAATAATATAGCCGGCCAATCACGGTCGTGTCTGGGTATTGTAGACCAGGCGCGCCCGGCAGGTTGTTTTATTTCAAAAACACTGCATCCGAATCGACATATCACAGTTTTAGTCCTGATTTGGGAATGAAATGACGTCATAAGAATGAGTAACGTCGACTCCGATTGGCGTTGCATAGGCCTAAATTTGCATTCCTAGATAAATAAGACGTTCGACCGGAGATAGGGCTCAGTGGAGAACGAGTGATACTCATGAGATGGGCGAAAGATGAAAGCTGAAGTTGAATAACTTACCTGCAACTTACATTCGGTGATATGATACACAGCTGCCCATCAAATGTTTTTTTAATAAAAAAAACAATTCTGTGTAAGATCAATAGTTGTAGGGTTGATTAAAAAAGTGTAAACTGAAATGTCGAACAGACTGTTAATCACATTCAGTACGTGGTACATCCTTCGGGCATGACGTCAATAAACGAATAATTGAATGTTTTACCCTTTTTTAAATAAAAAATGTAATAAAAAAGTATGCGCATGATCAATATTATTTTGTAATTGTAATGATGGTTTCAACTGAAATGTGTAGACAGCTGTTAACCACATGTTCAAGTGCGTGGCTCATGATCCGGGTATGTGCTCAGAATAATAGACTGCACTTAACTTACTGTACGGTAGTGGGGTGATTTTAATGAATAAAGAATCTGTTCTAAGCGTTTTGCTTTGAAGTTGGGTTAGAAAAGAATCATTTCAAATAAAATGATGGCCGTCGAACAGTTTTTTGGACACCGTTTTCACTGTCATAACTTGTACTTTGTAAATCGTAGCCCAAACGGAATCTAGCCATTTTAAAAGTCCACTGATAAGGCTTTATCTTAGTAAGTTTTGTTTAAAAAGTGCTATCGTTTTCAAAAGCTTATTAAAGGTTTTTTCATCAATTAGATTATCCTCTTGCTTTCCCCTGTTCTGCAAACATCTATACATATTGCTTTTTTTTTGCAATAATGCGCTGCACAGGCATGCATAATTCGACTTAGACTACCACCGTAGACAGACTATAAAGCCAGTCTAATAAGAGGGCAGTCTAGTATGGGTCCAAAGGTCCATTACGATCTTACGTGTATCTTTAGAATTGAGGGTCAAGGTTCCAGTCCGTATCTACGATGGTTGCTCATGCGTTACGCGTCGCACTTGCACACAAATAAATTGTGCATATATTTTACGGAAGCATCAGCAGCTAGCAAGAATCTGCACGGTCACAATGCTCCGGGAGCTAGATAGACAGGACTCGACAAAGACGAATTATTCACGGAACACACTCATGATGAGAGAAGTACAAGTGTGTGTGAGTACAGTAACACAAGGAGCCACACCATCATCAGGCCTGTATAGCTGAGTATGACAACTAGTATTGAATGTGTGCGCGCACCGGAGTGCCGAACCATTACACGATAACAATAATTTAACATCAGTTCCTACACCAGCGCTGGCACTGCCGTGTCCCCGGACGTAGATGTGTTGTGGTCATATGCTGTTACCGATCATGCAGAGATAAGATATTAAAGTAGGGTAGATGCTGAAGGTTAATTTTATCCGAGCAGTGTCGATGTAAATAAATATGAATGCTTTTAATTCTAATTATGTGGACCGTCATTGGACCGTGAGATCTTGGAACCACAATATCGATAATCGATATTTGACGTTGGTACTGATCTCATTCTCAGCACTAACAACAATGTCAACAGAATGGTAGCAAGAACAGGCCGATGCAGTACACTACAGATGTCGTCTTTATTGCCTCAATAATTGGCGATTGAAGCAAGCCGGTCTCGGAGGTAGAGAAAAGAATAAAAGCCGTTTTGCCAGTAGGCTAGGACGTATCATTAACAGCACGAATTATGCATTATTTCTGAGATTACTCTGTGACCAGACCATGTGTGCATGTCCGCGGAAAAGACCGAGTACCACATGCAGCTAGCCTACCGGGCAGCACCGTGTGCTAGACGGAAGGAAACGCAAGAGAGTCAGCAAGAATGGCTGGTCATGAATTGATCGCAAGCTAACAACGACAGCCGTCTACATTCATTTTTATACCTGTATGCTGTTTACAGACAGCTAGGAGTGGCTTTTATTGTGCTGTGATCGTCTGGAAAATAGCGAATGCACGCCATGGCGATCCCAACAACGCGGTAAGTGTTCAACAGTAATATAACTTGAACTTTATACGTTCTGTGGTTCATGATGGAGAAAAAAACACACATGGTTCATGATACGCTGTATTATGATGCACTGCGCATGGATTAAAGTTGGCAGGGCAATAATATAGGCCTAATTCAAGACGACTGTAACATATGTACGTAACATATGTATCCTGGAGAAAAAAAACCGATTTGGAAATCATGGGACTATTATGACAAACCATGCTTCATTGTTTCAATATTTGCCGTACGTATCTTAGTTGAAGATCATGGAAAAAATACGTACATAAATCGACTTGGTGGTAAATACTTGTTGTGTTTCTAGAAACCCATATTTCTAACTCGCGGTTTTGTTGATTGCTTTTATAGAATTATAATTGTCTGTAGTATTGAGCTATCTTGCCATATCGTTCATCATTTGTAAGTCTTAGCTCACATAATTGGATAGGTTATTAAAGCATTAATTTGGAAAAAAAGATGTTGCAAAATGACCCCACTTTTTCTTCAGATATCATCGCACTGAAGGTCACTCATTGCAGAAATGATGATAAGACATGAAACTGGGACTGAGAAATATTTCCAATTTTGTTAGGAAACACAAAATTTTCCTGACTCTCCATAGTCCATAGACTTTGTACAAATTTTCCCATTATTTTTCATTGAGAATTCGCCCGTGCATTTGGATTTGAAGGGGACATTATAAGAATATAATAATATGAATTGTGAAATGTAGACCTACATTTATAGGTCGAAAAATATAATTTGTTCGATTTGGCAATATGATATATAGGCCTACATACACTAGTTCCTCGGTAAATTTTCATGGTTGTTTGGCTGACATTGATTCCTGGATTCACAAATCTCTGAGTATTCCCCTACTACATGTATTGTGTTCGTGTAAGGTTGTATGACGGCACGAAGATTTCAATGAAACTGGCCGGTTTCAACATGTCCTCATGTTTCCTGTGTACCCGGAAGTAATCGGTTGTGTTTGGAGTTTAGCGTGTTACTGCATACAAGTTACAAGGAGGAAATGTGTGGATCTTTTTCACACAATTCGCAATTTCCATCGAGCCATCAATTGATTTAACAAATTAGAGACTTCCTTAATTGGAACCTTATCAGCATAACATGATTAACGTTGAAAATCGGTTAAAAAAAAAGGGGGGGGGGGATTCACAAAAACGCTATTTCTTTTCTGAAGTGGGACTTATTTTAGCGGAGGTATTGTAACGCACTTGTACGTTACACATGCCATTTGTACAAATAATAGAATTTGAGTTTCAAGTTAATCGTTTTGAGCCGTACGAGATTAAAGTGCTGCAACCGGACCCCACATTAAAGAAAACCACGCTTAACTGTAGCCCCTTTTTTCACATGTTTGAATCCCAGACATGTTTAGATTTATGGATGTCTGTGTTTAGGCCTAAGCATCGTACAAAAGCCCATTAGTACCATCCAGCATAAATCTTAAAAATACATAAAAATGGCTTTTCGGGTTCAATTCAGCGGGCTAAAACACACCTGTTCACTCTTTTTTAATCACCTCTCGCAGAACAACGATCTGCAAAATATAAAATTTACGTAACTGTAACAGGCTATCATGGTGTGCAAAAAAATCTAAACATATCTTAGACTAAAAGCATGAAAAAGTGGGTACCAAAAAGTATTTTAGAACTCTACGCATCATGTTTACAGTGTAGTAAACCTGAGCCAAATATTCGATTCAAGGTGAGACTTAAAGAGAGTCCGTTAGTCATTCAGTTAGACAGGTATATAAAGAGGACTCTGGGACCAGCAAACAAAATTGCCATTTTACATTACTTGATCAACAAGAAAAAATGGAGACCGACCAAAAATAAATATACGATGGTTTTATATAGCATGACACTATGAAGTTACAAGTCTTCCAGTTCAGAAAATTCACGGCTGTGTAAATATTTGTATAGCCATTGTTTACTTTGCAAATGGAAACTATTTGCGCAACAACGGTTTTGCGCTTGGGTCAACCAGTGTTGACCATTTGTATTATTGTATATCATATTGAGTTTGGACGATAGGACGCACACGCGTTTGCATCAGTTGCCCATGAAGTGTAGAAGAGATAATACAAATATTGCCGTAGTTTGAAGACATCCAAGATTGACTATTACGGGCCAACAGATATATCGTTTTGGAATTTTAGCTTGTATTAAACTATTTGTGAAGAATGTTTGTAAACCTTCTAATTTTGTTGAACATTCAAAAACTTGAATTACCACATTTCGAATTGGAATTTTCAAACTAAAACAGTGTGTTTTGTTGCTAATTTTTTGTGGTATTTTACACTACATTTCAAATGATCGTGTCACAGACTGAATGACAGTTTGCACCGTTCGCGTTCTAGTAAAAAAAAACAATAAAAAAAGTTAGATTAGTGTTATAATAGGAAGTTGCTCGTTGCTATTACATTTCCACCAACCCGACATCCATATAAAAATCGTATCGAATGAAGCTTATGAACACTGTGCATAGTGTATGCATGAAGCCTATACTAAACCATGTGCCGTTTTGCACACCGTTTTGCCGTTCACCCCCCCCCCCCCCCCACAGTATTCACACCTTATATTCAACCTGACCCATTTTCTAATTATAATGACAAACCGTGCATCATCCTGGAATGCCCATGTCTCATGAAAACTGTCTTCATAATATAATGGTGACATCTCAAATCGTAAGTATAGGTTACCCGAAAATAATACGTTTTCTCTATCTGCCTCGGGAACGAATCGCCCTGCTGTGGCATCGCCGTCAGAGATATTGTGACAGAGACCGCCGTGGAATTCTACACACATAGCGCGTGAATGCAATTTTACGAGACACGTTCTGTGAATTCCAAGCAGACGATAGGTGTAAAATGTGATATTTAAAAATGAGGCGACTGTCTAACGTTCCTTTAAACCCGGGTGTGGAATAAGTAGGTTGGGGTTTCTCCGCTGTGGCTCTGGGCTTGGTTTTTTTTTTCTATTTAAGTGCAAGCAACGTGTGAGTGCGTCTGTGCACTCGTGCATACGGTGGAACCATCTTGATGGCGATAGATTCCTGGCTCGGGATGGAGCTTCGCCTGCTGGCATATGGCGTGAGGTAGCTCACTAATAATTCATGCTTAACGGTACTATGAGCTGTCTCGTATGGTCTCTGTGGGCACGCCAACTGGATCAACCGTGCGTTAGTCTCTAGGTGCACTTGGCTTTCAATCATGTCTCGAGAGAATCCAGAGGATTTAGACTACCTGCGTCTCGGTCTGCTTGCTCAAAAATATTTGTTCTCCGGTTTTAAGTGAATGCACTACCGACAGCACCATCTGACATTTCAATTTCTCGCTATTTACTCGATACTGAAAATCAGTTCATCTTCAAACTCAGACTTTAAAAATGTGGCATCCATTTTGACTTGAAGTTATTTTCTCTGAATTGTGAGTTATCTTGTGAAAATTGTCTTCCGTCTCTGTTGAACCTATTGTTTTCCTGAGGGAGTATCCTCTCTATACCGATAACCTTTATGGACATGTTCCTCATTTTAATGTGCATGCCATCATTGATTAACTGCATTAATGGAAGAATATTTGCATGTAATACATTTTTCAACGACTGTTTCATATATCATATCACTCGATCACCATTTTTTTCCGCCGAAGGTCTGTTCCTTGCTCTGTGATCAGAAGTAACCATGAAGTGGCGTTAAGCGGTTGGCAATCTTTGGATGTTTCGTTTGACCTTGGCATTGACCTCGATTTTGCTATGAAGCTTTACCATTCTGATGTGGGATTCATGCATGATATCTGATACTAAGTCAGGCCCACGCCAACCTGCTGTTCCATCATATGAACTTCTGCCCATGCATTTTCAGAAGATACCACTGGGGCGTCATACGTTGAACCCAAATCCATTGTCAAACATTGGTGACAGGCTCACATGGATTCGTTTCCCTGCTCGAAACGGGCATTTAGGGACAAATATTTACCTAACCACCACGCCGACATGCTGATTCAATAGATTGCCTTCTTTCCATGCACATATTTGATTTAAGAGCATACCACTAGGCGCTTTATATGTTGCTACCAAATCATAGGCTGATATTTAATGATAGTTAATCCGTTGCTGTGTTCACAAGGGTCCGTTCCCCGCTTGATACGGGCAGAATGTCTAATATTTACTTTAAAGTCCACGCTATCATGCTGATTCAGTTGAAGATTTTCAGTCTTGGATTCGATAAGAGGTACCACACTGGGCGCTTCATGTCGTCTATTAACCAAGACCATGAACTAGACTCTCTTTGTCAATGTTTGCCCATTTGAATTGGTAAAATTGTTTATTATTTATTTTTGGGGAGAATATTTGGAGGAGTGTTGTCCCCATACTTACGGGAACCGGGTACCTTATTGAAGTAAAACACTGGTACCCGGGTAACCGTAAAAGAAACCCAACCCTAGAATTCAAATCCTGGGAGTTGCTGTTCAGATTATTCATAAAGGTGCACACGAAAGAACCATCACATCGGTGCATCAGTGCAGCAAGATGCATTTTAAGGCAGTCATTGGGGGTGGAAGGATTTGCAACTTTAAAATGCACATTTCCTTGTAGCCTGGTTTTCATTTTGAAAATTACTTAAAACTGGTGGGCATGCAAAACCTTTCCTTTTCATTGTTTGCGAAGTTACTAAGTAATTTGTAAAGTTTGTTACGGGTACCCATCCCATAATCTGGAATTGTTTTCTGAAATCAGCGGTCGGGTACTTGTCTACCCGGTTCCGACGCACAGCCCTATCTCTACTCTAAGTTTTTTTGCTAAGGTATTAAAAATGTTGGCATGTGGTTTTTATTTGTCTTTGTATTTGCAAGTGGAATCAAAGTTTACTTGATGGACTTTATACATGCATGTTTTCTTTTTCTCAAATGGTAGATTTTGTTTGGTAAAGCGAGTTTCGGTTTTTATTTGTACTATAGTAGCTTGAAGTTTAGGAAGTCATTACGATGTGTAACCTGACTGCCATTCCTAAAGCTTCACTAAATCAAAACTCGTGTAGTTTCACTTTAACTCTTGTATGCATACATTTTGTTCAAAATATATGATACATGAATATGAAATATATCACAAAATAAATGTCTTTTCCGAAAGTTTGTGATACTGCATTAAAGGGCCATTTGAATTTTTTTTTTAATACAATCCCTGGAAATGCACCTTTATGTCCTACTTGACATTATTTCAATTTTCGTTTTTCCATTTCAAGGATGTTTTGGTGCCTTTCCGGTATTTCTGCTAATGCGAATTTCCATATTCATGAGTTAAAGTCTGATGTCATTTCAGGCAGAAACCTCTATGTTCCAGCTATTTCAGCACAAAAAAAGAAAACCCCTAAACTGAACAGTGTCTTCCAGAAATGACATCACAGCAACAACGCCCTAAGTTGTCCGGAAAAGCATGGAACATTCTAAGTGCTTAAAGAAGTGCGCTTTTGAATATAATTAACCAAAAAGGGATGTCAAATAGATTTCATGCATTTAAGAGGACTAGAAAGTTGAACATAAATGTGTTCCTCAGAAAAAATCATTTCATCGACCCTTTCAGTTTCAGATATCTACCACCACTCGCTGCAACTATACCTTCAAAAATCTTTGCTGAATAAATTGTTTTATCTTGTCAATTTCAACACCATTGAGATGATGTACATACAGTTTTATTTGGTTCTAATACTGTTTTTTTCTCTTTTCTTTAGTGTTGGCAAAGGTCTCCTTACCCTGTTTTTGGTAACCATATGCTCTCTGGCTGTACGGTACTACGTGGCTCATTTGCCTTCGTTGACTGTACAAGCAATATATAACAATGGATCAGGCCAAAGGTAATTGGAAAACAGAAACTCAAAATGATTTTAATATATAACAAAATTGCAAAACATAACCGATCATAACTGATCAGAATTTACAGATCAGTATCACTGGTGTTTTGTTCATATATGCTGGAAAAACCAAGAAAAATATGTTCTTGAAGTCTGGTTCCCTAACCCTATACTTCGAACGAAAAAGAGCAGTTTATAGACGTCGGACAATGTCAGGTCAGGGAACCATACTAAGTAGCTTGCACCCGTTCATGGATGTGCAACCGATCGCCAAAAAAGTGGACCAACTTAATTTGGTAAATTGTGGGAAGTGTTCGAAAAAAGTCGGGTTTTTTTTCAACGATTGTCGGCCGACCATCGTTGGAAATTGATTCAAAAATGCACTTTTCTTGAAAATGACAGCACACCAGGTGCCATGATTTCACAGGATGGTTGAGACTATGATTCACTTAGAAGGGTATTACGCAAGTAATGTATTTCATAATAATCTGGTATAGTTTTTTGATGTTTGCAAATGTTGTGTATGTGACATTTTAAGAATTAGTTTCCAAGTTGATGATAAAATGAGGATACTGATTCTGTTATTTGTTGTTTCTATTGTTGTTGATATGTCAACAGATTTGAACAATTATTGCCAATTATTGGGTTTTTTTCTCTTTCAGTTCCAGTACCCAAAGAACCAACGTTTTACAAAGAATTCTTCACAAAGCCTTAGACTTTTCACCAAAGAGCAGTGAAGAATCTGCCCTGAATGAAAACAGAACTCTTTCACGCATTGAGAGGTTTTCACAAAGTCAACCGCCAAACAGCTCTTATGGAGAAACATTTTTAAATAGCATTCGGCAAAGGGCGAGACTAAAAGAGACGCATTGGTATTCAGACGAAAAGGAGTTTGTTCGCGATAGTCAATTTTTAAATTATTTGGTAAGTATACACTTTCACCTCAATTTCCTCCTAAAGTTCTTGGGGTGTATCGTATAATATTATTCCAATTCCGTACATATATTTGTCTATTCCTAATGATTTAAGCTTTACGGTAATTCCTATGGAATTACACAATACTGTAAGATATGCAGTTAAGGATATCACAAAAGTTTGATATCACTGTGGAAAATTTCCCACGGCCAGAGTAAGTAGACAAATGTTAAAATATTTCAATATACATGTATTTATGAGGAAATGCATTGAGATAACGATCATCGGAAGTGAAAGTATCACTGAATGTACATGTAGATACGTTTTTTTCCCGGCGCAGTGTGTGTCAGCTGAAGCGAAACTAATTATTGTGCGAGAGGTCATTAGCGAATACCGTATAATACGCACTTGTAGAAGCTTAAAGGGTCCATAAGATTAATTTTTCATGGGAACACATTTTGTGCAACTTATTACTCCTCTCAAATGTATGCAAACTATCCTTTTTTGGTTAATTGTATTAAAAAATGCACTTCTTTAAACATTTTTTTAAACAATTTCCTTGCGTTCTCGGACAACCGAGGGCGCTGTTGCTGTGATGTCACTTCAGGAAGACACTGTTTAGTTTAGGGGTTGTCTGTTCCAATGGTTTGTTTAAAGTTTGCTCACGTTTGCTCATAAATATGCAAAATTTGCATTAGCATAAAAACCCCAAAGGCACTAAAATGCCCTTAAAAATGGCAAAAGGAAAATTGAAAATGAGGTTAAATGGGACACAAAGGTACATTTTGAAGGATTGCATAAAAGATTACATTGCATGGGCCCTTTAATGCGTCAAGAAAATTCGGTATTCGAATGATATTCATAATATATTATTCGTAATAAACCGTACGATCAATAGCAAGCATGAACAAATAAGTGAAAACGATTATACTTCGTAGAAAATTGTGAAGTAGATAGTTACATACACTATTCTGGCTTTATGGATAGTAAGCGTCATTACATTTTGTTGTAATCAAGATTTGGTTTTAATTGGTAGTTGTTTTCTCCATACTGACAATAAATGTAACAGACATTAAATGTGATTGATCGTACAAGTCGTAAAAGAATATTAACCCGACGTGCGCATACATCTTTAATTAGATAAGATAATTTACTAGAAACAGGTCCATATGCATCATAAAATATTGAGTGAGATTGGAGTCTCTTGAAATAAACAAGAAAATAAATCCACTGGATATGTTCGATGGAGAATTTGTTTTATTGCCATTCATTAATTTGAAATTATGGCCTCTCTCGCGAGTGATTGGAATAATAATTTCAGAGCAAGCGAAGGGGAAGTTAACATGTCTACATACACGATTGAGCTTTCACTGAAGGAATATATTATTATTCGTGTCGAGCATGTTATTCGTATTTATGTATCATTCGTATTCGTAACGAGTATGTTATTTGAATTACATTATTATTCGTATTTGCGTAGAGCATGAAATGTCGTATTTGTGTCATTTTTGGTTATTTGTTTCCTTCGATGTCAACTAAAACAAGATAACATTATTATCCCACAAAAGTCACTTAAAGGGGAGTTTTCACGAGGAAAAGTTTACCAGAATAAATTAATTCACTCTACAGATACACACTCATGAATAATTGACGTTTGCTTTAACCTGTAACTTACAGAGATGTCCAACAACAGTACGAAAGAAAATGCTGCAAGAGCCGTTATCAAACCAAAAGTTTTTACCAGAAGTACCTATACTTATGTACGACGATCATTTCAGCCATAACGAGTACCAGCGGTTGTCGAAATTCAAAGGCATCTACGGCTGGGAAGACATGGACGAAAAAGGTGAGAAGTTATTACTTCGTGTATAGGTTAAGCTTTGTTTAAATGCATTACGATAGCAACACAAATATTTTTCAACACTCAACGAAGTCACGTTAATGAAGTATTAGTCGAAACTGTATAAATGTCTGGTGTTCTAGATCATGAGCTATGCTCATTCGAGGCTGACTGCAACTTTGATTGGAGATGCGACCCAGCCTACTGAATGCTTTGTCAGAAACCGTTTCACCACAAAATGTGTGCCAGACTCGCGAGGCATTTTTGGAATTTAAGAATATTTTTTTTTAATGCGGTTACTCATTGCATGCACAACCAATTAGGTGGGTTTTCTGAATTCGAACAAACAGCATATTCCTGTGAACAGTCAAGAGTTATGATAAACACAAAACAGTCCGTTGGTGTTCTCTGCGGAAACCCAATATAAAAGATCCGAGTAACGTTTTATTGAGATTGAAATAACTGTTGAACGGTATGAAGTGGAACAAGATAGTGTTTCAACGTTTCGACTTAAAGGTATGATGGACATCGTTTGCAAAAATAAAATGCATTGTTGCCGATTCAAGGAAAACAATACAATGATTCTAAAGCATGTTATTAACTAAAAACTAACCTGCCATAATTTCAGCTCATTAGATATTTTCCACATTTTTTTTCCTCGTGCAATGATTTCATAGGATGCTTCATCCTATTATCTACTTTCAATCCAGTAGGATATTTCATAATATTTTGACACTTTCATTTTTGAATGTTTGCAGTTAGTTTCCATTTCCTTCAAATATTGAAGCCTTCGTCAAGGCTTCTGGTCCGATCAAACGAGTTGCCATTTAAGTAGCTAAATACCAAAATATTTCTTCTGTTAAATCTATTGAACAGAACTCTCTGAAGCTTTAAAGTCTCTCCACACGCCCAACAACCGGTACATGTTTGACGATCGGTTTGTGGAGGGCTTTATACCTAAGGATGTAGGGTGTACACGATGTGCAGTCATCGGGAATGGTGGAATGATGAACGGATCCAAAAAGGGAAAAGAGATTGACGCACATGACTACGTCTTCAGGTATTTGCAGTAACTCCTTTTATAACGAGCGGTTTTGCTATTTATAACGAGTTGTTTTCATTTACATGTCGTAACAGCCCTTCTGTTTCGCTATTAAGGATGTCATAAGCAGGTATAAAAACAAATTGTAGTCGGGAATTGTTGAATGGTTTACACATTTTGGCAATAATGAATCAAGAATTCAGAATGCTTCCCATGACAGGTTTTGTGACATTTGTTTTGTTTCATAAAGTAATTTGGGGCGTCTGAATTTCTTCATTGTTTGGTGATTGAGTTCATGTATTCAGGAAAGAAGTCGGTGGCTCGGGGACATTTAAAAATAGAGATGAAGGACTTTAAACGGAAAATGCTGCTGCACTTAAACTTTAAAAAGCCCTTGCAATGTATTTTTTTTTAATGCAATCTTTGAAAATGCACATTTTGTATCCCGTTCAACGTTATTTTCAATTTTCGTTTTGACATTCTTCAAAGGTATTTTTGTGCCTTTTTTGCTTTTATGATAATGCAAATCTCCATATTCATGAGCAAAACTGTGATGTCATTTCAGGCAGAAACCTGCAATGTTACAGCTATTTCAACACCAAAACTTGCCAGAAATTTAGATATTTTGCTGTCATGAATTTTTCTTTTCTTTGGTGATTCGTTGTTGTGTCAGTACATGGCAGTAAGCCAACGAGCAAAATTTCTTACATTTTTATAAAAATATATTCAATGAGCAAATTTTAGAGTTCACAATTTGGACAGAAAAGTCCTAAAATGAACAGTGTCTTCCTAAAATTAAATCACAGCAACCGTCCCCTCAGTTGTCTAGAAAAAAAAAAGAAAATTTTAAATGTTTGAAGAAGTGCACTTTTCAATAAAATTAAGCTAAAAAGGGATGTCAAATAGTTTTCATACATTTAAGAGAAGTAGAAAGTTGCACAAAATGTGTTCCTAAGTAAAATTAATTTCATGGACCCTTTAATACCTACATGTACACCCTCTTCTCTTTTGACATCATTGGTCGAAACCAACGAGATATGGTAGACCCCATCACGGCTATACATCGCCTGCAGACCCTCTAACTATTAAATTATAACATATTGTTAAACTATCAATCCATATTTTTGTCTGGTATGTCGCTTAAAAGTGTCCCCATCATCCCCTTTCTATGAATACATGTACCATCAACCTTTGTGTGACCCACGCATACCCTGGGGGGTTCAGACGGGACAATCAATAGAACCAGCTTCCTCAGCTTATTTCTTGAAATTAAACTGCAAGTTATTACTACTTACATGTGTGGTATGCAATGCATACGTGGAACATTAATGAAATCTAAGCCCAGCTCATGCTAGTTATTATAGAATGCACTTATCGTCTCCCAGCATGAATGTTTTTTGAGAGTAAAGGTTCATTGGTTTTGTTGGAAAAGAACATGAAAAACAGAGGGGGAGGTGCATGTTTTCTGCAACAAAAATAATGCGGTATACCACCCGTTGTATGTTACGTTTATTTCACCGGAATTAATGTTGACGGAAGACCATGTATTATTATAAGAGGTCGAGTGCACGCGTAATACTAAGGGCAACGCACTTCCACGAACATGCTGTACAAATCATCTGAGATTTTGCAACCTTTTACTTGACCTCGGTTGACGTTGATTTAAGGATCTTAAAGAGATTAAGTGGTCAAATATGCAAAATGCCGGTTATGAACACATCTAAATGATTGATAGATTATTATTGAACCCAGTTACTGAACAGGGATTTAAATATGGAAACAAAAAGACAATATCAGTTTCTCGTATTTATTTATTAATAATGTATTTTGTATACCATAGACGTCATGCAGTTAAGCCTAATGCATTGTTTCAATATTTTTTACATTTACCGGATGCACTATTCCATTAATATTTCAAGGGGATTTTGTCGTTTTGTTGCTCGCCGCAGATTTGCGTTTGTAACCAGCGTTTCCTTGACAACTCCACCTCCACGTAGCTTAGGCTGATAGCTTTTTCCTTTTGATAAATCAATCTGATTGAAATTGGGCAAACACTGTGTCAGCTTCAGCACAGTTTATTTTTCTATTCATTATAATGACAAATGATACTGCATTACATGTACATGTACAAGCATTTGTGTGCGTATTATCAGCTGTCAAAATGATCGTATAATAGAATTGTACGATTTCACGTGATTATTTTGGGGTAAACAATGCTTTTTTTCAGCATACATTTACCAGAATCTCCAATGTTTATAATGTAACTTAACAACTCTTGGTCAACATATTAAAAATAATGCTTCATATTGTAATTCGATCACCTTATTTTGTAGATAGGGAAAAAGTGAAATGAAATGTGAATGAAAATATTGTTCTGGATTTTTAATGAAATGTGAATGAAAATATTGTTCTGGATTTTCCCCCCCTTTTTGTCCCTACAGGGTGAATGTCGCTCTAACTAAAGGCTACGAGGAAGACCTTGGTACTAAAACGTCATTTTATTGTTTTACCATGGTTACTCTCTCCAACTCTTTACGAGGGGGAGGGCGATTGGGTTTCAAAGAACCACCGTACGAAAAGGTAAAGCAATTCACTATTCATGTTCAATTATGAGTCATTCTAAAAAAATTGGGGTCCACCTTTTTTCCTGTTCCTTTTACATCTGACATCCGTGATTTGTATAACTCTGATGCGCTCCATATGCAGTCTTCTTCCAAGAGTAATTATGAATGGTAAATTACCTACCCAACAAATCAAATTTGGTTTATGGATTGCTCTTGGTAATCTTAAGAAGCCTATTGCATTTGCGGCCGAAAGGTCCAGGTCACAGTGTCTAAAACAATAGAAATATTGTATGTACAGGATCTATTCACATTCACTCATTCTTTTAAATCAAATGACTTCCCAACAGGAAAGCAAAAAAACAATAAAAAAATTCTGGGACCATTGGTATTGGATCAATACAGGACATAACCTAAAGAAAACAATAACTATATCAATGAACGTTCTATATGTTTGTAAGTTGATGTTAAAAGAGTGGTGTCATGTCATGGGAACAGTCACGGTTGACTTATTTACAGACTATTATTGATTGTATTTTTAGAAATGAAAGAAGGCAAAACACAGTAAAATATTTATTTACCATATTTATAATAAGCTGGATGCCAGGACAGCTGTTTTATCCCCATGATTGTCATGAACGTTTATCTAGTACGTTATTAATGTCTCCATAGCACACAACCCTTAATGGGAAACCTTTCTATTGTAATTCTATTGTTTCTCAGGGAATTCGCTACGTGTTTTTTGCCGACAATGACTGGACCTACAGTTACCTGAATGCTGTATTGAACAATAGGCCAGCTCCGCGCAGCGCTGACAAGTACAGAAGGTAATAACTCAATCATCAGATTCTTTTCGTATCAATCAAGTTTCAACCATTTTAGTATCTCCCACTTGTAAAGTGCAAAGTACAATGAACTTTTCGGTGGATTAGTATTTAAAAGCGCTTTTGACAAGGTGAAGTACATGTATAAGAATGTACTGCAGAAATAACAGAGATGTAAGCCTTAATTAATAAGGGAATAAATGTGTGCTTGGCCGGTTTTAAACACTCTGTTTAAGACCGGTTGGAGTCTGGATGTTGATAAGTACCCGAGCCGAACCTTTTCAGGTCCATAAATCAAAACTGTTCGGTCCAAATGTCAAAACAAGTCAAAAGTACAAATGTCCAACGATTTTGTTCAACAATTATTTTTACTTCATGTTTTTCGAAACATCCCTCTTTCTATATTAGGCTATGGTATGTCCCCCTCGTAAACAAAGCCTTATATGGAGATTGGTACTCGCGTACTGCGCGACGTAGCGCAGAACGCAGCTGTGCCGGTGTATTGTGCATATAGGACTATGAAATACTGAATCACTGGTAGTATTGCGCATGTCTGCGTGAGGATTGTGAACGTTCAACCAATAAAACGGAAAAAGGCACAGGATTTCATAGGAGTCAATTTCATGTGACACCGGAAAAAAGCGTTATCAACCGTTTAAAACCGGCCACGTGACGGGCTCTCGACCAGTAGGAATGGGTAAACTGTCTTAGGTATTTATGAATGTAGTTTTTACCTTTGTTAAAGGATACGGCACGTAAGTATTAACGCCCTTGGGGCGGAATCCGCCCCCCCCCCTCAACTTTTTCCGCGAAAACCTTGAAAATTTTTTTTTCGCGACCCGAGCTGTTATGACTTTTTAGCCTCGAGCCTTGTGCATCTTTTGATACCAAAAACATAAAAATCGGACCACAAAACATAAAAATTTTCCGGCACTACGCGCCGTAAAAACAGAATTTTCCCGTATACGTCGTGTACACAGAGCAGAATTGCCATTCGTACATATGAATAATTAATTTGCCATAATTCCAAAACCCTTTAACTTATAGTCATGAAATTTCTTGGGTATGTTTATGAAGAGTTGCTCTATGCATGTACCGAGTTTCAAAATTTGTCGTCACTCGATGGCTGAGATCTTGGGGGGGGGGGGGGGGCGGAATCCCATCCCCCCCGAGAGATGGTCAAAATAACCTGGCCCTTTTAGGGTTAACAGAAACGTACTTGATGAGAGGAATTTGTATAAGCTGCTTTTATCAGGGTATTCTTCAGATGTCCACTTGAGGTCAAGGATAAGGTTCATACCTCAATTCACGCTTGGTCTCTGACTCACAATCTATGTTCCAGGACACCACCGAATTTCGTGAAGAACCTACAAGCAGAAGACGTCAAACTTGTTCATCCGGACTTCCAGAGATATCTCAAATGGAGGTGGGTCGCTGTATTTGTTGATCTTATTCAGATGAAATTTAAGTTCGTGATGTAGTACATTACGAACAATTTCTGTGGATTCTGCGATGTTTGTGATAGCGGCATTCCACTGTATCTAAACTGGCATATGGAGAGTCTTTTAATACCAGGAAGCTTTCCCATACCTTTAATAATGCATTTCAGGAAATGTTAATCAATTTCCAGTATGACTTAATTTTCCAACTAAATTGGTTTATCGGCTGATAGGCTTATTTGCAGTTCAGGAATGTATTAAGCGATCTCTCGTATGCACTTGGATATTAGGAACATGCCCCATGCATGGTTCATATATTTAATTCCCAATCCATTTATATCAATGGGTTCAAAAGGGACTGGCCGTCAGTAGGAAAACACCTTGACATTTATGAAGTACAGAGCTGCATACATTGTGCCGTGACATTGTTATCTATGTGAGTCATACCTACATTGCAATTTTAGGATTGGTAAGCATGTTTCATAACCTGGCTATAAATATGCACAGATCTTGATGGCATATACAAAGTCATGTAGGATCATTTGCTTTTCAAATACTTTTTGTTCGTTTCTAATAATAACACCACTCAAAATCCAAAGAAGAATGTTCAGAACACGACCTGCTGAAGATTCAGCTTTGTGGATATTACACTTTTCAAGAAATCTGTGAAAAAAACATGCACAACCTTTTGACCATGAAAAACGATTTCGTCCATGCAAAGCGCTCTTTATTTCCAAAAATCAGTCACTTGACTGACCGTTAGAAATCACCTTCATTTCTTGATTTCTTCGGAATGACAGCAAGCCAGACTGAACTTAACTTCACATGGTGTTTCGTAACTGTATGATCTTCAAACCAAGTAGGGTTTTTGGTAATAATTCGGTCGGTTATTTTGGGGATGATTGCAAATGATCCAATATGCCGTTAATGGTTTTAGTGATCAAGAATTGAAAATAAACTTCCACGAATGTCGGTGTCATGTCACGTTAATGTTTGACTCATGGGTGTCGGTGCCATGTTGCACATAACTTTTGAATGTTTTATAATGGCCATCAGCCATTAGAAAATAAATAAATAAATATCAGGTCTTATTTTAAAACGAAACAAACGTGTCTTGACTATTAGGCATGATGATAATTGAAGTGAAAGTGTTTCACGTTTCTATTTTTCAGTTGGGTAAATTCTACGGCGCAGCACAAAACAGTCCACAGACCAACCACTGGGGCTATCATGTTGCTGTTGGCTCTGCACACGTGTGACGAGGTAGGATTAGCTTACTATCAATTACAACTGTGTCTTGCCACATTTTAGCGGTATGCACACTGGTGTCTCTTGTGAAAACGGTATACACTTCCTGTGCATATATTATAAAGTGCCTGACCAAAACGTTGCATATCCAGGATGTCAGTCCCTTCCTGAGTCCCTTAATCTATGTCATGCACACCAACTTCATGCAGTGCGAAGTTCGAATTTAAAAAAGGGAATGGCCTGATCAGCATTGGGAAGCGATGTTTGTTATTGACCTCAAAAAGGGTTGATGAATTGCGAACAGTTCTTGGAAAGGTGCACGACAAGGTTTGCCTGTTTACAGAGTGTTTTGCAGATTGTCTGTGGACATGTTCTGTTCCACACCTGACAAATAATGGCCATGTATATAACGCCATCAACTGTATAAAAGAAAAATGCCAAAACGTTACACATGAGCGCCATTGTCTATAGGTAAACGATCATCACAGATGTAAACCCGGCATGCACGCCATATGTCTGTAATTGGCTCTATAGCGCCCTCTACAGGATTAGTGGAGCAGAGCCTTATGCAGATCTAATTACTGCTATTTATCATTTTATGCTGGCGCCTTGATCGGTTTCCCAGATAAGCGTGCTATACATGTCCATAGATATATGATCACGGTTGAGAGCACACACGAATTTACTCGTTGCATTACTCGTTGCTGTATATGCCACGCAGGGAGTTGAGATTAATACAGGAATAGGATGCACTGAGTTGTAAGAGCCATACTTGAAACAAGATACATGTACACATCGCAATCAAAAGATTTATTAATACCAACCAACAAGGCTAAACGGTGATTTCATTGACCTAATAAAGTGTTTGTGTTGTTTCACATTTGAAGGTCAACGTGTACGGATTTGGGGGGAGTTACTCCAAGTTTTCCGAGCACTACTACGACAAGAAATTCACCAAGCATATATTCTTCGCCAACCACGACAACAATGCGGAGAACGCCCTCTGGAAACGTCTACACGACCTGGGCATTATCAATCTGTACACGAGGGATTGAAAGTGACCCATGACGTCATCTACACGTAGAAGAGGTTGGTGAGAAGTCCTAAAACGTCGGGATATAATAAAGGTCGGTGGTAAACCGACTTTAATATCTATTGAAAGAATCGAGATGGAATATATATATTTTTTCACCAGAATGGTGAGCTAGGCCTATATGTTTTATATCTACACAAAAAATGTCTCGATCGTAAGTTATAGAAGTTCAACGTAGCATGCTGTCCCTTACCGGTATTTCAACTTTTCTGATTGAAAACAAAAATCACAAACTATCGCAGCGCAAAACGTAACGCATATTCTCTCCTTCCCGATTTGGATCATACTGGAATGTTATAGCGCCCTCTATTCCAATTTTTTTTCAGCAGTACTAAAGATGTACGTGACATTTCAGATCGAAGCCTGCAGCCAGGACTAACACTGAATAGTGTCACCAACCAATTACACAAGTTGAATATCAACTTGTTTCATTTGTCTGAATTGTTTTTAAAGGTAGAGTCCATCATTTGCAGCCATCCGAAAAGTAACTGGCGTAATTATTGTTGAAAAACTAACTTGGTTGAAAGATAGTAAGGAGACTAAACGTCCTGTGAAATTATTCTTTCTGGGAAGCTGTCATTTTGAAGTAATCAACGAAAGAAGGCATTTCCAACGGTGATTCTTAAGAAGCACCGTAGGAAAATTTAAATTAGTAGTTCGTTTTGTTATTCAGCGCAGCGCGCACAAGTATTCGAACGACGCACATGCGCGCGCGGTTGTTATAATTCGTCGGATCAGTGCGCGACGTCGCGTATAGTTGCAATTCAAAACAATTCAAAACATGATTCAGCAACTTTTGATTTGAAATTGAGATCTTAGAATGCTGTTTTTCTCGGAATGTACAGCTGAAGCTTAGCTGAAACTTCATCAGGTTAGTTGCTCAGTATCCTTCATTAGATTTTGAACTCTTTTGTTGCTTCAAACGAACAAAATGCACAAATTACAAATGATGGACTCTACCTTTAAAGCACGTGGTGACAATAAGCCATTTGCGAGTTAAATTTGAATAAAATCTGGAATGCTGACTTAATCCAATGCTTTGCAAGTTCAAGGCTTTGCATTCTCCCGACCAAAGAGACTTTTACTATATCATGTGACTGGGGGCAATCTTTATGTTAGCAAGCTCCAGCATGGTATGGTGTCTTTGTGCCATTCTCACCCATTGTGAACAATTTATTGGTGCTGAGCGTCTCTTACGTAACTATGCAAGAGCTTGCCCTGAATCATGTGATTAGCAACAGTGTCTTTGGTCTGGAGAATTCAAAGTTAAAATGTGCCAAGCATTCTGCTTCTTCTCAATTGTGCAACCACCTCCATATTGCGGTTATCACTCTGAGCAAGTCAGTGTACCAGACTTTTTTCAAATTTAAATTCATAAGGGCATAGGTCACTCGCAAATGGCTTATTAAAATCACATACCTCTAAACCAAAGCCCAGTGGGTGAAGTTACGTTTCTGATCACCTCATACCAAAGTCATCGTAGTCACGTATGTTTTGTATTTGTTTGGTTGTTTGTGGGTTAGTTTCGATGTTATCGCGTAACGCAGTGCCTTTTTCTTCAGATTGCCAAATAATTTCAAGAATCACATGTACATAGAACTATTGTTTTGGAATACACCGGCTTTTAATCATGTACTAAGCGACTTCCAAAGCATAGAGTTGACATTGTTGATGGAATACATTATAGTTAGCTGCATTTGGTATGTTAATGGTCCTTCATCGCTCGAGACATCAGTAGTAGTAGTTCTTCTACTTAAAAGGCATATGGTCATTTGCATTCATCCCGAAAGTAACTTAGCAAATTATTATTAAAACAAAATTAGTTGGATTAAACCGTACTGGTTCTAAAGATCCCGTGAAATAATTCCAACTGGTTTGCTGTCATTTGGAAGAAATCAAGAAACGGAAGAGTTGTGTGTTTCGTGACGACAAAGTTGTGTATGATTTTACAGTTTTTATAACACTGTTAATACAAATCTTTAAACAAGTTCATCTGGATTGTTGGTATAACATGAGTTAGGAGATTTGTTTTTTCCATTTTGTTTTCATCTTCACGTTTTATGATTGGAAAAAACGAATCTCCTAACTCACTATTAATACAAATTCTGGTTACACAAACGTAAAACCTTGGTCCTGACTGTGCATTTATGTACACAATGAATTGGACCAGCACTCCACTTAGTACACAATTCTGTAACATCACAAACATTTTGGCTAAGTCTAGCTGAGTTCGTATAAACGAGAGTCGACTGTACACTGTTGGCGAAAAGTGTAATTTCCACTGAGCCGAAACTTCTACAGGTTAGGTTTTGAACAGCCTTCTTTGGATTTTGAGTGGTGTTATTATTTGAAACGACCACAAGGCATAACAATTAAATGATCCTATGCCTTTAATTGTGCGAATTTCATGAAAGTCTACACAGCTGATTCCTCGAATATTCGCGAGCTGATAGGACTGCATACTCGAATATTCGCGAGCAGATAGAACTTGATATGTTGAGTGTAGCACGACCCTTGGAGCGTTACGTCCTCGGATATAGTCTGGTGACCTCATAAACTATGTATCATGACATCGGTGTTCCTGATATATCCCACGTGGTACAAGACATTAATTCTGGATTTCTGTTGAATTGTTGACCACCATTAAACCATGCCTTGGACTGTTGCTTTATATTATGGACAACGGTATTGAGCCTGTAAAGGTCATTCTATAAATCTTTGTTCCAAAGTGTGACATTTTTCCTGTCCCTGTTTCCTTGGTTCTCCGTCATTTGTCGTTCAAGTTTCATTAATAATGACTTCAAACATTTTGTTTATTTCTTGGGTAGGTGGTTTGCTATTCATAATCACTCTTGGAGGATGACTGCATTAAGGAATGCATCCAGAATCATTAATTCAAAGATGTCAGATGTAACAGGGATGGGAAAAAAAGTGGACACCAAGTGTATAGAATCACTCATATGCAATTTTTTTTAAAGAAGATATTAAAATAAATCGTTGAAGTTTGAGAGCTTAGCGTTTTGATGGTTGCCGAATCGTTCTCAAAGGCAAGATTTATTTGGCCTCTTTAAAAGATTCTGCGAAGGATTAAAATGTTACGCTCTCTTACTTCAACGATTTTTATATTTAGTGTCACTCCAGTCATAACGCAGTCTGTAGGTCTTTTTTTTCTTACGACATGGAAATAGTAAAAGAAAACTGCACTTCAATTTTTCATTAAAGGGAAAATACAACATTTGCAAACATCAAAAAATAAAACTACCAAATCATTTTGAAATACCTTGCTGGACTGTTAGTGAATGACAGTGTAAAGCATCCTGTAAAATCATGGCACCTGGTATACTGTCATTTTCAAGAAAAGTGGTATTTTTGTATCAATTTCCAACGCTGGTCGGCCGACCAGCGTTGAAAAAAACTGGTTTTTTTTCTTCAAATACTGGCCCCAATTGACCATCGCACTTGTTTGCAATCGATTACACACCTATGAACGGGTACAAGCCAGCTAGACTGGTTCCCTGACCTTACAATTCCCCAATGTATGTAAACTGCTCTGTTTCTTCTTATATGGAGTCTGGGAACCAGACTACGGGAAAATGATTGTTTTTCTTGGTTTTTATAGCATTTTCGAACCCAAAACCTCAAAAAAGTCAGTGTAACTATATTTGCTATATATTTCCAACCCCCCTACTCCATCCATTTCTGAAAATTACAGCAAAAGCAAATGATGTATATTCCCTTTAATGTGATGTTTGTTGATTGTTGAAATAACAGTTACTGAAATCTACCATCGGATATTTAACACGCATTGCACGTTGATGAAAAAAATGTGTTAAAAAAAAGAAACGTTGTATATCGTATTGGTGAGACGCTCCAGGAAAATAAGCTTTGCATACGTTGAAGTACCGATTGTTTAAAGTACTACATGTTAATTGAATTCATTTGTCTTTTTGTTAATTTTGTTCATTAGATTCGCTTAAAAATATTTTAGTGCACTTTTTGTACTTTGTTTTCCCTGGAAAATTGCAATCTTTGGTTGAATTCCGCAAAATAAGCAATTTCAAGAAATCGTTCGTGTTGTTGAATTTAAATCTGCCATGAAATTGAGCTGTGGAGTGTTGATAAATCGTTATTTACAAGATGTATATGCACACTCTAAATCTCCATATAATGAGACAGAGGACCGGACGATTTAGGCTGAAAATCGCTGAAGTTTTATATCGAAATTTGACACAAAAATCTCAGCGAAAGGTCGATCTATTGGATCGAGAAAACAAAATCTAATATTAATTGTCCTTTTCAGTGGGACGGAGCTGATTTTTTCTTGCACAGGAATGGAGTGAACTCCACTCGCTAGAAATAAGTAATTTTAATGTCTTATTTCAGTTTATCTCAATGTTTAGATCATTGTGACATTTTGATTATAACTTCTAAGTATGCCCCACTTTTACAACTTAGGTGTATAAAAAATGACGTCATCACGATAATATCGGATGTCGCGATATATTTCCCCCGATATTTCGGTTTGGAAAGAAATGGATATCGAACAAGCTTAAATTCTAATTTTGATTATTACTTTTAAGTATGCTCAGCCTTTACAACGTCAATGTACGGAGTTTGCTGTGGACTGACATAAAATAGTTGTGGAATCGGGAAAGGACGGAGCAGGAATCAGTCGTGGGGTCCAAATTGTGGCAATAGAAGACATTTCGAAAAACATTAATGTGCAAGACGAAATTTATAAGGAGACACCATACGTTTCCCTCTCCCATTCACCCTTCGTATACTACACTGCAAAGGGTGTGGTGTTAAAATTACACCTTGCATTATTACAATAAGAGTGGTTCAGTGTATCGATACCACATGGTGTTACTTTACACTATATTTTTGCAGTAAATCTCACTTCCAATTAAGGCATGAATATTTTTCAATCTATATTTACCTTCGTTAGTAATGCCACTTTAAGTTTGACAGGCGTATGAGCGTTCATCGTTGGACAATGCGGTTTAGCTCTGCCGGATTGTTGAGTTACGTAAAGCAGATTAATGATTGTGCAATACTTTTTGGAAAAGTCACATATTTACACCAAAGTGTTTATTCCAGCCATTTAAAGTTATATTATAATTACACAAAATGATTTCTAAATCTTAAGTGATATAATATCTTATATATAGTTAAATAGCTCTATTCTAGGACTATGGAGTTGATTGTCAATTCCTTTTAAGTTCTTGGACAGTACGTTGATATTTTCTTTGCATTATTTGGAAATGTGAATGATCATTGTAACGCCAGTTGCTTCTGTTTGTATTTTTTTCCAATGATATTCCACACCTAAGTAGGCTGGAGTGTAACATTTTGATTTTGATTGTTTTTCTGTATAGTACTAAACTAATGTTTAAGTTTTATTCACCAGTTCGACCTGATTTAAGATGGTGGGTTACAATGAAATAAAGTCAGCAAGCTTTAAGTTTTGTTTGAGAGTTCCAAACTCTATTGGTAATTTAATTTCCCTCCAATGGTGTACCGAAGTCTGGTGTAGTGTTACATTAAGTTTGACATTTTTGGCAAAGGTTTTGTGATATATTGTCCTAAACATGGGCGTCGCCAGGATGAAGGAGGGGAGGGGAGCGCTTGGAACATTAACCCCCCTCCCGGCCCACCAGACCCCCACCCCACCCCCCGGAAAAGAAAAAAAAGGAAAAGAAAAGAAAAGAAAAGAGGTGTGAAATCGTATTTGCTATTAACAGACTGTATACACATTTAACAAAATGGGCGTCTGCAGGGGTGTGACTGGGGGTAGAGTGGGTAAATTTCCCCGCCTACCCTCGGGGGAAAAAAAATGATAAATTGTAAATATGCTAGAGAAAGTACAATGATTATTTTTTTGGGCCCTCCCCCCCCCCAAAAAAAACCTGGCGACGCCCATGATCCTAATTTTTTTCCCTCCAGGCTGCGTAGTGGTTTTAAAGATCGTGAAAATATCTCTACCATGATCTAAATATCAAATATACAAAGAAGTGTTCATCATCTGTGAAGCAAAACTTCTTCAATTGTTCCATGTGAGGGGAAGGTACACGGTATATATTTACATATTTGTTTTTAATTTACATTTTTTTTTTCAAATTCGATATTTGTCAAAAATTAAGAAAGTTTAAGGAATGTGTTGTTTCTTTAGAATGTATAGGAACAAGTTGGTTTTGTTTCGGGCGTTGTTTGAAACAAAAAAACTAACTTTCTATATCTTAAAGTTTTTCTAAGATGCGTTTTATCAATGTACTAGTGACAAATGTCTGTACTTACGACAGATGTCTGTACTAATGACAAATGTCGGTACTAATGATAACGTTTGTACTAAACGTGCTGATTAAAAATATCCAAAGCTCGGTTAGTTAATATATTGAAAGCTTTAAACACGGACAATTTTGTAAATGTGCTACTTTGTTAATAAAAAATGTCTATAAAATGAATTTATGAGAAAGAACCATTTGCCCCAGTATGAGTGTAACTTTCTTTCATAGTGTTGTAAGTATTATACAGGCATGCAATTCTCCTCGGATGAGCTGATTTCTTCTCCCCATGTATGCCATTGAAAATTGAAAAACACTACACAAATTCTTCTAAATCTCGGAAGTTCTTCTTTTTGTGACTTTACAGTTCCACGCGCGAGAATACCTGATATTCATTGCATTCCAGTATAAAGTCTACAGAAACTCCACTGGATTCAAAGTATTGCTTGATAAATCTACAGTATACTAGTATACAGTGTATAAAAATCAATATTTACAATTAAGTATGCTGGCTGAACATTCAGAAGAATGACCTATTCCCAAAAGTAGTCATTTATTTTAAGTATAAGAATCCATGACAAATTAAAAAAAAGAATGGCTATTATTTATAGATGTATACTAGTTTATTAAAAATCATCGTGGTGGCACATGTCGAATTAAGGTGACAATACAATGACAATGTAATCAAAAAAGAAAAAAAACGGAAAAAAAAGCAATTTACCTTCCCCAAAACATCCTTACACTTACTCACTTGTGACGGGCATGAATTTTTTTCAGACTTTTGTCTGAATTCAGACTTTTGAATCTGAGAGAAAGACATTGTCAGTATAGAAAGAAATGCATCCTTCAAACCTTTTATCCAATTTTCAAACTTTGTTGGAAACTGACAATGTCATCCCTGTACATGTTGTGGCAACAATAGGTTAAGGTTAAATTTATTTCCGTAATAAAAAGTGAACATGCGCGTCAAATTGCAGATCGCATACACTCGTGGAATGGCTCTCCACTTTTCTCAATAATTATGTGTAAAAGAATTTTTAAAAAACCTGCAGATCTTAGTTCAGTGGAGAATATCAAATCGTCTTAACTATCCATATGTCGACGGAAGGAGCCGGGAGAAATGTTGCAACCTGATGCCACTGTTTTCTTCATATATCATCTCAATGAAGGTCATTTCATTGCAAAAATGATGATAAGACATGAATCTGGGAACTGAGAAAAATTTCCAATTTCGTTAGGAAATACTTAGAAAATGTTCTTGACTCTCCATAGACTTTTACACAATCGCGGAGTTGGCGTCAGGTTGCAACATTTTTCCCAAGTCTAAGTTTCATCTTCACTCACTGTTAACGCCAATACTTCTTTTGACGCAATGGTTTAAGTCGAAGAATACACTCGCAAGCGTGGATTCTTAAATTACGAATCCACACTTTCTCGTGTATTCTCCTTAACACATTATGAACTCACTCCCTGGTGTACAGGTTAATGATGCCCAGTTGATGTAGTTGGATCCAGAGTTCCTTCTCAATGTCGCTGTCATGGTTGAGATACGATACGTGTTTCCGAAACGCAGTGTCGTAGTAATATTCCGAGTATTTTGTAAAACTCCCGGCGAATCCGTACACATCCACCTGTTTCCAATTAACAATAATAATTGCAGTACATTGTATTACAAGTGTTAGGATTACTCAGCCAATGAAAAATGTAAGGCGATATAAGAAAGGGGTCTTCTTTTATCAAAAGTAGGCCTGTGTATGTTTTACCTTTTGTGTATTTTAGGTGGTGAAAGAGTTCGAATTTCTGGGGCACTGTTCAGAACATGTGTGGTAAAACTGGTAAATTTTTTGCCAATGGTCAATGTTGAAGATTTGTACACTACCTATGACGAGCGCCCTCTATCATTCATTAACCAAAATAACGATTCTTGGTCAAGTAATCATCAACAGCTATATCCTTCTGTCTGTGGCCGTCGCCTAAGCATTATATTGTATATCTTAAGAATACATGGGATATGTTATAGGAGGTTTTTTTTAGGGTTTCTGATATCTCACCTTGTCACAAGTATGTAACGCAAGGATGAGCATAATAGCACCAGTAGACGGACGATAGAATTCTACGTTTTTACGTCTTGTAGAGTTTACCCATCTTGGGAGCAATGGAAAAAATACATCTTAAATGAACGTAGGTCAAGTAAAATGAATAAGGTTAGTAGCTATTTAACAATTTAACCTAGGGTAATTGAAACTGTGCAAAAAATGCACGTTTGCCTAGAACATATAGCTACGTCTATCTGTCTGTCTGACTAATAGGTCTGCCCACCACTTAGTTCAGTATGGCAAAGGATTCTGTGCTAGTTCTTTGTTTACTGGAGGATTGCAACACGGGTTTATGGTTTTATAAACAAGAATATTTGAAATTCCAAAATGGACGAGTAAAACAGAGGAATTGGACAGGGACTGCAGAGCTGATATACAGACCTGTCTCTGATGTATCTCTCAAAGTCCGGATGAACCAACTTCACGTCGTTTGCTGTCAGCTTCGTCTGGAATTTCGGGGGCGATCTGAAATAAAGGAGAATTATTGTGAAGAAACATTATAGACAACACTAAAAAGTGTGCTGGCCATGCTTTTAACGAATCCCCCCACAAACAGATTATTATTGATATTTTCTAGCAATCACGGATGTTCAGTTTTGAGTGAGAACTAAACTAAAAAATAAATGCGACCACGTCAGTGGCATATCCAGAGGGGGGCACCTTGCCCCCTCTCCCGGCAGATTTTTGTGAAATATATTTTTTTCAGTAGCTGTTTCCATAATAATGGTCACTTTTGAAGAGCGCCCCCATTTTGAAGATTGGTACCAGGCCCCCCCCCCCCCCGCCGCTTTATGATTTTACGGAGGTCAAGTGTCCGGAGAGAAAACCCCAACCATGTCTACATTTCGGCGCGGATGTGCTAGTGCGGTTGCCCCCCCCCCCGACATCAATGATACGCCACTGGATCACGTTATTATTTCACAAATATCGAATTATAGATTTATGATTTCAAATTAATTGAGGCTGATCTGTTGAACATTACAGGCGCAAAGTCATCCAAGTAAGACTTTCTCCGGGTTAAAGCGGGCAATATTTACAAAAACACTAAAAAAAAATCCCCGTTAAAACAAAGCAAATTTCAAATTCGTCGGGAGGAAGAAAAACAATCGAAAAAACCGATAATTGATAGAAATATTATTATTAATTTATTTATTTTTATTTATTTATTCCCTATGTTAACAATTTCAGTAAAGGAAAATATTTTTCATATTTATTTTTCATGATATGTTGACCCATCACTTGGTTCTTGTGAAATAACATTTGGGATGGAGGGGCCGCAGTACTTCTCCCTCATCAAACTGTCCTACCTTCCATCTGCAGGATTTCGGGGTGCGGGTTTGTCACTGAATACAGCACTAAGAAACATGTAGGCCCAGTCCGTTTTGGGAAAGAACACGTATCTGATGCCCTGAAAGAATAAGGAAACGGACAAGATTGTATTTAGAAATATTAAGGAAAGTGCAAAGTCTTTAAACAAAATTTACAGCACAAACCCACGGCTCCCTTGCAGATTGCAGTAAGCCTCTTGCGAGGGCCTGGCAGTCGCAACTTCATACATGCTGCGTCTGCGCTCACTATGTCTTGTTTGCTGGGCTAATTTGTATAATGAATGTACGCAAGGTTCAATCCTGTATATCCCAGTAAGAGAAAGGCATTGCCCTCTAAGATGGCTGCTACGCCTAAGGTCTATTACAGCGCTCCTTTTAAGGCCGCCATATAGCGTCAGACCGTCAACCAAGTCCATACTCAGAGGTGGCATTATAATGGCACGGACGCCCAACCCAGCCCTACTAACTCTAGGCCAGTGCCGGGCCAGTGTCGGGCCAGTGCGGGCTGTTGCAACTGATAATGTAGTAACCAACGGATAAATGTATCACCAACCGATAATGTCACATAAATTGACCGACACTGTACCACTAACTGATAATGTAACACGAAATTGACCGATAGTGTAGTAAAATGTACTACAACTGTCAGTCAATAATGTTGTTACATTATCAGTCCTAACCGATAACGTAACAACAATTAACTGATGTGGTAACATTTACTACAGTATTCGTCATTTTTTGTTACATTATCGGTTAGTGAGACAATATCGGTCAATTTGTGTGACATTATCGGTTGGTGATACGTTATCCGTTGGTTACTATATAGATTATCAGTTGTAACAGGGGGTATTTGTTAGTTTGAGTCACTAACTGGTACGCAGCGAAGACGTAATACTAGGCCTCCTCTTCAAAGGTCAGGTTCAAACATAAATAGCCTAAATAACCACACGGTAATTGAAACAGAATTCAAGACTTTATACCTTTTGATATGGTGGAGCATGGAAACCGTATCTTGCACCACTCATTACTGAGTTAGACAGAGATCGGAAAGCCGCACAATAAAACGATGTCTTGGTTCCTACGTCTTCCTCATGACCTTTAGTTAAAGCAACATTGACCCTGAAAGAATAACCACGTAAACAATAATCTTCACATTGCGCCAAAATGGACTATAAATCATAATTATTTTTTCATTTTAGTTACGCTTCATTATGGTAACCTGAGATTTTCAGTGCGTATCCATAAACAATTTTTTATAGATGGAAGTGACATGGAACCTCAAAAAATCAAATTCCATTGATTCTATATTGTTCATTTTACTATTTTGGTGTCCTGACAGTTTTTTTCAGGGATTTGTTTTTAATTATTATCAAATGAATACATTTCCGCCGCAGTTTTGTATTTGCACCTGCACACTTCCTCTCCAATTTAGGGGGTTATACCCTATAAATTCAAACACTTATGATCATCATAAAAAATCATCTAGACTATACACCGACGTTATCCTGCCGATCACCATTCTGAATTCAATGCAGATTTTTTTGGAAAGTTGAAACTTTATTTGGTGAACATTTTTGTGTAATTATAATGTATATTGCATTCCCTAAGACGGATTTCTATGGGAAACCTGTGACGATACACTCTATGTGGCGTTAAAGGTAATATACAACATTTGCAAACATCACAAAAAATACCAACTATATCAAATCATTATGAAATATACTTGGCTGAAAGTGAATGATAGTCTCGAGCATCTTGTTAAATCATTGCACTTGGTGTGCTGCCATTTTCAAGAAAAGTGGAATTTTGTATCAATTTCCAACGATGGTGGGCTGACCATCTTTGGACAAAAACTGACTTATTTCTCTTCAAATACTGACCCCAATTTACCAAATTGTGTTAGTCCACATTTTGTTTGCAATCAGTTACATATCCGTGAACGGGTGCAAGCCAGCTAGTCTGGTTCCCTGACCTGACAATTCCCCGACGTCTATAAATTGCTCCATTTGTCTGAAGGGAACTAGACAACGAGACTTTTTTCCTTGGTTTTGTCCAGCATTCATGAACACGGATTCAATTTTACACGGGTCAGTGTAACAATATTTGCTACAAAATACTAACCGTCTAATCCATCCATTACAGCAAAAGCAAATGTTGTACACATGTATTACATTTAAATGAACGCCATGTGATATATTCATCGAATCTCTTGATTGTCGGACTCATGTTTACATCTTTGCAGCGCGAACGAATAATTATGAAAACAAATTGACGGCTTTGCTCACCTGAAGACATAATCATGCGAGTCTATTTCCTTTCCCATCTTAGAACCATTCAGTATTCCACCATTCCCGATTACCGCACACGATGTGCATCCGTCTTGTCCAGGTGATCGGTCGTGGTCAAACATGTACGTGTTACTCGTCGTATTCAACAGACTCAGAGCAGAGGAGATTACTAAACAGCAAGAAATCAAAGAATGATTGTAAGATGCTATACTTTATGCAAAGACAACAGTAGACATGTAGACATTCTGTCAGAAAAATCCATCCCAAACTGCCTTAAAAAACCTCTTCAGCCAGTGCATATTGCAAGCAATGAAGCGAAACTTGGACTTCTAGCAAAGATATGGAGCGGAAACTTCAAACTTCCCAAAGAAGTACTAAAAGGATGATGACTGCTTACAGTGGGAGGAATCGTAAAACAAATAGGTGGATCAGAGACTTGACAAAAGCAAATGGTGTGACTAGTAAAAAGGAGCAAATGGAGATGGGCAGACACCTGGCAAGAAAAGAGGATGAAAGATAGAGCCGACTTACAGCAGAATGGCAACCACTATATGGCACAAGGAAAAGTGATCGAGAGACCTCGGTCTAGATGGAGAGAAGAACTGGTGGTGGAAACAGGGACAACAACCTGTTAAGGACATTCCAAAGACAGAGACAACTGACGTGCTATGGGACAGGCCTGTGCCCAGCAGTGGGACGATACAGGCTGGTGATGATGATGATGATGATGATGATGATGATGATGGTGATAAACAGTGCTCATATAGTCATGTCATTCAAATCAAAGTGATTTATGTTTGAATACAAGTAATTTTCAGACCTAAACGACTTTGATTATTAATAAGTCATTTTGCGGTCAGTTTTTGTTAAGAGGTATCTCTTGAATACGAAATGACCATCTCAAGTTCGTGCGAATTAACTGAATAAGAAAGGTTACGAAATGAGTCAATTTGTTCTCTTAAAATAGTTAACTCTCTTGCTAATAGAAACAGTTTCAGTCGGTTTTATAAAGGTAAGGTATGCGATGGTCAATATCTATTTTGCTTTGAACGATTCTCAGAATAGATTGATGACGTAACTAGCATTTAGTTCCCCGTGTAACCCTTTTAAGAACCTATAACATCTTCGTTTTTTTCATCTTACCGGAAGCACTGGCAACTTTCCATCCGAAAATGCTGCGAAACTGTGCTAAACGCTCATATTCCTCTTGACTGTAGTGTTTATTCCATATTAAAATTGGAACCTCGGGCAGATACTTTTTGGTGAAAAACGACTCGAGAAGAAGCTTTTTACGTACCGACGTTGCACAGTTCTGTACAAAATGACAAAAATAAACGATTGTCACTAATAAGTGTCTCTAAGGACCTGCTTATACAATCAAATTACTGGATAATCATTGGATATGCCACTTTAATGGCAGTGGCGTAGCCAGCGGGGGGAGGGGGGTGTTAAGGGGGTATTTACCCTCCCCCAAGATTTTGTAAAGACTGCCCTTTTCCATTCAAGTGCCATTTTTTCGCAACTGTTTATGCCCACCCCAATTTTTTAAAGAGTGTCCTTTTGTTTAGATAAGTGCCCTTTGTTGTTGTTTTTTGTAACAAGTGCCCTTTTTACTCAAATGAGTTCCTTTTTTAACTAGCGGCTGTAACGAGTGCCTCTCGGGAATTTCGTGCGTGTGCCTCCTTGAAAAATATTGTCCGATAGTGTGTATGATCGTCCGCTTCGAACAGCGCCCTCATTGAAAGATGGTACCCCCCCCCCCCCAACTTGATTTTCGGAGGCCAAGTGTCCGGAGAAAAAACAGTCTACATATTAAGCACGGATGTGCGCGTGCCCTTTTCAAGAATTTGTTACCCCCGCCAATAGAAATGACCTTGCTACGCCTATGAATGATGAAGTAAGACTTAAGAAGGGAGACATTATGTAGCCTATACCGTATTTCATCAAGATCTTGAAGGAAGTCATTAGCATCTCGTACATCAGAAGATTATTCTTCTCTTTGACCTCAACTTTGTTGAGGATCCTAATGAAGTTTCATGCTTACCATATAATTTACAAACTGGGTGTCGGATGTGTACTGAGCATCACTCAGTCTCCAGTTACTTGGTCTTTGCGCTTCTCTCCTCTCTATGTCTGCAGCTAATGCATCCTTGTAAGTTTGGTTGAAAGCAATTCCTTGAATCAGAGTGTCGATGTTGGGAAGATTGCCAGATTCTTCCTTCATCTGAGGAGCGGTGCTGTGTAAGGTGTCATTTCTGCCGGAAGTCAACGGACGGATCGTAAACGCTTTATTTGCTCTGTTGAAGAGACGAATGGTGTCAAATTCATATTTGAGAAGCTAAAATGTGACACTATTTCATAATAATGCCGTTAAATAATGGTCTAGCATTCAAGCCAACAACACACATTCAATTCGTTCAGCCTTAACTGATTTGATACATTTATGGTGGATGTATTTTCTACCGTTATGTTAAACTGATAGGCAACAGAGGCAGGTGGGATTATGTGTCAATCAACACCCAAAACACGTCAGAGCACTGAGAGATTCATCTACAAACACATCTCTGCAAGCAAGAACGGTTACCAGAAGTTGTTGTACCCCAAAACACTGCCTGCGGAATATGCTATCTGATGTGGCCCGCTGTGCCCCAACGTTACATAGCTTCAAGTATCAACTACTAAAGATCGAGGTTGCTGATCTACATAATATCTGATCATAGCCAGCAGCTCAAAAACTAGTTTGCACCGACTCCTAGTATTGCGCTTTGTACGTGATATATAGCTACACCAGGCGTTTGTACAGAAGCAAACAGATGCAGATGCAGATGCAGACGCAGATATGTCATTGTTCCCTCCCATTTTGGAATATCATGGATATAAGCCGCTCCTTAACTGTTTGATGTCAAGTCATGGAAGCTGACAGTGACGGACGTTATGTACTCCCACCTTTTATAAACGTGTTGAAAGTTTGGGAGCAGAAAGGGACATGCTATAGGAGTCGAATGTACATTATTATGAAGAAGTTCAAATTTGTTAACTGTGGCTCCACCATAATATGTCTATCACTACTTTGTGTACAATGCAAACTTTTGCATCGGTGTGATTTATTTCATGTTTTGTTTTGCCATTCATCGACGCAATTGCACAAGCACTTTAAACTCCGATTCCGGATTCGAGCAGGCCGGCCGGCACCGGCGGGCTTGGTGCTCTCGTGGTGGGACGTTTATGCTGGTAGTTGGGAGGCCGTGTGTTCGACTTCAGCTCAGGTATAAGCATGTCGTTTCCCTCCGCAAGCCCTCGGACAACACTGAGTATAAAATGTTTATGAAATTACTTTTGTGAAAGGCAGTACCCAGCATTCAATCCATGATATTCCACATGTGCTCCCGCCTATCAAACGTCTGTAACGTTAACGTTTTTGAATCTAACTCACTAATTATACGTAAGATTTGAGGCTTTGCATGGTGGAGATACTAAATAATGAAAGGTTTTCAGAACCATTCTCTTAGTTGAGAAATTATTCGCACATGGTGTTTCCGCAAACCTTTCATTATTTAATTATACGTACAAAAAGGGTATCCTTTCTCGAATAGTTTGGATGGTTGTGAACTTGAACGTTCCGATCACTAACGTGTAGACCGTCATTCCAAGACACAACGCTAACACCAATCGGACGACTCTGTGAATAAAGACATTGAAGGTTGGTTAACGCTTTTCTCGTTCATTTGGATATTTATATCACATTAATCTTGTTGCAACATTGTTCTGATACAAACTTTTACTTGACCTGCACAATCGACCAGCTAGACAGGTAATATACCAACCTCACGACCATGCCTTTGTGCAAGGGCGGATCCGGGGGGGGGGGGGGGCAAAGGGGGCCATGCCCCCCCCCCCCAAACCGAAACCAATTGGGTTTTTTATGTGACGTCGCAATAAAGGCAGGCAATGAGTACACCACCATCTTTTCCTCAAAAAACGTTGGCTAAAGTGGTCAGAAATTGCCTCAGATCGCACCACAGAGCATCGAGAATCCAAAAAAATTTCGGGGCCCTTAAGCGGGCCACGAACCCCACGCCGTAATTTTTTTACCCACTTTTTGGGAGACACAATTTTTTTTTTGGCCCCCCCCCCAAATTGTGTTCTGGATCCGCCCTTGCCTTTGTGTGGACTGTTTGTAAGTTAACAAAATAATACACAAATTGACGATCGAGACTTGTTCGACTTTCGAACCATTGGAAATTCATTCTTAATTTCTCTCTACCCAGCCCAATGCACCCCACTTGCGAAAGGAGTTTACATATGTACACAATTAAAACGTTTAAAATTATATTCTATTATGGACAAAATCCCTGTTACAGTCTTCCAGGAAATCCGTGTTATAAATATCGTTACACTGAATGAAATCCAGGAACGTTGTGTTTTAAAAAATGTGTTCATATATTTAAGATAATACCTCGATAAGCATATATTTCTTAATTTTTTTTCCAGAACTGATTTACATGAGCAAATATCTTGAAAACATGTCAAATACAGAAATGGAACAGTTGCACAGTTATCTGTCAGAATATCTCATACTAGTAAACTCTTGATGTTACGTAAGCTGCTAAAATCTGTAACTGTGGCCTGTGACGTTTGTAAACTGTCTAAATTGTAAAGACATCAGACATAAAATATTCACAGTTAGATGCCAGGAGTTGTTGGCCTACATGCACCTGTCTCTAAACCGTTTGATCGTATACAATGATAGACAAAAAAGGCAACATTTTAGTTACGCTTGGCAAGCTGGGGAAAAAAAATACGAAAAAATGTGTCGGTATACATACCTGTTAGAGATGAATCTACCATGTCCGGACGATTTACAGTTGAAAAGTTTACAAATCATCTTTATTTTGTTGGTTGTATGCCCACAATTTACAATGATATGCTCCACTAAACTTGAATTCTATACGGTTATGTTCCGTATTAGTCCAGAACTCGGCATGTTGAGTTGTCCGTGACAGCAGCTGATGCGCGTATTGTAAAATATCAATCGTTAATGCCGCAGAGTAAAATTAATAAAAGTCATTATCGCAACTCGACTGAGCGTGTCTGCCTAAGGTTGCAGCAAAGCGCAGTGATATGTTAATTTGTGTGGTATTAAACGAAACGGTGTGGCGTCACATGGAGTTGTAAACAGTCACATACCAATTAACATTTCGTAAATTGCAAATTTGTTTTTGTTTCAACATTTGTACTACACAACATATATAAATTTGAATCTTTTTGAAATCTTTTCTTCGTTAAAATCAGACATTATTTTGGAAATACAGCTGGCCGTCTTTGGCTTCTACGTGCATTTCAGTTGGGCTGGCTTCTTGTCGTTTAAAACAAGTAGATTCAGCTCTGACATCTGTTTAAATTGACAAAAAAACATCCGATCGATTTTGAATAATTTGTAGATTGGAAGGGAATCGTGCGGGGAAAAAAAACAGCTGCATTAAAGGACAACAACTATTTCAACACTTTTCAGGCTTTTATGAAATAAACCGACTCTTCTCCTAGCATTCATTTTGAGTATTTAAAATTTTTATTTTATTTTATTTCTTTCTGGTAATGAAACAAAGGATTCCTCAAAAAGAAATCTTTATTTCTGTGAACGTGAATATCTTTGATATATTCTACATGTTCTAAATATTATTGAATGTGATATGCTTCCCTGAAAATTTGACATCTAGATTTTATGGGAAATGCTGGTAGTTGTATAGATAGTAGAGTGAAACCGACCCATCTATTTTATGGCTACTTTTTTCGGGACGGGGTGCCTCCTTTGATCAGCCACTTTTATGTATGACCTGAAACGAATGTCTTTCTACGTTTAATGATACACGCCGTTCCCCGTGTGACTCATGTGTAATTTAGAATCCGATAAAATCCGAAATCTTGTATATTAACCCTAAAGGGGCCGGGGGGGGGGGGGGATCCGCCCTCCCTCAACATTTTCCGTAATAGCCTCTAAAAAAAATTTTTTCGCGACCGAGCTGTTATGACTTTTTAGCCTCGAGCTTTGCGCATCTTTTGATACCAAAAACATAAAAATCAGACCACGGGTTGCCGCGTAGCGAAAAATTTTCAGGCGCTACGCGCCGTGAAAACTGAATTTTCGCACGCATATACGTCGTGTACACGGAGCAGAATTGCCATTCGTACATATGAATAATTAATTAGCCATAATTCCAAAACCCTTTGCCCTATAGTCATGATATTTCTTGGGTATGTTTAGGAAGAGTTGCTCTATGCATGTGCCGAGTTTCAAAATTTTTCGTCACTCGATGGCCGAGATCTTAGGGGGGGGGGGCGGAATCCGCCCCCCCCGGCTGAGAGATGGTCAAAATAACCCGGCCCCTTTAGGGTTAATATTACTTATGCAAAACAATCGATAAACCCATATGTTGTACAGTTCAAATTGCTCGCCACATCTGCACTAAGGCCACATATACATTCTGACTAAATCAGAGAAATATATCTGAATCTTAATTACTTGTTTGTGGAACCGATTTAGTGGCGCAAATCCGTGTCGGCGAGGGGGAGGGGGGGGGGGGGGGGGAGGGGGGATGGGGGGGGGGTGACAGGGATGGGGGGGGGGGGGGTTGACCATAGGGCAAAGTCCTAAATTTGCCCTGCCGTGGAGATTCGAAAGAGGTATGGACACCACGTGACAGTAGGGGGCGCTGTTCATGATACTAATGTAGATATACATGTAATACAAAGTTGCGCGCACTAATGTTACATAACAACAGTGCATTGAAAACCTTTCTGTTTTCCAACTATTTAATAAATGTGGACTGCTGAAAGTTACGAAATAACCTCAAAATCAGCATTTCTTTTTCTTTCTCATCACACAAATGGGGGGAGGATGATCCAATGGTCCATCCATCTGGTAAAAAAGTGTGCAGGGATATATCCTCACCACCCCCACCCCCTGGATTTACGCCCATATTGAAAATAATTAAATAAGTCATTAGTGAACAGGACGTCATGATGACAGTGATGAGGAAGGTGTTCAAAGTAGTGATGATTACCATTTATTTCGTCATGCAAACAATCGTTTGCATGCTTCTTGATGTGGAATCACAGAATGGTTCCCAGACATATAGTCTAGAAAAGCACATTTGAATGAAACAAGTAAAAACAAATCGTATGATTAATTCTGGCTGATGATGGAGCATAACACTGTAAATCAATGCAATCGAATGTCTTAGTTAATAAATGACTTCGTCCTCGCATTTCAACAGACGCTTTTTGTACCACGGGTGTCGCTTGGATGGGGCAAGGGCAGTGGCGTATCCAGCGGGGCGGGGGGGGGGGGATGGGGGGGGGGGGCACTTTGCCCCCTGATGGATTATTTTTATGGACAAATTTCTTTTGTCAGAAATGATTTAAATAAATTTGTATAGAGTTTTTGTGACATCAATCCCACAAAAGAAAACCCGCTCAACAACCAATACAATGCGCCGTGAAAATTATGCATTATAATGGTCAATTTTGAACAGCGCCCTCATTTGGAAGTTGGGTACCAGCCCCCCCCCCCCCCCCCCCCCCCGCTTTTTGATTTTACGGAGGCCAATTGTCCGGAGAAAAAAACATGTCTACATTTCGGCGCAAATGTGCGGTTGCCCCCCCTGACATCAAAAGCTGTATACGCTGCTGGACAAGGGGGGGGGGGGGAGCGCCCCCTGGAAATTCCCCCCACCCAAAAAAAGGGGAAAACTGAGGAAAAGAAAAAGGAAAAAGAATAGGAGAGATTCCAAGTAAATATGTTACTGTGAATTTAATGTATATTTAGCAGTAGGAACTACCGAAATGACCCTTAAACGCGTTTTGATTATTATTTTTTTTTTTACATAAACATGTAGGCCTACAAAAACATTTATGAACAGCGCCTCCAAATGTCAAATCACCCCCCCCCCCCACGCTTCTGATGAGTGCTTTGCCCCCTCCAGAAAAAAAAATCCTGGCGACGCCCATGATAAACGATGTCTGCAAATCTAGATACATTTTAGATGGAATTATCATTTTTCTTAATACGCTAAATTCTCCAAAATAGGTCCGACAGGGTCCATGAAACGAATTTTACAATGCAGCATAATTGTGCAAAAAACAAAAAAACAAAAAACAAACAAAACAAACCAAATCTGAGACTCCATTTTAATACAGAGCTAAATGTTAGTTTTAAAAGTCCCATAATGTTGCTGCGATGCAAGTTCAGGAATACATTATACAGGTTAGGGGGTTTAATGCAAATTACCAACCCACTATAGTGATGGGGTATGCCACATCTTAAAATTATCTATCATAACTTAAATTATTTAAAATATGTCTTTCATCCAATGATTATTGGAGAAGATCCTTAACGTATGCTTTCCCTGATGCGCATTTTAAGATGTTGATGTCTTTTGGGGCCGGGAGGAATCGGATAAGTACTACAGCTTAATAATGAGCAGGAACACACTCGCCGGGAGTCGGCAGAGGGCCGGTCGCAGGAAGAGAGGACGTCTAAAGCAACATCAGCAATCATAGAATTTTAAATGTAAGACTTGCGACAAATGAACCCACTCACGCGTTTCTCCAATACTAATGATGATCTCTGCACTCGGAAAATACGCGGGTCAGATTGACCCGGAATCTGGGTTATATTTGACTCCAATTTTTTCCGGGTCAAAATGACACTTTTCCGGGTCAAAATGACACCTTGCCGGGTCGAAAGGCCCGGGAAAGTGCATGTCATTCTGACACCCTAAAAGTGTACTTTTGACCCGGAAAAGTGTCATTTTTAAAATCTCCCATAAAAAGGTGTCATTTTTTACCCCCCCCCCCCCCAGTGTCATTTTTGACCCGGAAAAGTGTCATTTTGACCCGACAAAGGTAAAAGAACCCAGATTCCGGGTCAATATGACCCGAATGTTCCTAGAATGGTTGAGCGCTAAGAAGCTAAATAAATGAATTGTATAGTAACAATGGACAGGGCAATATTTCATAGCGCTGCTTAACAGCCGATTTTGTACATGTACTTACCAAGCTTCCATCCATTTCATAGAGAGCGTAAGCAATAATTACCACAACAAAATCACGCTAACCCTAGAGGAAAAAGTTGCTTAAATCAGTGACGCGATGATAGAAATCTTCATGCGCACGCAACTTAACCGTTAGCAAGTCCACGCCCCAAATTAGGGCTTTGGTAGCAGCATTATTTTTTACTACAGAAATTAGCACAACTTTTCAACTGTTAAGCAGCGCTATGAAATTGGGCCTTGAAGGTTTTAATGCATCCGACAAGTCTAGATTATAAATTCTGATGGAAACATCACATTATTTATTTGGAGATGACAGATCATGACTTGTCCGTGTGAATCGACCAACTGCCACTGTCGGGGTCAAGGGTCACAGTTTTAGAAGCTGACTATCCCCGGGTGTACATATTAATGATACCAAGATTGTGTAGTTTTTTCCAAAGCCTGTTCTCTGCCGTAGTGTCGTGGTTGAGATAGTCGACATGTTTGTGAAACGACTTGTCGTAATAGTGCTCCGAAAACTTGGTGTAACTTCCACCGAAACCATACGCATTGACCTGTAAAGACATTTAATATAACAACACTTAAGTTTATGGCACTTGCTGAGCATGAGTCGTTAAAATGTCTTGATCTTATTTTTTTTGTCATACTGCACTACTTTAAGTCAGCGGCGTCGGAACAGTGCTGAAACTGGGGGGGGGGGGGGGGGGGGGGGAGGGGAAGCAACAGCGGCCCAGAAAGCGGCCGGCCATTGCAAATTACTGCGGTGGGGGGGGGGGGGGGGTTACAGCGGACCAGAAAGCGGACCAGAAAGCGGCCGGCCATTGCAAATTACTGCGGGGGGGGGGGGGTACGCTTGAGTGCGCACTTTTATGATGTTTGTTTTTCTGTTATTCTGTACACTAATACGTTAACAGAAAATGATGAGTACGCTACAGTGTCGATTTAAAACCTTTCATTTTTAATACTCGTGTTCTTGTTTAATTACACAGGGTGTTATAAAAAAAGGAAACCCAAATGGCAGGACCAATTTGTTTATGAAGTTCTTCAAAGAGGACTTTCAAAATCTAGGATTTGAAAGCCCCAATTAATATGCTTTCTTTTAGTACAAGAATCATTCAAATCACTCATGTACTTTTCAAAAATTTTAAACACAACAACCGTTTCAAAGTTCATTCCACGGATCACAAAAAAGGTAAGTGTTCTTTCAGCAAAACGAAACCAGTTCACATAAGGGTGTATGTGAATTGTTTTCGTTTTGCTGAAAGAAAATAAAAACACTTTTGTGAACCGTGGACAGAACTAGTAACAAAAACTGACCTCATCACACGTATGTAATGCCAATAGAAGCATGATGCCACCGGTTGTTGGTCGATGAATTCGGCTGTGTTGATTGGTCGAATTTACCCAGCTTTGTTGCAAGGAATAGAACAGAAAAAATAGCAATAATTTCGTAGTGATCCGTGGATACTTAGCGGCGAAATATTGGTACTGTTGCATAGAAAACCCCACTTTGTCTTGATCTTATTATAATGGGATATAGTGCACAGTTAACAGATCAATTTGTCTATATTACGATGGGACTATAATGTTCAGTTCCTTAAAAGTAAATGAACAACAATGTGCAACAATGAGCAACTTCTGCAGTTGAATACAAACCTCCATTTAAGATATCTCTCAAAGTCCGGATGGACCAACTTGATATCGGTGGCTTGCAGCTTTTTGGGAAATCGAACTGGATATCTGCAAAATATATGCATGAACCACCAGTTAGATTCGACCACAAAGAATAATGGATATAAGAACCGGTGTATGATTAATTGAAGATTTGAATATTGAAGATTGTTATTCTATCATAAACAGATATGGAAACACCGAGTAACGGCGTTTAAGATATGGTTAGGGTATGTTATAATGGTTTGTTATTTCGTGTGTCCGCCAGTTCAGTACAACCCGTGAGGTCATATAGATATAGTAAGACAGTAAGAGACGAAGTGGTACTTGAGCTGATGTGGTTTATTCGGTTGGCTGTGACGCTCTCTGTCTGATTTCTAGATTCTACTGTTTTTTTTATACAGTAAATGGACATTCCAATCTTACAGCTATCTTACAGGTTTTCTTGCCTTATTAGAAATTGTTCACTAACTATTGAATACTAATAATACAGAACTGAAGGTGTTTGGTCAACTTGTATCTGGGGGCAGGGCTTGGCAAATTAATAGAACAATCGGATTTCTTTATAAGTCCGTGGGCTGAATCACTGTGGCCTTCCGGTGCAGCCCAGCATCCACCCACGCAGACCTTGTGGCTAAACTGGCCATTCCTTAGATGTGTCTCATTACCAGGAAAGTGGTCCTGTTCCTTGAAGGTCAACTTATACAACTTATACAGTAAATATAAAACATGATATTTTATCATGGTGATATCAGTCTTGTTCGTTCACATTTCTTTGTATAACATCAAGACTCTGAATATTTCCGTGTACCTGTTTGTCATAACAGTTCCTTTGCCTCCGTGTAACACTGATGCAAGATACGTGTAAGCCCAGTAGCCGTCAGCGAAAAATACATACCGAATTCCCTGTGGATGCCACAAAATGATGTAAAGTCTTAATCGGGTCGTGTTCATGCCATCAGCAATTCTGAACATAAAATGTAAAATATGTGTACACGAAACGAAAGAGGATAGCTTCCCGATGACGTCACAATTACGTGATAACGCAATTGGAAGAATACAACATTGTTCGTGGGGTGGGGTGATTTCTGATTGTAAATGTTATGCAGCATCTACAGTGAAATAAGGTAGATGATGTTTCATTGTTGTTTGATTATTAAATTTCAATGTTATTAATGTCTTTTAGAGATGGATCAGAAAGAGTCTTCTTACCTCATCATTAGGAAGTTGTCTAAATTTCGTTTCAAATCCACCTGCTAGTGTGTTTGACAGCGTTGACATCCCAAAACAATAGAAAGAGGTTCTACTTCCTACATCTTCCTCATAACCCTTGGTTAAGGCCGTGTTTACTCTGCGAATTGAAGCGGTGTTAATAGTTGAATTCACTGTATGTTTACTTTATTCTGCTAAAATAATGCTATCGATGTCAAGTAGTTGTTGACAAAATGTATGCTTTACGGCATACCAGGAATTATTATATCCCTGTCGAGATCCATGGTTTTGTCAGTTGTTTCATTCCTTTGTTTACCCCGAAATTCTATTTTTCTTTTAAAATAATTAAATGATGATAGCGCTCCTCTCATCTGAGGAAAAATAGTAGGCAAATTCTTATACTTAAACCAACTGCAACTTTTGTTTGAAGCTAACATAAGTGAAAACAACAGTCAGAGGCAATATTAAGGGGGAAAAAATGTGTCTTTGGCCGGTTTTAAACAGCGTGTTTAAGACCGGTTGGAGTCTGGATGCTGAGCCTTGGGTAATTATCAGCATACAGACTCCAACCGGTCTTAAACATAGTATTTAAATCCGGCCAAGCGCATATTTATTCCCATTGATAAATACCTTTTCGGTCAAAAAACGTCAAATCGTTTTGGTCCAAAAGTCAAAACAAGTCAAAAATTATAAATTTTCCAACGATTTAGTTCAACAACTTAAGTTCATGTTTTTCGAAACACCCCTCTAGCTATATTATGGTATGTCCCCCTCGTAAACAACTCCTTATATGGAGATTGGCGCGGGCGTCGTGCGTACTGCGCGATGTAGCGCAGAACTCAGCTTTGCCGGTGTATTTTGAATTTAAGACTAAGAAATACTGACTCACTGGTAGAATCGCGCATGCCTACGTGAGGATTGTGAACGTTCAACCAATAAAACGGTAAAAGGCACTGGATTAAATAGGAGTCAAAATTTCATGTGACACTGGAAAAGTGGTTAGAACCGGCCAGCCGGTCTATATCAACCGTTTAAAACCGGCCACGTGACTGGCTCTCGACCAATAGGAATGGGTAAATTGTCTCAGGTATTTATGAATAGGCCTATAGGTTATGATGTTAGTTGTGAACTCATAAGCATAAATATTATTGTCGCACATTGTAGTTGATAAGCTGTCGTTGAAGTTGTTGAATCGAACTTACCTAAATACATAGTCATTAGCATCTATCTCTTTGCCTTTCTTGGAGCCTTTGAGGATACCACCATTGCCAATCACAGCACATGTGATACATTTATCGTCATCGGGAATCTTACCGTTGACGAGGCGGTTATCAAACAGATATCGGTTGTGAGGGGAATCAAGCTTTGTCAGCGAAGAGGATATATCTGATGGTGCATAGAAACGGGCAAAATAAGATCAATCATGTTCTTCCTTTCTGCTGACCACAACTTCACTTTGCAAATGATTTTTGGGTCGATTAGCTGATTAATTTGTTCTTGGAAGTTGATATCCACATTGTGATTATCTTTCCACTGCCTCAAAGAGCAACATAGCAGCATATTGCAAAAAACGTTCAATAGACCATTCACTTTTTATGTGAACGTCTTGGTACCAAACACTGACTAGTCTAGTCACAGACTCCCGCGTTGGAATTTACTCAATCTGCGTGATAGATTAAACAAAAGTTGAGGTCAACATTGTAAATTTCATGATAGTAATAAATTCGCAATAGTTTCATATGTTGTAAATTGAAAGGATTTCTTTTCATTCAAGGTACCCATTTATTGCTTATGAACACGTTGTAGATACGGTGCCTGGATGTGCTGTATTCTCGTATAAAATCTGAACGCTCTATTATTACCTATTTCATTGTAACTTTTCCATCCGAAAATGCCATGGAACTGTGCAAGTCGGACGTATTCCTCGTGAGAGTAATGCTCATCCCAAGCCAAAATTGGAGTGTGTAAGACGAACTTGTTACGAGTGAATGGAGTCGTCAACATCTTGTGTCGAACCGAAGTCGGGCATTTCTGAAAGTAATGCGTAGGTGATGTTTTTATTATTATTTTTGTAAAGTTGCTAACTGTTTGAATCATTTAACGATATGATTTTTTTTCACGACACCCTCTCTCAGTAGCATTTAACATTTATTAGTATTTTACTTGTTGTGAACTTTGTTGATTGTTAAGCTGATGAAACGCCATGTACGAAATTACGGACGGAATTATATCCGTCACAATTCGACCGCGACAATCATGTCAAATAAAACAGATTCTGGTTGACCCCTTGTCGTGTTCTATAAACATCTGCCATCAATGGTTTGTTTAATAATGGCAATCACGGAATGGGCAATAATACGGCATGCTCGATCGGCGTCATGGTCTTAAAGTAAATGTATAAAAAAAGGTAGTCCAAAATCAATCGGCTCATATGTAAAAATTGTAGAATGTGAAAGAGATTTCATTTTAAAGGTTAGTTCATTAGCTTTCAATTGATACCATTATTACACCTCTTTAGTCACAGATGACTGAGCACCACTGCTTGCAAAACAAATGCAACACCCCCCTCTTTTTCCAAGTTTACTGAAATATGACTTTGTGGCGAGTTAAGCTGTCAGAAGAATGCACTGTGCAGCTGTGGACAGTGCGTTAAATGGGTATAGGCCTATGTTGGAGATGTTGTTCGTTAAAATGGTAACTTATGTTGTCCGTAAATTATTAATCATTGCAAAGATTTTGCTTTTCATCACCAACTAGCAATGACATATCAAAAGTCTGTAAAACATAGCTGGTAACGGGCATAGGCAAAGCATATACCAAGTTGGGCAAACGCCAAAGCTAATTAATTTTGAAGACACTTTTGCATTAGGTAGTTATTATTTTAATGAGTAAACAAAGAATCTTTGAAGTGATTGATTTGATCATGAAACGTGATACTCCATTTTATGTTCAAACACTTTCAACATGTCTTTCTCCTCCCATAACACATAATCCACCGCGACTGCGCACTTTTTTAGACAGGCTCAATTTGCCGCTGAATCAGGTAAACTTGGTGTGTTTAGACGAATTGGCCTTGTGGTGATAAACAAGATCTCTGAAATGATCCATCATTCATGGACAACATGGACCATTTTATGCAACAATATTATCTGACACACCCTTTTTAAGGCACTGTCCATAGTGACAGCGCATTCTTCCGACAGCTTAAAGGAAATATACAACATTTGCAAGCATCACAAAACAAAACTACCAAATTATTATGAAATGCCTTACTGGACTGTTAGTGAATGAGAGTCTAAAGCATCCTGTAAAATCATGGCATCTGGTTTGCTGTCATTTTCAAGAAAATTTCCAACATTGGTCGGCCGACCAGCGTTGGAAAAACCTGGATTTGTTTTTCAAATAGTGTCCCCAATTTAGCATTTTGTGTGCAATCAATCACACAACCCATGAATGGGTACAAGCCAGCTGGACTGTCTCCCTGACCTTGCAATTCCCAGATGTGTATAAATTAATCCATTTCAATTAAAGTGGGGTAAGGGAACTAGACTACAAGGACATGATGGTCTTTCTTGGTTTTTCCAGCATCTACGAACACAAAACTTCAAACAAGTCAGTGTAACAATATTTTTTACAAAATACAAATCCCCCAAATCCATCCATTTTTGAAAATTATAGAAAAAGCAAATGTTGTATATTCCCTTTAACTCACCACTTATTCAGCAAACTCGGAAAATGAGGGTAAGTTGCCCTTGTTTTGCAATCAATGGTGCTCAGTCATCTGTGACTGAAAAGGTGTCATTATGGTACCAATTGAAAGCTATTGAACTACCCTTTAAGATGGAACCACTTTGACAGTCAACAATTTCCTAACTTGTACGTATTAGCCGATTGATTTTGGATTACCTTGTTGTCTGATACACCCTGTACAACACTTTTTTTTCAAAACTGTTACACTGACTCGTTTAAACTTTTGTGTTTATGGATGCTGGGAAAAACCAAGAAAAAAAATGTTTTTCCTGTAGTCCGGTTCCCTGACTCTATTTCAGACGAAACAGGGCAATTTATTGACGTCAGCAAATTGTTAGGTCAGGGAACCAGACTAGCTGGCTTGCACCCGTTCACGGATGTTTAACCCATCGCAAACCAAATTTGGACTAACTAAATTTGGTGAATTTGGGGCAGTATTTGAAAAACGATTGTTTGCCAACCATTGTTGAAAATTGATACATGAACTCCATTTTCTTGAAAATGACAGCATACCAGATGCCATAATTTCACAGGATGCTTGAGACTAATGTTCACTTATACAGTCAAGTGAGGTATTTCATGATAAATTGGAAAGTTTGGTTTTTAATGTTTGCAAATGTTGTACATTACCTTTTATTTGTTTTGATTAGAAAATTGTCAGTTCAATTCAACAACTCCTCGAGCTAGTATCAATCATGGTCAACACTTTATCATTTGTCGGCACATTGCAGATAAAGATGTTTATGCTTACCAGATAATTAAGAGACTGACTATCCTGTAGACTTTCTCGTTCGTGTCGTTTCCAGTGTACAGTTCTTGATTTTACGCGATTAATACTATCCATCAAGACGTCTCTCAAGACATGGTCTGATTGTTTCTTTTGTAAGAAACTTTCAACCTTTGTTAGAAACCGCTGCTCATTTCGTCCTAGACCTGCATATGTGTTGGGGTTACTGTCCCGTCGTTCAGATGTCACTCGTCCCATTTTCCTGGTCAAAATATCTTGGACAGCTTTACGTAAAGCTGTGTTAATTTTCTCCTTGTTCTGTAAGGTACGATTTTGGGATAGTGATGGTGATAATATTAAATTTGTTGCAACAATGCTGGAATTTGACTCTGCTCCATGATCCCATTTTGCAATGGTTGTACCATTCGCAGCATTTACTGTCGGTTCGTTTGCCTTTGTAAGAGCTTCAGCTTTTTGAATCACGGGCGTCGGCTTTTCTGTTGTAACTGTTACAATATCCGAACCATCGTTTTCACTCGAGACTTTCGCCTGCACTGGCTTGATTGCTGTGGTTTTCCTGTCCACGACTCTTTGATATTGCTGGACGTTCATCCTGTCAAATCAAGAAAATTGACAATGAAATGACAATATGAATGTGTGATTTTCACATGGTAAACATGCCCCTCTGAGCACCTGCAGATATATATCAAAGAATCAATGCCTATGTAAAATATATATACATTAAATCAATAATACCTTTTGCACGATTTGCATATATGTTAAAGGCATATAGGACCGTTTGCTTTCATGCATTTTGTTCGTTTCCAATAATAACACCATTCGAAATCCAAAGAAGAACGTTCACAACCCAGCCCGTTGAAGTTTCAGCTCAGTGGATATTACATTTTTTGTGTGAAAACAGTGAACTGTTCACAACTTGTTGATCCCAAAACACGACTTCGTCTATATAACTCTTTAATTCCAAACATCAGTCAACTGACTGATCGTTGGTTTCTTGATTTTAAATGACAAAAAGTATGACGTAATCATTGTTTGTTTAGTACCATCTTTAATCCAAGTAAGCTTTGTGATAATAATTCGTCCGTTACTTTTGGGATAAATGCAAATGATGATGATCCTGTCTGCTTGAAAGAACAATGAATATTACATATCACTCAACGGGGTCAGCTCATAAGTCCAACGCCTCATAGGTCCGACGCCTCATACGTCCGACAAAATTGCATCCCCTAACCAAATAAAGGCCCATAGTCCGACGCCTCAAAGGTCCGACGCCTCATAAGTCCGACGCCTCACAGCTCCGACGCCTTGTAAGTCCAACAAATTAAACGCCTCGTTTTTCCGTTGTTGGACTTAGGAGGCGTCGGACCTATGAGGCGGAATAAATAAATGTTATGCCTCATAAGTCCGACGCCTCATAAGTCCGAAATTTCGGACTTCTGAGGCGTCGGACCTATGAGGCGTCGGACGTATGATACGGCCCCCACTCAACGTGTCAGGATGCGTAATTAACCAATTTTTCTGAACAACAAATTGCTCCGTCTTGAAAAAGTTGTCGGTACATTATCATCCATTTCTCACAGTATTTAATCAGGAATATTTGAATATGTGATAATTGGAAATATTCATATCTCAAATATTTTCAACTTTCGTAAATCCGTCTTGAGGAGATTGGAAATTATGGCCTTGCACATTTTTGTTAGTAAATTTAACCCAGGCAAAACGTCACTTTCTTTGAAACAAATGAATAAAATTGCCTACCTTTGCGGCGTCATACGGATTGACGTATTCACTGTGTCAAATTTATAAAACATTTTAAGGGTCAAGAACACGAACGATGTCAGAAGGCAGAGTGCGAATGCCACGCGAAGTGTTCTGCAAAAAAAAAAAACCCCAAAAGTACAGCCGATATAATAAAACATTGAAACTGTCATTCATGGCGAGTTACTTGAAAATATGATTGAAAAATGTTGTGCGTTTTCGTTTTACAATAATTATAGTGTGTTTCCACTTCGACTACGCCATTTAAGATATTAAAACTTTACTGGCGTTTTGAAACGTGCTACGTTATTATATTAGGGAATCTTCACACAAAAATGTTGTACATGGTGATGTAAAAGAAAGTGACTGAATCAGAAAAAAATATTGAAAAATATGTGGCTCGCACCATTAAATATAAAATAACGTAGGAATAAAGTACATGTTACTGATTAGATACTGTGAAAATTTCACGTATACTGTTTCCAGATGTTACCTCTATTTTTAAAATACCACACAGTTTAGCTGTCCTCTACTGATCGTTTACTGATACGCATTGATGAATCACTTCTAAATACAATGAACCATGGGAGTTTTCCCACCTCTACGAATAACGAAAACTTGCAAAAGAAAACAGACAAAAATCACAATCGTCATGTTAGAAAAAGACTTGATTTGTTCCTCATAATACAAAACACAAAATCTGATATAAAAATAATGTTTCAGTCTTGAGTCACATTATTAAAATCTGATTTGTATTTGAAAGCATTTAGCATTCCATGGACAGCTGTAAAAATATATATTTTTTTTTAAAGTAAAACATGGATAAATGGATCAATTTCGGTATTTTTTTCACATGAGTGGAAGAACATGCTCGTATAATACATGATTCATTGGTGTATCGCATTTAATAATTTCTAAGTGAAAAAAAAAACCAATCATCAACCCTGTACTTTCTCCTAGCCCATCAGTTTTTATATGTGGTTGATATGTGTTTTTATTTATTCCAAATTTGATGTTGTGATGGATTCATAATTTGACCATTACTTTAAGACACAACACTAATACCAATCGGATGACCTTGTGAAAAAAAGCTTTAATCGTTGGTTTGAAGTTGCCACAACTTTTTCTCGTCGTGACATTCTACTGATACAAAGTTGTACTTGGCCTACATAATCGACCAGCAAGATCAGGTTATGTTCCAACATCACGACCACGCCTTGGTATAGACCGTTTGTAATAGTGAACACAACGTTTTCGACTTTCCAACCATTGGAAAATTCATTCGTAATGTCTCTTCACTGCAGCACCTGTTTTAATTTTACGTCCTTAATTGTGTACATAGTCATCAACATTTTCTAAAACTCGTTTTCATATATGGACAAAATCCTTGATAGTTTTCTCTAGTATAGGCCTACATGTAGTAACTGCTGTGGGGATATCTGTCGGTGTGGGAGGGTTTCCGGTAGATGTTGCAGGTGACTGCCGTGCTGCTTTCTGGAAACCTCAACACCAAGAAATGAAATGTTGCCCTCTCTTTCTTGCTCCATGGTGAATTGAATGCCGCGGTGAAGCCCGCTGAGGTGTTCCGTAGCCAAACACGTGGGCTGTGGTCTGCATGCTGTGGCGATGACGGTCAGCTCGAACTCTTCCATGAATATGTCGGCCAGGGCCAGGGATGTAGGAGATCCCATGGAGGATCCAGCCGGGCCGACCGTTCAAAGAATTTATCTCGCCAACAGAAGCCAGATGAGGTGACATAGGTGAGGAGAAGGTAATGAAGCCGGTCAGGGGTGAGGTCGTTGCGATCCTTGAGGATGGAATCCAGTTGAAATCTTTCCTTGCCAAATTTGCAGGCGTCAGAGGTGGGGACATTGGTGAAGAGAGAGACAGCATCAAAGTTGACCATGATGTCATCTGGCTGAAGGGTACGTGAGGTATTGGATGAAGGTGGCAAACTCGTCGGAGTTTTTGACGTGGTGTTCGGTGTTGCCTACAAGAGGATGAAGGATCTTGGCCAGGTGTCTTGCTGTGTTGTAAGTCGGACCTCACATGGAGGCCACGATGGGGTGTAGAGGGACATCTAGCCTGTGGATCTTGGGATATCCAAAGAACTTGGGGGTATTTGGAGCTGGAGCGATGGAGTTGCCATAGTACAAGGACTGAGAGATGTTGCTGGAGCACTGGAGGGAGAGGAGCTTGCTTTGGATTCTCTTCTCAATAGACGGTGTGCGGGTCTTTGCGAAGTGGTCGGAAGGTGTCTGAGTTGAGGATGTCCTCCACCTTGCGGTCGTACACGGCCTTGTCCATGAAAACAGTTCCCCATGTCAGCTAGCTTACAGGATGTGGATGGAATGGTCTTGACGAAGTGATTTGATGGTTGACCGGTCTTGTTCGGATTACATACCGGATTACATCCAAGAACGTTGTGTTTACAAAAAAATATGTCCATATTATAATAATACCTTCAAAAGCATTGCCAAATTAAAAAAAAGGCCTTTTCTCAATTTGTTTGGTTCAAACTTTCAGTGAATGTGTGCCACAATAACATTGATCAGTGGCAACCGTGATTTTTTAATTTTTTTTTTAATTTTTTTTTTTTTACAGTGAATTCATTTTCTGTTCTCAAAGTCAGAGTACCATAGTAAACTCTTGGCATAACGTTTGTCCAAAGCTGCTACAACAATCTGTAACTGTGGCCTGTAAAGTTTGTCAACATAATTTTAGTCATGCTTCGCAAGCTTGAAAAAAAATAATATAGAAGGGTGTCGGTACATACCTGTTAAAGATGAATCGACCGTGTCCGGATGATTTACACTTGAAAAGTTTACAAATCATCTTTATTTTGCTGGTTGTATGCACACAAATAGCAATGATATGATCCACTGAGCTTGAACTCTATACTGTTATGTTCAGAATTAGTCCAGACCTCAGCATGTTGAGTTATCCGTGTCGGCAGCTGATGCGCGAATTTGTAGAAATATCAATCGTTAATGTCCCAGAGTAAAATAAATAAAAGTCATCATCGCAGATCGACTGAGCGTGTCTGCCTAAGGGCGCAGCAAAGCAAGGTTATAAGTTAATATTTTTGTATGAAACGGTGTAGCGTCACATGGAGTTGTAAACATTCACATACAGATTAGCGTTTTGCAAATTGAAAATTAGGGTGTGTGGTTTTTTTCAACATTGTATTACACAACACACATAATGGCGTCTTTTTTTTTGAAATTTCTTCACTATCCGATTTTAATAATTCGTCTGTGGCTTCTACGTGCATTTCAGTTGGGCTGGCTTCTTGCCATTGGTAACAATGCGATTTGGATTCAGCTCCGACATCTGTTTACATTGACCCCAAAACCAAATCGATCGTAAAGTAATTCGAATGTTGGAAGAGAAATAAAAAAAACACCAGCTGCATAAAAGCAAACAGTCAGACTACCGACGCACCAGACAAGGCGACAGAAGTAGTGTAGCCACTTTGATTGCACGAAAATGTAAATTCAGTTTTTACATTTCGCGGTAACCTCGGAAAATTATACAATGCAGTCTGAATGAATTTAATTACATCGTTTGTTGTCACTAGCCTGGTTGTCGTTCATCGCCAATTCGTGACTTCAGTTCAGATTTTGTTAATAATAGCGGGTCGTAAATGAGATTTAACTTGTTTGTTTGTTTGTTTGTTTATTTCCATTTGTATAACACAAATAGAGTGAGAAATTACAAGAAGTTGATAAATATTAATCAATAAAATGAAATAAGTACAAATGGGGGTTACATCCAGAGGAGGCAAAACCCTTCTGTAACGGAGCACCCAGACTGCTGGTAAGTGCTGTATTGGGTTTGAAATATGATGTTTGTTTAGTGATACATATGCAGTTACATTGACTTAAGCACAGTTATCAAGATTAAATAAAGATGTACATGTTTATGAGAAAAATAAATGAGATATATTTAGTGCCTTGATATTTTAAGACATATATAACAGTTCAAGTTAGTACAGATGAAATCATTGTAGTTAATTACAGAACTCAAGTGCTTCCTAGAAATACTAGTACATTTTTTATTAAGACAAGTAGGAAACTAATTGACAAGGTTTGGAAGAATATTCTGATAATTTGATGACGCAACATCAACTCTAGTTATTCCATAATGAATGAGAATACCTTGTCTTGTAAGAGAGAGAATGAAATTCTCGGTTCAAAGGAAAAATAAATTGGATCACTTACGTTTTCTGGAAGCAAATAAAGAAGATAATCAAAATAATGAATTGCAATTTGCATATTGTAGATATCTTCCAACTTAAGAATTTTATGTGTTACTGAGAGGCCACCGCCACCGTATAGCGGTCATGACACAAATCCTGTGGCTTTTGGTGTCATTTTTATTGTCATCTCAATACATTTTTCTTGAGACATCTGGGATGCCTCTTTACACCTGCAGAGGATGACCCGTAGTGTTTGGTATGCGATAATCAAATAGAGTACTTGTTTCCAGGCGTATTAAATGCAGTCCTTGTATAGACAATTTCGGTTTGAAGTTTAACATTTAGAAAGATGACTATGATGGTTATTTCGTATAGAGGTTCGATTCTTATCACACACAAGGAAACGAGCAACTCGAGAACAAACACCTTATGCTCGGAGACATCCGAATTTAGGATTGTATAAAGTGATGTCTGTGCAGCTACACAAAAGAATGCATCATTTTGCAGGAGCCAATCCAGATGTGGGTGGTCCGGAAAATTTGGTTTGGAGAGTTTGTGGAGAGGCTGGTCTGAGGAGTAGGGCCTGTAGATTAGTTGAGTGAAAACCGGGGTGAGGGGGTGGGGGTGGCGGTCACGGGTGCATACCTATGTTCCCCAATACCGATGTTCCCCGAAATCCCTACCCTATAACCCTAACCCTAGCCCCAACCCTAACCCTAACCCTAATCCTAAGGATTTCGGGGAACATCGGTATTGGGGAACATCGGGGTAGACCCCGGTCGTCACACCCACTTAGTCCTCTTTGATCCGCCATTTTTTCAACCTCTGAACTGAAGCGAATGTCTGTCCGCGTCTAATGATGCACGCCGTTCCACGTGTCATGTGAAATTATTGTGGATTTCCGGCAGAGATCTTTTATATACATGTAATATCACATACGCAATACGATCGATAAGGCCACGTGTCGTAAAATCCATATTGCTTGCCACACCTGCACTGAGGCCAAATTATATTCTGACTGCATCAAAAAAAAAAAAAAATCTGAATCTCAGGTTTAGTTTGTTTGTGGAACTGATTTAGTGGCACAGTTGGGGGGGGGGGGGGTATGACCATAGGGTAACATCCTTAAATTGCCCGGCCTTAGAAATTCGAAGGGGGGGGGGGGGGGGGGGGGCTGCACACCACGTGACACTAGGGGGCTGCTGTTAATTATACATATAGTTGTAATACAAACTAGCGCGCACGTCACATACACTTGAGCAGTGCACAGCGGCGTATCCAGCTTTTGATGTTGGGGCGGGGGAGGGGAGGGCAAAATCAAATGTCTTAGTCAGGGGCTTATTCAGCTTTTGATGGGGGGGGGGGGGCAAAATCGAAAACCTTTGTGTCCCGACATTCTTGTGGTTTTTCTTGTATTTCGTTCATGTCAGACCTATCAATACCATTTATGGAAATAGTTACTAATATATATATATAAATTCTTTTAAAAATAATCTGCCGGGGGGGGGGGGGGTTCTCCGGGGTGAGAATTTCTCGAAAAGTCATCAACCCACCAAAATCTGAAAAGAAAATGAAAGACGACATGTTGATCATCATTTTTCCGTGCAGCCTGAACACCTGTGACAGTTTTGAATATTATTAAAAGAATTGTAAAGAATGGGCATTTATCACTGTTGTCTATATGAATTTGTTTGATTGGGCGCACCCATGTACGCCTGAGCAGCGCCATCTAGTGTTCCTGCACGGAGTTCAATAAGGTTGGCACAACGTCTCAACTAATATCATTTCTCTACCCTTGTTCCAAGCGCTAATCTTCTTAAGATAGTCACAACTTCAGTCAGGGTTCGCAAAGAAAAAGTCTTGCAATTCCAGAACGGGGGGGGGGGGGGGGGGGGTGGACCCCATGATCTGAGAATTGCAAGACTTTTTTTTGAAAAAGTCTTGCAAAAGAGTCTTGGGTTTACGCCCTATTCCCCCCCGACAGATCTGTAATCATCCCCTGTCCATGGCAGCTGATCGGTATTTATTTACAGCATCAGAAAAAAGTTATCTCCTAATTACCTCATTGGAAAACGTTACCTCCCATTTTCCTGGTAGTAACATGATCATACCAGCTATGCGATTGGAATCGATGGTAATTTGTCGATAAACCTTCCGAAAAAAAGAGATAAGGCTTATAAAAGTATTTTATTGTTAAAAAATGCTTAGTTGAATTGGGATCATTTTTGCATTATGTAAAACCGTGGAACATGCTTGGGAAAACATCTTTAACCGTACGAACTGTTACCATCTTATTAATAGGACTTCGATTCATGATGGAATTTTGTTTAAATAGAGCGCCCTCTTTGGGTTGTTAGTTAAGATCTAAATTCACGTTGGTGGCGCTGTTTGATCTATCACAGCCTCCGGAGTTTTGTCCCGTGTCATAAGGTTGCAGACCAGTAAATCGGTCCGAAATTGCCTACGCCGGCCAAATCACGATTTGCATGCCCTCTAAATCTTCAGTATTTGAGCATGCTGTGGGCCATGAACTTGAGGGTTTGTAAAAAATATGGGTGGAAGCCGTGCACAGGACTGTGAGCTTGTAGTTCCGTTCAATTTGGATGAAATTGGGGCCCTTAAAGCGTTCTATTTCGCAATGGAGTGTAGGCATCCTTTTTCAAAATGGCGATGGGCTTCAGGACTATTTTCAGGGTTGATCATCTTCGGATGGAAATTTCTCCTAAAAGTCATCAGTTGACCCCCCCAAAAATTGAAAAGAAAATAAAAGATGGTGAAATGAGCTTTAATTTTGATGTGTGTCTCGAACACCTTGGAGAGTTGTGAGTATTTTTCCCAAATTTCTGAAGTGGGAGCATTTACCATTGGGGTATATGGAAGTTTATTTACTGGTCTGCTACCATAAGGACCCACTATTGACCTCTGTATACTGACTGGATAGCATATAGTGTCGAAGTTATATGTTATTGAAGGCATATTGGGGAAACCTCGTCGCATAGCCGAAGCCAGCGGGGGGGGGGGGGGGGGGGGGGGGTTACACATGTGTTACAACTGATAAAGAAGTAACTAACTGATAACGTATCACTAACCGATAATGTGACAAAAAATGACCGATAGTGTAGTAAATGTTGCTACACTATCGGTCAATATTTGCTACATTACCGGTTAAGACTGATAATGTAACAACAATCGACTGAAAGTGTACTACATTGTACTACACTATCGGTCAATTTTGTGTTACATTATCGGTTAGTGCTACAGTATCGATCAATTTGTGTGACATTATCGGTTGGTGATACATTATCAGTTGGTTACTACATTATCAGTTGTAACACACGTGCCTTTAAAAAAAAAGTCGTGCCCTTTTTTATGCCATCGGCCGTTACGGGAGCCTTTTTTAATTTCGCGCTTGTATCGCCTTGAAAAGCACCATTGTCTGAAGTGTGCATAATCGTCAGTTTTGAACAGCGCCCCCATCGACGGATGGTACTACAAGTACGAGTACAAGAACGAGTACGAGTACTTTATGGAGAACTCAAGTAAATCAATAACAATCTCAAGTAATGAGATCCCGCACAGACGCCTTCGCACATTGTACATTAAGACGAAGCATATTGTCCGTGTACGACAAACACAAAGGAAATCGATCCTCTCCACAGCCCGGTACTATTCAGTAAGTATCGATCAAACAGAGCAGGTGCGTCTCCAAGTGAGGAGATTTTGTTTTTAAAATTCAAAACAGACTTGCTCGATTTCCCCCCAAGTCCTTAATCGAGTACAAGTAATTTGATGATGGAGTACATTTTCATATAATCGAGTACAAGTACTTTGCTTCTCGAGATTACGAATACCGTGAATTCGAGTTCGAGTATTTTTGACATTCGAGAAGGAGTACGAGTATTCTGAAAAATTACTCGAGTCACAGTACTTGATTACGATACCGAGTATGAATACTACAGCACTGGTATGCGGATCACTGGTACCCACGTTGGGTGCATGGGCTTCATGAATGTGACGCAATCGCACCAAGAGTGACGTCATGAGTGTTGGGATTGCTCGTGTCGTCACAGCATGGAACCGTCTCAAAATCAGCTGCTAAGATGTTCAGGAAGTAATACATCTTGGACACCTATCTTCATCACCATGGCAGCAGTGTGGCATGGTCAACAATTCTTCCGAAAATCGAGTTGTGCTCTCCTGCCAAAGTAGTCATGGTTCTTCACTATCACCCAAACGGTTCAGGAATATCTTATTTTCATGATTTATCCATTCAATAATTTACTGAGCAACAATGCTAGAGTATACTTGAGCCTCTCACTAAAAAAAAAAATGGAGTTGCCAGCTCTCTTTTATACTTTTAGGTTTAATGATTCATTATCATAAAGCCTCGAAGTCAAAATTGTCTTATTATGAACATTAAAGAATAAGTATGAAGCCTATAAAGAATTCACCCTATCAGGATCAGTATTTCGCGTTTTTTCAGGACCAGGAGAATATTGTGTCCCAAAGTTTAATTTTCAAATGCTTCAGCTGATTTTCCTAAAATTCGGCATGATGGTTGGCCGGCAATAATTTCCATCATGACGTCACTTAGTTGCGCTGCTGTCCGGTACTTCATTTTTCTTCCCACTTTTGGTCAAAACGATTTTTTTGGCATTATTTCTACACTATTCAAAGGATTTAAATTTTCCACAAGCATTCATAGGGTCAAAAAGGATTCTCCGATCAATTAACCTTTCGGCATCCAAAGTCGCTGCTAGAGGGCTCTTTACCTACCTTTTGGTGGCAAGATCATCAATTTTTGAGATTTTGTCGCAAAATGTAATTTCTTTCAACCAATATCGGCAAAACTGTATGGTAAAAATGGTAATGTTCTAAATCCGTATTGATGCAAGAACTGTCAAAATAAATGTCTAAAAGTGAAAATACCCTCGATAAAGGTAAGGATGAGTAAAAACAAGCTTAGTGCCGATCGGCCGAAGCGTTCTAGCGCTTGACTGCCCATCTTCAGTCCTGATAGGGTTCAAACGTTGAAAAACGTAACAAATGTAAATTGGCAAACAAAATATCTACATGTTGAAAAGTAAGTAAATAATCAAAATTATTTTATCTAATTATTTAACACACCAATGAGTAACTGTTGTTAGCTTTGGATATTGTGCAGAAAGTAAAATCTATCAAAAACCTGCACCGTCACGCTCTCTTTCAGTTTGGACTTCCTTATAGGGGAGTCTCTGTTTTTTTCTTAGAATTTTCACAGGGACATGGAGGTCTTCTATATCTTCGATGTTTGCATCGCAGACTGCAGGCATTTAGGAGCCTGATTTAACTGCTGATTAGGCCATAAAATAAGATGGAATTGGCCGTGCAGTTTCGTGGGTTGTTTTGATTGATGGCTGCGGTTGATTGTTTTATCTGATAAAAGTTGGTTCTATAGTGTTAAAGTTGGTTTTATTAGATGTCTAAAGCAAAATCAACAGTCACAGAATTTTAAATGTAAGACTTGCGACAGGTGAATCCACCCACGGGTTTATCCAATACTTACGATTATCGCTGCACTCTGAAAATACCCGGGCCAGATTGACCCGGAATCTGGGTTGTATGTGAATCAATCCTTTCCGGGTAAAAAAATGACACCTTGTTTTGGTCAAAATGACACTTTCCGGGTCGAGATTACACGGAAGAGTGCCATTTTGAACCCCACAAATGTAATATTTGACCCGGAAAATTGTAGTGTTTGACCTGACAAAGGGTCGAGTCAAATAGAACAAGGATTGCGGGTCAATCTGACCCGGATGTTTGCAGAATGTGGGTGAGCGCTACTGCAGGTCTAAATGCATCCGACAAGTTTGGTTTACAAATTCTGATGGAACATCACACTCATTTTATTTGGACAAGACAGATCATGACTTGTCCGTGTGAACCGACCAACTGCCACTGTCGGGGTCAAGGGTCACAGTTTTAGAAGCTGACTATCCCCTGGTATACATATTGATGATACCAAGATCGTGTAGTTTTTTCCAAAGCCTGTTCTCTGCCGCATTGTCGTGGTTTGCATAGTTGACATGTTTGTTATAGGACTTGTCGTAATAGTGCTCCGAAAACTTGGTGTAACTTCCACCGAAACCATACACATTGACCTGTAAGGACATTTAATATAACAACACTTAAGTTTATATCACCTGCTGATTCGTTAAACGTCTTGATTTTAATTCTCAATTGTTAAACTGCAATAGTATCCCTAAATTCGAAGCAAATACAAATGCACAAGTTTACCCGAAACAGATATAACTTGGAAAGCGAAAGTCAGATTATGCATGATGGTCAGCCTAATTAAAATTAGTCAACACAGGCCACAACCTGTAGGCTATTCATACGCAGTTTCCTCACAGGATGGTAAAGACATACATTTTTTTCATTTATCAAATCAAAATTTGTTGAAGAATGAATATTGCTAAAGAAACATGGACTCATACGCTGACAAACTTAAAAAAAAAAAACACCAACAACTAACCTCATCACACGTATGTAACGCCAGTAGAAGCATGATACCACCGGTTGTTGGTCGATGAATTTGGTTCCGTTGATAGGTCGAATTTACCCAGCTGTGTTGCGAAGAAGGAAAAAGAATAAGAATAGCAATAATTTTGCAGCGATTCCTAAATACTTAGCGGCGATATTTTGGTACAGTTGCGTAAAAAAAAACACTTTGTCTTCATCATATCATAATGGGATATATTGCAAAGTGAACAGATCAATTTGTCTATACCATTCTTTAAATGGGACTAATTATGTCCAGTTCCTTAAAAGGTGCTTTAAAAAAAGAACACCAATGCAGCGGTGAACAACATCTGGAGTTGAATACGAACCTCCATTTAAGATATCTCTCAAAGTCCGGATGGACCAACTTGATATCGTTGGCTTGCAGTTTTTTGGGAAATCGAACTGGATATCTGCAAAATACATGAATGAACAAGCAGTTAGATTCGACCACAAAAATAAAAAAAATAAATTATATAAGAACCGATGTATTATCATTATAGAATTGATATTATATATTATTGTTCATTAACAGAAATGGAAACATTGAGTTAAGGTGTTTTTAAACATGTTTGTTAATGTTTTGTTTATTAGGATGTCCGTTGGTTCAGTATTGTTCATTCACATTTTTTTGTATTTACAAACAAGACTCTGAATAAATTACTGTGTATATGTACCTGTTTCCTAAAACAGTTCCTTTGCCTCCGTGTAACACTGATGCAAGATACGTGTAAGCCCAGTAGCCGTCAGCGAAAAATACATACCGAATTCCCTGTGGATACCACAAAATGACATCAACTTTTAATGGCTTGAGCCATTCTGAACATCAAAGAAAAATCGATGTACATAAAAGTACATAATTACGTGATAGGCCCTAACCCAATCAACGTAACAGCAACAATTGGAGGTGTTGATTGGAAAAAAATATTACGACTTTGGCAAGTATTCATAATGTAGGGAGCTGAGATTTGAGATTTGAAATTATTACATGGATGATCCCTCATCATAATCAATCTTGAGTTAGTTCTCCATTTTTTCTGTGTATAAAGACACTTCACCTCTATGTAGACCGTTGCTCAGCCGTTGGTGGCATCTCCCGAGGTACAGTCTGAACTTTTACGGTGAGTCTGAAGGGCGCCACCGCAGGGCGGAGGCGGGTCATGCTAATCTCCCGCCTCCGTCATCGGTCGGTGCTCTTCGACCGCCACTTCACAGAATAAAATACTCAGTCAAGTCGAACCCAAGAGTGTCGAGGGCCAGTTATCCTTTTGTGAATACAATTCCCATGCCATTTGGGAGCTGTGACCTCTGAACCCCCCCCCCCCCCACCACAATAAGGTAGATTTTTTGCGGAATTCCATCTTATAATAGTTGATGCGGTACCTGCTGCTATGTACATCAGATTCCAACCAGCTATCTGATCCTGTTAGCTCGGTGGTCGAGTGGTAAGACGTCTGCACTAGAAAGCAGGAGGTCGTGGGTTCGAGTCCCACCCGAGTGATTGTTTTCCAACTTTCACTTGGGAGGTAACACACTGAGTATACAGTGTTTACACGTCGGTGAAGGGCAAAACCTAATTTGACTTTGGAAAGGGAACCGCAATTTCCGTGGGTTGGGGTAATTTCGAGTATTATCTACTTTAGGGTATCGACAGTGAAATAAAGTAAATGGTGTATAAGATATACTGTTTGATTATTAAAGTTGGTCCCTATACGAGCTTTTCCAAATTTTGATTTTCTTTTCCGAACGAAATGTAAAGAAATATAATGTCCTGGAACAAATTAATTTGCTTGTTTTTTTTGCAGGCCTTTATACAGTTTTAGAAAATGGTTTTAAATAGCGCGCTCCAGTTCAGAAATAGCGCACACTACATTCAGAACGAATTAGAAGCGTCCCGCTCTTAATTCAAAAGTTGAAAATAATTAATTGATAACTTGTCATGGGCCGATTTTTTGGAAAGCTCATAACTAAGGTAATGCTGGAAAATTATCAATTCAACTTGAAAATCTATTTTTCAAGGTGCCCCACCCAAAAAGCACATATACACCAATTGTTATTAAATGCTATTTTGAGTTCATACAAAAAGTGTCCTCTTACCTCATCATTAGGAAGTTGTTTAAATTTCGTTTTCCATCCACCTGCTAGTGTGTTTGACAGTGTTATCATGCCAAAACAATAGAAAGAGGTTCTGCTCCCCACATCTTCCTCATAGCCCTCGGTTAAGGCCGTGTTTACTCTGCGAATCGAATCGGTGTTAAATGTTGAAATAATTGTCAGTTTCACTTTTTTTCTGCCACAGTTATCCTATCGATGTCAAGCAGTGGTTGACAAAATAATATACTTAACGGTACGTGTGGTCTATAGCGGTAGAGAACAGGATTCATGATCGTGAGATTGTGGGTTTGAGCCCCGCCGTGTCCTTGCGTGTTGTGCCCTTGAGTAAGGCGCTTTACCTTAATTACTCCTTTCAACCCAGGTGTTAAATGGGTTCCGGCATTATTCAATGCTGGGAGGGTAACAGACCTGCTGTGGAGGAGGTGTGGCGAATGGCAATCTCCCACAGCAGCATTTCATGGACTCGAGTCTGGCCCAATCGCTTCGAAAGAGAGATTGACCCTCCCTTCCCTCCTTTCCGTCCCTTTTACTTTTTTTTTACGGCATACCAGGTCATATCCCTGTGTGTGTCGGGTTTCATGGGTTTATCAGTTATAATCACGCTCGTCTGATCTAAGGAAAAGTAGTAGGCAAATTGTGATACTTCTGATCCCTATGCTCTTTGCTTAGCAATATAAAATAATTCACTTTTGAATGAGACATAAAAAAAACCGACGTTCAGTTGTTGAATTATTTCTTCTCAAACTGTTTGCCAGTTAAAAAGTCGGCTGCCGCACGGCGGGTTATTTGTGCACAAAATGAAAACCCTTTTTTTCAGAGGGTTGCAGACGCCCAAAATCGGAATTAAATATTTGTTTTTGTTTAAACAAAACATACAAATTGAACATTCATTATTTGAAGAGCACGTGAAAACAACAGATACAAGTAGAGGTTGTACAAGTAGAGTTGTGTAATCATAAACATAAATTGCTGCATAGCGTAGTTGTTGTCGCCGAAGTTGTTGAATCGAACTTACCTAAATACATAGTCATTAGCATCGATCTCTTTGCCTTTCTTGGAGCCGTTGAGGATACCTCCATTGCCGATCACAGCACATGTGATACATTTATCGTCTTCGGGAATCTTACCGTTGACAAGACGGTTATCAAACAGATATCGGTTGTGAGGCGAATCAAGCTTTGTCAGCGAAGACGCTATATCTGATGGTAAGAAAGAGCGGATGAGATTAATCATGTTCTTCCTTTTTGCTGACCACAACTTCACTTTGCAAACGATTTTTTGGGTCGATTAGCTGATTGATTTGTTCTGGGAAGGTGATATTCACGTTGTCATTATCTTTCTACTACCTCAAAAAGCCACGTAGGCCGAGCAGCATTAAAAAAAATGTCAGGAATGTTCAATAGACTATAAGTCTCACGAGTCCACGTCCACTTTTTATGTGAACGTCTTGGTACCAAACACTGACTAGTTTGGTCACAGACTCCCATGTTTGAATTTGCCCATTTGTTATCTGCGTGTCGGATTGAACGGAAGTTGAGGTCAACATTGTTAATTTTATAATAGTAGGCCATATCAATTTACATAGCTTGAATATGTTGTAAATTGAAATGCTTTCTTTTCTTTTTAATGTACCCATTTATTGCTGTTGATTTGATGAGCCCAGTCAGGACACAATATGAATTCAATCAAATAGGACAATTCACACGTTGCAGATCATACCCGGTGGCGCTGTATTCTCGTAAAATCTCCCAGATTTCTGAGGTCACCTGACACTCTTGATATTACCTGTTTCATTGGAATCTTGCCATCCGAAAATGCCATGGAATTTTGCAAGTCGGAGGTATTCCTCGTGAGTGTAATGCTCATCCCAAGCCAAAATTGGAGTGTCTAAGACGAACTTGTTACGAGTGAGTGGAGTCGTCAACATCTTGTTTCGGACCGAAGTCGGGCATTTCTGAAAGTAATAAGCATTTTGTTTTTAAGGGTAGATTAACTGTTTGAATCATAGAACGATATGATTTTCTTTTCTCGACACACTCGCTCATAGTATTTATTTTTTTTAAAAATATTTATTAGTATTTTCCATATTGTGAAGTTTGTCGATTTATCCTTGAGCTAACGAACACCATGGACGAAATTCATTGTTACCATTGATATGATTCAGCCACTACAATCGATATCAAATATAACAGATTCAGGTCTACCCTTTTCTGCGTTGGTCGAAATGTAAACATCTGGCATGAATGGTTTGTTGTTAAATGACGATCACACGTGCAGCATTGGTTTGAGTGATCATAGTCTTAATAGCTGTTTCGATTAGAAAATTGTCCGCTCGGGAAATTGTCAGGTTAGCACCAATCATGATCGACACTTGGTCAGTTGTCGCTAAATTGCTGATTAGTGATTGATTGTGTTGATTAGATGCTGGTTGTCGAGTAATCTGTATCATGCTTACCAGATAATTAAGAGATTGACTATCCTGTTGACTTTCTCGTTCGTGTCGTTTCCAGTGTACAGTTCTTGATTTTGCGCGATTAATGACATCCATCAAGGCGTCTCTTATGACATGGTCTGATTGTTTCTTTTGTAAGAAACTTTCAACTTTTGTTAAAAACTGCTGCTCATTTAGACCTAGACCTGCGGATGAAGCAGTTGTCTTGGGTTCACTGTCCCGTCGTTTGGATGTAACTTGTCCAGTTTTCCGGGTCGAATTATCTTGGGCAGCTTTATGTGAAGGTTTGACAATGTTCTCCTTGTTCTGTGAGCTTCGATTTTGGGATAGTGATGGTGATAATATTTTACTTGTTGCAACAATGCTGGAATTTGACTTGGCTCCGTGTGCTGACTTTGCAAGGGTTGTACCATTCGCAGCTTTTATTGTCGATTCATTTGCCTTTGTAAGAAAAGCTTTAGCTTTTTGAATCACTGGCGTCGGCTTTTCTGTTGTAACTGTTACAATATCCGAACCATTGTTTTCACTCGAGACTTTTGCCTGTACTGGCTTGATTGTTGTGGTTTTCCCGTCCACGACTCTTTGAAATTGCTGGACGTTCATCCTGTCAAATAAAAAAAAATAGTCAATAATTATGAACGTGTGATTTTCACATGCTAAACACGCCCTACTTTTCTTTGAGCACATGTAGGTATCAAGGAATCAATGCCTATGTAAAAGCATTTTTATTAATTTTGTTTTTAAATTAAATCATTAAACCTAACGATTTGCATACATTTTTAGGAACACTGAGTAATATACACAAGTCCATGAATAAATTCAATGGCGTTCTGTCCCAAAATCCCTTAGGCTTTGTGAACGTATTTTTTTTATCAGTGCCACTTTTGCATTCGTCTTTGTCATATATCATTCAAAGTTAGCATAGACATAGCAAAGTTGACGAGTGATGTCATTATGACGTCACCATGGGTCATGTGACATCGTCTTTAAGGTGCATATTTGAAGATCCTATCTAGAGAACTGTGGGTTTGATCAGGTTTCAAAGTTGATGTGTAGGTAGACCGGGATGTGTTACAGATAAAAATTGAAATTAAGTCATCATGACGACATCATGTGATTATAATAGATTTTTGAAGTTTTTGAAGATTATCTTCATATCTCTTGAACACAACATGCTAATTTCACAACTTTGGATGTGATGGGTTTCTTAAGTCGTATAGATGTATGCACAAAACAGTGACAAATGTGTGACGTCATGATGACGCCATCGAAAATGCATTAATTTGGAGAGTGATTTTTGATATGTGGCATCATTTATTTCCAAACAAAATGGAATCTGACTGAGAAATATCGAACTTTATTACTTAGGGTGGTAATTGAAAATGGCATGGAAACCTATAAGAGTAGAAAATGTTTCACATGTAATTTATTATTTGTTAAAAAACAGTTGTCTTTTTATATATATTATATGTCTAATTATATCCCAAACACGAATCAGTACAAGTCCCAGCATGATTACAATAAATTGTGCGAAATATTCCTTTAACCAGAGGTGATTATTCACATGCATTCTATTGTCCAAAACAATAATAATATTATTATAATATATTATAATTTATTAAACTCTTCATTATGCGGCCTTAGAATAACGTCAGATTCCTTTTGTCTGCACACGTCTGTTGTGCATTAGAGGGCTTATACATTATTTCATACTGGAGCCATGAAAAGATATCCCATAATTTAAATTTATTGGTCCCCTCCCCCGCTTGCAAAAATGTTGAGCAGACGCTGCGTCCAAATATTTTATGGAAAAAAAACGTAAAACATATTTCCCAAACCAAAATTTCCTTCAAATGTCAACATTTTTTGAAGATCAGATTTTTTTTGGTTAGAAATAGACAAGATAGAACTGAGGATTCTAGTATGCCCACACAAAGACAAAAAGAACTAACCTTATTTTTGAGAGACTTAGGTAGAAAATTGATAACAATAAATTGTTTAATTTTCAGCAAATGCAGCATATCCTTATCATCTGTAAACAAATTTTGTATAGCATTTTTGGTTTGCAGGACATAATAAATGTCTGCTCTGAGCTAACAAAAGAATGGCTCGTAGCTATAACTGTGTGATATAATTATTATTTCGTAAAGAACTTTATTATGCGCATGCTAAAGCAAAAAAACAATTAGGATTTATTTTTAGATAACGAGCAACTGTTGCATAAATTCCAAGGACGTTACAGGCTCCGCCATACTCCATATTGACGTCTACTGATACTGTTTCTCTTTTAAGTAGCCATATGCTGTATATAAAGCACCAGAATTTTGTTAGTAAATTCCGACGCAGACAAACCATCACTTTCTTGGAAAAAATGGATGAAATGTCTTACCTTTGAGGGGTCATTCGGATTGACGTATTCACTGTGTCAAATTTATAAACCATTTTAGGGTCAAGAACACGAACGATGTCAGAAGGCAGAGTGCGAATGCCACGCGAAGTGTTCTGCAATAACGAAAACAAAGCCGATAATAAACATTGAATATATAATTGTATGTCGATCTAATTCCAATTTAAAATTGAGAAACAATGCATTTAAAAAAAAAATTTTTTTGTACTGGCCAATACGTCCCAGGTGAGAATCAAGACCCAGGGAGATTTGACCTGGAATGCGCATCAAATTTGACCTGATACTTTTGGGTCAAAATGACGCTTTTTTCCATCAAAATGTCCCCCCCCCCGAAAAAAAAAAAAAAAATCCGGAAAATCCTAATTTCGACCCGAAAAGTGTTATTTTGATCCGAAAAAGTGTCATTTTGATCCGGAAAGTGTCATTTTGATCCGGAAAAGTATCGGGTCAAGATTAACATTACCCGGATTAAGGGGAAAATCTTACCGGGGACTTTTTAGAAATACTGTACTGAAATCGAACATGTCAGTTTAGATACTCAAAACAATTTACGTCTGGAAAAATGCTACGTTATTAGGGAATCTTCACAAAAAAAATAGTGTTGTGTCTTCGAACTTCTCAGTTGTTATACATATTGATATGTTGTGGTCAGGGCAACATTTAATATATAGGCCTATTCCAAATAAAGCATGTTTTATTTTGGCCAATATAATACCAATTTGGCGACAAAAAGTGTATACTTACGCCAGATGACCCATGATGAGAATGGACGATGTGCGTCGGTCGAGAGGTGTAACAGCCGATATCACATCTCCATCATGACAGGTCTGTGCGTTGCGGTTGATGCGACAAAGTTCGCATTCTCTCATTCTGTTAAATCATTTTATAATTCACTGTAGATACAGTGTCGTGTCTACATGCGATTCATCCATGGCTCTTAATTGTTTAAATGCCGGCATTCGGGCTTTGAAATGAGATTATAAATACTCAAAAACGTGTGAAATGACCTTCAGAGCACAACTAACGTACACATGATTATTGTAATCGATATTTAAAACGGTTCCAACATCTGCTGGTATCGCGATCGACATCAGCATGATAAATGAATAGATGAGAGGATAGGTCGATAGGATGAATATTTTTTTATGACTATGAAAATTCAATTGCCATGAAGGACATTATAACTTTGTAAACGTGTGAACATTGGTTGAAAACAATATTATTTAGTTGTTTAAATCAAATTAAAAGGAATACGAAAGTATGTGACGTGAAGCGTGCGAAATCGTGACAGATTTACCAGTGGCAAGTAAGGGCGGATCGGGGGGGGGGGGGGGGTTGGCAACGGGGGCAATGCCTCTAAAGGCCCCCAAGCCCCCCCCCCAAAAAAAATGCAAAAAAAAGCAGGCACTGCGTAGGCCTACACCACCATCTTTTCCTTAAAAAAATGTGGTGAAAGGGAAGATACAACATTTGCAAACATCAAACAACGAAATGATCAAATATGACAAAATATTTTACTGGTTTGATAGGGAATGACAGTCCAAAACATCCTGTAAACTTGTGGCTCCTGGTGTGCTTACATTTTCAAGAAATCTTGTAATTTTTCCCAACGCTGGTCGGCCGACCAGCGTTGGAGAAAACTTTTTTTTTTTCAAAACTGCTTCTAATATTTCATATTAAGTTATTCCGAATTTTCTTTGCAATTGATTACACACCCATGAAGGGGTACAAGCCTGCTAGACTGATTCTCTGACCTTACAACTCCCCAAAGTCTAAAAATTGTTCTGTTTCATTTCAAATGGGGTCAGGTAACCAAACTATAAGAACATGGTTGGTTTTCTTGGTTTATCCAGCATCTCCGAACCCAAAACGTGAAGCAAGTCAGTTAAAAAATATATCCTATAAAATACTAATCCTCCAAATCCATTCATTTCTGAAAATTGCAGCAAAAGCAAATGCTGCACATTCCCTTTAAAGTGGTCGGAAATTGCCTCAGATCGCACCACAGAGCAGCATTCTTGCACAAGCCGCGTACCACGCGCCGTAATTTTTGGACCCACTTTAATTTAAGGGGACACAAATTTGTTTCATCCACCCCAAACAGTTGTGCTCTGGATCCGCCCTTGAACAGTGGCAGTAGCAAATTGCTAGCATGTCATCAAGACAATCATCGGAGGGTATTAGGACATCACAAAACAGTTGCAAACAACCACAGAGCTTGACAGTCTCCCAGATCAATGTGACAAATGCGACTTCGTCTCAGACAGTCACAGACAATCGCGAATTGAAAAATTGACGGCCAGTCGTTACAAGTGAAAAGATTTCATTCACGAGTCAGCCATATTCAATTGATAGTGACGTAAACTCTTCATTTTTGGAACTTGAAAGGAATGTGATTAATACCTATTCTTGTAAGATCATAGAACATTTTAATAAGTGTTACTTCGTGAACACGAAAATGACCGATTCAGCGCACAGTGTACATGTAAATGAAAATCACTCGGTTCTGTAAAATACGCGCGCGTAGTGCGCACTCAAGTCTACTTGGGTGTTACTTCGTGGTGTCGGTGACGATATGGAGGTGTCTGCATGAAGTCAAGGGTAAAAGGTAGTAATTGGTGGTTTTCGGGGGGTTTTCCCCTCATCCCCCCCCCCCTTCAAAAAAAATTAGGGAAGGGGCTGTCAGAAAAGGGTAGGTAGGCTAACTGGAAGCAGAACAATTTTTTTGCCCAATCATAAAATTGTCTGGCACCATCCCAATCAACAGTTTACAACTTATAAAATAGAGTCAGGGAACATACATGATTAAAAATGGCCTCCTCGAGAATAAGGTCTATAGAGCAATGTGTCGTAATTGTCGCGTGGTCTCAGAAATTCCGAATTACAAGTTGACCCATGATCCTTAAAATTTGCGATTTGCCTTGCACTTTAAAGGTAATTAGACACCATTTGCAAGCAGTTAAAAATGAAAACTGTCATAATATCGCGATATATCCTTTTTGAATGTAAGCAAATAATAGGATTGTGCATCCTGCGAAATCATTGCTGTTACTTTGTTGTCATTTTCGAGAAAAAGGGAGTTACCATCATTTCCAAGCGATGGCTAGGGCCAAACCATTCGGCCTTTAACGAAAACATAATTATGCTTTGTGTCGTGAAAAATGAAGATTCATGCATATTCACAGTTTTCTCAAAAATAATTATCTACTTGTTAGATTTGTCATAGCCTGCTTCAGACGCATTATTGCTCCTTAAATCATCAAAAACACATATTTTTTCTCGAATTGTGTCCATTAGTTTAATGTCCTCAAAAGTATAAATTTCTTTCTTTCTAGTCCTTTGAAGGATGCTCAGTGAAAAAAAACTTCAGTCCATACCAGTACAATATAGACATCCGATTCTGCAGTTTGAGCTTCGGCTGCATCTGTTATATCTATTCGTTAACATACCCTCATTTAATATTCATGGAAATTTATCAAGTACCCTCAAGTTGAAGAGCCTGCTCGAACAAACGTGATATGGTGGCGAGCCAGGCATTGAAACAACAATATTTGTTTATTTGCTTCATGGATTTTGGGCTAGCTATACACACAACTGTGAAACGCTAACACGCTTTTTATATTGCAGATTTTAGTTTTTGTAATTCAATAAGGGAATAAATGTGTGTTTGGGAGGTATTATAACACTCTGTTTAAGACCGGTGGGAGTCTGGATGGGTGATAATTACCCGAGGCGAAGTTCTATTTTAATACATAACAAATACCACAAAATTCAGCTGTCCAGCACTGAACATTTATCGATCGGCATTGATGGATACCCTTAAATTTACAATGAACAAAAAGTTACAAAGGAGAACAGACAAAAAAGGGGGTTAGGGGTCAAACCCCCCCCCCCCCACGCTCAGACTCATTTTTTTCATAGAAATACATTGAAAAATAATGTAAACCACCACCCCCCATTATCCATGGTGGTATAGGTTTTTCCGGCCAATTTCCTGAAATGTTCATTCACTTCTGAAAATCGGTCATTCATTTTCGTCTGAATTTGAATGCACGTCTTTAATACCATTTCAATTCAATGAAAGTTCAATGTTTTCACTGTCCGTGCATTCGGTTTTGAGAAACAGACGGCCAACTACGTTACCTGTGCATTCATTTACGCAAGCATACCTTTTCTCTAAATTGATTTCAGGTACATCTAATTTGATTAAGGGAATAACAGTGTGAGGAGCCGGTCTTCACTGCGTCATAATGACCGGGTGTGGGGGTGACCGCTGTTAATGGACCTCGACTTCGTCTCGGTCCATTAACAGCGGTCACCCCCACACCCGGTCATTATCACGCAGTGAAGACCGGCTCCTCACACTGTTATTCCCATTAATAAATACCTTTATAACGAAATAAACAGTTAAAATGCTTCAATTTTGTGACTTTTTTCCGGCGATATTTCCAGACTTTTTTTGTGTTCATGTTCATGGGCCATATTTTAGCTTAACAGCTGTCGTTAACGACGTAAACTCAACAGAAACTGCTGCCGTAGCGAAACAAATTACAACAATGTTTTCATATCTTTACCTGATGGAGGAAGCTGAAATCTCGTTTACACATTCCTTGTGTCCGGAATTACAGAGATGCTTGCTTTAGGAAAGGTAAATATGTCGGTGGGTGAAGTGTTTCAAAGAAAATAAATCGTAGATCTACGCTTTCGTCGTAAACATCCTCAGTATATACTGCACAGCTAGCTTTACGATGTCGTTTCAAAACTTCCTTACGCGCGCGCGCGCACGCATCCCTAGCAACTGTGTTGCGTACGCGCGCGTCAGTCTCACGCGATGGGGGTTGAGCGCATGTGCAGTGCTCAATTGTTAAAAGCTACCGCAGGACTGTTACTATATTTTGACCAATCATTGGCTTGCATGGGGCTGAACGGGGCTTGATCAATACTGGTTCAGGGGCCATTTATTCGCTTGATCTTTGAAGCCGGTCCATTATCACCGTTAATGACCGGCCACGTGATCGAGTCTCGACCAATCAGAAACCATCAACTCTCCAAGGTATTTATTAATGACGGTTAATGAAAAAGAAACCCCCAATTGAATGGTGAATGTTTGAAATCGCCCTCCAAAAGCGAAAAAGAAGTCTTTAAGACGAATCTGAATGGACATGAACAGAAGGGTGCTGCTCAATCACTTAATTGATTGAATTGAAATGAAATCAAATGCTGGTAGCGAAAATGAAACGCGTGTTCAGAGCGTGTGAATGACCGATTTTCAGAAGTGCATGAATGAACATTGTAGGAAATTGGCCGGGAAAACCTACATCCGCCTGTTCGCAAAATTTGGTGCGAGTCAGCTGCGTTACGGGTATGTACACTTTTCTATAATAGTGTTGATGATCGTCGGGATTGAACAGCGCCCCCATTGAAAGTATGGTACACGAGTGATTGACGAAATCGTGTTTCGTGATCAAAACGTTGTGCATGGTTCTTCGCTGTTTTCTCGAAAAGTTTTATATCCACTGAGCTGAAACGTCAACAGATTAGGTTTTGAATATTATTCTCTGGACTTTGAGTGGTGCTATTATAGAAAACGAACAAAGCACACGAAAAGCCAATCCTATGTGTTTTTAAGAAGTAGGGCCTACTACGTGTTTAAAACACTGACTCTTACGTTCACAGGTGCGTACTGCCACTCAAAAGTGCCCTCTGTCAACTGGAATTGAAAAATAGGGTTGACAAGTTGTGTTTCCTCTAGCTTGTGTCGGCATAAAATGGACAACGGACCCACAATGTAAACACACATAACGGGTACTCAGTGACTATTATGTTCAGCACGAAGTTAGTTGTGCCGTGCCATTTATTCAGAGCTCCCACGGATTCCAAAATGGTAGCTATTGAAATTCTGAGCCAACATTTTTCGGTGATGATTCTGCTTATGCAGATTGATGTTATAAGAGCACAATGTAGCCTGCTGGGATATGAAGGTAAAAAGTGAAGATTGTTGGGGTGCGTAGTTTGCTAGTCATAATCACTCTTGGAGGACGACTGCATTAAGGAGTGCATCAATGATAAAATCATATAGATATCATGTAACAGGGATATGACAAAAGTGGGCCCAAGTTTAATGAATCACCCGTATAGCTTTGCTAAAACTTATAGGTTTGGACAACCTGACAATCTGTTTTAGAGAAGTTTTGTGTTTTATATTCTACAATTATAAGGCTTTAGGAAATAGATGCGAATACAATTTTAAGCACAAGAAAACCTCCACACATGAATGTCCTTTCCAAAAATCCACCTGTTTGAGATGGTGTGTAACTACAATATGATCGAGGTAAGTGGCTTTCCCAGTGCTTGTCAAATGAAGCCTGATAGAGTCTTTCTGTGGATATACTGCCCAGATGTTTCAGGCAATTTACATTTAATTGGTTCATGTTACAAAGTATCAGTCCACTCTTTCAGTCTTCACCATTGTACAGTTCGGAGACACTGGTTTAAACACATTTTTGAAGCATGAGAAAAATCGCTTGTTATGTAGATCAGCGTTCAGAAAAACAATTTTTTGTTGCCTTCATAACGCAGACAGCAAAGTTTCAGGCAGTGCATATCATTGTACATAAAGAATACTTGTTCTATAATAAGGCAGGCTTTTTTTCCTCTAAGCTTGAAGCACACAATCCTTTTCCCTTTTCCTATTTAGATGATGACGTTATCGGTTCTCATCTTCAACGGTTTCCCAGGCGGACTGGGCGTGGTCCGGCGCTCAATACAAGTGAATGTGATCTTATAACCGACGTCCCGGAAGGAATCCGAAACTCCATGAACTTGGATACCTTCTACCAGAAATACACACATGCGTACGGCGTGCCTGTTATGTCATCCAGTAATCCTTCGGACGCTGCTCTGACGCGAGGCTGCTACACGGTGCGTTTCCTCCTAGCCGATCGCCAGGAGTTAAGAGATGCAATGCATGACGCATACGGTCGAGTTGGTATCATCGGACTATCAGAGAAAACTACAGATATCCCAGAGCATTCTTACCTACCGGACTTCTGGAATGAGCGGGCGAGGGGTTTAGGGGGCACTCCGAGAATTCCTGTTACTACAAACGCGGAGGAAAACCTGTTGTGCCATGGAATGTTTCAAGATCGATGGTATGAAGAGGATGTTCTTGTCCACGAGTTCACACACGCGATTCATCTCATTGCGGTCAATCAGGTTGATCCAACATGGAAAGACAGGCTGGCCAATGCTTACAGAAACGCCAAGGAGAAGGGTCTTTGGCAACACACCTACGCTATTTCTAGATCACTGGAGTACTTTGCAGAAGGAGTTCAGGCTTACTTCAGTGTGCAAACACACCGCACCTTTGTTGACATGGTTCACAACGACATCAGCACTAGGGAGGCGCTTCGAGAATACGACCCGGAGCTGTATGAAGTCATACGGGAAATCTTTCCATGCGAGAATGAAATTGTCAAAAGATGCAACAATCAGAGTAAGTCATAGAGTAATCATTCATCATTCATAACAAATTTGAACCCGTACACACTGAGCCAAGATCTAGGCCTAATACATGCAAGATCAAAATGAGCAGAATTTTGGGGTCGCAATTTGAAAAGAAAAAAACTGAAACTGAGAGTATGTTCCTAAAGTAACATCACCGCAAAAAAACACGTCCTGTTGTCAGGAAAAGTATGATTTTTTTTAAATGTTTAACAAAAGTGCACTTAACAAAAACCCCAGATGTTCCATATTTTTATTTGTTTCAGAGTAATGGGTATTCATACAAAATATATTGCAGTGTAAATTCATGTAATGACCTTTAACCCTAAAAGGGCCGGAGAGCGCAATCTGCCCACCCCCTCAACTTTTTACACGGTAGCCTTTAAACAATTTTGTTTCGCAATCCCAAGCTGTTCTTACTTTTTAGCCTGGAGCCTTGCGCATCTTTTGATACCAAAAACATAAAATTCGGACCACGGGTTGCCACGCAGCGAAAAATGTTCCCGCGCTACGTGCCGTGAAAAATGATTTTCCCATATACGTCGTGTACACAGAGCAGAATTACCATTCGTGCATATGAATAATTAGTTAGCCATCATTCCTAAAACCTTTGACATAGTCATGACATTTTTTGGGTATGTTCATGAATAGTTGTTCTATGCATGACCGAGTTTCTCATTTTTTCGTGGCTCGATGGTAAAGATCTTTTTTGGGGAGGGGGGGGGTGGAATTCGGCCCTATCCCGGCTGAGAGATCGTCGCAATGACCCGGCTCTAAAACAACAGTAAGAAGTCCACAAATTTAATTGGTTACAAATAGCTTCATTTGGAAAGGGAATCTTTTTATCGTGTGCGCAGAAATCATCTGCAAGTAATTTTCTCTCATTTTAATAAACAATTTTACAGCTGAGATCGACTGGCAGCCTATGCTGATGGACTGCAATTACGTTAGGCACACGACAACCCCCGCAATTACCGACTTTAAAATCACGACGTCAACAGAGGGTAGCACGCGGCTCTTCACAACGGTCATTCCCAGTCAAAAAGTCACCACTTCATCTCTTAATGGCGCTACTTCGAGTACAAACGTACCAGAAGTCACAGGTAGGCGTTGAAGGTAGAGTGGTTTGCAGCTATGCAACTGACCGAATTATTGTTAAAATGCTTACTTGGTTTAAAGAGAGTAATGACACAAATTTCCCTGTGAAATTATTCCATCTGGGATGCTGTCATTTTGAAGAAAACAACAAAGGAGGGTCAATTCCAATGATATGTCAAGTGACACATTTTAGACATTTCCGTTTGCAGTTGGTTTGTAATTGGGCGAATCCGTGAATGGGTGGAAGCATTGACTAGGCACGCACGCGCGCAGTTGATATGATTCGTCGGTTCAGTGTAGAACACGTATACATGTACAATCGGCTTAATGAAAATCAGGCATACCACGCCCCACGTAGGCTTAGACCATCAGTCCTCCCTTCTTCAAGTTCATGGATCTTGACGTTCTTGGGGTGACCACAGCTTCGCTCATGCAGGCCCCACTCTCAGGAACAGTCTACCCCTCTCTACCTGTTCGCACTCAAATCTCCTTTTCGGCTTGCACCTTGCAATTTATATGTGTTACGACTTAGCATTTTATACATTTTGAAGTTTGTATAATTACTCAGTGAATAGCGCCATGAGCGTTAATATAAACTGAGATGCCACTATCATCATTATTATAGTTAATCAATACTGATTCGAGATTGCATCACAAGAGGGCGCAAATCAGAATATGACTCGTCATGTTCCAGACCAGTAAATAGCCATAGATCTCATTGGTGATTACAGGCAATTCCAATAATTATTAAAACATTCTCACAACTCTCTAAGGTGTTCATGACAAGCATAAAATTAAAGCTTATTTCATGATATTTCAATGTCTGATAATTTTTTTGGGGGGTGGGCAATAATTTAGCCCTTTTATTGCCTACTGTCATCCAAATTTCGCAGAAATACAAGCTGACATGTACACGACTTCCACGCTTCCTTTTTACCAACCATCAATTTTGAAGTTTATGGCCCACAAAATGAACTGATACCGAAGAATTTGAGGGCATGCAAATCGTGATTTCAGCGGCGTAGGCAATTTTGGGCCTATTTACTGAGTACTGGACTTGACTCTTCAACGTTTGGATTGAAATCCAGAATATTGTTTTTCCCCCAGAAATATACAGCATTCACAGAACTTAAACTTCATTAGAGTAATTGTTAAGCATCATTTGATTTTGAGCACTTTTGTTGCTTCAAACGAAAAAAAATGCACAAATGACAATTGTTCCATTCAACCGTTAACTTGATGAATGCATGAAGCAGCTGCTCGGCCAATTAAAGCCTGGTCGTTCGTCACATCATGAAGGAATTTTTGTTCCTCCATGGTCACATGAGAATACAAAGCTAATTTGGGAAGCGAAGCGGATAGCATTATGGAATTTGCAGTTTCTACTCGACATGATAAGAAAACATTCGGCCAGAACCATTCGGCCTAGCCTAGGCAACTGGAAAATGAGAAAAGTTTAAGAGTGAACAATGAAGATTGATAAAGAGCGGAATTCGAACGTGGGAACTCCCGATCATACTGGCGCACAAGTGCCAACGGGGCAAAAAAGCAAAAGAAAAATCTGAACGTTGCAATTCAGCTAAACCAGTTCATATTAACCGCTTGAATTTCATTTTACCGTTGGAACATCTGAACCTTTGTTTTTAGATTGCAAAGACGACGCACCATTTTGTGAGGAAATGGCCACGGTCAATGAATGTACCTACAATGACGTCATTCGTGAGATGTGTCTCAGAAGTTGTCACTCATGTGGAGGTAAGCTAAAGCACATTGCTAAGAATTGTGAAAAAAATCACGATAAATAAAACAAGAAGAAAGAAGTTCCTGACCAATCAGTACTTCTTGGCCACAAATTTGGGCCATTCATCCAACTTTTGTGATGTTATCTACGTGGTTGTCCGACTGACAAAAACTGCTGTTAGTTGATCAAAAATAAAATTTGAAACGACTTTTAACATTTCGAACTGTACATTATAAGATGGAATTTTTTTTGGCGCCGGGGTGATAACACACTGAGGGAGGTAACACACTGAGTATACAGTGTTTAAAACGTCGGTGAAAGGCAAAACCTAATTTGAACTATACATTCCAATTGTGGTCATTGCACCCTCAAAAGAAACTAATCTTTAAAACAAAATAGTGCGCTCCAGTTATTGAACATCTTTTTTTGTTCTCTCTGATCGAATAGGTTGCCATGACTACAAGGATCTGTGCTCTGACCTGGCCGAAAGAGAGTTTTGTAAACACAGAGAGACATACATGTCAACATATTGTAGGAAGAGTTGTCAGGCTTGCAAATAAGCCCAATAGACTTTCAATTACAAGGGCTGTATAAATATAAAAGTAAGACTGTAGACTTAAGCCAGAGCAGATCATTTCATCCGATATTTATTTTGTAAAAAATAACCCCGACCTTCTAGTTTTTATTGACATTATGGAGAACCGCCAACATAGGATGACTGGATAGCTCAGTTGGTAGAGCACTAGTCTTGACCAAGTTTGTCAAGCCAAGCTTCTTCCCTGCACAAATGGTCCGGCTATTACCCTACTTGTCACGGCACATAATACGCCGCGCACTTTGCTAGTACGTATAGAGATGTACAGCGCACTTTGTCGGTACGTATGCAGTACCTACCGTACCTTCGTACGTAAAACGTACACCCCCATGCAGTAACCACTACGCGGCCGCAGTCGAGGCGAAAGACTGCCACTGCATGGTTACTACAATGCGGATTTGTGTCTTGGGCGTATCGGACAGGCAAAGCGGAGCTAGCCAGGGGCGGCCTGCCGCGCGGCGTGCGTACGTGTGCCGTGACAGGTATGGTAAATGGCTGCCGGACCGTTAGTTCAGGGAAAAAGCTTGCCTTGACAGGCTTGGTCAAGGCCATTAGAGAACAGGATCGGCAATGCAAAGGTCACAGGTTCAAACCTCGCTCAAGTCAACTTCTTTGTTTCACTTAAAAACAACATTTTTTCGAGTGTTAGTTTGTCATGGAAGTTTAAAGTAATTATCATTTGATACCAAATGATCCACGACATTCACCATGCATACCATGTCCTCAAAAAAAATTGCTAACAAAACAAACACAGTTCAGGAGCGTTGTGCCTTCAGGTTACGTAGTCGTCGGAGAGAATACTTAGCTTCAGCGATATCTTGTTCATGCTGAAACACAACTATCCCACTAAATACTTACTTGGCAGAATGCGAGCTAACGTCAATTAATGTTTATTTACTCTTATGTTTATTTGGGGAACCTTTCAAGTTCTTTGCCGCTGCAATGCCAAATAAAAACAGAATGATGGCTAGAAAAAAACCACAGGACAAATAAGCAAATTAATAGGTCAAAGGAAAAAATAATCCTCGCGCTTCATTGCATCAAAGTATGGCATCATGGTAGGACAATGTCAATAATGAGGATTGCGCCTTTTTGAAGGGCACATGACATGGATTTTACTTAGGAACATGTTTAGTGCTTTTTCTACTTTTCTTAAATGTATGAAGCTATTTGACATCCTTTTTGGGTAATGTCATTGAAAAGTGCACTTCTATAAACATGCCTGTAAAATTTCCCTTACTTTTTGTTCTGACGAATGAAGTCGCTGTTGCGGTGATTTCCATTTCAGGAAAAACACTGACTGTCAGGCCAAAAAAAAAATAAGTCGGTCTCTGGTCAGCGCGCGCGTCGATTTTAATCATGCGCCTCGATTTTTGTTTTCCAAAATGTTCCGCGGTAGCTCCAACAGCGCCCTCTATTTCCGCACCTCCTCAATTTTTTTTAACCAAAGAGCACCAAGGAATGGGAAATTGCACCAAGGCAAATGATCGAAAACACCATGGCAAATTATGGAGGACACCAATGTACATGAGGGCACAAAAAAGCAAAATAGTACCCCACCTTGTCTGTACAATCCAAGCTTGAAGAAAAAAAAATAAAGCAAATAAAAAAAAATAAAGCCGCGTGGCCGCGTCAATTCCGGAACTTTGGTCTGACCAGAGACCGAATATTTTTTTTTGACCTTAAGTCTAGGGGTTTTCTGTTCAAATTTTGAGCCCAAAATTTGCTCATTGAAAACATGTGTGAGAAAACTTTGCTCATTGACCTACTATTATGTACAAATCACCAAAGAAAAGAACATTTACAGCAAAATTTCAAAACTTCTGGCAGATTGTGGTGCTGAAATAGCTGTAACATTAAAGTTTCTACCTGAAATGACATCACACGTTTTCCCATGAATATGCACATTTTATTTAGCAAAAAAAACAAAAAGGCACCAAATGCCCTTAAAAACAAAACGAAAATTGAAAATAAGGTAAAATAGGACACAAAGGTGTACTTACAAGGACTGCTTTAAATAAGTATATATTTAATGGCCCTTTCAATCAAATCAGTTATGAAAGTACAATGTACATGTATTAGGCTTCCTTTTATATGATAAACAGTGGGTGCAGCTGCTGTAATGAAGACTACTTCGCAGGGGAAATGATGGCTGCTTGAATTTCCGATCGCAGGTGTCTGCTGAGCATTGTAAATATCTACTAAAGAGCGACGACGAGACGGCAACCAGACCATCACCCTTAGCAGACGTTCACGGTGACTGCCTGCGTGCAGCAATCATTGTAGGATGTGTCTGATCACACGCTATACTTAGTATAATATACTAGTGAACATTCAGTACACGTGCAACACCCGTCCCTAACCTGTATTTTAACCTGCATTCACAGGGTCAAGCCGACTTGAAACGTACACTATTATGTACTAAACTGAATATTGTTCGTGTTCAATAGCTGAAGCACGGATCCTAGACACCAGGATAAACGACTCGGTCCAACTCCTGGTTAGACGCGTGATAGCGGCCTGTACTGGTGAACCAAATACCATGAAACTTTTCAACGAAGACCACTGCGCGCGGTGGCTTTCAGATTTGCAAGGCTCTTCGCCCGATCTGGCCTCGAAGTCTGTCAAGCCAGCGAAATATATTTTGAATATTCATGCGTCTACGTTTTTTGGTCTTTATTATTGAATTCTGATAAGTGATAACTACATAACCATGGTAATGCCGAGCACAATATCTTTAGTTTTAAGATGAACAATGAAATGTCGCTTTTGTTTCATCGGTTCGGCATCCTATCTCTCTAAAACTTTTTAATAAAAGCCTCATTAAAAACGAAATTTGGGTAAACGGTGTTCTCCTCGAAATTTGACGTTTATTTCCCGGGTAAATACTTCATCTATGACGACAAATACTGCAAAATACCATCTGTTATATCCTGAAGTATTTATTTCTTTAAAATAATTTGGAACAATTATATCTTAAATAAGTAGTTTTTAATAAGTAGTAAGTAGTAGTTTTGCTTACAGTTTTACGAATATTTCCGTTTTAGACTTCATGCAAAAACCCAACACAATGGCACATCTGGAAAATTCGCGATTGCGCGCCAATGGGTATTAATGCCCGTTATCACGCGTCTAACCAATTAAGGCAAGTCCGCTCAGTGCATTTTGTACTGGAGCTCAGAACAGTCGTTTATCCTGGTGTCTAGGATCCGTGGCTGAAGTTTGCGTCTTATAATTGCGTTGGGCCTTTTCCAGCTCAATACACCACATTGAACAAGTCCTTTGGTAGATTCTATAGCGACGATAATCGAGGTACTCATAATGTATGTATTGCAGTAAGGGTTGTTAGTGATACCGCCAATAATAATAAAAAAATAATCAACAACATGGCCTTGACGACTGTTGCCATGACATTAACTATGTGCTTAATGGTTGTTGCCATGGAATTCGCAAGTTGAATAGAGGGTCGGTCGTACATGTCTAGTCACATTCGCATGTTCTATGGTATCTCTTTTCTATTCTACTTGACTTAAAACGTCTAATGTATTTAAATTTCACAAACAAACAAGAACATTTTGTTTCTTTCTAGTATTAAAGGGTCCATTAAGTGATTTTTTTTCTTCAGAATATATTTTGTGCAACCTTCTACTCTTCTTAAATGAATGAAAATATGTTAAATTCCTTTTTGGGTAATTGTATTGAAATGTGCACTTCTAATTTGAGGGCGCTGTTGCCGTGATGTCATTTCAGGAAGAGGCTGTTCAGTCACGGCTCCTATGGTTGCAAACCAGTATTAATCGGTCCGAAATTGCCTACGCCGGCCAAATCACGATTTGCATGCCCTCAAAATCTTCAGTATTTCAGCATGCTGTGGGCCATAAACTTGAGGGTTTGTAAAAAATATGGGTGGAAGCCGTGCACAGGACTGTGAGCTTGTAGTTCCGTTCAATTTGGATGAAATTGGGGCCCTTAAAGCGCTCTTTTTTGCAATAGAGTTTAGGCATCGTTTTTCAAAATGGCGATGGGCTTCAGGACTATTTTCAGGGGTGATCATCTTCGGATGGAAATTTCTCCTAAAAGTCATCAGTTGACCCCCCCCCCAAAAAAAAAATTGAAAAGAAAATGAAAGATGATGGAATAAGCTTTAATTTGATGTGTGTCTCGAGCACCTTGGAGAGTTGTGAGTATTTTTCCCGAATTTCTGAAGTGTGAGCATTTGCCATTGGGGTCTATGGAAGTTTATTTACTGGTATGCAACCCTCAGCAGGATGAACGACTCAGCTATTCAACAAAGACCAAGACATCTTAACCGCTTCACTATGCCGCCGGCTTTCAAATTTGCAGGGCTCTTAAAAATGAACTATAGGCCTACGAGCTTTAAAATGAACTATGAAATATCGCATTTCGTTTTATCGGTTCGGGACCACAGATTCTCTCTAAGACTTTGTAATGCAAGCCTATTTAAAAACGAGATCTGGGTAAACGGTGCTCTTCTCGAAAATGGTGTCACATTTGATGTTTATTTCCCGGGTAAATACTCCATCTATGACGACAAAAAATGCACAATACCATCTGTTTTATCCTAAAGTATCTTTTTATAAATAATTTTGGAACAGGTATATCTGACAATAAGGAGTGGGTTTGCTGAAGGTTTTAAGAATACTTCCGTTTTAGATGCCATGCGAAAAACCGACAAAATGGCACACCCAGAACATTCGCGATTAACATGTCAATGGGTATTAAGGCCCATTATCACGCGTCCAATTAAGGTTATATTAGTCCGTTCAGTGCATTTTGAAATTTGTACTAGAGCTCAGAACAGTCGTTCGTCCTTGTGTGTAGGATACGTGGTTTAGTTAAGGGGTTTTCTGTTCAAATTGTGAACCCCAAAAAATGCTTATTGCAAGTATTTGTGAGAAAGGCTTGCCCACTTAAAAAAAAATCATACATTATACCAGTACCCAACGCACTTTTCATTTTTCTTTAAAACCTTAAAGTTCGGCATTTCTTGTTACATGAAAAGACTCGACTGTATAGCGAGTTCAAACTCGGAAATACAGAACACAGTACAGACTAAATCCAAACTGTTTACACTTTCAATTGAATCTCTGGAAAAAATACCGGCGCTATACGATTGAAAATAGCCCATCAAACAAAAGCAAAACACGACAAATAAATTGGTTGCCACTTCGTCTCAATCATTTAGACACGGTTGGTTGGCTGGCTTGTCAGCAGAGTAAACGCGAGGAGGCGTGGGGGTCCTCATAAATTCCTTGGACATTGTCAGAAAACTCCAAATTCATTTTAATTACATAGGTCAGGACAGTTGTAAAAAAGGCAAGGTTCTAGGCGAATGATTTTTATGGTAAATTCATTTTGTGTGTGTATCGTTTTCATATTTTGCCCCACATAATACCTAGACGTGTCGAGTGAATGGTGCTGCAATTGAACCGAGATGTTTTCTTCATGGCTTAGGGATCACACATTTTAAGTGCAAGTAGGAACAGAAAACACATTTTAGACCAAAAGAAGAATAAACTATATACAGATGAAGATCCCGGGGAAAAGTGATTCAGGCTTGTATATTTGTTTTTGTGTATTTCTACTTGGACATGGTCTACATGTTGCTTAACAATGTGCGGTACGATGAGACATTACGCAGCCAGTATACCTATCACGCCGCCTCCCGCAGTTTCATCTATCGATTCTACTATTCATGAATATTCATGAGATTGTCATGAGATTGTCATGGGGCAAACGCAAGGAGTTCAATGTCGACATAGATTGGCAGTTTACGTCGCAGCATATTCGCCTCATCCATCCTGTTGCAAGAGGATTAAAAAAAAACAGAACATGAATATTTATGAGGTGACGTTATATGACAAGAACATCCCAGACAGCATCCAGGGGTGGCTAATACTCACGTCTATCGTCAACCCACGTATTTTTTTTCAGTCGTCACCCCACATATTTTTTTTCCCTCGACGTTGCCCAATCACATCCCATCATATGCTATTATCCTTCCTCTAGGTTGCGTTGGTTACAAGTAAATAGTCACACACTGAAGCGTGGATCCCGCTCTGTACAGTATACTATAGCCCCCTGTTATTGCCTGGACACAACTGCGAATAGTCATACAGGGTCTCACGAACTCAGACAGTACACCAAATCTGTCTATGATCACTGGCTCGCGTTCACACGGTCACGATAGCACCATCATGGAAGGGAGACTAGAAATACATCTTCTGTTGCCAATGGCGGTTTGCATCTTCGCTGCCGTGTTGCTCCTGCCTTACGGAGGGAGTATTCCCTCACCAATGCATAACCACCAATTTGTTTACGGTAAGCATTTTATTAAATGTGTTTTCATTCCTCCAAAACTCAATCACGAACCTGGATTTTTAAAGTAAATAGTGGATACGACTTAAGTCACGTAGGAATATTGGTAGTTACTCGTAAACGAACCCACCGACTGAATGAAAAAAACCTTGCTGTAAAATGAAAAACAAAGGAGTGGTACCGATACCCTGTGAAATTTGTAATGGAATTATTGGAAGAAATCAGCCCTCCATGCATTGTGCCAGACGTCACGTAGGCCTACATTAACCGTCTAAATGACAATCGTTTCCCGAGTGCTGATTTAGGGATTGTAGAAGACAAGAGTGGAGGAAACTCATAAAAAGTAAAATTAAACCGCCATTTTTTAATTCAAAGGGCTAGCAACTGATTCCACATAGAGTCCAAACATCGTGTAAAGGTTTCCTCTGTTTTCTTAAGATTTATAGTATCGACTGAGCTGAAACGTACGTTAACAGTTGTTAGGCTACGCACTAAACCCACAATTTTGAGGAATATTATTCCCGCAACGAAAAAACTGCACATAAAGCAAGTGATCCTATGAGCCTTTATATTATGATATTGAGTGCTATTCATCGGAATAGAACTGCCGATGCGATCTGACCAGTTGCGTTTTTCTTTGATTCCAGACATCGAAAGTATTGATCACAAACCTGGAGCTCCACACCACCGCGTACGACGTAAGTCTGGCAGGGGCAATGCGCTCGATACCTCGGCCTGTGGTACAATCACCGCTGTGCCTGACGATATACGTACGGACTTTCCTTTGGACCCGTTCTACCAGAAATACACACATGCCTACGGTATTCCCATCATATCCTCCTCTGTGACGCAAGATGCTGCTCTGAATCGTGCATGTTACACCGTACGTTTCCTTTTGGCGGACCGTAAGGCTTTAAGAGATGCTATGTATGACTGGTATGGCCGAGTTGGGGTGATTGCTCAAACCGAACGAACCACGCAAATCCCTGAACACAGTCATCTAAATAGTGACTTATGGGACGACCGTGCGCGTGGATTGGGAGGCATACCGAGCATACCCATCACTACAGACGGAGAAGAAAACATACTTTGCAAAAACTATCTGCAAGACCGTTGGTACGAAGAAGATATTCTCATCCACGAATTTGCACACGCCATTCACCTGATTTCTATGAACAAAGTAAATGCGTCATATGAAACGGCTCTCCAAGGTATCTACGACTTGGCCAAGCAAGACAATCTCTGGCCGAACACCTACGCCATCACCAATATAAGAGAATACTTGGCAGAGGGCGTGCAAGGATTCTTCAACGTTCAGGTTTGTAGGAGCTTCGTAGACAATGTCCACAACAATATCTGCACACGGGATGCACTGAAGAGTTATGATCGGCGACTGTACGATTTTATAGCGGCAATTTTCCCCTGCATGAATACCCTCATCGACCGATGCGACAGCGACCAAGGTAAGTTCAATTGACAAAAAATCGGAGACAATGACAACAAGGTTGACAACGACGGCGACATTAACAATGGCGAACGCATAGACCATGTGACATTTGTTTACAAATGTGGATGTTGTGGTCACGTGATGCCCTCAGCGAACAGTTTTCTTCTGCACTGCATGTACATGTATATCTCTTGAAATATGAATGGTTTGAACATTTCGACATAACTTATACTGCTAAAGAAGTTGTGGAATACTGAACGTGTTTTGTTTTGAACATGTTTTTTTTTTTTATTTGTAGAGTAGACCTATATACACCATGTATACTGACACCCTCCCAATGTTTTGTAATGCGCATTTATATGTTTATAAAACTGGAATTCATTGAATACTTTGTTGGTCGGCGAGCGCATAATTGAAATCAACAGTCGTTCAGGCCAACTTCATAAAATTAGAAAAATCGTGACGTAATAACAGGACTCCGGTATACAACGACTGTTTACTGCTGCCGCATGAGCGCCAGGCCAAGCTCGTTGCAACATGTCCGACTAGACTCAGAGGCTAGTGAAAAAGTCAACTTTTTCAGAGAGTGACAGAGATGAACATTCCTGCTCATCGCATTTTTTGATGAGTACTATGAACAAGGAAGCGGTGACCTCCGAGCTGTTCTTCCCAATCAATTTGAGCCGGTGTAGCATGAATTTAGGTTTTATGAAATACGGACTCTTTGGTGGTATTGCGCATGCTCATGCATAGACAATTAGGAGAGGGACCGGTCACGTGAGAGGGTTTAACCAATAAAAGGGAAAAAAGAGTCCGGTTTTCATACGAGTCCGATTTTCATATGACACCGGAACTGCCCGAAGAAGAAACCAGAAAAAAACACGGGTACCGCAACTGGTCTATCAGAAAACACCGGACAACACAGCACTCTTGACCGCCGCGAATTTTCTGCATGATTCACAGGCAATTCCCAAGTTATTCTGGCGAATATTCAGTCCAAAGAGACGACATATAGGCCTAGTCAGGCTGTTTTCGAATACGCGTACGGCACGCGTCACGGCACTGGATGTCGTCAACCGTGTGTTCCAGAACTTATGTTGTACGGTTAGCAGCGTCGCGGGCCCCGGTCAAGCCCCTCGCGTTGCCCGGTGCTTTTTACGTATAGGTATACTAGGTTTCAAGTTGTGCACAACCTGATTAGATAATTATGAAGTCATACTCGCATTTTGAAATTGTTTACTTTGTGTTTACCAAAAAAGCTGTAAACGTGGCCAGGAGACCACACTTCCAAGATTGGCTATAATAGACAAGTGGTCCGTACAAATAATTTTGAAAATCACATCTCAGTTATTTCTTGTGTGATTCTGCTAACAGAATTATCTGTACTTTGAAGATGTGCAAAAGCTCTCCTGCATCCCCGTTCTGTGGATGGGGCTCGGATATGGCTCATCACACGGGTCGCTTCACCGTCGCGACGGGCGTCTGTACGGTACTGCCGTTGGTTTACTGTACAGCCGTATAGCAATTCCAAATTCTCTTTTGAGCAAAGAAGACTGTATAATGTCTTCCCCGTACAAAATATGCATTGCATATATTAGCGACCAATCTGTTTGGCTGAAATCCGATCGCATGTTTCGGACAAAATAGCACCCTCTGTCGCCGACGAAAAAATTGGCCAAAATTCATTTGAAAACAATTTGTATCGGGGCTGTTCTTTGTGGTGTGATTACAGCCACCGACAACACAATAAACGTGCATAGCTTTACCTTGGCCTAGGCCCTAGCCTCGTACGATACGTTCGCTACCCGTTAGTATCAACAACGAATTATTTAGAAATTCCAAAAGTTTTTTCCGGCGTCAAAAACTCGTCTCCGCATCGCAAGTGCGCCCGTGAATTTCCAGTTTAGTAGTAGATTGCGTGAGTGAACGATGTGATAGACGTTTCTTTTACTACGGTTGGCAGTCTGGGCACACACAAACGAACAATCCACAAACTATAAATAAAATGCTGTATAACTATCAAAAACACTAAATATTAAATCAGGGCGGGTCCAGAACTCACTTTGGGGGGGGGGGGGGGCAGCAAATATAGTCGGCCCAAAAAATTACAGCGTTGGGTCCGGGGCCCGCTGAAGGGGCCCTAAAAACATTTGGATTCTAGATGCTCTGTGGTGCGATCTGAGGCAATTTCTGACTACTTTAACCAGTGATGTAGTGCCTTGATGCTGGGCCTTGGCCTTAAGGCTGCCTTAAGGCTGGATTTTAGGGCCTTGGCCTTGGCCTCGAGGCTTGAGGGCAAAAGCCTTGGCCTTGGCCTTGGCCTTGAGGGTTCAGGGCCTTGCAATTTTGAGTCAAGGCTCTTCAAGGCCCATAGATTTTTGCATTTTCCAGATAAATCTTTTCGAAATTTTGCTGTTACCATTTTAATCGTATTACCATGGAGGAGGGAAGCACCTTATAGATTTGTGTGTTGGGCACACTTCCACTTTTGTAGCATCACATTTTGTTACCATTGTAGTAGATTTGCTGCAAAAATATTCCGTACACTTGTGGGGCTAATGAGATGATCACTTTAATTGCAAATAATAATAATAATAGAGAACATTTATATAGCGCCAAAATCCGTCTAAAAAAGACGCTCAAGTCGCATATAACTATGGAGTAGATCTGACTGGTTGTATATGTCTCCCTGATAAGTGCTAAAGATTTGCATGTATCTGTTTTAGATAATGCTGATATTTCTGACCATGTTGGGCCAGCAAATAAAAAATTTCCCAAATCAGATTCTTGGATCCCCTTATGATACACTTGGGAGAATTGTGTGTCAATATAGAAGTAAATCATTATTTTGTCTAGTTAAATCATATTGAAGACCTGAACTTATACTTTAATAGATACAGTGCAGTCATAAAACGGTGTAGGCCTATGCGAGCATGTTGATTGCAATTAAAAAAATGTTGTTCTTCGTAACGAGCAATTCGTGATGATAAGGGCGGATCCAGTGGGCCAAAAAGGGCCATGCCCCCCCCCCAAAAAAAAAACGAAACCGTTTTTTTTAATGTGACGTCGTAATAAAGGCAGGCAATGAGTACACCACCATCTTTTCCTCAAAAAAACATCGGTAAAAATGGTCAGAAATTGCCTCAAATCGCACCACAGAGCATATCTCGAATCCAATTTTTTTTCGAGGCCCTTAAGCGGGCCCCAAACCCCAAGCCGTAATTTTTGTACCCACTTTTTTGGGGGGGGACCAACATTTCTTTGCCCCCCCCCAAATTGTGTTCTGGATCCGCCCTTGCGTGATGACGTGTCACTCATGTGACTATAATTAGTTCTATATCAGTGGTCATTTCATAAAACAGGGCCTTGGCCTTGGCCTTGGCCTTGAGGGTTAAGCCTTGGCCTTGGCCTCGAGGCTTGATGGTCAAAGCCTTGGCCTTGGCCTTGGCCTTGAGAGTCAAAGCCTTGGCCTTGGCCTTGGCCTTGAGGGTCAAAGCCTTTGCTCCAACACTGACTTTAACCTTTTCTTTTGAGGAAAAGTTGGTGGTTTATGCAGTGCCTGCCTTTATTGCGCCAAAAAGGGTGGTGTTTTTTTGGGGGGGGGGGCGTTGCCCCCCCCTCTCCCGGGTCCGCCCCTGAACAGACACAACAAAAAAGTCAGTAAAGATACCTCCCTCTTACTGAACTTGTCAATGAGAATTTGGGGGGCAACAACTGTTGCCAACTACAGTTGAATTGATGAAGCATGACTGTGTATGGCCTCCCATAATAATTGTCGCGCAGTGTTATTGTAATAGAGTTACTTTGTTAACAAACGCCTCTAGTTGCGCGGAGTGATTTGCATAAAGTTTCGCCGGAACTACACTTTTAGAAATAAGTACCCATTGTTGCGTAACATTTCACTCTTTGTGGTGGTAAAAAGGAAAGACGTTTGCGGGGTAAACTGCTACGCAACGGGGGTTGCGTCAAATTTTACTCAATTCCTGCGTAAAACGTAGTCTATGTAATAGACCATGTCTATGATGATTTATGTGAGCAGATTCGCTGATTAATTATGCAAGACAACCGCATCTTGGCATTCAGATTTTGACGAATCAGTGGGCGCTTTCTATATCGGGTCTTAGGTCATTCACCCGTTGTGCTCTGTATCACATTAAGCCGGCCTCAGGTCGACCTTGCGACGTCACAAATCAGTCGGTGACTGATTTTTCAGGATCAAGTTGCGCCTGCGCTACGACCGTCGGGAACATTTCAGTCGCCGACTTTTTTGCGAGCTGAGTATAACTGCGACGATATTAAGACGATCGGAATTAGTCTGCGCTCAAAAAAATCAACAGTCGCAAGAGTAGAACAATTACAATTACTATACCTCATACACATTCATGACCGAGAGCCAAACTCTCACTGGTCAATTCACCATTACGTGCCAGATGTTATTCTTGCTGTTTACCAAACGCGCGCGCGAGGATTCACGCGCAGGCTAAATACGCATGCGTAGTAGACTGTCGCACGGGTTACCCGTGCGACAGTCTACTACGCATGCGCTTTACAAAGCAATCGAGGAACTGTCGCACGGGTGTAGTACGCACGCGCGAACATCGCCCAAGAGAGATGTTTGGTTGCACGGTACGCAGTTCGCGTAAATTATATAATTGCCGGACTGGAGAAAATGTATGAACAATAAAGATGCCTTCTGTACAAAAGAAAGTTGTACACAAACAACTGTATTTACAACTGTAGTTACTGTATTGCAAACGAACCGAACTAGTGAAGTTGAGTAAACAATATTCTTTTGGTGAGCTGTTCAAGTTTCTCCGAAAAATTTGTTTTCGGTGCACATTTATATATAAAACAAATCGGCAACTGAATATGTATGAGGTATAGTAAAACAAATATAACATGGTTTATTTCGGGTTGACAGTCGATATTAGCTCCCCTCGGTATTGGAAGTTGACAAACTAGTTCCCACGGCTTCGCCTCGGGAACTAGACTTGATGACAAGTCGTTAGACTATAGTGGTTTATGTCCGTCATCAGCGCCAGAATCCGCATACCATGCCACCGCCGTTCATGCAACGTGAGCTGAGCGCTACAACCATTCATGCATAAGTCATGTACTACCGCGCGCGGCATGGTCAGTCTGTGTCCAACGACTTGACTAAGACGTTTTCAAGCGAATATGCATATATGCAGCCACTGCAATGCATATGCACGACGTTTCCATAGCGAGGGCCAATGGTAGCCCATCTGGCTTACGAAGAAACATCCATTATAAATATAGGGGTAATTATTACACGATCATTT